GAAATGGTGCCAGGTCTTCGAAATGAACCTCATGTTGTTTCTCCTGCCAGCCCACCTTCCGTTATTCAAGCTACTCCAGAACCTGATTCCACTACTACTGTGAATTTTTTCCCTCCTGCTGCTACAAACCAAACTCCCATTGCACTTACTTCTCGTCCTGGGCCACCAAAAAGTACTTTTGTCTTCAAAACTCCTGCCATTCCAAAGATCCACACGCAAAATGAGACCACCCAACCTGCAAAAATCGTCGATCTCTCTTCTCATATGCCAAACACTGCCACTGGTTCATCAAGTTCAAGTGATGTTCAGGGTCGAACATTTGTCTCGAAGGGGGGTGATGTCAGGGTTGAAGGGTATTCTGACAGTGATTTAGATCTGCAGGATATCATTGACAGACTAAACACAAACAAGAATAAGAAGCGCAGGTTTAAACCTAGAGCGCCAGCTACCAGGAACATTAAACAGCGATTAACCTGGATAGCGCACAACATTACACAAACTATATTGGATAAAATCAATGTTCAAATCTAATATTAATAAAGCACCTTTTTATCCATTCAACTAAAAGGCTATAACATCTTCCTGCACACTCTCTATATCTACTTCCATTTATATCTCGATCAGATCTCAGATTGCATATACTATCTCTACGTATTAGCATCTGACATCAATAAGTTATTCGAGTAGTTTAGTGGAAAGAACGTCAGATCCACAACGGATAGGTTGTGGGTTCGACCCCGATAGGAGCATTCTTTTTTTTCAAATTTCTGAAAATCGATGTGCCCATATAAGAATATGGATGTGCTCACATGGGAACATTTCGGATGTTCTCATGAGAACATCGGCCGACTTATAATAGATCTTTAGGAACGCCGATGTTCCCATATGAGAGCATTTTTCACCTTTCGGGAAAATCGATGTGCTCATTTGAGAACATCAAATAGATTCTCATATGAGCACATCGATGTTCTCATGAGAACATCAGTTGGGCCGTAGTGAAGACAAAGCAACACCGCATACCTCGGGCATTACTAAGCGATGGTTCACCGACAATGGGTTCAACCTAGACGAAAATGTGAATTGTCCACCCCCAAGTCCCGATCTTAATCCCATTGAACATGTATGGCATCTCCTAAAGCTTCGTCTTAATAAGTGTTCCACTAGACCCTTTACAAAAGAAGAACTAGAGCGGCATAGTTACATAGAACGGTACAAAATAACAGAAGAAGAGTGCCAAAAATATATTGACAGTATGCCTGCCCGAATCAACGCTGTCATCAAGAGCAAAAGTGGTTCAACTCACTATTAATGATTTTATAATAAAATGTACATTTTTCTATATTTATTTTTTAACCAATAAAATCATTGGATTTTAGTTTTTGAAAAAGTTATAATTATGTATAGATAGCACTACTTTCTCTCATTCAAACGATATATATTTCGATTTTGTATACAAAGAAATGACCAAAAACTTGTGCAAAAAGACAAATTTTTAAACGAACGGGACAGTTTTTCCCCCTACAGTATATCCTGGTTCCTGGAGAGTGGTAACCTATGGCCTTTCGTCCCTGGAAGTGGGTTTCAATTCCGACAAATGTTCTTCCGTCAAAGCTATTAGGAAGAACTTTCTATCCTGGGTCATCTTTGTTGTTTATCCTTTACTGGTGGTTTATGAGTTCTTATGCAGCACATTCTCGTTTGTTGTGCCAGAAGGGCTACAACTGTCTATAAAGATTAAGGTATTCTTGATGGGTAGATATGTCTGTGTTGTGCAACAACATGGACAAGCTATGATAAGTGAAGTGCATCTCAGCTATCTAAATACTGAGGTTCACCAGATGTGATAAGCGTTGTACAAGATAAATTGCTACTTTGGCATTCAGAACTTAGTATAAATAGAATGACTCTTGTCTTCATCAATAAATCATTAGTTTTTGTGTCTGATCTTATTCAAATAAGTCTTTTCTTGTTTTTATAATATTGAACATTTTTTATAAGCTACAAATAATAATCCTTTTATTCTTTGTGCTTAACATCGTTAACTGGTTCAAGGCTTATACAATTATCCCGCATTCAAGATCAAGGTCCTGTTGCTGCGGCACTGTCAAATAACTATAAATACCTTTGAAGTCTACACTAGTTTTGATCCCCATTCAATCTTTGAATAACATAATAAATATATTCAGTTCTAATTGTATTTACTCTGTCTATATTTCGTTATTCTAAACAAAAGTAAATATAACAGCTAATGAGCTTTATAAAAGATGTGTATTAAAATATTGGTAAAGTATAAGATAATTTTATTAATTGATAGCGAGATTTATGCTTTTTATACTATTTTGCTATTCCTTATGTCTTTGATAATGTCCTGGTTAACAACGATTAAATTGAAGTTTGATAATATTTCTGTTCTAATGTCCTTCGATGAAAGAGAAATTGCTTACTTAATTTACTAGGGTCAACGTATGTTTTCGTATGATTTGGTTATGTAATTGTGTTTCTTGGGTTTAAGAAGGAAGGTTTAATATAATGTTGTCGTTTTTGGATACGAGATACGGATGGTATTGCAGCGTTAATCTGGGTCTTTAATTCGTGCCCGCTTGATATGCGGCATTTTGGGTTGAGATGGTGTTGTGTCCGGTGTGAAATTTGAACGATAAAATAAGTGATGTGTTTTATTTGTATTATAGGGACAAGCAGATTGTATGATTATATATATGGTGGCAGCAAAAGAAAGTGGATGTTACGACTTGTAACATTAGTATAGGTATCAGCTTCATTGTCAAAGTCGATAAATATAAGCGTTCAACTTTTAGCAGACTAACTCTGTCATTTTTCGTTACTACCTGTCTAATAGCTGGCTTGATTAATAAGCATCATTAACCGTTTACTTGAGACTAATAATCATCAGCATATATATTACATCTGTTATGTTTACTATCCACGCTGCTTCACTTATTTTGAATTATCCCGTGAATCTTTTGGTAGCATTTAACTCTCTCTCTATTACGAACACTGTAAACATAAGAGTCAGGTTATACCGCAGATAATTGTCGCACCAAAACTAGTGGCGTATCCGATTAATAACAAATAACTTCATCAATGATCGTTTATTACACAAGAATCAGCAGAGCAGCCAGATATTTAAAATAACAAAACAATTGGTTATTAGACATGGTATAAATTAAGCGCGCTTTTAAAGGTAACTCTTCTTCTCATAATAACGATAATATGCATAATATTTACGATCATCTGTCTTCTGGTTGTGATGAAGACAACCATTTCTGTGTTAATTTCGGCAACTTATCTAATTAAGTCTCATTATAGTACTCTACATTCTATATTCAGTTATATGGTCTAAACTAAACTCTATACGTCGACATACGGTAACAAGCCAAACTCATCATCGCCTCAAAGTCCCAAATAATAATGACAGTGATAGCATCACTTTTCTAAGCGGGGAATATACATACTTTAAATTGGAAGGCTTAATATAATCGAACAAAGCAAGCTACAACTGTCTAATCTTAAAAGCAAGATTCTCCATCATGTCAAGTATCTATTGATAACTTGAAACCAGCAAGTTAATATGGCCCTTTTGGTACGCTCCGATTTTTAAAATGCTCAGTCAAATTCATACATGTGTCGTGTACATATGTGGAAGCTCAACGGAGATTCAATTTCTATTGTTCTGAATGATGATCCATGAGATTCCGAAATCTATCGACCTTAAAATTACGCGTTTCTTGATAGTAACTACCCCTTCAAACTTATATGAAGCTTGTAGAGAATTGCAAGGAAAATACAATGGTATTTATTTCAAATCTCTGGTGTACATTGTTCACCTGATGTTTAATGAGATACATCTTGCCATTTTTTGACTGTTTTCTTAAAGATTAATTAGTATCTGTCATCAAAACATTTTGTTAAGCATTACTAAACACTATAGACCAAAGAATTTCCTGTTGAATGAGCTATTGCTTGAAGCTCTGGTATGACTCTATCATGAAATATTGACAATATTGTCCTGACCAAAAAAAGGTCACCCAATTTTTTGCTTGCTATCACACGTAGATTTTGAAGAAAAATCCATGATTTTGCATGATACTCTTTTTTGACCATATCTCGACAAATACTCACTGGAATCGCACAAGACAAAGACCATTCGATAGCTCTATGTTATATCCACTACGATATAAAAGTTCTAAGTACCAGTTGTACGTTCTCTTCATAAGTTTGCTCAAAATCTTATATTTTATGAGCTACAAGCAGGGGATTTCAACTTTTTTTTTATTTATCTATAATAGCCATGCCATCGTATAGAGAATTGAAAAAGAAACAGAAGCTATTAGGTTTGAAGCTCTCGTTCACTTAGTAAAATTCAGAGATATGGCCCTTTGAAAATCGGTCATTTGGAACATTTTCCGTCATTACTCATTGGCATCACTTTCCATAACATCACATCAAACATGTCCTAGTCAAAAAATGTACCCTCTACAACTTTCACTACACATACATCTCACATTCATATAGTAATTTAAAAAGTTTTGCTAGCAGCACCTATTCAAAATGAACTATTTTCTAAAATCTCCCTTTTCTCAACAACCACGCTACCTACGCAAATTTCAATTGTACCAACGTATTTTTGGCAAGAGCGAGGCTTCAAGTTAACAAAAAACCCCGATACAGGAGTTTGAAATGTTGGGGTGTTCGTATTATATAATTTACTGTAGTTATCGTCATGTAGTTCTTCCAAACATCAAGGAATATCTTCAAAATCAGAATTCCATGTGTATCATTGTTAAATTCTAGTATGCACCTTTCTTTCGCTTTTCAAATTTTACATAGTTTAATCCTCGCTGTAAGAAAAATCCCTGAAAAAGCGATCGCAAACAACAAATAAACATTATAACGATTGATCGACATGTCAAACATTGTGATCGACCGATCCGCCATTCTCGCTCTCGTGGACTCTGTGAAAGCATTACACTCTCGTCTCGATGTCTTTGAAAAAAGCGCAACAGGCTCAACAGGCCCTGAATGATCAGTTCAGACAGGACGTGAATAACCTTCATTCTGTTATCAGCAACCTCGAGAAGCTCGTCCGCTCTCCTACCACCGCTCCTGCCAACCCTCCCAACATTGTCAACTCGGATGCCTTTACGACACCAGCTCCACAGCCTCAACCCCACCCATCAGGTACCCAGTCACCCCAATGGACACAAGTCCTTCAGCATCCTGCTACTGCCAACCCCAAACGCCGCCGCGAACACGCCATCCGTGTTATTCAACCACCACGCACGCCTATTGACACTCCTGCCTATGATGTTATTCACCTCCACTGTGCTCACCGTATGTCTCACGCCCAATACCGTGCCACTCTCGCTGTCGTTGGCATCGATAGTAAGCGCATCCTCGACGCTACTTTCCCGGCCCGCAATATCGCTACCATCTTGATCCACACTGACTACCGAGACGGCATCCTTCGCCGTTTGACTGAAGGTGGGCTCACTGCGATCCCTGATTTCAACCCTCTCAATGCTCAACACGTTGCCGACCCCAAATTTGATGATATGCCTGCCCCTCAATTAGTTCGTATCGCCGCCGCTCTTCACGCCGACAGATGCGTCCGCACAGTACGCTTCGTCAAGCTTCATACTATTCCTGGTGTTCTCAAGTTCTTCATTGCCCAAAATTGGATTTTCACAACAGCCAAAGCTCAAGCGCTATCCGCTGAACTGCTTCCTCGCCCTGCCAAACGTACTCCCAACATTCACTCTAACCTCGGTCAACTGTTACTTGAGCCCAGCATAGCATCTCAATTACGCAAACCTGTGCTGTACGATCTCTTTGGCAATGTCGTCGAATCTGATTTCATGGAGGTCACCGAAGAATTCCACCCTAGTGCACACTCGACTGACCCCGGAAAATCTCATCAATGAGTGAGCCTTCATTACCTCCTCTAGTCAATCGTTCGGCTCCTCTTCCTAATGTCTTTGTCCCCTCGGTATCTTCTAATTCGAATAATATTCAACACACTCACTTGTCTATTTGTAGTTTTAATTGTCGTAGCTTATCCAAACCATCCAACGTCCCCGCCAGTCAATCCTTTTGTTGCTTTCTGCGCCATTCATACGATCCGCCTCCCAGTATCCTCTGCCTCCAAGAAACCCACGCCCACAACCCCGCCATCCAAAACCGCCTCAACATACAACTGCAAGCTCAATCATCGATTTGGACATCCCACTGCGGGATAGTAAGTCTTCAACCACACATTGCTCTAGATCCTATATTTGTTTCCGAGGACGGTCGAGTTATATATTGCAATGTTTCTCATTCTACTAACAAGTTTCCCCCTTTAAAGATCATGAATATTTACGCACCTGCCACTCATTCCGATCGATATGCCTTCTATGATCAACTACTTCAGCAGCCTCTCTTTCAAGCCCTTCTCAACAACATGCACACCGCTGATGGGATGCATAACAACTACCTGGCCACCGTCCCTGATGCTCCCTCTATTGTGTTAGGTGATTTCAACTACAATTTTCGACAATATCGCCCACCACCTACCGTGGCATCCACTAACATTTATCCACAATGGCTTTCCCACTCGGTGCTTACTCATTATTATCAGGAAAGTACGCATGAATTAAGTCAGAACCCTTTGGTGCCCACATTTCGCCGCAACGCCACACTCTCTACCATCGATTACATGTTTATGGATCCTCAACTTTTAGATTTCAGAACCGATCACTTCGTTCACTTTGTCCATTCTGAATGGACCGATCATGCTCTACTTTCTACACAACTGACATTTGCGAACCCGGATTTTGGTAAAGGTCTGTGGCGAATCAACCCCCAACTAGCTCACAACAAGTTCTTTTAACAACGTCTGTTTGCTAAACTTGACGAGTTCCACGATCAAAAAATAGCCTCCGAATCCGCTGGCATCAGGCCGCATGAAGTTTGGGATCAGCTTGAAGCATTTACCTATCAAGTCGCAAGAACTTGTAGTGGTCGAAAGGCCGAATGGCGTCGTCGTCTGCTCTATCGCCTCCAAAGCAAACGCAACAAGTACCTTCGCCTCTACAAGACGACGCAGATACGCAACGATCGCCCCCCACAAATCGAAGCCATGATCGGCCACCTTCAGCAGGAGCTAACCGATATCCAAGCATTACGGTCCGGCATAAAATGGCGAGAACAAGGTGAGAAATCCGCCGGTTTCCTCAAGCGGTTGGCCACTCAACGCACTCAACAACGGGACATCCCCACCTTGATATATCCCATCTCGACCACCGTCTGCGAGACGACAACTGACAAGCAGGCAGCCGCAGCCGCATATTACGACCGCTTATATACTGCTGATGCGGTGGACATTGACGCGATCCGGTATTTCGCTGACCAAATTCCAGATTCTGAACACCCGGCATTATGTGAGCCTTTTACCTTGGATGATTTAGCCGACGCCGCTACACGGGCCCCTAAACAATCCAGTCATGGCATTGACACTACGGCCCAACTGATGTTCTCACAGAACATGGATGTGCTCTTTTGGGAACATAGATGTTCTCATGAGCACATTGATGTTCTCATTTGAGAAGGTGTAGTTTTCCACATGAATAAAATGGTTTGAATAGCTAAACTATAATATTGTAGGCAACAGAGATACTTTTATTATCTATAAGATTCATAAAATTACTAAACGTATTATAAATTGCACGAGAAAATGGCAATTTAAAATTACTTAATAACTACTTATTAAAGAAAAAGAATATATTTCAATAAGATATTCGAGTAGTTTAGTGGGAAGAACGTCAGATCCACAAACGATAGGTTGTGAGTTCGACCCCGGTAGGAACATTCTTTTTTTCAAATTTCTGAAAATCGATGTGCTTATATAAGAATATGGATGTGCTCACATGAGAACATTTCGGATGTTCTCATAACATCGGCCGACTTATAATAGATCTTTAGGAACGCCGATGTTCCCATATGAGAGCATTTTTCACCTTTCGGGAACATCGATGTGCTCATTTGAGAACATCAAATAGATTCTCATATGAGCACATCGATATTCTCATGAGAACATCAGTTGGGCCGTAGTGATAACTCCATACCCTACGCCATCATTCAACTTCTACTGACTCATACTTCCACAACTGTTGTCGCCCTTCGAGTCTATTCTGACGCTCTGTTACATGGTCTGTTCCCACAATCTTGGCAGGAAACTTGCCTGGTGCTGCTTCCCAAGAAAGGCGACCTGTCGCTGTTACAGAACTGGCGCCCCATCAGTCTCATTTGTTGTGATGCTAAGATCTTCACCAGGCTATTGAACGCTCGTCTCATGGAACACTTTCGCACCCACTTGAGCTCCTCTCAATCTGGCTTCATGCCTCAGCGCTTCATTGGTGAACCAGCTATGATTTTACATTGCGCCCAATTTCTTGCCACGGCCACTCAATCCACGTCCATTGCTTTACTGTTAAATCAGGAGAAGGCATATGATCGGGTCAATCTTGACTACCTTTCCGCTGTACTCACTGCCTTTAACATGCCTCCTCAATTAACATCATCACTGCTTGCGTTGTTGGCTACCACTCAGGTACAGGTTAACATCAATGGAAATCTGTCCGCCCCGTTTACTACCCGCCGCGGCATGCGCCAAGGGGATCCCGTTAGTTCGCTATTGTTCAACATCATTTTCGATCCCTTCTTCCGTGCTATCAACAACCATCCGGATATTCAGGGCTTTGATTTTGACTATATTGCTAACACTAATTCACGTTTCCCCACAACACTTACTCATCACGTTCCTGTAGCCGACCCAGTCAAAGTTCTTGCGTATGCAGATGACACACTCGTCTTCCTCAACGATCTTGGTGAATTTTACCAGCTTCAACAACTAGTCAGTAGGTATGCCGATGCGTCCAATGCCTCCCTTAACTACCACAAAACGCAAGCATTGTCTCTCTCTGGCGCCTCACATGCATCCTGGATCGCCGGCCTTAGAGCGACAGGCATCTCCTCGTGGCATGATAAGACCGCGACTAGTCCCATTACATATCTCGGCTACCCTGTTCGTTCGTCGCCTATACAACGGGTTTCATACGTCAATGACTTACTAACTCGTTTACGCGATCTTTGTCGTCTTCATTCCATTCGTACCCTCACCCTTCGTGGCCGGGTTACGGTGCTGAACTCCCTTTTGTTCTCAAAAGTGTGGCATGTCGCCCGTCTGTTTCCTTTCTCGGCTACCGATATCCGCAAACTACAACATATGGGCGCTTCATTTGTTAATAACCAGGCGAAACTAACCCGTTTTTCTTTCAGCACTCTTTGTCTACCTCGATCTCAAGGTGGTCTAAATCTGTTGGATCCCGCTAAACAGATCAATGCTCTTCAGTGGCGATGGTTACACCCTCTTTTGCATCCGGCAAACCCCACTCCTCCTACCAAGACCTCAATTCCTTACATACGTGTCATACTCAACTTCTTTCTCGCTACTCCCTCTTATCCTACCTACCATTGGTCCCTTCTTTCCCCTGCTTGCCGACCATCCCGTTCAACAGTCATCACTGCCCCACTCTACAACCTCCTTCGAGCCGTCGATGCTATTGCCCGCAAGTTTGGTGTTTGCCATGTTCCCTTTAGTACTTGTCTGCGCCTCCCGCTTGCAACTCTAATCGAACATAGTCTGCCATCATCTCATAGCCTCTCGGCTACATTCTGCTCCCCACAGGAAGTGACTGTACGCTGTCCTGGCGTTCTTACCCTCACAGGTAACGATGTTTTAACCTTTGACCCAGCAACTCAAGCCCTCCAAGTTCGAACCTCAACACGCGGCCTCCCTCACCCTACAACCAGCCGTCGAGCCCTTCAACTCCTACAATCTGAACAACTACTCTTCGCCAACTTCGTTCATTTCAACCGGCTTCATCTCGTCCCTCGTCCAGTCATCCACCACATCGACCTCTCTACCATCACCAGCTATACCGAAAGTATCACCCATATCTCTACTCTTCTCATTTCCTTAATGTCATCCTCATTTTCCTTTGAGTCCCATTCCTTCCTTATGTCTCTCCCTACTAACCAAGGGTATAAATCCCTTCCTCTACATACTAACATATCCTCTTTCTTGTTTCCCTTAGGTGTTGCCAAATGGAAGCAATTTTGGGCCCTCCAAATACCTTTGAACGCTCGCAATACTTGGTTTCGGATACTTCATGAAAAAGTTACTACTAGACATTTACTCCACCAACGTATGCGCGACCAATTTCCGCCGTACTGCCTTCATTGTCAGTCTTCGTCCTCCACCACACCACCTGTCATCGAAGACACAGAGCACTTCCTATTCTCCTGTCACCTCAAATTGGAAGTTTGGCGCCATTCTCTCTCTCTCTCTACATCTCCCCTCGCTTCGCCCACTTCGCCTACGAGGAATATTTAGCCATCCTTCACCTGCGCCTCACTCTTGACCGATCTTCTCATGAACTTTTCCCTGATCTATCCGTTTTCCAAGTCTTTGCTTGCATTCAACAGGCCATATGGTCTGCTCATTACTGCCAAGTTTTCCAACACTCTCCTTTCATTCCGTCAATAATCATCCACTCCATTCATCGTGCACTGCACCATCTCGACTCACAACTTTCCTTTGATACTATCATTTAAGCTTCCCTTTATATCCCACAGTCTTTTCCTCCTCTCCCTTATATCTAGTGACGATTTAAGGGTTTTAAATAAAAACAGAAGAGACAAACTCTTCCTTATAAAAAAAAAAAAAATCCCAGTATGCAATGTTTATTATCAAGATTTCTTCTACACGTAATTGTAGGAAGCGCTGTCTGTGAAAGGGTTTATTTAGATGTTGTCTACGGTATGGATACCAGCTTTTTTTGCACAACATGTTGTTTGATAATCCGTTTGGAATCATGAGTCGCTATTACGAAAGATGTGAAAGAAATGCACTCAGATTAATTAGAGAAGCATTCAAAACAGTGTTACCTTCTTAACCTGAACTATTGTGAACTTTAATAACAAGTAAGCTATGCCAATTTTCATCCTACTGCTACTACATAGTATATTAACTTTTTCAAATTTTGGAAAGTTTTGCAATCATACTGCAGTAGCGTTTATTAAATCAGTTTCTTCTCAACTATTTAGGTAGCTAATATGAGTCGTATGGAAGGCTTTATCGAGCTCTACTTGTTGTCTTCATTACATTCAATAAGATGTAGCTTCACGGTGAGCATGCCAATGCTAGTTGCATTTCTGATCGTTGGTACAAAAGCTGCTTCATTTCTTCATCAAATGGGGCGAGCCTATGCTTTTTATCGAGGGATACTTGCAACAAGGTGTGTAAAAGTCGTTGGAGCAGCCATCTGTAGAGCTCTATGATATTTATCTCAACCATCAAATTGACCTATCAGGCTTTAAAAATTCAACTGCTGCAGAGTAGACGCTGATTCATCCTGCAATCTGAAATATGCACAAACAATCCCCTTTTAAAGCAAAGACCAAACGCAATTTTGCTTTGTATACATTTCAATCGTATAACTGCGAGGATTCATACTCAAGATGATGTTGATCACATTAGTGTCGTATAGTACATTGCATAACTGTGTGACTTTGGCAGTGGATGACATTATGCAGTATAACAAACTAAAATAAAAAGATCTTCACATTTACACACCCTCTTTTTTCCTTCTTTTCATTTTATTTTCTTTGTTAAATGCAAGAAGCAGGAAGCGACGATACCAAAGACACCCCCTTCTTCGAGTACCATCACTTGAAAGCTATTCAAGATGTAAGTATTTGCTATCCTAGGATAGCGATTGGAGACTAATGTGAAATTCAAGCATGACAGTAAATATCTTGGACAAGCAAACGTAGCCAAATCCCCACCACAAAATCGAGGCACTAAAGGAGATACCCCTTTTATTGACGAGGAAGAGCAGGATTGGATGGCACACAATCGTCTACCAGCCATCCCCTTGTCTGCTGCTGTCGATGATACACCTGCTGATATGAAAACAGCCTACAAAGGTAAGCTTCCATCGAGAGGAGCCAAGTCGTGATTATATAACATATGCTCTGCATTGGGCAGATGAGGCAATTACAGCAGAACTGATAGAGCTCTACAACACATTTCAAAAGTGTCTGGATCTACGTGAAAAGTACATGATGAAGTCCAAGCAGCGATTTGAGGACAATCCCAAAAACAGAGCTGACTGGGAAGTGTATCCTCCACCTCCCCCACCATCTTGGCCTTTACCACCACCAGATGAATTGGCACGACGAAAGAAGAAGGAAAAGGAACGCGAAGCTGATCCCATTGCTGCTGTAGGCATGGATTTCCATAGAGAGCATATAAGGATTCCTGGCGAGCATCCTGTAAGTTGGAGAGGAGATGGTATTATTTGACGTAATGATTAGCTAACATGTCAATAGTACACGTTTGGTGTAGGCACGGATGGCTTCTATCATGTATTCAAATCCGAGGAAGGTTAGTAACCATACGATTCAATGAAGTCATGGCACTTATAGCGAGTAATAGACAAAGCAAACAGAGAGGCTGCTTATGATGTTCCCCAATGCAAAGAGTTTTATGATGATTTGGATTACATTTTGACAGCCATTAGCGATGGTCCAGCCAAGAGTTTCGCCTTTAGAAGATTACGTTACTTGGATTCCAAATGGCAAATGTACACTCTATTGAACGAATTCCAAGAAATAGCAGATTCCAAGCGCGTGCCCCACAGAGATTTTTACAACGTGCGTAAGGTGGATACTCACGTTCATCACTCGAGCTGTATGAATCAGAAACATTTACTACGTTTTATCAAAGCCAAAATGAAGAAATTCGCTGATGTAAGCGAGCAGTTGGTCTGTACAAAAGCCATTTATACTCATGGTGTTGTATAGGATGTTGTCATTTTTCGTGATAATGAACACTTGACTTTGGCTGGTGTATTTGAAAGTCTGAATTTGACCGCTTACGATCTGAGTATCGACACTCTGGATATGCACGCACACAAGGACTCTTTTCATCGTTTTGACAAGTTCAACTTAAAATACAACCCTATTGGTGAAAGTAGATTGAGAGAGATCTTCATGAAGACGGATAATTACATCCATGGTCGCTACTTGGCTGAAATCACAAAAGAGGTGGTATCTGATTTGGAGTCCTCCAAGTATCAAATGTGTGAATACCGTGTTTCTGTTTACGGTAGATCGATTGATGAATGGGACAAGTTGGCAAAATGGGTCGTCAATAACAAATTGTTCTCGCCTAATGTGCGTTGGCTGGTTCAGGTACCTCGTCTATACAACATTTACAAGTCGACAGGACATGTTGATAACTTTGGTGATATCATCAAAAGTAAGGCGCTCAAGCTATGCATTTCAGTTTGATGTCTAAATATGCTTCATGTGTAGATCTCTTTGAGCCTTTGTTTGAAGTGACAAAGAATCCTCAATCTCACCCCGAGCTCTACATCTTTTTGCTGAGAGTGGTTGGTTTTGATTCCGTGGACGATGAATCCAAGGTGGAGAGAAGTGCGTATCGCGAATTCCCACTACCCAAGGAATGGAATAATCCCTCAAACCCACCATATAGCTACTACCTGTACTACATCTACTCGAATTTGGCCTCTTTGAATAACTGGAGAGAAGAGCGAGGCTTCAACACCTTTGTACTTCGTCCTCATTGTGGTGAAGCAGGCGACACAGACCATCTTGCAGCAGCATTTTTGACATCTGAAGGTATCAGTCATGGCATCTTGCTCAGAAAGGTGCCTGCCTTGCAATATCTCTTTTATCTTGCACAAATCGGTATTGCCATGTCGCCCCTCTCCAACAATGCACTATTCTTGACATATGAACGCAACCCATTGCCCCAATTCTTCCAGCGTGGTCTGAATATCAGTATCTCAACCGATGATCCTCTGCAGTTCCATTTCACTCGTGAGCCATTGATCGAAGAATACAGTGTAGCAGCACAGATCTGGAAGTTTTCTGCCACTGACATGTGTGAACTGGCTCGAAATTCCGTATTGCAGTGTGGTTGGGAGGATAAAATCAAGCGTCATTGGATTGGCGCTCATTATACTCGACCTGGTGTGGACGGCAATGATATGAGCAAGACAAATGTGCCCAACATTCGGGTAGATTATCGCTACGAGACACTGTTGGAGGAATTGAATGCTCTGCGTAGATATGCGCCCAAGGATCAAGGTGGAGATGGTGTTGCTCTGGAGAACATGACTCAGCGTGATATGGTTGGTGTAGCAGGTTTGACAGAGAGTCCTCGTTTGCAGCAAAATATGATGCATGCTGTTCAGCATGAGCCTACAGTAGATAATAAACAAAAGACTCAGGAACAACATCACTATTGGCACGATGACCGCAGAGACAGCTTCCCTGGTGTCGCAGTCGTTGCAGAGAGGGCTCGCCAAAGACGATTGAGCCAGATCTCTGGGAGCTCCAAGTAATCCATCCACAATGTATAGAATCCCCTATTAAATTATCTATTCAATCTGATTATCACAATAAATATGAAAAATCAAGATATTCTGTCTTAGAGACTCACTTTTTCATGTCGAAAGTAAAGGTCTAGCTACACAGATTTTGTGAGCGAGTGATGTCAAGTGAAAACTCAACATCCAATCTCCTGTATCAGAGGCAGATTGATAGGAGCTCCGTCAAAAGAGAACACTACTCAGCTGGATGTCAGGTTCGCCATTTGACAAAGCGATGCCCACTGAATGAGGGGTTAACAACGACGACGTCAGCTTTTCCTAAGCTGAACAATAGTGCCCTTGTTACCCTCATGTCCCACATCCACATTGATTAAACAAAAAAGGCGGGGAGTTTTTTTTTTGTTACTTGATTATACATTTGAATAGTTGTCTGTTTACTCTTTTTTATTCAAACTAGAAAGCAACTTCCATTAAATAACGAAACCCCCCCTCTCCTCATCTTTATATATACACTCAACATAACATTGTTTTTGGTTTAAAAAATACAACAAATATGCTCTCCACAGTTGCTTTGAAACGTAAATGATTAGCACAATAGATATCAGATATAGTTCGAGATGACTCAATCTATCAAATTTTTGTAGAAGTTGGCCGTACCAACATCGTTGCTAAAGTCGCCACCGCTACTCAAGTTGTAACTATAGAGACATTCTACATTATTATCAGCAAAATGTACTCACTCATCCATTGTAGCGCTCCATGCACGATTTGACTTTGAGAAAGAAGACTGGCGAACCCATGATCAAGTATGGTTTGGGTGGAAGGTACGATCACATCAATTCATTTTGACACATTGAGAGCACACTGATATATATATATATATGCCCCTCGTTAGATCCTCCACCAATGGCCACATTGCCACCGTCTTTGGTTGTACTGGTTTCTTGGGTCGCTACGTTGTCAACAAGCTTGGTAAATACACAACATAAAGGCATCACAATCATGATTTAACATAACAACGCATCATAGCCAAGCAAGGTACACAAGTTGTTGTTGCCTACCGTGATGCAGATGAAGCCAGACATCTCAAGGTCACTGGTGATTTGGGTCAAATCATCCCTCTGGAATTCGATTTGAGAAATAAGCAACAGATTGATGAATGTGTTCGTCATTCTGATATCGTTTACAACTTGGTTGGTCGTGATTACGAGACAAAGTAAGAAGAGCCTTATGTCATGAGTCAAACAACAGACTAACTGTATACCTACAGGAACTTTACTTTCAACGATGTCCACGTTGATGGTTCTCGTATGTTGGCTGAATCTTGTGCCGAGAACGGCGTTGCTCGTTTTGTTCAAATGTCTGCTTTGAACGCTTCTGAAGACTCTTCATCCAAGTTCCTCCGTTCAAAGGTAAGTAGGCTGCTTATATACTACTCGACACATAACTCAACCTTGTTGGATTAGGCTTTGGGTGAAAAGGCTGTTCGTGAGATCATTCCTGATGCTACCATCGTTCGTCCCGGTACTATGTGGGGTCATGAGGATCGTTTCTTGAACAGAATTGGCGGTAAATGGTCTTTATATCATTTGACTGATAGTTTGTATTAAAATCGATTTGCATTTGATAGAGGATGCTGGCTGGCAATACTATGTCAACGAAGGCAATACCAAAATTCGTCCCGTTTCTGTAAGTAGTTGCAGTCAGATTGATCTAGCGAATGCCCTAACTCTTCGAAACTACAGGCCATTGATGTTGCTCACGCTCTCGAGATCATGTTGACTGCCGAGTCCACTATGGGTAAGACCTATGAATTGTATGGTCCCAAGGAATACGCTGTCAAGGAAATCTTTGACCTTGCTCGTGAGATTACCATGAAGCCTCTTCCTATCCGTGCTGCACCTAATGCAATCTACAAGTAAGTTTAGCACTGAGCCCCATGATGGGTCATTCTGTATCTAACCAAACATCACATCATCTGCGTTGTTTAGGTTGGCTGCTACCTTCTTTGATAAATTACCTTATAACCAAATGGTTAGCCCCGATTTAATTGAAAGAGTAAGTTGCTGTAAACCTGAAAAAAATGACAACATAATCCAACAGTTGATTTTGTAGATGTCCATGGATGACAAGATCACACCAGGAGCTCTTACCTTTAAAGATTTGTACATCAACCCAACTGATTTGGAAACTGTCGCCATTCAATTTTTGAGAAGATTCCGTAGTAACGCTGTCTTTGATCTTCCTTACGAAAAAGGAGAAGGTCAAGTTCAAAAGGGTGTTTACCATCTTATTGATTAGAGAATTTATATTATTATCATTAAAGCAAGATTATATTTTACAAAATATTGGTTTATTGGTATATATATGTGGAGGAAACTATGTACAAGAGTTCTTTTGTTGGGTTTTTTATAGCGATAAGAAGGGAATATCGTAGCACATTAAGGCATCTTCCTCTTCCTCCTCGTCTTCATTGATAAAGAATGTTGGCTTCTTCTTGTAGAATGGGATAATGCTTTCTTGAGGCGACAATGGCATAGCTTCATCTTCATCGTCTTCTTCAGAGTCGCAGTCATCAAACAATGGCTTGCTATTGTCTTCATCCTGATCTAATTGATCAAAGCATGAATCTAACCACACTTCTTGCTCCTCCTCATCCGATAGCTCATAATCTTCTTCTTGTTTCTCTTCTTGTAGTTGATGTTGTGGTTCTTCATACATAATCTCCACAGCATTTTGTTGTCTTGTTAATGCAGATATTAACGAATTGCGGATAAGGACAAATGATGTTAAGCTTGATCTGTGCATGTCAAATGATTCAAGTTTGTCAAAGGATAATCTGATGTTGTAGTTATTCATGTCTCTGTGTTTGTGTGTGTAGTTAAAAGCAAAAAGAAGAAGAGAGAAAAGAGAGATCTTGAGATCTCCCACCCAATTTTTATATGCAATCTCTTTTTTTTTTATATATATATGAACGATGATAGTATTCTAAAAACCCCATGATTCGCCCCTTTTTACTCTGATCTTTTAAAAGGCAGTTTCTTACAAATCATGGGTCCGTTAAGATGACCAAAATTTAACCTTTTGCCACTCGAGAAATTTTAGTGGTTCCTCTCACATGCGAATTCGCCTTTTATCAAATAAAAATGCTGTGCTCTAACGATTATATATCTTTGTTATTAATCATTTTATTTAATTCATCATTCATAGAGAAAGAAAAGGGGGATTGGGCAATGGAAGTATGCTGATTTCGTTCAAGCAGTTAGCTATGTGATTGTGTGGGTGTGGGTGGTTTAAATAGGTGTCCGTTTAAAGACTATCAATACGGTTAAAGGAGTTGCCACCGCGAGGTTTATCATTGAGTTTCGGGTTGTTTTTGGCCAAGATGTCTGTTTGATTTATAGAATGTTAAATTTTATACATGTAACATGATTCATTGCGAAAGTTACCTTTATCATTTTTTGCATGATCAAAGTTGCAATCATGCTTATCTGGATAGCGATGGGTGTCACAAAAGACATACTCACAACGGCATTTGTTGGTCAACTGTTTAGCGAGAGGAATCTAATGTTGAACGAAATAAATATGAGCTGGTTGATTTCATTATATCTGGTTTTTTTTTTTTTTTTTTTTTTTTATTTTTTTTACCTTGGAGCGACATGAGAAACAGCGTCCTTTGTTCTTTTGCACAGCTTTCTTTGGAATATCGTCTTGTTCCTCTTCTTTCTTTTGTTGTTCATTAATGGGTTTATTGTCATCTTCTACTGACAATGTAATGTGGGTGTTGTTATTTAAAAGTGGACTTTTATCATCCTCTTTTGGTTGTTGTTGTTGTTGTTGTTGTTGTTGCTGCTGCTGCTGCTGCTGCTGTATGGAGGGCTCTTCTGTGAGTTCTTTGGTGATGAGAGGCTTCTCCATCTTGAGCATGTTTGTATCGACAAGATCTAAAATGTAGGAGAGATTTGTTTGCTAAGTACTCATACGTAATTCCCGTATTCTATGTATGAGATTTTACCATTTTTATTCCGTTCTTCTTGTTCTTTAAAACACTTTGAACACATGTTGTTGTAAATTTTATTTCCATAAAATCCACATCCTGCTGTGCAAGGTGTAGGTGCTTCTGATAATTTGTTATCCTCCATTGTTTTCGATATTGGCTGTAGTAGAGAAAAAGAGAAATAGAGAAAAAAGGAGAGAGAAATTTACTAAAAAGATACACGGAGAGGGTGAAAAAAAAAAATCACTCTGACCATACAAATTAACTACGTATACTTCTCCCTGTTTTCGCTATTGTCTACACGTGATGTAGCAACTACAATCACTGCATCTTCCTTTGTTTTCCATTGATTTCCTTTTAATCAAATCAAATCAGTCAGGATTCAAGTTTCCCCGATGAAAATCGAGTAACAATGCTTATGCAAGCTTGTGTGCACATAAAGGTCAAATCGAATCGCATTTTTAACCGATAAAATGAGGGTGAGCAGAGTCAGTGATGCTTAAAGTCTTGGATCATAAACGTAGTATTTACCATCTCGAAAAAAAAAGTGATCTGATATACTTTGCTACGTATATCTTCGTAGCAATCACCGCAGCTTTTATACAATGATCTATCAATTGACACATCACATCCCTTCCATACATCACACATTTGCTGTAATTTACTTATGATTAGTCAAGTGCCAATGGCTAGAGATGGTGGCAACGTTTGTTCTGATAGTATGCCCTGGTTGCTATGGTAACGCATTAACTGTCAAAAACTTCTTTTAGTTGCCTAGCAACTGAATGGTTTGACATATGGCAATAGAGAAAGCATATTACATAAACAAAATAATCTCAAAGAGTCCAGAAGCGGCATGTTTCAAACTATTTGGTCGGCTCAACCGATAGGATTGATTATAAATAGGTCAGTCTAAGCTGCGGCTGTGCTGATGAAGCTAACCAGAACAACGTGCTTACCCCCGTTACAGGCGACCCTGCACAGCAAGCTGTAGGATCGAAAGCAAACGAATCTATTGAAACCCAACAATAAGGGCATGGTCTCATTCAAAGAGAGATGAGTAAAACGTTCATCCGTATAGCATACAAAATGAGCTGTGTTGCGAAAACTGCAATTCACTCTTTGACATCGATAGTTTGCAAGAGTCTTTATGGAATGCTATCAAGAATTAAGGTTATAATGTAAACAGGTTATCCTGTGGTTCCTGATTTGCTTTTTAATAAGGGAATCTAATGAATCGTGGACTTTCAATCGCAAGATTTGATGCTATATCTATATCTAAAATTTTTTCGCTTTTGCTGCGTGCATTCAAACAGTAAAAGATTTAGATTGATTTTCATTTATCACGGAGCTATTGTTTCAATGATTATTGTATTGAAAGCTATATCTCTTATACAAGCGACACTTATTACCACGGTCATTAATGCAACAGGCATGTTTACTGCTCCAGAAAAAAGTGGTGCAATGCTTTGGGTTTATTCATCCCAAATGCTCAGGAACTAAGCAGATAGAGCGGACGGGGAATGGCCCGATAAAAGAAAGTTGTAGATGAGGATTACTTGTGCTACATGGTACAATACACCGTGAGATATTTGCCTTGCTTCAAATGAAATAAACAGGGAAAATTATTACCTTATATGAGCAAGATGTCCTTGTTTAGATTTTGGCCTGATTACAGGCTGAAAACGCTGTTGAATAAAACCAGAGGCTTTTAGCATCAAGCAAAGCAAGATCAAAGGGAGATTCCTGATCTGTTGATGGGACAAGCGTCCCCTCATCACCCTTGACCCCTTGCCTAGTCATCTTATGAACCAAATAACACAGGCATGTGCTCCAACGAGGTCAGTTTCAAACTACATGTCATATATACACACCCAATGTTGAGTCATTTCTGATCACCAATTGTGATATTTACCAAAAGAAACTGGTCTCAACGTAATCCCAAATAGCTGATTCTATTGGTAATAAGCAGATGGCCAATGAAAAATTCTTCAATGAGTCACCAACTATCGTTTTATCCCCCTCTTTTTCGTTTTTCCTTTTTTCTCCTTCCTCTCTTTTTCTGTCCTGTTTTTGTGGTTCAATTGCGACGATAGTCCAAACCCTTTACCAACCAGCTCTTATTCGAAAACACCTTATATAAATACGCATACTTTCTTTTTAATTATTTCTTAAACTTCTTAAACCCTTTTTTCCCCTTTACCTGCTACACATAGATTTCACCATGATTGCTTCCATTATTGTTGTTTAAATAGTGCAACCTTGAATTAAATTTCATTCAAGATTTCACCCTTATTTACAAACAAACTTATCGATTACAAAAACAACTCAACAGAACAAAAAAGATCTCTTTTACCTTAATATTTGCTAAATCTTTTCGCAAAAAATATCAAAAAGGCGTAGCATATATCTAAATCAACCAAATTAAGAATATCATGACACCTCACACAATTGTACCTCCCGCAGTAGGCCTTGCTCCGCAGCCCAACGATAAATACTCCAACTTTGCCGCCGCCGCTGCTGCTGTTAATCCCAACTTAATTTCCTTGTTGATGAATCATGCCATGCAAACAGAACTTGAAACAAAGCGCAAACAACAGCATTTCCATGAACAGCAAAAGTCCTATGTTAGTGCTCTTGTTGGTAAGTTGCTTTCTCTAATGCCACATTGGCAATTACTAATAACTCCCACAGATGTTACCGTTCAAGTCATTGCTTCCATTTGGCCTAATTCTATCAGCTCCCCTACTGGAAACAACAAACCCATTGCCGATCTCAACACATTTTTACATCACATCTTGAAACACTCTCGCACCACACATTCCACCCTTCAGCTAGCCATCTTCTATCTCTTCAGAATCCGTTCTCGTGTCCAAGAAAAGAGAAACGACGATGTCTATGTGTCTTGTGGGAGACGCATGTTCCTCGCTGCCTTGATCTCTGCCCACAAGTATCTGCAAGATAAAACTTACAAGAACTCTGCCTGGAGTAAAGTCAGTGGACTGAATGTACAGGAAATCAACCATGCTGAGAAGGTCATGCTGCAACTACTCGACTATCGCTTGTATGTGAAAAAAGACACTTACGATCAATGGATTATGATGCTCCAGACCCATCTCAAGGTGAATCCCACTACTACCTCCACCGCCGCTACCGCCACTCCTACTATGCAAGCAACAGCAACAGCAAATACTGCCTGTAACACCAACACATCTTCAGCTCATTTGAACCAGATTCAGCAAACAAGACAAGCCCTGCTGAGAAAGGCTCAGCTAAGCTTACCATCTCCTCCACTGGAAGAATCTTACATGCCTGAATCGTCATCTCAGAAGAGAAAGAATTCATTTTCTTTAGAAGATCAAGAAGATGAAAGAATTTCAAAGAGACGTTGTTAAACCAGGAAGACAGCCCAATCTTCTCACACAACATATAATAACCTGTCCATATAAAACTCTCTTGTGTATATTACCCCTCTCAACTATCTCTTTCGCTATCTTTCTCTCTATCTAAAGAAGCCCTCCACTCAATCACATAATATTGTAAAATATAATTTTAGCATTATCCACCTTGATTATCGTTTATATTAAAAAATAAAGAAACAAGATTCCAAGAATATCTAGATACGTTGATGCAGTGGGCAAATGAAAAGGGGTCTTTTGGAGATTACTCATAATATGTCTGCCATGAGAAAACTTTAATCGCGTTTCATGCACCAGGTATTGTGCCTTCATCAACACCATCATGGTTGCGTGTGCGTGTGTATTTGTGGGCAAATATACCTTGAAAACTTTTCTCACAACCATAAAAATGATGAGGTGGCCATCACCATGAGAACCGTCTAATACAGGAAATCAAAGATAACGTGTCATTGATTGTAAACATGGATGGTTTATGTCCTTAAATTCTTTGCAGTGTATCTTTTTGTAACAGTTGATGCTATTTATGTGCAACTACGCTCACTTGCGCTGATAATCTCTTCCCAAATTGCCAACCGTGGTTGGGGCCATGTAAATAATGCGAGTTGTATCGAAGATACGTAACCTTCCAATGCAAACCAGCACTGCGCAAAACAAGTTGGTAAGGTCTTTGCAAATTGGTTGTTCAAAAAAAAAAAACCATGTGTTTGGCTAACTAGATTTTCATAGAAACGTTAGCTAGATACATTTGTGTAGATTTCATCGTAGCGAAGCCAAAATCCATTAGTATAATCAGGCTGAGATGATAAACAAGGATTTATTGCATTTCAGTTCAAGTGACCCTGTTCAGCCTTTCGAACAAAGGTTGTGAGGCAATCGATGGCTTCGACGGATGAACATCTAGTAAACGTAAGCAATTGCAACGGCTAATTTGACCCATGTTACACTCACGATATTGAGTGATAATCAAATGATTTACTGCATCTCAGCCGACTTTCATTTAAAAAGAACATGTTATGAAAACTAATCTTGATGAATACAGATTTTTAATAACGATACAGAGGTAGTGAATTCATTGTCTTTTAGAAAGTACAGAAAGCTATGAGTAAGAAATGACTGATGCAAGTTACACTATTAAATCTGCACATCACAAAGCTGTGTGTGTGTGTGTGTGTTGAAGTCATGGTCTCGTTATAGAAAGTCTGAATGCTTTTGGAAATGGCAATTCAGATAGAATATAAGTGGCAAGGTCCCGTAATCAAGCATTGAGATTCGATAAGTCATTCACATATTGGAAAAGCCGAATCATGCTACAAGATCCGTACCTTACATCGTTATGGGTTCAGCACTTGAGAATGCAGCAACATATGCAAAATCCTAGATCTGTAAATGTATCAATCAAGCTTAGTCCAATGTTTGTGAGTAATTCAAAGGAGGTGAATTTAGAGATGTCCTTCATCTCCTAGATGTCTGAAGTGATCCTTCGACTACCTACCACGCCTTTGTATCGGAACTTTTTCACATACAATGTACATTTGTATGCAATTTCATCATCTGATCTTCTTGACAGTACTGACAGTGGGTTTATTCAAACGAGAATGGCTTCATACTTAGCATCGTTTGGCATCTAAAAGTAAGCTCATTCGTGACTCTATTAGTTGTTTCCTTTTGATACCTTGTCGGATCTTACTTTTGCCATGATTCTGATGTGGTATTGTTGGAATGGATAAAATTTTAATAGTGTAAACATTTCCACTTTCCTTTTTCTACTTTATATTTACAAAAAGATAGAACAACATGTCAAGTATCAGAGAAAGAAAGCAGCATTTTCATCTTGATCAAGGATCAGCACCGAATCAATTGAATTATAGTACAAATTGGATGAGCTACAAAGGTAAAATGCAGAAAGCGTCCAGATTTTAAGCTTTTTCCCTTTAACTGTGGTAGAAACATAGGTGCTTGGGTTACCATTATATTGATCGTAGTAGCTATCAAGATTCTGTATTCGCTTATTCCATTCATTTCCTCCGAGACAAGTTGGACATTGACCAATTTGACCTTTAATGCTGTAAGAAACTACAAGGCTCATTTTGTCACACCATTTTATTGAATACGCAATATAGGGCCATTTTATTATGTTTCATTGGCTGCAAGGCACACCAACACTGGATAACAATCAAGGCGCTTATGATGGGCTGACAGTGTGGGAGCAGATTGACGATGGTATTCAGTTCACAGCCACTAGAAAGTTTCTGATGGCAGTGCCAATAGTGCTGTAAGTGGATTACAAAGTGGTTTTGACAAAAGTGTTATGCTAATCCATACCATAGATTCCTACTAAGCACGCATTATACTCATTACGACATGTTACAGTTCGCCATCAATTTCTGTTCCCTGGCCATTGTATTGATAGCAAAACTACCAGCCATGCATCAAGTCAGAATATTTGGCATCAACAAGCGTACAAGCGAAGAATTCTAATTCGCATCACAGCATCATTTATATAATACCACTTATTCTCTTCACAACCACCCCCCTCTCATTTTAATGTGCATTTTTATACATAAAACATACATCTGACAGACTGAACATTTTATGTACTACTGCTAAACTTTCAGCAGACGCAGAATCTTCCACTTGGCATACATTTATTCGATAGAAATAAACCCTACACAAGCTGATCTTTGTGAATTGGTGTAACTTGCGGACAATCAACGATTCCTCAGCTGTTATACAGGTCAACCATGGCTCAGAAATGCAGACATCTTAGCGAGTGATCTATAAAGAGGTCTTTTACAGTTTATTCACTTCAATTTCGGAAAAATGTAATATAAAAGAAAGAGCTAATTAGTGAATCCATCTGTACACTCATACAAGTGTATATTTACATGTCACTACTGCACAGTGGTAGTAGATCCAAGGCCTCCGCTATAATAAGCATGTCAAGTCGGAATTGAACAGCAAAAGCTAACTCTATAGCTAGACAAAGGAGAGCTACCACCAAGAGAGTCTGCGTACACTAATAAATAGCTCTTCGTGCTACCTCACGATGAAGGCCCATAGCGCTATGTGGGAATATGACCTTCCCTTGTTGCAGATAATTATCAAAGAAACCCTGACACTGATAGACCTTGAGACTCACGTAATCAGAGTAATGAGTTTTAAACCTTAGGACAAAGTACACACCATACAGTAAACCATAGAAGAAAAAGATGGCCACTGATTTAAATAAACCTTACATTGGAGAGTGATGGTAGAGAAAGAAAACCGTGTAAAAAGAGAGAGCAAGGCAAAAAAGACACCATGTAGAGGACCATGGAGAACACCACTGATCTAAAACAGCCCTTCACAGATAGTAATGACAGGGGAAAAAAAAACTCATGGGGAGGAGTGGGGATGCCAGACACCCTTCAATAGACCACTAAGTACCCAGTGAATTTCTAATGTTTATACTGGAAAAACTATGAAATACAAACGTCGGGAGTGACCGATCAGAAATCAGAAATCCCTCCTCCAAGAACATAACGCATCAAAATTTGCATGAATTAGCTTTACCAAAAGCAATACGCCCCCTACTCGAATTACAAATTGCATAGGCTGCAGAACTGTCCTTTCAGAAAATTTCAGCTACCAAAGATGTAATTCATGCCGTGTAAATAATAGCTATAAAGCAAAAACATAACCAAATTTGACAGCTTTCAAGCCTTCATATTTTAACATGTAGACCTTTCTGAGCCGCCGGAATAACGCCAAACAATTGTACTCGAGTATTAGTAACTTCCTGACACCTTTGCTCAACTTTTTGAGGACCCAAAAAACATGGCCAAAAAACGACCAAAAAGCATGAGGGGTACCTCACGATTTTTATCGAAAATCAAACGATTGCATTTTTCACCTTGAAAATGAAGACTTTTAATATGGTGTGTATCAGATCAAAATGTTTCTCTCGATCCAAAGCAACCTCTGAAACCACTTTTATGAGACTTTCATATGCAAAATATGGCTATTTTCGCTAAAAACTTCATTTCAAATTCTATTAAATTGCTCAAAAATTTCAGTCAAAACACTTATTGCAACTAGCACCATTGGAAGCGCCTTAAAAAGACTTCAAGAATGTATTAGGAGACGTAGGGTGATCATTACAGTTTATATAATCGAATACCACAAAATAGATTAAAGAAGTCGAAAAAAGGCAAGATCTGTCCAATCTTGAACAAAAAAAATAAGAGGAGTTTGAATCAATTTTGGCGGCGGCTTGCTGCTGGCTGACCTAAATGCCTTTCTGTTGATGACAATGACGATTGCGATGCTGATTAAATGGGGATCATGGAATTGAAAGGACAATTGCTTTGCTCAAATACTTTTTTTTGGGAGCCTTGCCTCATGAAGATGTTTTTTGCAATGACAATATCCTAAAAAAAAAAGTCGCTATAGATCTTATACAAGTCCTGTATTTACTTATGACCAGCTTTATGTCGCCATCTTACTAAGAACATCAGCAGCAGTGAATGATATGACGATTCTATTATCAGAAAATGGCGATTGTGATGTACAAATGTTGCATAAAACTTGAATTTTCTTTTATATCGTCTCAATAAGAGGCTTCGTTTGATATCAGTGTAAGTAAACAGGGTGCTGAGGGAGATACTTCCTCTCCTCCTCCTAATGGCTCTAATATAGCTTTTCTTTTACTAATAATAAGTTGTTTAAAATCTACTTGATATACCAAAATGTTATATTATTTGATTTAAAATGTCTTTGGCGAGAGCCCACAGGGCGACGCCGACATCGAGCGTAGCGAGATAGATTGGCTAGTAAGATATATACAAGGTTATCTGAAATGATAAATAGGGATGATAATTTTTTCTTTTAATACTTTTTTCCTATCCATGTTTGAAATTACATGACTCTTGTGTTTTCTGTATGATGGTGACAATTGCATGAAGAGGACAATGATGGAATGCTAATGATGAAATGTGGTCATTCTAAAGCTATTAGGTTAGTGATTACAATGCGCATCCAACAGAGAAAGGCGAAGCTCGTGGCAGCTTGATAAACATACAGAATGGAGATACTTTAGTAGATAGATTATGGCAGGCTTCGCGAGTAATCAATTGTAGCACTAACTGCATCATACTCAAGTAGCTGTGTTTGGAGTTGCTCTAATTTTGCCCCATAGTCAACGCATTGCTACTTTATTTGGGAGGATAATATGATTCAAGGCGGGTACATAACATTGTCTTCTTCCAGGCAATCTCTCAGAAAGTCAGAGGCTGCATCAGTAATCTGAACTGTCTGTCTACGACAACCGCCTCGGGACTTAGTCTCTTCTCAGGCCTGTGTGTTGTAAATGTCAATGGTAGAGTTCATAGTCGAGGGGAGACAACATGATGCTCGCATGCCGCTTTCAAAACAGTGATACCAGCTTTAATAACATTGTTGCTGACAGCCTTGTGATTTGCAGCTGTTGTTTCTGAGTATGGGTCTCTTTCTTGATCTTGATCTCTGGGCTCAGTTGATGCGACATTAAAAGTATGGTTGGTGATTTTAAGCATTGCAATAGTGAAATATACTATGCAGCAGAGATGATAAAACAGATGTTTCTGTTTCGTATATATGAAAAAGCTTTATAAGCTTTCAAGGATTGATTCCGTGTTCATAATCGACATGGCATGTGTAATGTTTATTCTTCCACGAAATTTAGAGTACGATTTGACCAAAAAAGAATCAAATCTACGTAATTAACCACAAAGCACAGTAATAAACGAATAAGTAGACTAAGAAAAAGTATTTATATAAAAGTAACAGATTAAGTAGCTGTGCTGTTTGTGTTGCTGCTTTCAGTGCTACTACTGCCGCCTACACCCTACATGAACAGTGGCGTCAGTAACGTAATCCACCTTGAAAAGCATAATTTCAATCCTACCACATGGCCAAATGCGAACCACCACACTAGAATACCAATCATGACACAGATACCGATGCACAGGAATAAACAGCACCATTTTTTCTACGGCAAGACTCATCTCAGTACGTGTTCATATATTACATCGTATCATATTTACAGCACGAGTTGATTTTGCGATTGCAATAGCCCTTGTTAGGTGTGAATTTCCCTCTTTCAAGTTTACGGCCGTCTCATCTGCATTCTGTTCCACTGTATTCAGCACTTCGCCTTGCTGCTCTACCATCATTTGCATATCCATGAACAATTGATGCAATTCCTATAATCAGACTGTCAACTAATGCGCGCATACATACTCGTGGATACTGTACATACAACGATGGTCTTTTCAATGTGCTTGATATCATCATGTCTTGTCTGGACTTCTGATAACACTGCTTTTGATTGTCCTTGTCGACTGGCGTTCATCAGAGACTGAGCAAACACTTGAGGTGTATCATCTGAATCAATAATGTCGTCCACTTCATCTTGGCTAGCATCAGGTTTAACTAGCAGTGTCTTATTTCAGTACACGCAATCTACATCCCTCAAACCGTTACTTACCAATTCTGATTTGACGCTCAATACGCTGGCGATATTTCAACTGGTAATTTCTCTCAACATCCTGATAACGTTGAATTGTGTCCAAGAACCTCTTCTTTAATGCCGCAGTCTATGTATCATTTAGGTAAGTAATCAAGTCAAGTCAAGAATGTCTTCAGAGACCACATGCCTGGGAGCGACGCATTTGGGTGTCTGGATTGTTTGGCAGTCTGCCATTCGAATTTTCGAGTTCTTTACAGGGTAAAATATGTAGTTGAATATATGATTCCGTGTAAACAAAAGGGATCATCCGCACTCACCTTGGATCTGGGTTTTGATCATTGTATTCTTTTGCTGTGTGTCTGTCTTTATCTTCTCCAGTTCTCTTGCTGTTTGCTTCGATTGCTGCTCATTAAAGCTGGCAAGTGCATTGTTATGTAGGTTTCCAATCTGATCAACTCGAGTATTGATAGCGTCAATATCGTACTTTAATCTGTCAATCTGTTGCAATGGATTAGAGGGAAGCAAACCTTGCATGAGTCTCATCACGCTACCTGATCAAAGAACCCAGACGTTGTTGATAAATCGCTGACAGCCAAGGCTGCCTTTTGTTGCTGCTGTTGCTGCTGTTGATTTCTCATCTCGTATAATTCTCTTTCTGAATTATGCTGATCTGGTAAGTATCCCCAATCATGAGATCTCTGTTGCGGAGGTAATTCAGCTGGCTGAGGTGGAGCAGGCGGCTGCTGTAGATACGGATTCGATGTGCCCATGGGCCTTCTGTTAGGCCCAAACCCGTCTTCTTCGTCACTATGGTTTCTGGTATCAGAAAACGATAAATCCATGCTCAAGAGACCTACTTTTGATTGTTATAGTTATTGCTGTTGAGCTGCAAATGGCGAAATGTCAGTGATGAGCACATATCTTTGTGCGACGATCAACATACTTGTGCAGAGCCTCTCAATTCAGCTGTTCTGTCTCTGCTGAATGAATATGACATGAGGAAATTTCCAAATGAAAAGAAAAGAGAAAAAAAGAGAAACAACCCGCAATGGCTATTGTCTTGCGGAGGAATTCCCTACTATAAAATGTGGGTTTTGCGTGATGAGCATAATTTTGAGTGAGCGATCCCACTTGTCAAGTTTTACCCTAATACCTTAAAGAGAAGAGGGTCACGAATTCATCAGGGAAAACCTTTTTCACCACTTTATACATCAATGTCATTCACTTTACCAAAGAGACCAAAGCGATTGAGACAGCGAGAACTTGAAGAAGAAGAGGCAGAGAAGGCGGCCAAACAAACGCAAGTCAGTGACACTGCTATTCAAGAAATCCTGGATAGAAAAAAGCGGCGTCGAGAGATGGACAAAGAGCTGGAGAGAGTGGGTATTCCATACGAAAACCAGATATACGAAATTAACCACTGTGCGTATAGATGCGCGCATCGTTGAAACAGGACATGCTTGATACAGCCTCAGACGACATTAGAACACTAGACGATGGCAACAAAGACTCAAGATCAAACAAGGACGATGATGACATAATGTTTTACATAACAAATGAGGTTCACAAATCAAATTTCGATGATGGCTTTATGCTGGATAAATCGAATGACTCAGATGATGAAAATGGGGCAGAGGCTCTGAGAGAAGCAGCCAAAATATTTCTGGGCGAAGAAGCTCAAGAGAATATCAATCTAGCCATCAATGAGGCAAACAATACCGAGGTCGTTGAGGCAACTGAGCTTTGGCATCAATCCTTTTTTAAGCCTGGAAGCAAGGTACTTTGGTTCTGGATCAGCTTGACGATACATGGCTAATGTACTGCAACACTGTAGAATATTAGACAGCCTAGATTGATATCACGAGAGGAGGGCATTGGTGAGAAAGAAATGCTGCTGTCTGAAATGTCTGCAAGTAGGTGCAAATATGATATAGAAGATGGCAAACCAACATGTTTATCCAGCTGCCAGTGGAAGGGCTTTCTTGCTACAATGGGGCTCAATGAAGGATTGGCACAGCAGCGGTTGGAAGTGTCCCAGTTACGTATACCAGTGGTTGTTTGAAGTGGGTGAGTCAATTGCAGCTGTTTCAGTGACAAACACCGGCTTAAAAGGTTGATGTAGTGGCATTGGAGTTAGACAAAAATACTGCAAGAAACGCACTTTCAACATTGTTTGCTCTTTGGTCTCTGCCGGGCAGCAAAGTAGAGACACAGTTACCCTACATTTGTAAACAACGTTACATTCAAATCTCGACGTTCAAATCAATCCTATTAGCCTATAACGCTCTTCCAGCTGCATTGATTGAGGGTGTCTTATCGGACCCAGACAGTCAAGACACAAAGATTCATGCAAAGATTGCCGAAAACTATGATGGAGAGCAAGCTCGCCATTTGCCAGTATCGCAATTGGGATGGATGGTAAAGGCATTGGGATTCTCAGTGCGTTTGTGGTCGAAAGCATACACAACATACGAGATCAGATATGCAGTTCGACTTTTGGTGCAATTGTCGTTGGACGAAACTGGCCATCTAGTGTTACAAGAAATTCAAATTGCTATTGACAATTGTTTAGCAGGCATGAAAGGAGCGACATGGGAGACTGAATTAAAGGCCATAGCAAATGATATATGCGATATGGTCCCTTCAACAAAACGACAAGTGCATACTCTCGACTGTGTCAGGATGGTTAACCCCAGATCTCACTATTTCAGACGTATCGTTGCAGTTACTTGTTTGGAACGAAGCCTGGAACAAGAGGTGCCAGGAAGTGTGGACTACATTTCAACGGATCAAAGTCTGATACGTCAAATTCACCAGATTTTTATGAACAAGGATGGATTTTTCATGAAAAGAGATAATATGGACTTTGAAGAATGCTTTGTCAGACTGTCCATGCTGGATGCTGCCATTAGTGTGGATGATGATGAGATCAGAAGAGACTCGCAACCTGTGCTGGAAATAGCAGATGAACTCCACAAAATAGGGTTATCAATTGGTACATTTAAGGAAAGGTTTTGAAACGTGTTGTATATTAACTTTTTTTCGATTTCATCAGGTGCTCACATTGGTGTCATGAAGAAGACTCTAGTATGTATACCATCGATGAGAAAGCAGAGGGTGATCACTAAGCATTGTCTTGTTTTTTTCTAGGCCAAGGAGATCATTCAACGAGTGTGCAGCAGATTAACGTTCCTCATTAATAAGAATGTCCGAGTGGCATTCTAAAAAAAAAAAAAAAAAAAAATCAAGCAGCAATATTTAAAGCCTGTGTGATTTCTGTTGCTATCTTTCCCATTCCTTTTTCTTTTTTCTTTCAACATTTGTTTTTTTTTCTCTATCAAACAAGATACCATGGTATAGAAACAAATAAAAATAACAAAAACTGTATACTAATGACATCTTTTTTGTGTACAGGCAGAAGTGAGAGAATACCTTTTCAAAATTTTAGTGGTGGGCGACTTGGGCACAGGCAAAACCTCCATTATCCGTCGTTATGTGCACAATATATTCTCAAGCAACTACAAATCAACTGTAAGCAAGCGACCCGCTTTAGCCATTCCAACGGAAAGCTAACTTATACATACAGATTGGCGTAGATTTTGCTTTGAAGGTGATTCAATGGGGTCCCGATTGGATTGTTCGACTTCAACTGTGGGACATTGCAGGACAAGAGAGATTTGGCAACATGACACGCGTATATTACAAAGAAGCTCTCGGTGCGATCGTTGTTTATGATGTAACTAGGCCACAGACATTTGAAGGGGTTACTAAGTGGAAAAATGATATTGATACCAAAGTGGCATTACCGGATGCATGGGGAGGAGGACAGATTCCAGTCATTTTATTAGCAAATAAGGTAATTTTGGTTTCGTCAAATGTGTGCGTGTGTGTGTGCGTATTACAAGATGATTCATCTTCTATTCTATAGAGTGATTTAATTCAAGAAGGCCATGGACAACATGCAAATCCAACTGAGCTGGATCAATTTTGTCAGGATAATGGGTTTATAAAATGGTAAAACCGATGTCATATTGCATGACCTATTTTTTTTTTCTTGCTAAATCATACTACGAATCTAGGTTTGAAACGTCAGCAAAGGATAATACAAATATCGAGGAAGCTGCACGCCATTTGATCTCCTCCATTTTGAAATTGGAGGAAGAAAACGCAGACAACGTTGTAAATGATGAAAATACGCTTAATTTAAATCAACAACAACAGCAACAGCAACAGCAGAATAACGGATGCTGTTGAGAGAATTGTGGGATGAAAGGATTATAAAATAAAGTTTTTCATCGGCATTTAATTCATCTTTTCAACGTATTATGCAATCAGGATTTTTTTGTATAGTGCCTGTGTAAAAAGAAAGTGCTACCCGTGAGCACTGATCTAAATCAGGATACATTAGTGAAAGATTAATCTTGGGCACCATGAAAAGTAGGGTTTGTTAAGGTGTTTGAACGGGCAGAATTTTGATCCAGGAGGCTTGGATGCTTCATGGGCTTCTGAATGCGTTAATTTCCTTATATTGAGCATGGCATTTGGTTTTGCCAGCCGTCAAAACACTTTCAAACTCCGATAAGGCTCTGCTCCAGATTGGTCAAATTTTGATTTAAATCAACTTGATCCATCTGTTTTGCAAAATTCGACTATATAAATTGCATTGATTATCACATACTTCCTAATGTAGCCCGTGGTGGTAGGGTAAAGTGGTTAAGCATCCAACATGCCATCCGGATGATCCCGGTTCAAATCTCAGTGAATGCATTTTTGGTGATTATTTTGACGTAGTACTGATGTTCTCGTTTGGTGTTTTGTGCTCTTATCCAGTACCCATTTTTTGACGATTCGCATGATTGTATTGGCTCTAGGTGTCGCACCTGATTAATAGTTGATTTCTTTCCCAACTTAGTTCATTATATACCTTATTCCCCATCATTGCAGACATTGGGTCCACCAACAGTCTTTTCTTTCCCTCAGTATGACATTTTAAGAACTTTAAATAAAACATGGAGCTCGACCCCCCTACAAAAAAAAAACTTCCTAATGCTGTTCTGGAGTACTTTTCAAGGCACATCCGATGGTGTCGATTATAATACGTGTTTTGAACAAGCGTATCGAGTAGACCTAGAAAATATGAAATGAGGATTTTAACCAAAATGTCGAGACTTTACATATGAAGATCGGGTAAACAGGTTTTCAGGGGTTGCTTTGGATCGAGAGAAACATTTTGATTCAATACATACCATAGTAGAATTCTTCATTTTCAAGGTGAAAAATGCGATCGATTGATTTTTTGATGTTTTGCATGAGGTACCCCTCATGGTTTGTGGCCGATTTTTGACCATATTTTTTTGATCCCAAAAAAGTTGAGCAATGGCATCAGTAAGTTAATGCTAGATGAGGGCTATTATATGCTGCTACTCTGGCGGCCTAAAACGGCTTCTAAAGCGAGAAATTGCAGCTCAAATGTATCCAAATTTCACAGTTTTTTTGCCTATATCTAAGCAGTAAGAGGCAATGCAAGTGTATTCTACACCTAAATACAAATTGTTTCCATTGATACAAATGTGGAGCACCATAGAGAGGTCAAATTCGCAATTAAAATTAGTTTATTAAGAGCTTTTTATAAAAGTAGACAGTGGGACAGTAAAATTTCATTATGTATCTGTAGGATGGCGCCTTTGGTGGCATGGTTCTTGTGAAAACCGAGCTCGTATTTTACGTTGAGAGATTGAGCTCGCCTCTGAAATACAATTTGAACGACGCTTTCTCTATTTGATAGCATTCTCAAAATACCTAGCTTTTGACGATGATTTTTTGGCTCACAAATCAATTAGCTATAACTTATTGGCGGGTGATTTCCATCCTACTGGCATGAAACTAGGAGGGATTTCATCAACTGAACGACATCCGCACCGGACTTTATTGATTTGTTGCTAGATCATTGCGCCCCTGCTGTACTCGGTGTCAATTGAATTTTTACCTTGTTTTTTATTTTACTGTCAAAATATATAAATCATGGCATTATTAGAAAGCTTACAACAGCAACAGCAACAACCACCGCCATTAACCTCATCAACAGACGCTGTTCCTACTGCTCAAACCCCGGAGAAGCAAGGGCTTTGGAGCACTGTTACTTCCAACCCTTTGTTTTCAGCTGGTTTCGGTTTAATGGGTGTAGGAGCAGGTCTTACGCTTTTACGTAAAGGAAGTATGCTTGGAGCCAGTGCACTTCGTCGCAGACTCTTGGTTACGCTTGAAATCCCCTCCAAAGACAAATCTTACCTCTGGTTTCTTCAATGGATGTCGCATCAAGCACCCAAAAGACAAGTACAGCATTTATCTGTGGAAACAAGCTATCGCCAACATGATAATGGAAGTGTCAGCACAAAATTTGGTCTAGTGCCAGGACCTGGTACACACTTCTTCAAATGGCGTAATATCTGGATGCAGGTTCAAAGACAAAGAGATGGAAAAATGATGGATTTATCAACTGGATCACCATGGGAGACAATTACTATTACAACGTTGAGCAGAGACAGACATGTGTTCAAGGAGTTGCTCCATGAAGCACAGGAGATGGCATTGAAGAAGCAAGAAGGCAAGACAGTGCTTTACACCTCTTATGGACCTGAATGGAGGCCCTTTGGTATGCCTAGAAAAAGACGTATGCTAGAATCAGTCATCTTGGACAAGGGGATCAAACAACGTATCGTTGAAGATGTCAAGGCTTTCATTGGCAATGGAAAATGGTATAACGAAAGAGGTATCCCTTATAGAAGAGGTTATCTGTTATATGGTCCACCTGGAAGTGGTAAAAGTAGTTTTATCCAAGCCTTGGCTGTAAGTTTACTGATGAGCATTGAAATCCAATCAAGCGAGATGTTCACCCGTCTATATAGGGTCAACTTGAATACAACATTTGTATACTCAATTTATCCGAGAGAGGATTAACAGACGATCGACTGAACCATTTACTAAGCAATGTGCCCGAGCGTAGTATCATGTTATTAGAGGATATCGATGCGGCATTCACCAAGCGATCTCAATCTGATAACCAAGGATACCAATCAATGATCACATTCAGTGGCCTTTTAAATGCATTAGACGGTGTAGCATCAGCGGAAGAGAGAATTATATTCCTTACAACCAATCATGTAGAAAAATTGGATCCTGCCTTGATTCGACCTGGCAGAATTGATATGAAGGAATATCTCGGAAATGCCACAGATTATCAAATCAGACAAATGTTCTTGAGATTTTACGAAGACGAGACATTAGCAGATCAGTTTGTCGAAAAGCTTCGAGGAAAAGACATCAGCACAGCTAGTTTGCAAGGCCATTTTGTGTATTATAAAGATAAACCCAAAGAAGCTGTTGATCAAGCTGATTCCTTGTGGAATCAGTTGTAACACCTAAAAAATTTTTACTCCATTTTAAATTTACATGGTTACTCTCCTTTTTTTATGTGTTCTTTCTTTTTTTTTTTTTTTTTTTTTTTTTTTTTTTTCAATTGTTGATATTAAATCAATTATCACTACAATCAAGCAAAGAAAATGGACGATACCGATTCCAGCTACACTTGGATACTGTTAGTTGGCGTGGTTGTATTTCTGTTTGTTATAGTTGTGCTTTTATGCTTTACAAAGGCTAGCGGAGAACGATTATTTTATTCTGGGGAAGATTCCATATACGAAGAAGCCATTGTTGAAACGCCTGCATTGCTCGCTACTTTATCAGAAGATGCTCGATTGAGCTACGAACAAGCTAAATGTAGGTGGCAGTAGAAGGAAGGCTGGATTGCATTGACTAATACTAGGCTAGCATTTCAAACAAGACATCCGCCAGAAAGTATACCAACAGACATCACATTATCACAGTATGTTAGCATTCAAGAGAAAGGCGTTGCAGCATTTGAATTTGAATGGGACATGGAGACCACGAGTTTTGTGTCTGCCAGAACTGAAATACAGTTCTTTTCCGGCGAATGCTGTGTGCAGACTAATTTACCCTTGCCAAGAAATCAAGAAGTTTACTACTGGGAAGCCAAAATGTTTGAGAAACCTACGAGCACAATAGTTTCTGTTGGTGTAGCGACCAAACCTTACCCTTATTGGCGGTTACCAGGTTTGTGCCATCATTTCATGAAAAAGGGCGTAGTATGGTTAACATGCTTGAATGCAGGCTGGAACAAGCACTCGGTGGGATATTTCAGTCATACAGGCAACAAGCACTTTAACAACCCTTTTGTTGGACGACCGTATGGATTTGCGTATGATGAAGGTGATGTGATTGGTGTCGGCTACCGTCATCGCACAGGCACCGTATTTTTTACACGAAATGGACGAAAACTGGACGAAGCTTGTTTTGGGTTAAGGTATAATCTGTTCCCCACCATTGGAGCCAATGGTCCTTGCCAGATCCATGTAAACTTGGGACAAATGGGATTTGTATTTGTTGAAGCAAATGTAAAGAAATGGGGATTAGCACCAGTATGTATTCTGCAGCTAGAAACTATCGTTACTACTATGTATTAACATGGCTTTATTAGGCGCAAGGATCGTTAGCCCCTCCCCCTGCTTACGGTTATGAGGCTGGATCCTTATTGTTAGAAAGAGGAAGGACGGGTGAGACGAGTCATCTACTAGGAGAAGGAGACAGAGGAAGAGGAGCTGAAAGAGCAGGAGATATACCCTCAATTACTGAACCGAGCAGCGCAACAGACGATACTGACGATAGTGATGATAATACACCATTGATCCAGCATGTTCGTAGTGCCAATAATAACAATTATGCATCAATACCTATACCAGCCCGTCGTCGAGAAGGAGCACCCACTTGCTCTCCACCTTCATATTCGACGTTTCCTAGACTGTCGTTACTAATGAGAAGAGGAAATAGCAGCAGCAATCAGGAGGAATTTGAGAGAAATCAACGGGCGAATCTAGTTTAACATATCATTAATCACATCAATATATACCTTACATTGTATCCATTACTTTATAAAACTAATATGTAAAATATCCAAACTACATGTAGCAATTGTCTGCATTTTTATGCTACACACATAAGGATGAAAATAGTAGGCAGATCAACAAAAAAAAAAATTGAATCAAGTGTCAATGTGCAGTTGACATGTTGAAAAACACAAGTTCCCAATGAATAACCATTGATCAGTGCTCATATATATTCAGAAAACCGCCTCCTTCTCTTCCTCGGTTCATAGGAGCATCATGAACCTTCTAATTGGAATAGTCGACTCATATCAAGTCCTGTTTTCTAGGATCTTCTAATCATCAAATCGTCTGAAAACTCCTATGCATCAAATTGCATGAAACTTGCAACTAAAAGCGCTCTTTTTGTTAATTGATAAATCTGATCAACGTTAGTTTTGTCAAAGCCTTAGAACCTCAGCTTGTTCTACATAATGAGCAGCTAACTGGCTGCAGCACCATGATCTCAAACTATCGACAAAGAGAACTCATTTCCAGAAGAAAGTATGTCAGATGTAACGCCAGAATTGAATATAATAGCCAGTGAGAGTGAGCCTGGTCTAGAGTATTCCAAGGAACAACCAACTGACTCCAGCGCCATGACCTCAGACTGTCGACATAGAGAACCCAAATTCAGAAGGATGCATACCTAATGCAACACCGGAAAAGGCTTAGGATGGACATCATCTCCAGAAGAGTATCATGGAAGGCAGCAAGATTCAGCCTGTTCCTTGAAAATGAACAACTATCAAGTTCAAGCATTACCAAGCCAATACATAAGGTAATCAATTAGTTTCAAATCGATACAAACTATTGATACGCAGCTTTGATGCCTGCCTGATTGTTTCATTCAACTAGTGTTGAACAACGAGCACCCAATGCTCTAGATTCGACAATGGCAAGAGCTTGGAGGCAAGCTACTTTCGCAGCATCATCTAGTCACATAGGAGTCGATTCTCAGACAGACAGACCAAATCAGGCCGACTGCAACCACCATTGACTACTCTTTTTTTTTTTCAGGGAATCTTGGTAAAACCGACATCTGGATGGCACAACCCCAGCTTTTTGTTTAATCTACCATCAAACTCATACACTATGCTTCGAGGTTTGAGTTCATTACGATATAGCTCTTCGAGATTGCAATATAGACATCGTTTTCACACATGTCAGTCATGGAAACAAGCAGCCATCGCAGCAGATATACCAGTACACAAGGAGTTTGATGTGATCGTCATCGGAGGTGGACATGCTGGAACAGAGGCTTGTGCTGCAGCAGCTAGATCCGGTGCAAAGACACTGCTGTTGACGCAAAACAAGGACACCATTGGTAAGCTTCGATGATGTGCGGATTCAGCCTGGAATTAACCGATCAATAGGGGAAATGTCATGCAATCCTTCATTTGGAGGTGTTGGAAAAGGTGTGCTTGTCAGAGAAATTGATGCTCTGGATGGTGTCTGTGGTCGCATTTCCGGTATGTCTTGTCAGATGTGTGTTATGTAGACGTTGATCCAACTTCAATGCATATAGATCTTGCCGGCATACAATTTAAGGTTTTGAATAAATCAAAAGGACCAGCAGTTTATGTAAGCAACAGGAATCAATGATGGTGGCAGTGTGGGTTTAACGACGAATAAATCAGGGACCAAGAGCACAAATTGATAGAAAACTTTACAAAAAACACTTGCAATTCTATCTGAAAGACTACCCAAATCTGACCATTCAGTCAGGAAGTGTGTCAGACCTTGTGCTAAATGAGAGTGTCACAGAAGAGGAACAGCAAAGGATGGCTTCCAAGGGTGCTTCTCAAATTGTGAAGGGTGTTAGACTAGGTATTATTTGCACTCTGTTTGCAGTACTCAGAACTCACCAAAATGATAGAGAATGGACGAGTCATCCGAGCATCCAATGTCATCATTACCACAGGCACGTTTTTGGGAGGAGAAATTCATCTTGGTAAAAAGGCCTCTTGTTTTGCACCAAATCCGTGGTACTTATTATATGGAATTAGGTCTCAAAGTATGGCCTGCTGGTAGAATTGGCGAGAATCCCTCCATTGGATTATCGAATTCATTGAAATCTGCAGGCTTCCAGTTGGCTCGATTAAAGACAGGTGATATCTCGGTTTACATAGACTCGATGTCTCGCTAATATCAACATTCAGGCACACCGGCAAGATTGGATGGAAGAACAATTAACTATGAAGGGCTGATCATTCAAGAGGGAGATAACCCTCCATCACCATTTTCGTATTTAAACACAACAGTGCCTCATGCTGTAAGTCGAGATCATTATGGATACAGAGCAAGCAAACTTATGCTTGTTGGATAGGATCATCAAATCTTGTGCCATCAAACACGCACCAACCCTCAAGTGCACAAATACATTGCGGATCATTTCGACCAGAGTATACACATCAGAGAGACAGTTAAGGGCCCTCGTTATTGCCCTTCGCTTGAAAGTAAAATTAAACGATTCAGCACCAAAGAAGCTCACAATATTTGGCTGGAACCAGAAGGACTCGATACACCCGTAGTATATCCCAATGGCATATCAAATACAATGCCTGAGGATGTTCAGTTGAATTTTTTGCGAATGATTCGTGGATTGGAAAACGTAGACATGTTGAAACCTGGTATGACAGAAATCTGATGGCAGCGTATACGGAAATGGCTAAATAACATTTCTGACAGCATACGGCGTGGAATATGATCACATTGATCCTAGAGAGTTGAGATCCACTTTGGAGACAAAGCGTATCAGTGGTCTGTTCTTGGCAGGACAAATCAATGGTACTACGGGTTATGAGGAAGCAGCTGCGCAAGGTATCATGGCTGGTATCAATGCTGGATTGCATGCTCAGGGCAAAGCACCTTTCATCTTGGACAGATCAGATGCATACATTGGTGTATTAATAGACGACTTGATTACTAAGGGCGTTGAGGAGCCTTACCGAGTGTTCACAGCTAGATCCGAATATAGACTATTGCTGAGAGCTGATAATGCGGATACGAGGTTGACGGAGAAGGGTAAATTCATGCCACTCTTGAGCTCATGCGAAATATGTCACTCAACATGTGCTTTACTAGGTTATGAGGCTGGAGTGATTGGCCAAGAACGATGGGAACACTATCAATCGTCGTCCAAAGCGTTGAAGTCTGCCATGGATGCATTGCAAAGCCTCAAAATGCCAGCAAAACGTTGGGCGGAACACGATATTAGTCCCAGCACTCGGGTGTCTACAGATCACCTCAATGACCATGGTGCATTACGAAGGTGAGTGTATCAAATAACCTGTTTTTTATTCTGTTTGTTGACCAACCTAAACAAAAACAAAAAGTGGTATGGATCTTCTGACTTGGCCAAATGTTACATTGGAGCAGTTCCAAGACTTGCTGCCAGAACTTAAGCATTTGGAATCTTCACTAAAGGAGCGTGTCATGATTGAAGGTAATAAATACATTAGCATGAAAAGAGCTACTGCTTATCAATCCATTGCTGATCCAGGCCGATACAAGCCTTTTTTGAAGAGACAAGAGCTTGAAGTAGCAGCGCTTAAGCGTGATGAGCATTTGACGCTGGACATCAACCTAGATTATCTACAGTATGTGTACTCTTTCACTGGTCTTGTTTGTGTTTGCGTTTTATTTATTTGTTTTGCCTCTGTTTAGAATGGATCAGCTTTCTAATGAAGTGCGTCAAAAGCTAGCCGAGGTGCGTCCCGAGACCTTGGTATGTGAATGAGCTATTTTCGCTGTGTGTACGTCTACTAATATACACGATTGTAGGGTGCAGCCAAGCGTATTGAAGGCATGACACCAGCTGCAATGGTTGTCTTGATGAAGTATGCAAAGAGAACATACAACAGAAAGGTGTTTGTCAATTAGATGCAACCGTTTTATTTATTTGATATGTAGACTGTATACACACACAACACATTAGAGGCAATAAATAACTTTTTTGCTTTCACAACAAACATCTCGGCACGTTATGTCTATAAAAACCAAGACGCGCACTACATTATAGCACGCATCAAACAGAAATTAGGGGCTGATGGCAACTGCAAGATTGTCCGATGCTCTTAGCAAGGAGCACAGCATTTGATGATTGCTTTGAACTGCTATGTACCGTAATAATCTTGGCTGCCAAGATTCGAAAGGCATTTTGAAGCGTAGTACTTTGACTGAATTGCAAAGCTAGGCGAATGACTAATCGCTGCTTACAGTACGATCCTAGCGATGATGAGCTGCATTCCACTGTGCGCATTATACTATGGCCATCTTTTGAGAGAACGCATAGTGTCGATTAATAAGCATTGTCAGTGACAGGTAAAATGTCTGTTTCGAAAGTGAAGTTTGCCTTGTAGCAATGGGAGTTGATTATATCGATTATGTTTTGATGTAAGGTATCAAGAATTCATGTCATAGTAGCGAGGATTTAAGGCCTCTTGGGAATCTTGATCTAGCATGGAGCTCCAGACACCTGAACTAGTGTTTGCAGCTGTTGGTGGTTAAAAATACCGTAGCTCCTCGAATTTGGTCTATTACTAAGCAAAAAATCCTTCCAATTTTAGACGCGCTCTCTCACTCTAGCAAGTTGGAATATCCCTAAAAGAGATGTATGATTGAAGGGAAACTCAGGTTATTTCCATGGTGGACTTGAAAGTGGGTTTAGTTCATATATATGCCTCTAGATGCTGAAATAACCATCGATATACCTTGAAAAACAATGGAGTGGTTCAATCACTTGCCTGATCTGATGGAATTCCTAACAGCAATGCAAGCAGACATCATTATTCATCTTTTCTCTCTCATTATATTATTATCAAGCATCGGGCCGTTAGTTTTTAAAGGATTCAGATTGGTCAACAGATGTGAATTGATTAGAAATATAATGAATCATGCAAGGCGCGGCGGTAGATTTGTTTAAGCCTATCTGCTACAACAATTACAAATCCAAAAAAATTCTCTTAGGCTCTCGATAGTTTACTATATAAAATCCTACTTCAGTTTCTTTTATTTTTCTAATTTGTATTCTTTTCATCTCGTCAATCGAATCCATTCTTTCTACTTATTCAAACAAAATAAATAGGTTTGGTATTTATCTTATTTATCAATAACCAAATCAACATGAAGGCACTTGCCAACAAACACAGCGTTAAAAATCGACATTTGCCTTGTCCGTACAGAAGACAACAATTGGAATCAAATAATCCAGATAAACTGAACAAGCCTGGTCTCTTTGGTTACAACCAAGCATGCGCTCTTTTGCAAGCTATCGAATTAAATGGACGTAAAAGACTTAGTAAGAAATGTCTTGGTAAGCAGCACAGCATACAATCCTCAAAAAAAAAAAAAACTTGCCCCTCATTTCATATTTTTAGCCTGTTTAGCTGTATTCGTTTCCCAAGCTTGGGAAGATAAACCCTGCCAAGAAAAGATCCAGCAATTATACTACATGATGAACAACCTACTAGACACCACAGGGATGGATAAGAACGAACCTTTTGAAGTGTCGCTACAAAAGTTTTGTCAGAGTCCAGTATCAACACCCATTATTTGTCCTAGCTTAACATTATTAATAGCTATTAGCTATGTGGAAAGATTGAATAAGGTAAGAATCACATACACCTATCAATTGGTATTCCGAATTACTAATAGTTGTTTATATAGCGCTATCGAGATTTGAAGGGAACTCCTGGATGTGGATCTCGAATGATAATGGTTGCATTCATCATGGCTTCCAAGTACATTCACGATAGTTTGAGATTGATCATATATACCAACATCAGAAAACATGCATCAATCATCACTGCTCCCATCACTCCACCTACTTCACCCAAAATACCAATTACAGCTTCTATTATCGAAAACATCACCACTGCCCTTAATGTCAACAACAACACTCCTCCTCCTTCGTCATTGAGTAGTGACGATAATAACTCTCAAAAAGTTCCCATAACTACCGCAACCTCAAGCACCATCTCAACAACAGCAGCCGATAACGCCACGGCATCCGATGATACCATAACTACCCAAAAAAACGAATCTGTTCCAGCTGCAACAAATCCCATCCCTCAAGTGTCTGATAAAGATCGTAATTTGCGCATTGCTCGTATGGAGCAAGAGTTTCTGTTCTTTCTGAATTACGACTTATCCGTGCAAGATCCCTCCCTCTTAGTCAAGTGGGCTCAAAGTTACGAATCACCTGAAGAGAATAAGCCGGAATCTGATGAAACTTACACTTCAGCAGATGAAGGCGATGATGAGATGGACGATGATGAAGAAAGATGATATTCATAACTCATCTTCTCCACTCTTTGTATAAATAATTTCAATTAATAAAGTAAATGTCTCCCTATCAAACGATGATATATGGGTACAGATACGTAGCAACGGATCTTTTGACATTGGAGCAAGCTATGCCTTATAAAAGTAACAAGGTTCTTGTTTGTTAGGGCTCCACTAGATTGCCATCAACGTGTTGTTATACGTTACTGAGGATGTAGATGACAAGACCAGAAAAAAGGTTTATATGATATTTAAAATATATAGTAAAGAAGCGTTTTTGAACAACAATATAAACAACGGTAGTTACAGCCATGAGACTACTACAAATCAGCTCATATTTGATTCTTCTGGTAGCATGGCTCTGATGTCTTGCATCCTAAACTTAAACTGACTTCCTTTTCTCTTCCAAACTCCTTCATCTTCATCACGTTATTTAGAGAGAGGTTTATAGTGTAAAAAAGAGCTGTATTTGTTTTAACACACTCTTGTTCCCCTTGTTTCATTTTTTTTTCACAATAGAATGAAGTATACTGCAGTAGCTTTGTTATCGTTAGCATCAGCTGCTATGGCCTTTGAGTCGACTGTTCCCTGTATTATGTGGTCTCCCAAAAAGTAAGTGATCGAGATGTCCCACGTTTTTCTATCTTGGAGCATGCTTACATTTCAGTCATAGTTATGTTGAGCCTTCTGTCAAAGCAAGCAACCAATTTGTTGTTAGTCAAACAGGTGCTTCTTCTGCCATCATGTCTTCTTTATCCTCTGATATCTGTTCAGCCAAAGTTATTGCTTTGATCAGCCAGCCCGAGGTAAAAGAAAAGAGAGAGGAAAACACGTCATTGATGAAACAGACAAGTGTAACTAAAACAACCAAATGCTAGCTTCATAGCAATGATTTCAGTCGCTCAGGCTTTGAAGATGCCTTCACTAATTTGAAGGTAAATGATCGCCACCTCGCGACACTGCGTTGCGACAAATACTGAAACGTAAAATACGTATATAGGAACATAGCACTCAAGCAAACTCTCACTCTCAAATCGAGTATATCACAAATGGTGTTGATGTGAACGACGTTGCCAAGAAGATTGCCGCCCAATGTGATTCTGCTATTTCCATCTTGGACGCCACTTGTAAGTATATGTTGCAACTGAAATGCCGCATAATATCGGATCAAGAGGGTAACATTCATGTCTGTAATAGCAATTTCTGCCGACGATTTCACTGAACAAGAATCTCCCATTGTTGCTATTGTATCTCTTCCTGTAGCTAAGGACGCCAACGAGCTCAAGTCTAATGGTAATGCATTGGCCAACATTTTGAATTGAACTCACGTATTCACTTTATTATGCGTAGATGATTTGCTGGGTAAATTTGTTGAAACTGTGGAAGGAAAGGTTCAAAACGATTATGCTGTTATTTATACTTCAAGTGCAGCCAAGGTAAGAGGCGTCTTGTTGATGGAATCAATACAGACGGATTAACGGCCGAGACATTAGACATCTTGCCAAGGAAACAGCCAAACCTTGCATCGTCGTGCACCCTCTGCACCAGTCAAGAACCTGTCTATCTTTGCAACGTACCAATTATTTACACCTGGTGTTTTCATGGTACTTGGTGTTGTTCTCCTTTTCTTGTTCATTGCAGGTACTGGTATCACTTGGTTGGTCGGTATCCAGACTCCTGTTCGCTTTGAAGCAAAGCAAAAGAAGAACTAAAAGCAATATTCCCCTCCATCTACAACTTATGAATAAATCGAGTACACGAAAATTGAATATTTATAAGCCCAAACCTTTGCATAATCTCATTTCGAGAAAGAATAATGTATTAAAAGAGGAGGAAACGTGATCCATAGTTGATTTTGTCTAGACATTCCATGTAAATGCTTAAGGGATGCCACATTTACGTCTTTCTGGCGCGATAAGTTGTATCTTGTCAAATGATCTGATAGCCATCGACGTTCTCTCCGTAATTTTGAGTGATTACAATGGGCATTACTGTATATGAATTTGGTTGATGGCTACCTGAGGCATAAGGACATTTCATTTCAAAAATTAGAGTAGCCAGATTATCCCTATTTGTGGGCATAGGCACAGCTTAAATGTCTTAACAATGTGTTCTGAATATGCTATCGATCGTTGAAATATCTTCGCAAACCTTTTAATCATAGTCTGGTGGAATTTGGAGGCAGCGCCGCTTCTCATGTAAGTGTTGTCTGAACTCAACCAAACAATGCATCGCGCGCTAGCAACGTACGTACATTCCATCTGATAACATTCCGTATGATTTACTGACTATCGTTATATCAGTAACTCTAGCTCCAACACAGTCAACATAATTTGGCAACAGTAAAATCTACGTTACTCAAGGCATTCATTAGCAATCATACAATTCTAATCATTGATTCCATTTAGGTTGTGCCATATGGTTTGGGTGTAAACCATGTAATAACTAACCCCAACAAACGCGTCAGCTTATTCACAATAACAAACCATGTGTTCTCTCTCAAGCATACAAATACCTGAATAACATTTAATACGTACTAATAACATATAATTTTCAGCAGAGTACATCAATTTATCGAACTCTATTAATCTATAAGAAAAATATATACGTTCTCCAACACAAAATAATAAATTTAAAAAGACATCGCTTACATGTAACTGTTTAATGGAATGCTAGACCAAATGATTGCATATTATCTCAATTTTGAATTAATAAAGAAGGATTTAAACTGCTGTATCTATTTAGATACCCTTTTATTATAAACAGAAAATTATAATACATAACAGATCAATATGAGATCGATAGAAAATCAACTAGTTGTAGACCATCGTTGATTCAACCTCTTAGCCAATCAGATTGCTTGAAAACTCCGCTGACCTAAAAAAAAATTTGCGAGAGTTTCCCCCTGTTTTGATGTGAGGCAAAATTTTAAGCGCCGCTATAATAGCATTATAGCCGCTGCTATCATCAAACTTCCCCCAGGTGCTAGAGCATGCCTTACTTACACCATCTAGCTTTAAATTCAAGCATTGAGACCCTCAATCATCACTAAAGTAAGTAGCGATAACCAAGTGGAGGCAGCCTATCTACCTCCTGGTGTCGGATAAAGTCTTGTTGAGCTTCAGTGATAGGCACATCCACCGCAACGTAATAAAGAGGTATGCTTCAAAGAAACATAATAAGAATAAAAGAAAGAAGAAAAGAACATACTACTATAGGGATATAGTAGTTTGTAGGCAAAAAAAGGAAGACTCACACAAAGTGAGTCAAAAAAAAAGCATAACAAACACAACATCAAAGATGTTCAAAAAAGCTCATTGTTGTTGCAATAAAAATGCATACATGAGCAACGTGCATGGTAGTAATAGTCGGATGTAAAGCAACATGGCACAAATACGCACAACTGCAAAAGCAACAGTGGTATTATAAGCTTGCAATACAACATAATGACTAATGTTGTTTCATGTAAAGTTACAGAGGAAACACTACCAACAAAAGAACAAGAAGAAGAAAACGCAACAAGGCAAACATTATGAATGCATTATCACGAGAAAGGAAGCAATAATATAAGCGTTCAAAGAAGTTTTATATCATTGCGACCAGAAGAAAGAAGATACCTACCACTTATCGCCACCACAGATAGACCAGACATTACGCAATCACCAGATATGAACCAGAGAACGAGCATGCACCAAAGACAGTAGACCAAAAAAGACCAGATTAACGGCAGCAACACCAGCTCCATAGAAAAACCGAAGAATGAATGACGCCAGAGATCAGACAAAGACCAAAGAAGCAACCATCAGACATGATAAACCAAAGAAGCAGACAGCAGAGATAGCAGAGAAGTACTGGCAGCAGCACGCACATCAAGCAGACAAAAAGAATCATCAAAACGTAATAAACAAATTCAATTAGTGTTAATTCTACACCTTCCAGTGCTCGTTATCGAATGGTACCTAACATATTCCACTTTAAAGAAGCAGTATCAAGTCCTTCCAACGGTACAAGGCAGTGTTATCAGAAGCTGGAGTGTTATTATCAATCAAACGGTTTCCAAAACAGCCATGGTTTGATACTAAACGCGTTTTGTAAAAAGGGAAAAAAAATAAGGGTATGGAAAAACGAGAGAGCACCATATTCGACGTCACGACCTGTAGATTTAGTCTCAGTCTTATACCGTAGTAGCGGCAATTGCAGCAATTTAATTTGAAATTGTGCAGTGGTATTTTCGTGCTCAAACTTAACTGGATCTCACACCCTTTAAACGTTTTTTCTAAATTTGACTATGAAAACTGTCGTTATAACACCAAAATTTCTAATACATTTCTAGAGAACTAAAAAAGCCGCATCAAATGGTGCTAATTACTTTTAGCTTTTAAACCGAAAATAATGAGCAATTTGCAAAAATATGAAAACAGGTTTTCTGTGAATATATCGAAATTTAGCATATAAAAGTCTCATAGAAAGAGTTTCCAATGTTGCATTTCTTCTTTACGATCAATTTGATCTAATATGTGTCATAGAAAAAGTCTTCATTTTTGGGGTGAAAAATACGATTGTTTGATTTTCAAAAATTTTCCCTTGCTAATACTCATGGAAAAACGATGATTTTCATGAATTTGCAACGACCCAAAAAAAATTGAGATAAAGCATCAGGAAGTAAAGCGTGGCCAAGAGAAGGCATGTGATGCTATTCCAAGCGCTCAAAACGCTTTGTGGCATGAGTTATTCGTGCTTGAAAATGGCTAGATTTGAACAAAATTCAATCTAAAACGACGACATATTGGGTTGCGTTGCCAGAAGAGTAAGTACATAGCACTTCTGTCTGATCACCCAGAGACTCTGCATTGTACAGAACTCGATTTTCAAGTAATAGACGCTTTTATTCCAGTTCCAAGGCTCAGATCTTGCTTTTTGAAACGCGCAATTACGGTAATTTTGACACTTGAACGTCAATAATATTACGCGAATTTGAAGCTAATGACTTGCTTGGATTGTATTAAATGCTCATCAGATTAGCAGGATATTTTGGATGGTCGTCCACAACAATGACATTATACCTAGCCGTAAAACGGCAAGTAGAGTCTATTTACAGTGGTGAACACTCACAATTCAGGAGAAATTGATTTATCAGAAATAAATTATTTATAAAAAAGAGTATGAACCTAATCAAGTAAAGAATATCGTTTATTACATTGAAAATAAGAGGGTTTATATACTATTCGAATTGAGGGATGTTGCATACAAGCATGCATCTTAGGCTACATTCACTTTCTCCTCAAGCCACCTTTTACAGTGTAGCAGCATAGATGATGTTTATCGTATCACATCACATCTCTGTTTACAAGTCCAGTCAATTGTGTGTGCACAGGTGCCTCAGGAACTACAATACATTCAATCCCCCCAATGTCAAGATATCGAGATCCACCTACACTACATGAAACATATCGACTTAGGTGGCCTCTCAACAAGCTATACCAACAATCCATAAGGCCCCAGTGGCCTGCTATTTATATACCATCTCAACGTAGTAGTCATTGACGACCAGGGATCTACCATATTTAAGCAAGCTAGATGCCCTGTAATAAAGAAGCTCTTTGCTTTCGTTTTAGATACAGTTGACAACTGATTATTATCATCGACTTATTATTACGAATTCATCAAGGGATTTGATGTGAGGATAAGGTATTAGATGAATTGATTTGGGTGATAGGATAATAGATCCAATTTATTATCCTGAACATGCCATGATATGTATCGTAACTGAATTCTGTTTCATGTCAAAGTTTATGATCTGATGTGATCGATGCTTGAACTGCTTGTTTCTATGCATTTGGAGATCCAATTTAGAAATGATACATCAATACACTCATATATGTACTATTGATATAGACTAAGGAAATTGTATCTATCGGATATATGCTACTAGATCGATATTAATTATTCTTATAGAAAGGATAGATCAGGGTACTTCGGACGAGAGTCTAATTATTCATCCAGGCAAAGCTAAATCATGATTAGCTTGCTGGAGTTGTCTTTTAGCATGATTAGACATTAGTTGATCTGAGTTGACTTATTTGTCAATCTAATTAATAGAACTTTTATCCATTGTTATAGTATTGTTGAGCCTGAAGGGCTACAACTGTCTATAAAGATTAAGGTATTCTTGATGGGTAGATATGTCTGTGTTGTGCAACAACGTGGACAAGCTATGATAAGTGAAGTGCATCTCAGCTATCTAAATACTGAGGTTCACCAGATGTGATAAGCATTGTACAAGATAAATTGCTAATTTAGCATTCAGAACTTAGTATAAATACTGTAGGGGGAAAAACTGTCCCGTTCGTTCAAATAATCTTGACTTTTACCCAGTATATTGCCAAAACTCAAAAAACAAAGCTACCCCATACTGCGTTCGATAGAACAGCCTATAGGGATTACAGCAACATAAAAACCTTATGGCTGGACTATATTTTAATCCCAGTATAACCAGCTAAAGTGAGACGTGGCAAAAATGTTAGGTGGGTAATTCTAGATGATATAAAATGGTTGATATCTCTACTTCCAATAGACATATTGAAGAAATCTAAAAAAACTACCCGTGGTATGCTCAGGATATCTAATATCCCAGGAGCATTCTAAAAGTATAAAAGAAGCTAGTTTTTTCATGTTTTTTTCTTTATTTCGTTGCTTTCTTATTTTTTTTCAAAACTTTCATTATGCCTGCTCGTTTAACACAAGATTTGCGCAACATTCTCCAATCTTTGCTCCAACGTGGTCTTTCGTTCTCAAAGATAAAAATTTTGTATCCAGGAGTGGGTAACTCTACTCTTACAAGGCTCAGAAAACTATATTGCCCTGACCCAGCTAGACCTCTTGGCGGAAGACCGAAAAAACTTGGTGCTAAAACTATGTCCCTAGTGTCAAGAGGACTTCGATCAGGTGCTTTAGATAATCCGCGAGCAGCACAAGAAATTTTAAGATCGATGGGCCATGATATGTCAATTAATGGCATCCGCAAGTCATTGAGACGAAATGGACTTAAATCTCGTAGAAAAGTAAAGACCAATTTTGTTAGCAAGACAAACAAGCGGCTTCGATTGGCGTAGGCTAAAAAGCATAGGCATTTTACTATTGCTGATTGGCGTCGTTGGGTGTTTTCGGATGAAACAAGAATAAACCTTTGGGGTTCAGATGGTAATTCTTTTTACTGGACGAATGGTGGCCGAATCATGCAGTCGTATCAAGTCAAGTCTCAGTTGCAGGGAAATGACGGTGGGGTCATGTTCTGGAGTTATATAACAGCGGAGGGGCCTGGTTATGGTACTACCATTATTGAAGACGCAATAAACTCGGGCTTATATGTCGATATTTCGAAGACATCATTAAACGACACTCTTGAGCACTTTGGGAAGACACCATCTGATGTGCGATTTCAACAAGACAGAGCAACACCGCATACATCGGGCATTACTAAACAATGGTTCGCCGACAATGGGTTTAACCTAGACGAAATCATGGATTGGCCACCCCTGTGGAATACATCCACTATGATCTGCATTCCGACAGTTCATCCAGTTGCCAGATTTAGATATAAACTGTATGTACACTGGATTAGATGTACGATACTGATTTATACTATAAGAAGATATGGACTTCAGATACGCTAGTACTATAAGATTCATACTATATAAGATATAGGCTATAGATGGCACCACGGACATGGATGGCACTATAGACTTATACTTGTATTCCGACATTGACTACGGATGTTTACCATATCTGGATAGGCACCAAGATTAATGCAATATGAGCTTGTTGCTTCAGATGTGCACTTCATGATCCACGCTATAAGACACATGCTTATATCCGTGATACTAGCTACAGATACTTTATGTACTACAGACTTGTACTATATATGAGACATGCTATGGACATGCATACGATATGCTATAGACATGCCATATATCCAGATACATGCTAAAGATGTATGCTTAGCGATATACACTCAGATATGTACTATTAATATAGACTAAGAAGACTGTACCTATCGGATACATGCTACTAGATCGATATTAATTATCCTTATGGAAAGGATAGATCAGGGTACTTCGGATGAGAGTCTAATTATTCATCCAGACAGAGCTAAATCATGATTAGCTTGCTGGAGTTGTCTTTTAGCATGATTAGACATTAGTTGATCTGAGTTGACTTATTTGTCAATCTAATTAATAGAACTTTTATCCATTGTTATAGTATATAAGAAGGATCATCTACCTGGCCAGTAGAGAGACTTCAGTTTACTTTACACCTGTCAGTTTGATAATAAAATATACCTTTATCAAGTTGACATCACTGTTTTTTTATTCTTTTTTTTCCGTGAATTTTAGTCTATCAAGCCTCAAATTCCACATTTTTTTCAACTCAAAGGTTATCGCTTTTACACTTTATCTTATACTCTACATTTTATTATTCTACTTTAAAAACTATTTTTATCATGTCTCACAACCAATACAACGCTACCGAAAACACTCAAGAGGATATTGCTCAAGACTCTATCCGTGTTTCTTCTCCTAATGACTCATCTATGCAAGTGGATGAGCACGCTCAACTTTCTGCAGTTGATCATCTTCTCAAGAAGATTGACACTGCTCAGGCTCGCTTGGATCAGATCCATCGTAACGCTGGTGATACTTACACTGAGGAAGAACGCTTGGCGGCTGATGAAGCATCTGCGTCTATCGAATGGCTCAGCAAGCAAGTCAGTGCAATTACTAAGAGGGCTGATTCCAAAGCAAGACCTGTCAATCTCAATGAGATCCCCCGTTTCCAGGTGGTAGGACAAGCTAAGCATTGGCCTGACCATCCTCGATTCACCACAGTCGATCATTTCTTCAGTGCTTTTGAGAACGTCATCAGAGCATCCGGTAATGAAGTAAATTTGGTTTGGAAACGCTACGTGCCTGTTTCACTGCCATTTGACTTCGAATCATGGACCAAGAATGATCTTCTGGCATGTAATGATTGGGATCAAGCCAAGGCATTGTTCCGCAAACATTTTGGTGCTCCCATCAACTCTGAGGAATCCATGGCCAAACTCTTCAGCATGCGCATGAAGAACAATGATACTCTACAGGACTATACGAATAAGTTCATGAAGTACGTCAAGGATTGTGGCTTCCCTCCTAACAGCAACATGTTAGCCAAGTTCTATCAGTTCACGCTGTTACGCAAGAATCAGCAAATGATGGTCAACCAAATGTCCGTCAAGCATGGTTCCAACCATAAATGGACTATCAACGAGATCTATGAGTGTGTGTTGCCTTTGTTCCTTGTTGACGAGCAAAATCGTGGTGATGATGATGTTGAGGTCGACATCAGAGGTAAGCGTAAGGGTGGTTCTGGTGGTTCTGGTTCAAGAACAAAGATGGCAAGGGTATCTGCCACTGGGTATTTCTGTGCGAAGCATGGCGGGAGCAATGCCAACCACAATGATTTATCAGAAATAAATTATTTATAAAAAGAGTATGAAATTAATCAGGTAAAGAATCTCGTTTATTACATTGGAAATAAGAGGGTTTATATACTATTCGAATTGAGGGATTTGATGTGAGGATAAGGTATTAGATGGGTTGATTTGGGTGATAGGATAATAGATCCAATCTATTATCCTGAACATGCCATTATTCGGATCGTAACTGAATCCTGTTTCATGTCAAAGTTTATGATCTGATGTGATCTGTGCTTTAACTAATTGCTCCTACGCATTTGGAGATCCGGTTTAGAAATGACACATCATTACCCCACACCAGCTTGGAGACCGTAAGTCGATAGCGAAACCATAAGATAGCACCTCTTGATCAGTGCTTGTGATGTAAGTGATAAACCGTGAAAAAAAAAAGAAAAGAAAAAAGAAAAAATAAAGTGTATGTTCCTGAAGCATTGATATAAATTTGCTGCATGATGGAATCATTGATTCGCCAGTAAAAACCTCTATACATTGAAAACCAAATATGCCAATTGGAAAAATACCAATGTACTTTACAAGGGAAAAAGGCAGAATCTATTTACAAACATCTATAACGATGATGGTCGTCTGTTCTCAATCAACCGCGCATGTCTCTTTGTAGATCTCTCTTCACGCGTTGCAATCTTTCTTTTGTTGATTGATTTAGGTGCTCTTTGCTTCTTACCAGAGCTCTTTTCAGGTGCTCCTACTCTTGCCCAATATTGTTCAATAGGTTTCTTTGAATCAAACAACTCTGGGGTTTCCCATGAATCATAACTAGAATCGTAATCCTTCCAGGTAACGAGATATTGATAGTTAGGCGCTTTACCCTTATGTTTGAGGATAGCTTCAACTTCATAACGTTTATCAGCAGGTTCTGGAGGAGGTGGATTCTCGTTGATCAATTTAATGTGAGATGTAGGAACATCTCTTGATAAGAATGTATCGGTTTCATCTTTTAGAATGTAACTGCCATTCTTTGTATAACCATGAATATAGAACACGCCCTCGTATTTAGGGTCAGTTTTGCTGTTCTTGCTTTCTGCATTCTTAATCATGACTGAAGCTCCTATGGGGAATGGGTTCTTTAGGATTTTATGCCGCTTCATAAAATAAGCATTGTCAGCTTTCTGTGTTTTGACAATCTGCTCCTTGATTGCAGGTACAAGAATCTTGTCAATTCTCTTGATCTTGTCTTTCAAGGCCTTGGCATTCAATGTTTGTTCTGGAAGACTTATTTCGACCTCAGAATAGTCTTTTAATTCATTAGGTAGTCTGGCAAACATGACGACAAAAGGTTTCATACCGTGTAACCTTGATTTATGTAAATTTAAGCTATAGGCTGTGCCATCAAGATATAAATCCCAATTTTCGGCACACCCATCCAGCATTTTAATGATGATCGCCTTTGAGCTTTTGACCGCGGCTTCACAAGCGCTGTTGCCTAAAGGGCACCACGGAAGTGAAAGCCTTTGCTCTATCTGTGCATTGGCAGCAATGCTCTCCAGTAATTGAGAACTAAACTCCTTACCATTATCATGAGAAAGGATTTTTGGGTAACCAAAAAGACTAAAAATAGAGACAATTTCTTTAGCAACTGTTGTTGCAGTTTTGTTTGGTAAAGCCCGTAACACAATGAATCTTGAGAATAAATCCATTGCTACCAAGATAAAGTTGTTACCCCTAGGAGTAGTAACATCAAATGTGCCTAGGTCAAAAACCCAATGATCTCCAACAGAATCCGCAGTATGATTCTTTGGTGGATGATATACATGTCTTCCTATGTTAAATACCCTGCATTTGCTACAGTTCTTGACATATCGTTCAATGTCTTTTCTGAGCCCCTTCCAATGCATTTGGTAATCCTCATGTATAACCTGCTCCATAGCAGTAATCCCATAGTGTCCTAATAGGTGAGATTTTTCTAATAGTTCTTGCTTTTGTGCCTCACTTTTAGGTACTTCATAAATATCCAAATGTGATGCATAAATGAACAATTCTCTATTGTCCTTGCTGTCAGGATTTGCAGTTTCTGTGAGTGCACTGCTTACTGTATTACTGTTTGTATTTTCCTTATTAACATTATTCTCCATGTCATTGATTTCGGTACCCTGAGTACTCTGATTGATAGGATGTAGAATAATGTCCTTTGATTTACTACCCTTCTTTTGCTTCTTAGCTTCGTGAAGGTTTTTATTATTTGTAGACTCGATTGGATCCAATGTCCGTTTAATAACAGTAGCTCTTCTAGCGAGAGAACCACACCCCTCCAGCTTCTTTGTCCCAGGTACAAAGATGCGAGAAAGTCGATCAGCTAGAATATTGTCCATACCCATACAATATGTGATATCAAAGTGAAATTCAAAAATTGTATCATAAAAGTTCTCGATCATGCGAGTAAGTTTCTCTTGAGAATGTAGGTACAATAGACCACGATTATCCAAGAATAAATGAAACTTTTCACCCCATAACCATTGGCGAAACTTATTGAAAGCATAAACTACTGCTAAAAGCTCGCGCTTGGATGATCCATAGCGTTGCTCACTAGCTGATAATTTACGGGCAATGAAGCCATTATAGTAAATACGCTTCTTGATAACTTGATATAGACAGGCACCAATGCCATAAGCACTAGCATCAGTGACAAGACAAAATGGATAGGCTAAATTAGGTGCTGAAATAATAGGGCTACTAACAAGCAATTGATGAATGTTGGTCATGGCAATCGTATGATCCTCTGTCCATACCTTGTCAATATCTGGAGCATTTTTAATAGCATCCAATGGTGCGGTTAAGGTAGACAAACGAGGTAGATTGCCTCTAAAGTAATTAATCAATCCTAACCGAGATTGAAGTTCTTTACTATTAGCGACCTTTGGATCCCAATCCAAAACATTGCTTACTTTACGAGAATCAAGGGCCAACCCCTTCTCGGATAGGCAAAAGCCTAATATATTGATGCTACGCTGAGCAAAATGAGTCTTTGCATGATTTATCTTGAGATTAGCCTTTGTTAAACGATCAATAACTATTTTGACGTATTTTAAATGTGTTTCCATGTCTGCTTCTGTGTGCACCGTGATATCGTCTATGAAATTGGTGGTGACAGAGCTTAGATCAGAGAACAAATTAGTCAGGTGCCTTTGCACAAACGAGCTAATTGGTAATAATCCCATGGGGCAGTTCCTGAAGCTCCATTGCAGGCCAGTTGTTGGATCAATAAATGAAACATATTTGCGAGATGCGCTTTCTAGCCTAAAACTATGGAAACATTGTGAAAGATCCAACACCGAAAATATAGCGTGTTCCGACATCTTTCTATGTAACGTGCTAATCAAAGGTAGTGGGAATCGATCTGATTTGTCTGGATCTAATGCAGCATTGACAGCTCTGCAATCCACAACTACTCTATAAACACCAGGAGCATACTCACCAGTGCTAGTCTTTTTACGTACACAAAATATAGGTGAATTGTATGGCGTTCCAGGTGGTGCTGGTTGAATGACACCATTCCTAATCCATGTGGCCATTTGTTCCTTAATAGCTGGTAAAAACTTTTCTTCCAGAGGCCATTGAGGTTTATACATTTTATTCTCATGATGTTTCAATATATGCAACTCTAGGGTACTACCTGGTATATTGCAATATGCTTTTGGATCAATGTTTTTGTTAGCCTTAATGTACGGTTCAATTTCTTTCGTGAAATGAGCTCTCTCTGCCTCTGTACCATAAGGAGAATCATTCGGAGTGTAGGGATTTGGATCAATTGCGGGAATCTCAGGGTTATTATCATCATCCCAATCCATAGCCATGTTGGAGATTGTAATACCAATTTGCATGATCAAATCCATACCAATTACTACATCAATGTCACTAAAGATATCAAAAATCTCCAATTTAGAGTAACATTGGCGAGAATTATATATAATCTTAATGTCCTCTTCTGTAGAACCAATTCTATCAATTACAGTGTCTTTTTTACAAGTTTTAATGGTGCCTTTAATGTCTTTATTTATTTTCACTTCTAATATTTTGGCTAACTTGGGGGAGATACAACTAAATGAGGAGCCTGTGTCCAGAAGAAAGTAGGTTCGTACCTTGATGTCGTTGTTCTCTAAAGTAATTGGCAAAATAATAGAGTTTTTGTTTAGTAAATTGCGAGGTGGTTCATTCATGTATTGATACTCACAATCTTTAATGTTCATGGCTGCGAAGGTCATGTTCTGCTCGTCGGATTCCGTATCCGTATCCATATTGTCATCAGAGTTGTAATCAGCCTGCTGATTGGGCACAGGGACGATCGTCTTTTTGACAACCTTGTTTCGAAATCTTGGTTGATTGTTTTTCATCTTGCAAACAGCTCTATGCGCTGGAGTCCATCCTGGTTCCTTGCAATCGTGACATATACGAGTGTTGACCTCACCAAACTTTCTTTGTGCAGCATCAATACGTTTTTTCATGTTGTCTGATGCCTTGCAGTCCTTGGTACGATGATTGTGGGCATTGGGATGGTAAATACATCGTTTGGTTGAGTGACTGGTGACCTTGGTGCCACTATTGTTAATTAAAATTGAGGCTGAGGATGTTACTGAGGTTGCTTTCTCTCGTTCTCTTTCCCACTTGTCCTTAAAGAGTGCGTTGTAAATAGCCGTGATCTTGTTGACCGCCAAATCCACAGTGATCTCCTCCTTGTCAGAATTGTTGTTGAGGGAGAACTTGGTGTAGTTCGCCAATTCCTCTGGAAGGGCCTTGATCAAGTAGCGAACGATACAATCCTCATCCTGGATTTCAGCCTGATTGCGCAATTGTTGGAACTTGTCAACAAATTGATTGAACGCCTCTCCCTGTTGATACACTAGTCGTTCCAGCTGCTCTCTTGCTTCATCTCTCATATCAATGCTTGATCGACCATACTTGTTGATAACTGCTGTACGGAATTCGGACCAAGTTAAGCGACCTTGTTTAGCAACCATGCTTGTATACCAACGAGCCATTCCAGTTGACAATTTGGCTGGCACAATTCTTTCCCAATTGTCATGGATTGATAGACGATGAGCTTGCAAAACCAGTTCGAAATGATCAAGACAATCATTTGGTGTTGCGAATACAGCCCTACGCTTGTTGAAGAAGTGTCCACGCCATTGGAAGTAGGGTGTTTCATTTGGTACCAAGGTACTCTCTGTCTTGCCAAATACCAGTTCATAGGTGCGTTCAGCCATCTCAAGTTGATTGCGCAAGACACCAAGATTTGCAGGTATGATTGATCCTTGTGGGCATCCAATGCTTTGAATAGTTGTTTTGAATACCATCAGCCTCAGCCGTTCAATTTCATTCATCAAGGTCAATCTTTCATCACTTGAGATTGGGGTGGCAAATCCTATATCCACATGATTTGTAAGTACATCATTATTCCCTCTACTAACATTTTCAATATTGTAGTTACCTTGAGGTACTGGAATATGATAAAAGGTGGCAGATGCATTGTCAACGTTCGCATCACCTACAGAAGCAGCAGTATTCCCATGAATGTTACTACTAGCCCTGACACTGCTTGCTTGACTCCCATGAACCTCAGCAAGTACAGCAAAATTACCAGATGCATCACCATTGATAGCATCGGTTGAAACAGACGTTCTAGGTATATCCCCATGGATATTACCAACGCTGGAAGAACTAGCAGCAGATGAATCACCATTGATTGCATCTTGACTAGTAGTGACGATAGGATCATCAATCTCCATCAGAGTGGCAGCAGTTGAGCCTTGAGCATCAGTACCAACAGGAGCAGCAGAAACAACCAGATTGGCAGCAGTGAGAGCTTGATCAGTGGACGTTGGACCAGCAGTGAGAGCTTTATCAGTGGACGTTGGACCAGCAGTGGCAACAGTAGCCTCACCAGTAGTAGCAGTTACACCAGAAGCTTCTTGATTGATGACCTTATGGTTGGATTTCTTGGGTGACATAGTAAGTAAGACTTGACAGCAATAAGAGATCCAGAGTAGATAGAGTTGTAATAAACGAGATTTGTTGAATACAGATTAAAAAATGATTTATCAGAAATAAATTATTTATAAAAAGAGTATGAAATTAATCAGGTAAAGAATCTCGTTTATTACATTGGAAATAAGAGGGTTTATATACTATTCGAATTGAGGGATTTGATGTGAGGATAAGGTATTAGATGGGTTGATTTGGGTGATAGGATAATAGATCCAATCTATTATCCTGAACATGCCATTATTCGGATCGTAACTGAATCCTGTTTCATGTCAAAGTTTATGATCTGATGTGATCTGTGCTTTAACTAATTGCTCCTACGCATTTGGAGATCCGGTTTAGAAATGACACATCACACAACACCATTGACTGTAAGTCAAGATTGAAGCACTTTGGCTCTGACAACAAGCCTAACCGGGCTACTACTGCTGCTCCGTATTCTATGAATTCCTCATCCTCTGATCCCAAAACCTGCAACTTTTGTGGTAAGCCCCGTGCTTACGGTCATCGTTGTCAAGAGTTCTACGACTGGAAGAAGGAGAGAGAATCAAGGAAGAGCATTGGTGTGCATACTGTACAAACAACCACTGTTCGCAAGGACAACAAGTCTGGTTCTGGTTCTGAGACCAACGATGTTACCATGGAAAGTAGCACTGATTCTGACATTGGTGATGCTGTTGGAGATGTCACCATGGAGGAAATAGATGCTTGCTTGGACGAGATTGAAGCAGAGGATGCCTCGCTCAACTGTAAGTCTAATGTGAAAAATGTACCTGAAAGTTTCAATCCATTTCAGTTACTGACTCCTATTATTTTAGAGAGCAAAGAAGGAAAACCAGTCCGTTTGATCGCGAAAGTAGATACGGGATCAGATTCCACCTTCTTAAATAAAAACATTTTTCACAATAAACTATTATTCACTTCCCAAGATATTATTTCTGTTGAAGGCAATTTGAACTTTCTGAGTCATTCAGTAAAGAGATTGGGTAAAACACCAGCTATCAAGATAAGATATCTTAATGACATTGCATTTGATCACTCGTTTGAGCTATCCAATTTTATTCAGGACCTAGGCGATTTTGATGTGCTACTGGGTGTAGACACATTGAGTCGACTTAGAATTGGGCTAACTGGCGTTGCTCACAAGTTTGCTGATGTTGGACATCTTACAGAGGAAGAGAAATCAGAGCTTCTTGAAAGCATTGATTTCGAAAATGTCAATTTTGATACTAAACATTCTATTGATCCAGAAACCACATCAATCTTTGAATCCCAAGCTGAGGAGAATAAGTATATGAGCAACATCCAAGATGCTATTGATGAGAATCAGAGAATCAAGCCTGGAACGTTTTGTAACGTGCCTGAATCTGAGATCACTATACCAATCAAGGAGAATGTTGATTACTACGTCAAGCAATATCCGATCGCACATCATGCAATGCCCGAAATCGAAAAGCAATTGAATGAATGGCTGGATGCAGGAATTGTAGAACAGTGTAGACCTAACGGCTTATTCAACAACCCTCTCATTGCAGTATCAAAGAAGGACAATGATGGCAAACCCACCAAAACTCGAGTTTGTATGGATGTGCGGAGGATCAACCAGCATATGCCCAACAATACAAACCAATTTGAGATACCAAATATACAGGATATCTTCACCCGGATCAAGCAGAAGGGGACGATATTTTCGAAAAGGAAAAACCTCGGTCATGAACATTTTGTTTTCTGATATGCCCAACGTGGAGGTCTATGTGGGCGACCTATGCCTCGTATCTTCATCCTTATCCAGTCATTGCGAATTGATTAAGGAGGTGCTGAGACGCTTGACACATGCCAACTTAAAGATTGGTGTTGAAAAGTGCTCCTGGTTTCGATCTAGCATCTACTTGCTAGGCTTTGTAGTTGGTCCTCATGTTTCCAAGGTTGACATGCGACGTCTCTCTGACATTGATCATTGGGGTCCATGCAAATCTGCCAAACAGGTTAAACAACTAGCTGGTGTTATTTCATATTTGAGACCACACATCCCAAATCTGTCAAAACTGATGGCGCCTATTGATGCTCTACGAAATGATCCAGATGCTGGTAGCAAATGGACTGAGAAGCACACCAAACGACTTGAGATTATCAAGAAGGTCTTGTTATCTGAAGCTTTACTGACTGCACCAGACATGAATAAGAAATTTTATCTTGAATGTGATGCTAGCTTATATGCAGTTGCAGTCATTTTGACGCAGCGCGACGATCAAGGACGCACAGTCTATGTGGCGATGTTGAGCAAATCTCTGACCAAATCCCAACAGAACTGGCCTGTCCTGAGACGAGAACTGTATGCCGTGTTATTCGGTTTAGTTCGTTTGCGACCCTTATTGTACGGGCATCCTGAGATTGAGGTTATGACAGATCATCGAGCTCTGATTTATATCTACACATGTAAATGTCCTACTAGAGTCATTCAAAATTACATGGAGATTTTAAACGAGTATCCCCAACTGCAATTCACTCATATCAAGGGTTTAGACAACATCTTACCTGACAAACTTAGTCGCTTGTATGAACCTTTAGAAGATCATACAGAGCTGGCGGGAGACAGTGATAAGAAAATTGCTAAATTACAAAAGAATATCATGAGAAGCAAAGGCTCCAAGAAACGATTCATTGGCAACAATAAGCAAACAAAGCATTATCTAACCAAGAACAAAGTAGTCTATAATAAAGACAAGCACTTGAATGTACTTGCTATGAAGATCAAGGAGGGCAATTATGAAAGCGTTGCTTACATTGCACCACCTGACAATGAGAGAGACCAACTGCTTCGTGAAACTCATGAATTTGGACACTTTGGTGCCGCTAGTATTGTCAAGAAACTACATGAAGAAGGTATTCATTGGACAGGTCTATATGATGATGCAAAGGCAATTTGTCAATCATGTATGGAATGTGCAAGACACAATGTAGTTCAAAAGGGTTACCATGAACTGAGAAACGTTGTAGCGTATGGTCCATTTGATCACATAGGCATTGACTTTCTTGGTCCGTTAACTCCAACCAACAATGGCAATATATATATATTAGTTGTATACGACATTTGCACCAGATTTATTATAACTCGTGCATTGCCCAACAAACAAACCGATACTGTCGCTAGAGCTCTGACTACCATCTTTGGAGACTTTGGCGTAGTACAAATACTACAATCTGATAATGGACGTGAATTCAAGAGTGCTTTGATGAGCGAGATCGGTAAAGCACTTGGCATCAATCAAAGATACTCTACGGCTTTCCACGCTAGGGGCAATGGTGCATCCGAATCAGGTGTTAAAAATATTCTTAATGCACTTCGTAAGATGGTCAGTGAACACATCTATGACTGGGACTCGGTTCTACCTGGAACTCAACTGGCTATAAACACAAAAATTAGGTATCGCACAGAGAGTGCACCTTTTCAATTGATGTTTGCTAGACCATTGAATAGATTCGTAGACTACGATGATCCTAAGATCAAGGACAACTTACCAAAGAAGCCTATGACTCTCGGTGAGCTACGCAAGAAGGCAGAGATTATGAACCAGGTTGTCTTTCCAGCTATTAACCAAAGAACACAACGCATTATTGAGGAGCAAGCAACGCGATTCAATAAGCATCACAAGATTACACACTTCAAAGTTGGTGATTGGGTTATGGTAAGACTTCCGCATAGAGAAAGCAAACTTGAGGCCGCTTATGATGGACCCTATCAAGTTGTTCAAAAGAAAAGATCTACATATGTGTTGAAAGACGATATGAATGAACTATTACATCGCGACTATGTGCCATCTGAATTGAAGCTGGTAGCAATCGACGAGTCTATCATCGAACAAGAAGTATATGAGGTTGACGAGATCAGAGCGCATCGTGGTCCTGAACACAATAGAGAGTATTTGGTAAAATGGAAGACATTTGGAGAAGCTGCCAACTCCTGGGAAACTGCTGCATCGTTCAACAACCCTCAAACCATTCGTAAGTACTGGGCAAAGATCAAGGAATATGAGCTGCTTGAGAAGAGAAGACAGGCACTAAATAGTGACACTGCTTCCTCCAAATCAAAGCGTAAGCGTGATGATTCTGACAAGCGTTTGAGAGGCTCTAAGAGACTCAACGTTGCAGAACAGTAAAAGTGATGTTTGTCATGGGATATATCCGGGCAACATGCAAATTGCAGTAGCACCTTTAGACTATCACATTGCGTTATATCTTTGTCAGCGAATGCGAAATACAGATCATTGATCGTTTACATAATTCTTTGAATTAGTCAACATGCGTTGAAACTGGTGGGGGCAAATGTGGAATACATCCACTATGATCTGCATTCCGACAGTTCATCCAGTTGCCAGATTTAGATATAAACTGTATGTACACTGGATTAGATGTACGATACCGATTTATACTATAAGAAGATATGGACTTCAGATACGCTAGTACTATAAGATTCATACTATATAAGATATAGGCTATAGATGGCACCACGGACATGGATGGCACTATAGACTTATACTTGTATTCCGACATTGACTACGGATGTTTACCATATCTGGATAGGCACCAAGATTAATGCAATATGAGCTTGTTGCTTCAGATGTGCACTTCATGATCCACGCTATAAGACACATGCTTATATCCGTGATACTAGCTACAGATACTTTATGTACTACAGACTTGTACTATATATGAGACATGCTATGGACATGCATACGATATGCTATAGACATGCCATATATCCAGATACATGCTAAAGATGTATGCTTAGCGATATACACTCAGATATGTACTATTAATATAGACTAAGAAGACTGTACCTATCGGATACATGCTACTAGATCGATATTAATTATCCTTATGGAAAGGATAGATCAGGGTACTTCGGATGAGAGTCTAATTATTCATCCAGACAGAGCTAAATCATGATTAGCTTGCTGGAGTTGTCTTTTAGCATGATTAGACATTAGTTGATCTGAGTTGACTTATTTGTCAATCTAATTAATAGAACTTTTATCCATTGTTATAGTATATAAGAAGGATCATCTACCTGGCCAGTAGAGAGACTTCAGTTTACTTTACACCTGTCAGTTTGATAATAAAATATACCTTTATCAAGTTGACATCACTGTTTTTTTTATTCTTTTTTTTCCGTGAATTTTAGTCTATCAAGCCTCAAATTCCACAACCCCAAAGTCCCGATCTTAATCCCATTGAACATGTCTGGCATCTCCTAAAGCTTAGGCTTAATAAGTATCCCACTAGGCCCTCTACAAAAGAAGAATTAGAGCGGCGTATTAACATTCATTGGTACAAAATAACAGAAAAAGAGTGCCAGAAATATATTGATAGTATGCCTGCCCGAATCAAGGCTGTCATCAAGAACAAAGGTGGTTCAACTCACTATTAATGATTTTATAATAAAATGTACATTTTTCTATATTTATTTTTTAACCAATGATATCATTGGATTTTGGTTTTTGAAAAAGTTATAATTATGTATAAATAGCACTACTTTCTCTCATTCAAACGATATCTATTTCGACTTTGTATACAAAGAAATGATCAAAAACTTGTGAAAAAAGACAAAATTTTAAACGAACGGGACAGTTTTTCCCCCTACAGTAGAATAACTCTTGTCTTCATCAATAAATCTTTAGTTTTTGTGTCTGATATGATTCAAATAAGTCTTTTCTTGTTTTTATAATATCGAACATTTTTTATAAGCTGCAAATGATAATCCTTTTATTCTTTGTGCTTAACAAGTACTATATAAGAAGGATCATCTACCTGGCCAGTAGAGATACTTCAGTTAACTTTACACCTGTCAGTTTGCTAATGAAATATACCTTTATCAAGTTGACTTCATTGTTTTTTATTCTTTTTTTCCGTGAATTTTAGTCTTATAAAGCCTCAAATTCCACAACGACGTAATCATCGAGTATCTCAAAAAGCAAAATTTGATCTTTCGAACTACTGTAGGGGGAAAAACTGTCCCGTTCGTTCAAATAATCTTGACTTTTACCCAGTATATTGCCAAAACTCAGAAAACAAAGCTACCCCATACTGCGTTCGATAGAACAGCCTATAGGGATTACAGCAACATAAAAACCTTATGGCTGGACTATATTTTAATCCCAGTATAACCAGCTAAAGTGAGACGTGGCAAAAATGTTAGGTGGGTAATTCTAGATGATATAAAATGGTTGATATCTCTACTTCCAACAGGCGTATTGAAGAAATCTAAAAAACTACCCGCGGTATGCTCAGGATATTTAATATCCCAGGAGCACTCTAAAAGTGTAAAAGAAGCTAGTTTCTTCATGTATTTTCTTTATTTCTTTGCTTTCTTATTTTTTTTCAAAACTTTCATTTTGCCTGCTCGTTTAACACAAGATTTGCGCAACATTCTCCAATCTTTGCTCTAACGTGGTCTTTCGCTCTCAAAGATAAAAATTTTGTATCCAGGAGTGGGTAACTCTACTCTTACAAGGCTCAGAAAACTATATTGCCCTGACCCAGCTAGACCTCTTGGCGGAAGACCGAAAAAACTTGGTGCTAAAACTATGTCCCTAGTGTCAAGAGGACTTCGATCAGGTGCTTTAGATAATCCCCGAGCAGCGCAAGAAATTTTAAGATCGATGGGGCATGATATGTCAATTAATGGCATCCACAAGTCATTGAGACGAAATGGACTTAAATCTCGTAGAGAAGTAAAGACCAATTTTGTTAGCAAGACAAACAAGCGGCTTCGATTGGCGTAGGCTAAAAAGCATAGGCATCTTACTATTGCTGATTGGCGTCGTTGGGTGTTTTCGGATGAAACAAGAATAAACCTTTGGGGCTCAGATGGTAATTCTTTTTACTGGACGAATGGTGGCCTAATCATGCAGTCGTATCAAGTCAAGTCTCAGTTGCAGGGAAATGACGGTGGGGTCATGTTCTGGAGTTATATAACAGCGGAGGGGCCTGGTTATGGTACTACCATTATTGAAGACGCAATAAACTCGGGCTTATATGTCGATATTTCGAAGACATCATTAAACGACACTCTTGAGCACTTTGGGAAGACACCATCTGATGTGCGATTTCAACAAGACAGAGCAACACCGCATACATCGGGCATTACTAAACAATGGTTCGCCGACAATGGGTTTAACCTAGACGAAATCATGGATTGGCCACCCCAAAGTCCCGATCTTAATCCCATTGAACATGTCTGGCATCTCCTAAAGCTTAGGCTTAATAAGTATCCCACTAGGCCCTCTACAAAAGAAGAATTAGAACGGCGTATTAACATTCAGTGATACAAAATAACAGAAAAAGAGTGCCAGAAATATATTGATAGTATGCCTGCCCGAATAAAGGCTGTCATCAAGAGCAAAGGTGGTTCAACTCACTATTAATGATTTTATAATAAAATGTACATTTTTCTATATTTATTTTTTAACCAATAAAATCATTGAATTTTAGTTTTTGAAAAAGTTATAATTATGTATAAATAGCACTACTTTCTCTCATTCAAACGATATCTATTTCGACTTTGTATACAAAGAAATGATCAAAAACTTGTGAAAAAAGACAAAATTTTAAACGAACGGGACAGTTTTTCCCCCTACAGTAGAATAAAAGCGCCTACAACTTAAGAAATGAGTTCCGTACAATGCATAACATCTGGTTCGTCAGACAAAACGGTAGCTTACTTACTTGTTTGGCAACAACGTAACTCATTACACCTTATTTTGGGCCAAATTCTGTCTAAATCTAGCCATTTTCAAGCACGAATTGTTTAGAATAACAAAATATAGACAGAGTAAATACAATTAGAACTGAATATATTTATTATGTTATTCCAAGATTGAATAATGATCAAAACTAGTGTAGATATCAAAGGTATTTATAGTTATTTGACAGTGCCGCAGCCATAGGACCTTGATCTTGAATGCGGGATAATTGTATAAGCCTTGAACCAGTAACGAGGATGTGCTGCATCAAAACTCATGAACCACCAGTCAAGGATAAACAACAAAGATGATCCAGGATAGAATGTTCTTCCTAATAGCTTTGACGGAAGAACATTTGTCGGAATTGAAACCCACTTCCAGGGACGAAAGGCCATAGGCTACCACTCTCTAGGAACCAGGATATAGATTAGCCATTTGATGGCACCACTCATGTTCCTTCGTGCTGCTTGAATAAAGACCTCTCACTTCTACTATGCATCTCAGGTCATTCTCAGATCCTCTTATGTAATAAACGACGCCTAATACATTTGCCTCTCAGAGATGATCTATATCCTCAACACGAATAACTCATGCCACAAAGCGTTTTGAGCGCTTGGAATAGCATCACATGCCTTCTCTTGGCCACGCTTTACTTCCTGATGCTTTATCTCAATTTTTTTTGGGTCGTTGCAAATTCATGAAAATCATCGTTTTTCCATGAGTATTAGCAAGGGAAAATTTTTGAAAATCAAACAATCGTATTTTTCACCCCAAAAATGAAGACTTTTTCTATGACACATATTAGATCAAATTGATCGTAAAGAAGAAATGCAACATTGGAAACTCTTTCTATGAGACTTTTATATGCTAAATTTCGATATATTCACAGAAAACCTGTTTTCATATTTTTGCAAATTGCTCATTATTTTCGGTTTAAAAGCTAAAAGTAATTAGCACCATTTGATGCGGCTTTTTTAGTTCTCTAGAAATGTATTAGAAATTTTGGTGTTATAACGACAGTTTTCATAGTCAAATTTAGAAAAAACGTTTAAAGGGTGTGAGATCCAGTTAAGTTTGAGCACGAAAATACCACTGCACAATTTCAAATTAAATTGCTGCAATTGCCGCTACTACGGTATAAGACTGAGACTAAATCTACAGGTCGTGACGTCGAATATGGTGCTCTCTCGTTTTTCCATACCCTTATTTTTTTTCCCTTTTTACAAAACGCGTTTAGTATCAAACCATGGCTGTTTTGGAAACCGTTTGATTGATAATAACACTCCAGCTTCTGATAACACTGCCTTGTACCGTTGGAAGGACTTGATACTGCTTCTTTAAAGTGGAATATGTTAGGTACCATTCGATAACGAGCACTGGAAGGTGTAGAATTAACACTAATTGAATTTGTTTATTACGTTTTGATGATTCTTTTTGTCTGCTTGATGTGCGTGCTGCTGCCAGTACTTCTCTGCTATCTCTGCTGTCTGCTTCTTTGGTTTATCATGTCTGATGGTTGCTTCTTTGGTCTTTGTCTGATCTCTGGCGTCATTCATTCTTCGGTTTTTCTATGGAGCTGGTGTTGCTGCCGTTAATCTGGTCTTTTTTGGTCTACTGTCTTTGGTGCATGCTCGTTCTCTGGTTCATATCTGGTGATTGCGTAATGTCTGGTCTATCTGTGGTGGCGATAAGTGGTAGGTATCTTCTTTCTTCTGGTCGCAATGATATAAAACTTCTTTGAACGCTTATATTATTGCTTCCTTTCTCGTGATAATGCATTCATAATGTTTGCCTTGTTGCGTTTTCTTCTTCTTGTTCTTTTGTTGGTAGTGTTTCCTCTGTAACTTTACATGAAACAACATTAGTCATTATGTTGTATTGCAAGCTTATAATACCACTGTTGCTTTTGCAGTTGTGCGTATTTGTGCCATGTTGCTTTACATCCGACTATTACTACCATGCACGTTGCTCATGTATGCATTTTTATTGCAACAACAATGAGCTTTTTTGAACATCTTTGATGTTGTGTTTGTTATGCTTTTTTTTTGACTCACTTTGTGTGAGTCTTCCTTTTTTTGCCTACAAACTACTATATCCCTATAGTAGTATGTTCTTTTCTTCTTTCTTTTATTCTTATTATGTTTCTTTGAAGCATACCTCTTTATTACGTTGCGGTGGATGTGCCTATCACTGAAGCTCAACAAGACTTTATCCGACACCAGGAGGTAGATAGGCTGCCTCCACTTGGTTATCGCTACTTACTTTAGTGATGATTGAGGGTCTCAATGCTTGAATTTAAAGCTAGATGGTGTAAGTAAGGCATGCTCTAGCACCTGGGGGAAGTTTGATGATAGCAGCGGCTATAATGCTATTATAGCGGCGCTTAAAATTTTGCCTCACATCAAAACAGGGGGAAACTCTCGCAAATTTTTTTTTAGGTCAGCGGAGTTTTCAAGCAATCTGATTGGCTAAGAGGTTGAATCAACGATGGTCTACAACTAGTTGATTTTCTATCGATCTCATATTGATCTGTTATGTATTATAATTTTCTGTTTATAATAATAAAAGAGTATCTAAATAGATACAATTTAAGTTCTTTATTCAAAATTAAAATAATATGCAATCATTTGGTCTAGCATACCATCAAACAGTTTTATATCAGTGATGTCTTTTAAATTATATATGTGTGAGAAGCTAAATAAAAAGTACTACAGCTGTACACTGAGTAGTGCTACCAGATCCTTCCAGTAGCAAATGGCACGCGAAACATGCGTTGCTTATCATTGATTTCCAGCATGTTTCAATTTCAGGGGCTGCTATCTTTTACCTCATACCAAGAGTCTGGATGTACAGAAGTATTTTTCAGCCTTTCATTCTTGAACTCTACAAGATCAAGCTGTGAAAAGTTGATGCTAGAGCATTGAAAGTAACAAGTTTCTTTGACAGAATTTTGCAACGAAAATGATAGTGTATGGGATTTTAGACTGGTTGAGTTCGCTGTTGAGAAACAAATAATTTTCGATATAGCCGACTTTGAGGTGTAATGCATATAAAATATTTGTATACAGTATGCGTGATTTTATTACAGTGATGACTCTTTGCACTTGATTACATGATAATGCTATTTATAAAGGTGTGTCGTGTGATATAGACCCATAATGCTGATTGGCATTTTTAGGTTTTCTACTCATGATTGACGACACTTCGCTTAAACTATCCTCCTGCTCTGATATTACCTCCTCTTCGTCAATGTCTATAGGCACACGGCCCTCACTGATCAATCGTCTTCTTTCTTCTGTAATACCTCTGACAGCATGATTATAAGGATATAATATATAATGCTGGATCAAAAATATTGCATCATAAACGACAACAATAACACCTAATCCACTATGCCCTGATGATTAGCATTATCACCATAAACATGACGAACTCTTCACTTACAGCTTCACATTGTCCTAAGAGTTTTTGTAATGTGTGATTAAATATTTTGCTCAAGATGCAACACCTATAGAACAACTTACGCCTTCAATGCCAGACCAATCGCCATCAATATAAGCGTCTAATAATAATTGCAGAATAGACAACAAACCACCTGATAAATCCTACCAAACGAAAAAGGAAACCCACGTTACAAGATCATGTTATAACAAAAGTCGAGTGGTTTGTTATTTTTGCCTCACCCAAAAGATGTATTCTATGCTCCAGCCTTGTGTAGATTGGCGCTTGTAATTCAACCAAACCTATTAAGTATGATTTCAGTGAATGTATCCAATGTATACTGTCTCCAAGATGTATACCTGTGGCAAGTATTTGATGAAACTGACAACTAATTTGACAGAGCTTAAATAATACATGAAATCTAACCAGATCGCACCACCATAATGGATGGTAGATATCACCAAGACTGATCCCATGGTAGCTAGCCATACAAATGATGCAGCAAAAGATGAAATGTGTTGGCTTTCGTGTTTCTACGTTGTTACGTGACAAGAATAAGGTTTTTGTTGATACAAAGTGACGAGAGCACAAACCTTATAAACACATGTTTGTAATAAGATGAACAGAGAAATAAGGAAGCCATGCACAGAAAATACCACATCGTTCATACGGACAAGATTATTTCCGCTGTTTGGGTGTCGCTGCTGATCTAAGGGTATTGGTGAAATTTTAGTTTTGATCTATGTATGCGACAGACAAAATTATCTTACATTGATCTCTGATTTCTTGGTTACAATAGAAAGCTAAATTATAAATCTGTGGTGACACAGCCATGTCATGTCACTTTCATTTAGCTCAACTGTAATGATGGCCTCTTTTACACATACCGAATAGCAGAAGAAACCAAGTACATTGTAGAATAAGAAATCAATAGATAATCCTCGTACACTTTCAAAGAATTAGTCAGCTCTTTGTATATAAGGGATTTCGTCTTTTTAGAGCCTCACCTCTTTCGCCTCCAATTCAAGTAAACCTGAGGATAAAAACTAATGGACCAAACAAAAAAGTAGCTCTATTGACAACGACTGCGTTATTGTATTGCACTACTGACAAAAATGTATGCTATTACCCAACCAATAATGTCAGAGATGATATCCCATTTACTCAAAGGCGCAACATCGATTTGAGTAGGTGCCATGATGGTGGTTACTCACAAGATTTGACTCTGGAATAATCAAGTAAAGTAGATTTGAGGAAAAAAAAAAAGAAACTCGAATTAATCAATCCCACTAGTTTTCATTACTGTACTTAAACTCCGGGAACCACTAGTCTACTGAAATGGATGCATTTGGCAAGAGAAAGTGTAACCTCAGATCGAATATGTTAGACTATGAACAACCAAGTAATGTTGAAATAAGATAGTAAGTAACCTAAGCTCTTAAAATAAAGAATTGCTGAACGCCTGCTTTCAAAAAAGATAGATTTATTGCCAATTACAGCAAAATTAGCACAAATAAAGATGCAATGTGATTCTGCTTGCTTCGTCAAATACTGACTCTAATGGACTTGACCTGATACTACAAGAGCCCGAGGATTCCAAGTACCTTTTCAAATGCAGGATTTTCTCTAAAGGCTTATATGATTACAATGCACCTGGTCACAAGAGTGAAATGGAACAAACACATATGCCATCATCGCATAGAAACACTGGCCACTTACTTTATTACTCGTTGTCCAGTGAATAGTGAATGGGAAATACATCATACACTTGTATCCCAGGCTCTAGAAATTTAGCGGTTGACAAAGTGATGGATGCTATTTCGGTCGGTTTCCCTCAAAGTATCTTACCTACTAAACTAAAACGCAGTTTATGCAGAAGTTGACTGCATCAACAGACATGTAAGCCACATTAGAGTTGCTTTTAGCGATACTGGTTTCTAAAATAGATGTGCCCCTGATTATGGGCCTTGGAGGCGTTACCATCATCTATCATGTGAATTGAAAATGAAGCGGCTAATAGCCTTGTTCTTGTATCGTTTTGACTAGCAACAGGAGTAAAGCGTCCATTAGCCAGCTGGCTGTCGGATAGAATCCGCTTCACTGGCATATGTAGAGTTATCTACAAGTCTCAGGACGAATTGCAATTGAAGCATAGGGGGGGGGGGGGGTTGGCAGGGACACCGCCAGCCATCGTTGTACGTAAGACTGTTATCTACGACAAAAGTTATATATGTGTATCTGAATCAATGCGTTCTAGACTTGTCAATATAGATGACAGCATCATGTTGTGTACATTTCTTGACCAAAACAGCCATCGTATGCTAAATTTAGGAAAAGCTCACTTGCAACATCGTTGTCATTAGGCAAAATTTAAAGCGATAATTGATCAGATTCAAGTCTCCTTTTAACCCAATGGCAAACGATGCAGTAGTCATACAATGATTGTATTACGCTTTAACCACCAGGGAATGACTACTTCCCGTAAAGAGCACAGATGAATCTTAAAGGTAGCAAGACATTGCACGGTACCTCAGCACGGAAAATCTGAGAACATTATTAATTTGTCTTTTATGGCATAGAAACAGGTTTGGCTACGGAATGGAATCAAATAGAATATGGTGGTTTTGAATGATCAAAAAGCTATTGGTACTATTTATCATAATGATGGCATTCAACCACCAGCTTGGCAACATCAACGACATGGATGACTGGGGTCTTTGGATGAATGATCTAATTGCAAAATCACAAGTAAATAAACATCACGGTAGAACATGGAAGAATATCTCCAGTAGATCATTCAGGGCAACATAGCACAGCCACGGTTGTATTGCAATCATGTACCGTGGTAATATATGTATTTCTGCTTATTCGATGAAAGAGATGTCGTACGAATCCATCCGATGACTTTAGTAGTTGTGAAATAAGGATCAATATGCCACATGGTCGAGACCCAATCTCTTCATTACTCAAGTAATACATGAATTGTATATCAGAGATACAGGCAATTATTCTATAATAATACTAGTTTGTAAGGGAATGTCTCATGATTGTGTACTGTTGTAAGTTGTAAATTAAAAACATGCTATCTGTAATGTAAATTGACGCCAATAACCAAGTGCGAACAGATTCGGTAAATCTTGCAATCATAATAATGAAAGCACACAGCATGTAGGAAAGGGGAGGGAGGGAGGCTGTATATGTAGGCATGAAAGTTTAAATCTTTACAAATGTATACCCTTAAATTCCACATTAAATCTAATTGGTTCCATACTTTATATTCCACAACATATCTCAATCTATAGAATATGTTATATCAAATAACAGATACATGATAGAATTACTATTTTACTTTTTAACAAGGTAAAAGGGGCCATTATGTATACTCCTGTATTTACTATATTTGTTATATTATCATCTCAAGGCAGAATGTTGGTGAAATACACATCCATCACTTGATCTTTCTGGTTAGAGATCGGACCGACCGCTTTTTCCTTTGCGATATCGGTTGCTCTGTATCTTGCGTTTCTATTATGCTGAGCAGATGTCTCATCTATATGGCCTGATTGAGCATGATAGAAACCTTCAAATACTCGCCTTAAAGAAAAAGAATCTCATGAAAGCTCATTTCAGTCACCCGTGCTATACCGATGGAAGGCAGAGAGATTGTGTGTGTGTGTGTGTGTGTGTGGAGAAAGGAGAAGGAAGGAAGGGGGTGCTACACTATATGCATATGCCCTTATAAGAATATATTGTAACCAATCAATACCCATTCCCCCACACTTTTTGTGTCTTTATAAACAAAAAGGTCATTTCAAGATCCCGTCACCTTGAACCTTTTTGCTATACATTGTAGGCATAGAATCCCTTAATTGTAATAGTATTTAATTGAATCTTTTTCTTTCTTTCTTTCTTTCTTTCTTTCCTCCCTCTCTTTCCTTTGCATCTCAAAACTCAAATGTCCAAAATCACGGATCAACCACCAAAGCGTGTCAAGGTCACTTTGGCATGTACCATTTGTCGCAAAAAAAAGGTCAAATGTGATGGTATTCAGCCTACATGTTCTCGATGTCAATCGATTGGAATTTGCTGTCAATACTCTGATCCTCCCAAGAAGAGAGGCCCTCCCAAAGGCTACGTCGAAGTGATTGAGAATAGAGCACACCGAATCGAGTCCATTCTAAGCACTACAAATCAACAGCCATTACACCAACAGATTCAGCAACAGCCATATCCGCATAGCAACGTGCATAGAAACCAATATCACCATAGAAACGGCACCAGCGCTACCCTTAACATCACCCCCACCACCACCCCCACCACCAAAAACAGCAACAATACGACATCAGGTAGACTTCAAATCATGAAATCCTACCTATATTACATCGCATTAAATATATAATAGTGGATACCATCAACAAGAAGCAGCAACTAATTAAAGATCCTGTTAACGCATTACTTTGTTTAGTTGCTGGTGCAGTAGATTCTGTCCTCCAGCAAGAGGGGGCAGCCACTCAATTGGTACACGTACGTTAAATCGAGTTATATACAGAATGAAAAAGAATCAGAACACTGATAAGGTCCATTCTTATGACTATCCTCTAGGGCAGCAATGGCATGATGTACGCTTTTTTAATGAATACAAATGTGCTTCATTTGCAAGAACAATTGAAGCACATTTCTACCGTGGTCTGGACCGAGAATTTCTTTACTCATTTCAACTTTATGTTTCCAATTCTCTCAAGACCTCAATTTCATTATCAACTTGAGCACAAAGAGTTGAATCCCATGTTGAAACTGGCTGTGTTTCTTTTGGGATGTCGCTTGAGTAACAATCATCAAGATGTGCAACAAGAAAAGACCTTGTATCAACAGTTCAATGATCTCTTTGCTAGCGCGTCTCATGATGATAGTATGAAGGCTGATCTATCCACGGTGCAGGTAATTGTATAAATATAACAACACGTGCTATCATATATTAAATTACATGCTATATCAAACAGGCCACAGTCATCATGTGTTGGTATACATATCTAGCTGGTGACATGCAAAATTGCCACACCCTGCGTCACTACCTGTCTGTTGTCATTCATCAACTGAAATTGGATCATGAATCATCCAACGATAAGCAAGACATTTACCAGACTGAAATGAAGAGACGGGCTTTCTGGGTCTCCTTTGTCATCGATCAGTGGTTAGCCAGCTGTACAGGTGGAAGTACATTGATTAGCAAGCAGCACAATGTCAAATATCCTCAATTGGAAGACAATCAGCTATTTGCTCTTTCATCGTCCTCTCAACACCAGCATCATGCTCACATATCCTATCTTTCTGTTGAATCTGCTCTTCAAATCAACTCATTCACTGAAATGATCCGACTTGTCCATATTGTAAGCGACATTTGCGATGGTGTGAAATCACAGTCTGCATTGGAGTCCAATTTGACCGGCTGGCTACTGCAATTACCTTCCTATCTCGACTACGGTAAACTCAACGAAGACGCCTCACCCTCTCCTATCGCCAAGATGTACCGCATACTGTATTATACTGTCCAAATCATGCTAAATAAAACAAGACGGCATCAACTGCAAGGTCTGAGCAGCAGTATCTGTACAACTGCTGCAAATACACTGGTACACATTTCAGAGCAAATGCTGGAAAAGGGCCAAGAAAAGTATCTGCATAATGTCTTCTTCTTATCACTGACTTTGGCAACATCCATCCATCTGGACAATACCATCTGCAACAGCAAAGATAACAATGCGCCTGATAAGATCAATCTCTGCAAAAGCATATCGCTAATCAAGGAAACCAATTGCAGCTTGCTTGCTCGCGCTGATTTCGAGCGTTTACTGGACCACTTTCTGGTAGATCGATGCCATATTGTGCTGGATTTTGGGTATCCCTCACCCACGCATTCTGCTTCTCTATCTCCTCCCACAAGCAAATCAGTGAAGAATGCCAACAACAAACGTGTATATGTCGAAGAGCAAGATGAGCAACAAGAACAAGAGAAAGCGCTACTAGCATCTCCGTCTTCCAGTATATCCACTACACCCGACTACAACACCATCATCACGACTGACTACTACAATACACAGCAGCAGCATTTTGACATCAATGATATATTTCCCGTCATCTTGGATGAGCAACAACAAATTGTCGATACCAACACATCAAACCAAACTAGCTGGCCTGCCTGGGTTGATTTCTTTGATACTATTGAATCATCAACTACATGCTCACCAGCATCGTACTTCACACCAACGCAATCACCAGCGTTGCCACTCAATCTCAAAGATGAGGATACAATGTCCTTTGACATTCTTTCAGACCAGCAATTTTTCAACACATTTCCATTGATCTAGCCATTTCCTGCCTTTATTTACACACTCTTTTATCCTTTCTTTATTTATACATAGTTTCTCTTTACATGAGCAAGAATAACATTTTTTATGCCCTTTTTTTTTATTGCCGAATTCCCCATGTATGCAAAGAATTATACATATAAGCAAACAGCAACAAATATTTATTCATCATCTTATCCCCCTTTTAGTTCTATACCTCTTTTTAATCATCATCAAACAACAACAGCAACACCCCCATGCATTAATACTATTTTTTTTTATCCGTAATAATATGTAAATAAAACTATAAAGAGAATTTAAAAATCGCTTTCAGGAGAGATTATTCGGCTATAGTTTTCGCTGTTGTAGTACTTTTTCTTTTCGTGTTGGCATTTCAAAACTGCAATTGTACTTGCTGTCTCTTCAAGACGGCTCAATTAAACTCATTATTATTGCTCCTCTCCTCGATTGTTTAAGATTAAAACTATACCTTCAGACTAAAAAAAAAAAAAAAAAAAAAAAAAAAAAAACTGATCAGAGATACTAGCTGTTCTTCTTTATTACTAAAGCCTTCACTCAGCAGAATGTTTCTCTTCCAAACATAATCATAAAGCCCGTTTTTAGCATATTGCATCGACCATTTAGTTGGATAGTGATAAAATTTTTGTCATCGATTTTCATTCTGCTCTCCTCAAAATCGATTTAAATCTCTGCTCTCCCATTGATCCAGATTGGACAGATTATGTTTAAAAGCGACTTGATTGATCTTTCTTATCAGAATCGACTATATAAGTTGCGATCATAACCCTTTGCTTTCTAATGCTTTTCTAGAGCATTTTTTCAAGGTGCATCGAATGATGGTAATTATGGCTAGTGCTTTGAACAAACTTGCTGAGCAATGCTCAAAAATATGAAACGGTGATTAGGGCGAAAATGTTGACATTTTATATGAAAGTCTTACAAAAGCGTTTTCAGAGGTTGCCTTGGATCGAGGGAAGCATTTTGATCTAATATATACTATAGTGAAAGCCTTCACTTTTGCGGTCGAAAAGGCGATCGTTTGATTTTCGACGAAAACCATGAGGTACCCCTCATGGTTTGAGGTCGATTTTTGATGATGTTTTTATGGTCCCAAAAAAGTTGAGCAAAGGTATCAGTAAGTAAGTGCCAGGTGAAGTCAACTGTTTGGCGCTATTCTGGTGGTCTAAAACGGCTTCTAAAGCGAGAAATCGCTGCTCAAGTGCACCCAGATATCGATGTATTTTGTATATTTTTGAGCAATAAGGGGTACTATCCGTATGTTGTGTGCCCATATACGTCTCTCAAAGCAATAATGCTAGCTCGCGTGGTGTAGTATGCTGGCACGTTCACAGCTTGCTGACTATATCATTCGTTACTCGCGAAAATGATAATCTGAAGTAATTTTATTGATGAAAAATTGTTCGTGTCCGATTTGCACTATATACTGTATAAACGGCAGCAAGTATCAGCACCCATGCCCATATACTTCAACATCTCTTCATATTGATAGTAATGTATGCAACAAGAAGCTCCCTTACTTTAATAAACGAAAGCCTTCATAAGCCAACCACATCACATTTGATCCTAATCATCCATGTTTGTAATTTATTGAAAAAAGCAACGACAGTGAATAAAGAGAACGTAACCACTACATTGATATACGGGCAGCAATGCTAGAGTGAGATATAATGAATATATGGGTGAGATATATGGTTTCGATGATCAGAAAATAATTTAAGAGCGTTCACCACGAAGACGACGAGCCAATTGGATATCCTTGGGTTGAATGGTAACACGCTTGGCATGAATAGCAGCCAAGTTGGTATCTTCAAAGAGAGAAACCAAGTAGGCTTCAGAGGCTTCTTGAAGAGCGCCGATAGCAGAGGATTGGAAACGCAAGTCAGTCTTGAAATCTTGAGCAATTTCACGAACAAGACGTTGGAAAGGGAGCTTACGGATCAAGAGCTCAGTAGACTTTTGATAACGACGAATTTCACGAAGAGCGACAGTACCAGGTCTGTATCTGTGAGGCTTCTTGACACCACCAGTAGAAGGAGCAGACTTACGAGCGGCCTTGGTAGCCAATTGCTTACGGGGAGCCTTACCACCAGTAGACTTACGAGCTGTTTGCTTGGTACGAGCCATGTTTGATTATTGAATGTTGTATAAAGAAAAAGAAGAAAAGGAGAAATTTTTTTTAGTCAATCGACATTTTGTAATAAATACTTGCACCAAAAGTGAACCAACAAACGTCACCTAGAGTAGGGCGCCGCACCCCCCTTTTCTTCAAACACGCTTTCTGTATTGCAATAAAGCACTTTTTTTTTACATGAAAATCGCGTAAAAAAACACGTTCCTTTCAATGGCGGGCAGTTGTCGTCGTCATCCGGTAAAGCAAAAAAGCGCCAAATCCTCAGGCGTAAAGAAATTTTTGAAAGAGTATTTAATACAGGATTCCTCAAGGTTTTCTTTTTCCTTTTCTTCTTCTTTTTCTTCTTTCTATTTCGATTATTATAAAAAAGTAAGTACATGGTTTATGTGTGCATACGTAGCATTGACATTTGACACATCTCTCTTTTGATTTCACAGTGACTGGTCGTGGAAAAGGTGGTAAAGGTCTTGGAAAGGGTGGTGCTAAGCGTCATCGTAAGATTCTTCGTGATAACATCCGTAAGTACAGAGAGCAGTTCTATCAATTGATCATTGCATGTACTCATCTCTCATATAGAGGGTATTACTAAGCCTGCTATCCGTCGTCTCGCTCGTCGTGGCGGTGTCAAGCGTATCTCTGGTCTCATTTATGAAGAGACTCGTGGTGTCCTCAAGGTTTTCCTTGAAAACGTTATTCGTGATGCCGTTACCTACACTGAACATGCCAAGAGAAAGACTGTTACCTCTTTGGATGTTGTCTACGCTTTGAAGAGACAAGGCCGTACTCTCTACGGTTTCGGTGGATAAATCAATCCTTCTCTTCTCTTCACATTTGCTTATCGAATTCTTTCAAAATGATACTCCAACATGAAATACCAAGAAATATAACGACCCTATCTTTTTTTGCAAATCAACAATCTCTTATATAAAAAAAACACACTCAATAAATTGTTTTTTTTTTTTAACATAATCATCATTGATTTTATTCCATTAATTGCTTTATTTGAGGATACAAGGGCTGCGGTTGTTTCAAATGCTCTTCTATGGTGGCTTCATCGTATCTCTCCACATGAGCAATGACATTGCAGATAGGTGGGAAGGGTGTTGTCTTACTAAACACGAGGTATCGGTGTTGATGATGTATATAACCACGAATATAACCCTGATTTACAAGTTACCAAATCAATTAATGTGTGTCTGCATCTGTTTGATTTCATCGCGTGATGAAGCCTGCTTACCTGGTTCACTAACGATACAACAATGCACTCCAAATCATCGCACTCATAGGCCTCATCACCTTGACTGGACAAGACAAAGGCACGTAGCATTGTGTCGAATCCCAATTTAGGCCCGGTGACAATACCAATCTTCTGTTGCATAGCATAGGCATTCTTCAACAAGCAGCGCCACACCAGCACAATGCCTCTTTCTTTCAGAAGCAAATAAGTCAATCGTTGATAGAAATAGTCAAAGTAGGTTTCCAAATGGTCGAGAAAACCATGGATGTTGCCCGAACGGATGGTGTTGATCAGATTGACGTAGGGTGGTGCTAATTGATACTTTTCAAGTAGTTCCATCGATGGGAAATGACCCAAAATGATACGTGTAGGGATCAGGTAGTGCAGAATCAATCGTTTGTTGTGCCATTGATGAGCATGGCATTTCTCAAATGCAAACATGAGGCAACTTTGAGCCTAAATCAAAGTGTGAGTCAGGTATCTCTCCCCTCCTACACAGCCCATTTGAATAGTTACATGCTGCAAACGTCCATGATAAAGCGCATATCGCCCAATGTAGTATTTGTAGGTCACTTGTTGACTGATGGGAAACATATCTAGTTCCAAGCCGCCCGAACTGATATTGGAGATGAATGTTTGGCACATTCTGACAGAATCCAATTTAAAGTACACTTTGAATGCCAAGTTGGTGATGTGAAATATGCCTTGTCGTTTGGAAGTCTCCATGGGTGATCTATCCGCCAACATGATGTTGAATACTTTGGACACTAGTCTAGCTGCCAAGTTGGCTTTGCGAGCTTTTCCTCGTAATCCCATTTTGTCCACCTATTGCCATTCCAGCTTGAGTGTCTATGGTCTCTCACAACAATGAAACAACTTACACGAAATGCTAATTGCACAAGCGATGTTGAGAGCGATTTAATGACGGGCATCATGTAAAACGTATCGGATCCATTGAATACTGGTATTAATGATCTATGTAGACTCCATCAGTCTTCAAATGCTCCAGCAGCATCTCTCTACTTTTTACCTGTAAAAGTTTGCAAACGTTTCAAACACAAAATCAATATCTGTGCTGGTTAGGTAACGAACGACTTCCATGTAGTTGTTCGTAGCCTCTGCTAGTGCATAAGAAGTGTCTTCCAGTATACCATTGATCATGTCTTGTACTTGGTCGTCGCTTGTCTATGAAGTTAAAGCCACTTTGTGAGTAAGACAGTACTTGAACCACACAACGAAATCGTGGTATTACGTGTTGAAGATCTTGTGCAAGTGTGTTTACTGTTGGACTCGAGATGTCGATGGTGATCAGCCTACTAAACAATGCTTCATCTTGCGTTGTGTATGCTTGTTGTATTTGATTGGCAAAATTCCTGATATTTGCCATGATATATTGTTGTCTTTTGTAAAGCAATCATGTAAAACAGGTGTGTGCGTGGTGCTGGTCTAGTATATACTTTAAATTGATAGCCAGCCACTCGACCTGAAAGCGATTTCGAGTCATAAGCTTTTTTTTTGCCCCAGGTAGCATTGAAGCCTGTACGGAAGAAAAAGGTTTGGCGCTCTTCCTATGCCAATACCTGCCATGATAGAGGGGCCATCCTCGATCTGATGGAGCAAGAAGACAATAGTGAGGCTAGAAAAATAAAAATAGAATATCAAAAGTGGTTATATCCGTGTCGACATCAAGAGCCCGTAGTAGATACAGAATAAAATTACATTTTTTAATTATAAATTCAAGCTATCCAAAATCATGCTACAGGTATTTTTATATCTCCAAGGATCCCCACTGACCCGTCTAAATCGCACACCACGCATACCCCACAATAGGGGTATCTTGACAATGTAAATGTCAAATCGCACAGCTAAAGGGTCCTTACTGGTATCCATCGTGTCATCATCATCCGAGATCATGTCTCCACCCATAGAGCACTCGAATCGATCCCTCTTTTCACGGTACAAAATGCTCTTCTTGTTCAAGGTACGAATGATTTCTTGGCGAATGACAGATGCTTTCTTGTTGGATGTCGTCGCTACAGAGAACAATCCCTTTAGATACACAGATTTCACAGCATCGTCTGCTTTCTGTCTTTTGTCAAGATGCACATGTTCCTCTTCGTCTACTGCAAGCACGGGATCACTAGTGGGCAGTGTCAATAGAGCAGAAATAGCTCTGTCTTGTGGATGCTGATGTTGTCGTCTTCTTACTTCTTCATCTTGACCTGCTGATAAACTGGCAGGTCCTCGACGCTCCACTACTGAGGATGGACGACGATCAAAGTGCTTTGCTGCTGTTGTTGTTTTGTGCTCGGTGTCATGTTGTCTGGATGGCAAATCTTTGACTGTAACTGAAGTAGCTCTTTTCAACAGGCCGTTGAACTTTTTGCTCAATCTACCGTCGTCGCTCACATTGCGTGCATCTGATAAGGAGTGCTGTTCAACAAGAACAGGAGAACCATTCAGAGTAACAGTGGGGGCATCTTCCATGGCCGTTTGCTTGGTGATGATTACTGGCACTGCGCCTGAATCACGTCTGCCTTGTCTTGTATTCGCCAAAGGTCCATCTACCTCCTCCTTCTCTTCTGGTTGATGATGTCTGCTCAATCGACGACCAAGACGACGGAAAATATTAGGCTTGTTGGTGGATCCACTCGTGGAAGTAGACGTGGATGCAGAGAGGGTCGATGTGGCTGATGCGTCTGATATCTGTCTGCGATGCCCGCGTCCAAAATCAGGGGAGATGTTTGGCGAAAGAGGAACTACATCCAAGGCATGATTGACAACAGCCTGCTCCTGCTGTGTAGTTTGTTGTTGAACGTGCGTCTTGCCATGTACTGTGTAGGAGACGCCAATGGTACCTTCTTCGTACTTGGATGAACCATCTGACAGATATTCCTGTTGATCCATCTGTCTCTTGGCCAGAGCATCTCTTTGCATGCGTTCTTGCACTAAATAGTAGATGGAGACCAGGGGATGATAGGCAGCAGGTATGGACTGAGGATCATTCAGGGCATAGGAAAATGATCTTCGCCTAAGCAAATGGCTGCAAGGCGCCTCCTCGAAGGGTTGCTCTGACATCAGCTCTACTTGTCTAGCACTGGATTGATATGCTTCAGAGGTAATGATGGCTTCAAGTTCGCTTTTGATGGCTTCTTCTGTACCAAACTCAAACCCTTGCATACCACGCACCACATTCATATCAATGGGCAGTTGAAGTGGTTTCCGTTTGGGCAAGTAGTTTTCTACTGGAGCATCGTAGCCTTTGTTCATCCAAGGATGTACAATGACCTCCGACATGGTCGCTCTCTGTTTTCGATGTGTCACCAACATGCGTTGTAATAAGCTTTTGCAGTCAGATGACAGGTGTCCAGGATACTCTACATGGCCTTGCTTCACTTTGGCGTGCATGCCTGCCATGGAGGGATCGTCAAATGGCACTTGACCTACCACCAATACGTACAGTACTACACCAAAACTCCAGACATCGACTTCAGGGCCCGTGTACATACGACCATCCAACAGCTCGGGCGCAGCAAAGTAGAGTGAGCCGCAAAATGTGGACAGATGAGAGTGAGGAGAGAATACATTGGATAGGCCGAAATCAACGATTTTGATGGTACCAGTCCGAGAGATCAAAATGTTCTCCACCTTGAGATCTCGATGTACAATGGAATTGCGATGACAGTAGTCTACAAAGTGCGCTTAGCTTATCACTCTCTCCTAACAAAATAGAAACTCCATACCTAATGCACTCGCAATCTGTCTAGCAAATTGTCTGGCTTGTCTCTCTTTAAGTTTACCGTGTGAAATGATGTAATCCAACAACTGACCACCATCTACGTATTCCATAAACAAGTAATAAAAGTTGTCCACCAACACCATTTCATCTAGTCGAGCAATGAAAGGGTGATCCAGCAGGAGCATGATGTTGGCTTCTCGGATTGTACGGATTTCTCGACTGATTTCGACATCTCGTTCTTTCTTTGTGGGCGGTGTTGGCTTGTTTAATGTGAGTCTACGGGGAACAATCTTGACAGCTACCTATATCCATGTATAGGAGCATGTTAACTATGTCTGCCTGCTTCCTGACAGGTGTGTTCACTTGCCTTTTCATTTGTCTCGGTATTTAATGCTAATTTCACCTTTCCCATGGATCCTTTACCCAGCGTCTTGGATAGAAAAAACTTGCCAATCACTCGTCTGGGTCTCATCATGGCATGAGTAGCGGCATCATTACTGTTATTGCTGCTGATATGGTGATGGTGATGCTGATGATGCTGAATGTTGCTATTGTAGTTTTGATCGGGATGTGCTTGTATTGGGGACTCCATTAGTTTAGATTTGTTGAATAAGAAAGAAGAAAAAGAGACTATGAAGATTTGAAACAAAGGTTTAAATGAACAAAAAAAAAAAAAAAAAAAAAAAAGTCTAAAATGTTTTATTCAAAAGGTTTTATGTACCAAGCGATGGCGGGCAGCGGCGGTTTGAGATTATTATATGTTTAACGGTAGTTTGTATTAGGAGGATACATTGGGGTCTGTGGCGGCTGTGAATAAGCATGATTAGCATCATAATAGCCTTGAGATGGATAAGCTTGTTGCTGGGAAGTGTAGAAATCTGATGAGGGCGGCAATGAAGTATAGCTCATGGTGGAATTCCGATCGCTGTACACGCTGTTATGGGGCATTGGTGGCATCACATTAGCAGGATAGCCTTGGTGTTGTTGCTGTAGTGGTGGCGGCTGAGCAGAAGCAGGAGAGTAGCCGCCAGCAGTAGGCGGATTATAGACTACAGAAGACATGCCTGACATGGGTTGAATCGTAGGAGATGGCGTATAAGGAGCGTTGTTGGGGACAGCACCATTTGGAGTTTGAATATGAGCTGTACGAGCATCAGCAGCATCAAACGCAGATGTGAATACAAAGATTTGATCTTGAATGACACACTCAATCTTGATTTCAGTCAAACCAAAGTACATGCGAATGGTCAAGGTAACTTTATCGCCTGGTTTGACACCTTCTAATTTAGGCATGCGAATAGGAAAATGACCGACCTTTTGGATTTGTGGATCGGTTGTGAGACGTGGGACAGGCCCATCGCCATCATACGCATACAGATCTGAATCCGTGTCATTGGGATAACTAATCACAAACGTCTTGCTGACACATTCATCGACGCCCACACTCTGTCCCTTGTGCACATACACGCTGAATCGCTGTCGACAGTAGTTTCTTCCATCCACGCCTATCACCGAGAATTCAGGTGGATCCACGTCGTTTTGGAACAACATGCGCGTTTCTACACCATACGTCCGTCGAGACACACGCTCTGTCACTGTCTGTGGGTTCAAGCCAAAATACACAGCACCACGCACCACAGCCAGTTCACCACGGGGAGGTACGCCAATCATACCTACGCGATCTGCAAAGATGTCTTCTACGCGCTTGAACAGATAATTGGACTGGCCAAATCCACCTACCAAGAAGATGGCTTCCAGGATGGGCGATTGCATCAATTGGTTATCAATCAGTCCCAACACTTGTGACACCACTGGCTCAAAGATCTCGTTGCAGAGCTCGATAGCAGGGAGCAGTAAACTCCCGTTTTCGAGTCCAATGGATTCATCTGTTAAATCACCCAAGTCCATTGAAGCTGGTAAATCTAAAAAGTGATCCTCTTCACCATCGAATTCAGGCTAATTTGCACAGGGTTCAGCATGCTTGTCGTATAGGGTGTTGCAAATCTACCCACCTTGATGATATTCACAAATGTCTCCATGATATGCTCCATGGCAGAATCGTTGATGGGTCCAATATGAGCAAATTTCTTCGTGATGTAATCACGCATGCGAGAATCCAAAAATCCGGATCCACACGTAGCACCATGTCCATTGGTCACTTCTTTCAATGTTCGTCTTATGAGGGATAAGTTAGCTTTGCATGATATCACATTCACCCAAATCAACCTACTTTCCAGGGGATTTCTCGTCAATTTCAAAAACTATCAAATCCACTGTGCCACCACCCGCATCACAAATCATAAACCTCTGTCCATGTGATAGATTGAATTGTTCGGATTTCTTTTCGCAATACAATGCTGCTGCTTCAGGCTCTGAAATCAAGGTGAGTCGCTCAGGTGGATCAGAACGTAAAACGAGACCTGCTCGAATAGCTGCTTCACGCATAGCTGCTTTTGCACGATCTGTCCACATGGCAGGTACCGTTAAACACTAACAAACATGATTGAGTATTCTCTCTCTCTCTCTCTCTCTCTATTTTCTTCAATCACACTTACATAGCGAAATTTACTTTGATCGTAATTTCCTGCAAATCCTTTCAGTAATTCAGAGCACACATGATTATGAAACAGCTGTAAATAATCAGCAATGACATCAATGATGTTGAGGTTGTTTGGCAGTGTTTCGTTTTGTAGATGCTCGTCAAGGTACAATTTGAATTTGGAGAGCAATAAAAGATCCGAGCTATTTGGCTTCATGGCTGTTCGTCTGGCTCCATGGCCCCAATCCATGATTTGTGTGGAGCCCTTTCTGTACAACGACAGTGTAGGAGTCTAATTAAATCTTATTGTTAATAGCCTTATTTCACTGATTGCTGAAGCACCTTTTACCTTGGGATACACGTTGTTGTTCTGCTTTGGCCTAAGTTGGGTTCATGTAAGCTATATCTCTTTCAAAACACAATCTCCACTGTCTCGTAGCCCACCATTTCACAATATCAATGACTTCTTCATTCTGTGCAAAAGCGTAACAACATCCCGAGAAAGTAGTACCTAATGAACTGTCAACTGATTTGATTTCTGCATCTACAATAGCAAACCTACCAAAATCAATGCCTACAATAACAGGATAATTGTCGTAGTTGATACCAGAGCCGCTTGATGCCATCTTCTTGCTTTTTACCGGGAAAAAAAAAAAGAGGAATAAAAGAAAATAAAAAGTATAAAAATAGATTTGCCTGTCAAAAAAAAACTCTTCAAAATCAGAGCCATTTCTCCGGCAACACTATGTGGTATATCCACAGGCTATATTCCAGTCTTCTCGTTAATGAAGTGTGCAATGTACTAATTAATTAATTGAAAAGGGCATTGCAATTAGCGGATGCATGAATAAGATGTGGAGGGGGGGGGGGAGAAGCGTTGTGCGGCATGGTTAGTATGTCAAGAACAGTGCTATTTTCTGGAGTGTAAACATGCTGTAAATGGCTTGAATGCTATATCAGCTTTATATAAAAGAGCATCCATTGCAGAAAATATTGGAGTTTGATTATGATATCAATGTCTTGAGTAATTTTCTATAAATTGCAAGATGGAGCAGCTTCTTGGGCTTGACCCTGTTGAACCCAGTTGCCGCAAGTTTATTCTCTGTCTTGTACCAGAGGCTTATTATAAACAGGCTCTCTCTTCAGAATCGAGCCCTCTATTTGATTATCGCCATTTCCCTTCTTCTGTTTGCGCTGGATTTAGCTTGGATTAAGATGGGTCGGCTCATTCAGTCACGCTTTATCAAATTGAGTAACACTACTACCACATTTTATCTCTTCTCTTTTGCTATTCCATTGCAAACACCATGTTCAACCAACAAAAACCAGCGTTTAAATTCGTAATCAAATCAAAAATAGAGCCAAATGCTGTGAATGATATCAAATTAGATACAAAGAAGGATGTAGCAGCGACATCTTCTACTACAACTGCGATAGTTTCAGACGAAAAGAAGCGTAAACGCACAGAAAAAGATGCCACAGCAGCAGCTCCTATTGCCACTAAAAAAGTAAGGATGTGTTATTATTTCGCTTTCATCTTTGGTCTAACTAGAATACACAGGTCTGCAGTCAGTTGGAACGCTGGAATAGAAAGAAAGAAGAGCTCAAACATGAATCAGACCTTCAGACAGAGCAAGAGATGGCCAAATCCGAGTACGCCGACTTGTCTGCAATGGCATGTTTATTATGTCAACGCAAATTCAAGCAGAAATCAGATTTGGAACGACATCAAGCTATATCTGAACTTCACAAAGTACAACACATACATACACGTATCCAAATGTCCATACGTTGTTGCCCAAAAGGGGGGGTGGGGAGAGTGGGAGGAAAGAGGGATTGCTGGGGCAGTGAACTATGGACATGTCAGTTTCGACCTTGTTAAACAAAGATTATGTTTTTTTTTGGCGATGATTTAGAATAACCTAAAGGATCCAATTGCTGTCAACAAGGCCAAACTCAAGCTACAGTTCATTCAAACAGACCAACAAGAGAAAGAAAAGGAGCAAACAGTAGAGGTAAGCAGTATTGACATGTGATGGCTGTGCTGTTCAGAATGTTCACACGATGAAACTAGTATCGCAACCGAGCTGCTGAAAGAAGACAAGCTTATGGACAGCCAGAGAAGCCAGTTTTATCCCCTCCTTCTTCACCTACTCATCATCATAGACAACCATCCATGATACCGAGACGTGAGCAGTAAGTCTCAACTACTTAGCATATTATGGGGCGTGCATGTGTGTATGTGCTAACTCTTTTACAGGCCCATCAACCAAGCATCCATGTATACGCCTATCGCGGATGATAACAAAGGTGCTCGTATGTTGGCCAGCATGGGTTGGAAGAAGGGTGAAGGTTTAGGCAAAGATGGATCAGGTATATTGGATCCTGTTAAGGCAGAAAGCTATGCACAATCTGCAGGTATTGGATCAACAGTCAAAAGAGATGTGGGATCTGGAGGTGGCACTTATCAAAGTAGAACACTCGATACGGTAAGTGGTTGCAAACTGATTTGCATTGAGCAAAAAAAAAAAAAAAAAAAAAAAAAAAAAAAAAAAAAAAAAAAAAAAATGGCTGGAAATGTTACGACATGTGGGTAATTTATTAAAATCAACATCTATATGAAAAAGGCACGAAAGAGACTTTACGGTGATCGTTAGATGAAACATGATGTTTCTCAATAAAGTAGTATACCTTACAATATGTACACGAAATTAAGTGATTTGAAAATTGAACAGATACTTTTCAATATTCTGGCCGTACAAAAAGCCTTTTGATGGCAAAACAAGCCCAAAAAGTGACATAACGGCCCTTTGGAACAAGGCTCGAAGCGCGCGATACAAGCTTGTAAAACTAGAGAGCATACCGCCAGCCTACGGGATCACCGACTTGTATGTTTCGTTCTTGTTTCACTACCAAGAGACACTGCAATACATATCGCTCCACATCGACGAGAAAACGAAATCCGAATGATTGAATATGCATATCAGCAATCTGGAGCAATTCAAGTGTTTAACCAGGTTGACTGTTCGAGCCGACAACAATTACTTTACGTGTTTACAAAAATTGGACGAAATACTTAGAGGTTACGATCACACAAGAGCTTGGAACTGCATATTCAAACCAAACGATACAATGAATCTGATTTGCAGGCGTAAAATTATCACTATGGAGTATCATCGTACTAGCCCATCTATCGCGCTACGCTCAATGTCGGTGTCACCCTGTGGGCTCTCACCAAAGACGTTTTAAATCAGATTTTATAACATTTTGGTATATCAATTAAATTTTAAACAATCAGTTATTAGTTAGTAAAAGAAAGGTTATATCAGAGCTAGGAGGAGGAGAGGAGGTATTTCCCTCAGCACCCTTTTTGCTTACACTGATATTAAACAAAGCCTATTATTGAGACAATGTGAAAGAAAATTCAGTATGTGTACATCACAATTGCCATTTTCTGATAATAGAATTGTCATATCATTCGCTGCTACTGATGCCCTTAACAAGATGGCGACATAAAGCTGGTTAAAAATAAATACAGGACTTGTGTAAGATCTACAGCGACTTTTTTGAGATATCGTCATTGCAAAAGACACCTCCATGAGGCAAAGCTCCCCCAAAAAAAAAGTATTTGCGCTAAGCAATTGTCCTTTCAAGTCCACGATCCCCATTTAATTAGCATCACAATCATCATTGTCATCAACAGAAAGGCATTTAGGTCATCCAGCAGCAAGCCGCCGCCAAAATTGATTCAAACTCAGTTTTTTTTTTTTTTTCTCTGTTCAAGATTGGACAAAATTTGTCTTTTTTCGACTTCTTTCTTTTATTTTACGATATTCGACTATATAAAGTGTAATGATCGCCCTACTCTTCCTAATACATTCTTGAAGTACTTTTTAAGGCGCTTCCAATGGTGCTAGTTGCAATAAGTGTTTTGACTGAAATTATTGAGTAATTTAATAAAATTTGAAATGAGATTTTTAGCGAAAATAGCCAGATTTTGCATATGAAAGCCTCATAACAGTGGTTTCAGAGGTTGCTCTGGATCGAGAAAAACATTTTAATTTGATATATGCCATAGTAAAATTCTTTATTTTCAAGGCGAAAAACGCGATCGTTTGACTTTCGATGAAAATCATGAGGTATCCCTCATGGTTTTTGGTGGATTTTCGACGATCTCAAAAAAAAGTCGAGCAAAGGTGTCAGGAAGCACCTGCTAGTCAAAAGCAATTGTTTGGTGCTACTCTGGTAGGTTAAAACGGCTTTTAGCGCAAGAAAACACGGCTCAGATACACTCGATCTTTGCTGTGTTGTGCATAGTTTTGAGTAGTAAGAGGCAATGCAAGTATTTCAGCTATCCTTATATGAGTTGTTCCTATAGTTACATGCGTGGAGTACCTTAAAAAAAGCCAAATTCATTCTCACCGGTCGTTCATGGAGGAAGTCTTGCGTAGTGTTAGTTTAAATAGGATTAGCAAATCAAAGTTTCTGTATATGTCAAAGCCAATTAAGCGATACAAAATTTAGAGTGTTCTCGTGTAAACACCCAAACAAGACACAAACAGGAGTAATCTAGTGGCTTATGGACGAAAACAAAAAGCCTACTTGATTATTCTACCAATTTCTCACTTGATGAAACGTTTATCTCACATCAAGAAGCGACTATTCACAAAATGACTCGAATTAAACAAGAAGAAAATGCCATGGATATGAAGATTCCTGTTGATATCATGGACCTTCCGATCAACCAACCTCAGCAAGACGCGCCTATCACTATCTCCACAAGTAGCATCAAGAGAGGAAGAAAGAGCTCTGCTTCTCCAAAGCTAGAAGCTGAAAAGGAAGATTGTTCATTGAAAAAGAGAGCAAAAAATGTGGAAGAGGCATTTGTCAGTACAGATAAAGCAGCGGACGCATCTGAAGAAGGTAAACAACGACTGCATGAGCGTAGTATCTATAGGAATCTGACGCATCCGAACAGAAGAAAACAAAGTAATTCCAATGAACAAGGACAACCATTTCTATTGCCGTCGATGTAATATCAATATCAAAGGCTGTAGGGAATACTATGGCCATCTCAGGTCAGAACACAACATCAAGCCCAACATCAATCGAGTCAGACATGTGGATTTGCAGCCAGACATTGATGATCCTAACTTTTACTGTAGATCGTGTGAGAGACCTCATGCAGGTAGACATCAGTACACTACGCATTTGAAACGAGTACATCATATGTTGCTACAACCATTTAAAAAACCCAAAGATAAGGGTGTTCAACCTGATCCTTTCAGCCCCAATCATTACTGCACCGTCTGCAAGAAAGAATTCAGCAAGACAGGCTTCAAGAGGCATTTGCTGTTAGTACACAAGGTGAACCTCAAGGCTCTCCACACATAGCTGCTTTAATGAAGATCTTTCCGTTGTGATATTGACCGGCGTCCAAACACACATGTGGATGAAATGAGCAGCAATTCAATTTGCGATGGTGCCGTAAAATCACACAGAATTATAAACACTCTTCTGTTACATTATTAAATACTTTACCCTTTTCTCCCCTTCTCCTGTGTACTCCACCTCCTGCCTCTCTCTCCTGTTCCTCATCATATACCTTTTGTATATGAATTTTATAGTATTAAATTTCCAAAATGACTGAAAATCTACAACCATTTCACAGTCGACCATCACAGGATAGCGAGGTGTTTTCGTTAAGAGACGAAGACCCTCTATCGTTGCCTTCCGAGACGCTACTCAATGACCACACAACAAAAGAAAGAGCTATACAACAAAAAAAGAGTATCGTCAAGACATCTGCTATCAATCTGTTTTGGATATTGATGTGGTAAGTGTGTGTGTGCGTATGTTGTGAGCGCTGATGATTGCCAGAAAACTCAATCCTTCTTGTAGGTATACTGTAAGGAATCATCTCATCAAAAAAAAAAAAAAAAATACTATGTCTTTTTACTAATTTCTGTGCAGTTTGCCACCATCTTATCAGTCTACAACAAATGGATGTTTTCAGAAGATCACTACAATTTTCAATACCCTCTGTTTGTCACCAGCGTTCATATGATTGTGCAGTTTGTGTTTTCGGGCACATCGTTGCTTGTTGTACCTAAACTACGACCTACTAAACGACCCAGCGCTTCCGATTACATGTAATTTTACCATATGTGCACTGTGTTGTCTATTGAGTGCTCATATATGTGATGCTGTAATTTAGATACAAAGTGCTTCCTTGTGCATTAGCGACAAGTCTTGATATTGGGTTGTCTAATCTCTCACTCAAGACAATCACCCTATCATTTTATAGTAAGATCCTATTGATCCCATCGCTAGAACGCATACTGACACATACACACACTCTGTCTCTTATATAGCCATGTGTAAATCATCTACACTTGCTTTTGTATTGATCTTTGCATTCATCTTTAAACTGGAGAAACCAAGCTGGAAACTGATTTTGATCATTGTCATTATTACAGCAGGTGTTGTACTCATGGTATCGGATGAAACAGATTTCAATTTGGTTGGGTTCATTCAAGTCATGGCTGCTTCTGCTTTTGGTGGTCTGCGATGGTCCTTGACCGAGGTCCTGTTGAGAAAAGAAAGTATGGGCTTGACAAATCCGTTTGCTTCCATCTTCTTCTTGGCCCCTTCTCAAGCCATCATCTTATTGATCATCTCAGCTGGTGTAGAAGGCTATTTCACCATCTTTCATAGTGCCTTTTTCGCTACGTTTGGTGAAGGGTTACATACGGTAAGTGCCAGCAGGGTGCGTATTATGTGCTTGGGATGGTATACTGAAAGTGACGAACCAGATGGGCATCGTTTTGGCAGGCGGCAGTCTTGCTTTTTGTATGATCATGTCTGAATTCTTCTTGATCAAACGTACATCTGTTGTTACTCTCAGTGTGTGTGGTATTTTCAAGGAGGTAGCTACCATCTTTATCTCATCACTTGTCTTTGGCGACATCTTGACCATCATCAACATAATCGGTCTATGCATCACATTGTTTGGTATTGGCTTATACAACTGGCTTAAGTTCAAAATGATTACAGCAAAAGCGCGCAAAGAAACAGCGGCTATTGATGTTGGACAGGAGGAAAACTATCGACTGCGTGGTGCAGTGGGGGATGGTGAGGATGATGAGGGCGACGATGACTATGAACTCGACAGAAGTGCATCGCATCATCTATACAGTACTGTGGCTGAAAGTACACCCATATTGCTTGTCGATGGAGGGCTTTCTGCTTATCGAGACAGTGATGATATCCGGCGCTCTCATGATGATCGTTATGAGATGCGATAAACCTTTTTGATAGACATTTATGCATTTTCTCTAATAAATCCATTGCTCTTTTTATGGACTGGTTTTACTACATGTCAATTGGAAAAGCCTCTTAATTTTTTTAAATATGGACAAACTAGTTTTTTTATCTGGCTTTTGTCTTGTAATTAAAACACTTTAACATCATGGCACCAGCAAAGAAGCAAGCCAAGAAACAACAACAACAACAACAACAACAAATCGTTGAGAAGAAAAAGGTGGCTTCACCTATCAAAAAATCTGTTGAGAAGCCAAAAACACAAAAAGTCCAAGATTTAGTTGAATCTGCTTCAGGCGAGAGTTCAGCTGATGAAGAAGAAGAAGAAGAAGAAGAGGAAGAGGATGAGGATGAGGACATGGACTTGGATCAAGATGCCAATGTCGAAGGCGATGATGAGGAAGAGGACGACGAGTTTGATGATGATGAAATGGATTTAGAGGAGGATGGTGAGTGATGGCATGGTTCCGGATGCTGGATACAGGGCTCTGATGAATAATTTAGGTGCCAAACAACCCAAGAAATACAGCTCAGAAGCCTTCTCTGATGCCATGACTAAGATTTTAGCCAGTACATTGACTGGATCCGACAAGAGAGTAAGTCTGTTAAAGAGGAAAATTGCATAATGGAAAGCTAATACATGCCAAAGCAACCTATTCTTGCTAGATCAAAGGGATTAGAACGCAAGCTCGAAGATGAGAAATTAGACTACAAAGCACGTAAAATCATGTCAGCAGAAAAGAAAGCGCTGAAAGAAAAGGGCCGAGTTATTCCTGATTTCACTACCTTTGAATACGAAAAGAGATTAAGAAAGGTTGCAACAAGAGGTGTCGTTAAATTGTTCAATGCTATTCGCACACAACAAAAAGTGACAGAAGTAGCTGTTCAGAATGCATCAGAAACTCGCAAGACACTTTCAGCAATAGAAAAAGCAAAGAATGGTAGGTTTTGCTTGTGTGATTTCTTTTTTTTTTTTTTGATGATTTGTGTCTTATTTCCTATGATAGTGTCCACCATGTCAAAGTCAAGCTTCTTGGATCTTTTAAAGACTGGACAAAAATAAATCTCTGGCACACATTTTACCCTCATTTCTCTCTCAATAAATTCGCTTGTAAATACAGTATCTATTTATTCAGTGATTTGTGTCGCATATTGATTCAGCAAACTATCTGATTTCAGTTCATCCACGCCCTTCTCCTCGATTGTCATCAATACAGTAGTATCTCCCGTACCATAATCATGTGTCATCAAACAATAGCCAGGAGGCAGTGATCCACCACGACCCGAAGTAGCATGAAAAGGTTTACCCCATCCAAAATCTAATTTGGGTCCTTTAATATCATTCTTACACCAATTGGTCAAGATCAGGTCGGCAGACCAAGAGATACGACCCGGAGGTTGCTGGTTGTTGGGATCCTCAAAGAAGGAGATCTTGTATCCAATGGCTTCTGGTGAGAGCTCCTTGGTCAGGGCAGTTCGAATAGCCAATGCAACTCGAGAGGCGGATGCGGGAGAAGCGTCCAAGAGACCTGATCGAGAGATTGTAGCGTTCCAGAGTGGATTGAAATTGCCAAAGTAATGACCTCCAGCCATATCGTTCTTAGGTGCTCTATCACGGCCATCTGCAGCCATAGCCACTTGTTCATGAGGCTCTTCCTCAGACGATCTTCCTTCTAATCGAGGCACTGATGCATGTTCACGAGCTCGGGTAATCACACCGCATACTAACGAGGCTAATGCATCACCAGATGAGATCCAGCTAGTGGGATCTGAGGGTGACAGATCCTCCTTGAGCCTTTTCATGTCACTACTTGTAAACTTCCAAAATGTTACTACAGAAGGCACTGATAGATAGGCAGGTGGACCGAGCGCAGGTTTGTCTAACAAGAAGAAAGGTGAAGGAGTTTTGGTTGCCGATGTTGTAGTCAATCCTTGGAAGAACCTGCCAGGTGTATGTGTCCAGTCATCAGGAATGTGGTTGAAATCAATGGGCTCGCCTCTATGGATCAGGGCCCATAGCTCCAGAAAATCAAGTGTACCTCGCAAATCTGTAACTTGATGACTGAAAGAAGAGGCCACAGCTATCGTGCCGCATGAAAACTAAACACTGTCCAAGTCAACTCACCATGCCATGTACTTTGCTTTGCCTCTTATACCTGTGTCACTTTGACAGCCAGAACACTCGCTGTTTCAGCAAGTATCACTTCTTGACGAGGTCCAATATCATCCGTATCCCCTTGGTATAGTGTTGATTTCTTTTCGACGAGGAACGGAGTCCCCTTATTGTACTCGAAACCCATCAAACTATAGATATCGCTCTTTTCATCACTCTCAATTGTACCAGCAACAGGTGGATACAGTTCTAGCGCTTCAGCCAGTGAATCTTTGAGTCTGTCTACCAGTTGGTCAAATGTAATGACGCTCGCGTCTTTAGGTGCATGAAAGAACCGATGATTACGAATTTGTATAGGTGAACCGATTCGATCGAGGCCGTGGAGTACAACTCTAGATGGCGGAGAAGGACGATTGTGTTTGTTGCTGGGATAAATGATGTACGTTTCCACTGACATGTTTAATAGTAGAAAAAGGTACACATTCAAGATGGCTACATTTATGCTCAACTAACCAATAATTGACATCTGCCGCAGTCGCTTGGAACACCAAGATTTGCTGCTGCAGCGGGCGCTTTCATCAGAACCGGGATTGTGGTTTGACAAGTGCGCGCTCGGTGCATCCATTGATAGTGCTCTAAATGTACTCTGCTGCTGCACCAAGAGCAACGGTATCTAATTGAAAAATGGTCATCTATTGATAGATCCAGCTCCAAGAATTAATATATATATATATACATCCTATAATGTTTTCAATGAAAACTCGAGTATACATACATTCACAACTTGTTCAATTGGCATATCAGATCAAAATTATTTTATTATGTACAAAATCTATTACAACTTTTTGCTTCTTACAAATCCCACACAATCTCTGTTACATACATGGACACGGTTTGTCTTGATTCTCCCAGGGCATCCAAATCATCCACATGAATCTTGAGTTGACCCGGCATACTTTCCTTTGGATTTGAGATGGCAATTTGCAATGTTGTGGTGCCTCCAGGTGCCACTATACCTGTACGATCTTGATTCAAGCCAGAAATCATAACGATTTCATGCGCAGGAAATTCAGCAGGACCTTCCACTGTGACCTTGAAGCGAAGTGGTACCTTGATGGCATGGTTGATGATATTGAGAGGCAGATTCTCTGGCATGCAAGCAGAATCCATGATATCCGAGCTCTCTCCATTTTCACTGTCTTGATAGTAGGTTACCAGCTTGAAATCAAGTCGACGCTCACTGAGAGCAAATGTAGCTGTTTCATCCAATGCACATCGCACCGGTATCATTTCTCTCATTCTGCTGGTTCGAGGAGCGCCTCCTCTACCTTCCTCCTCGTCTTCCTCGTCTTCCTCTTCATCTTCTTCAGCAGGACGTGTTGTCACCCACAATTTAGCCATGATGATACCAGAAGGATCTGTGAATTCAGGTCGATTGCGAGGTAAACGCGATGCTTCATTGGGAGAAGCTCTGACCCTGACTTCAATACTGCCTTGAGGACCAATGGCAATATCGCCATGCAGTGGTGAATTGGTATAACGTGACAAGACATCTAAATGCACATAGGGACTCAATTCAGGCGTAATATCAGCACCAATCTCGAATCGCAAATCATCGTCCGTCTTGTTATGAATGACAAACCAGTTATCGCAAGGCGCATTTTGAAGAGCAATGGGATGATGTAACGTAGGCAACACCAATTCGCCGTTACTGGAGAGCCGTTCAAAACGCAACTCAAACACGGTCATCAGGGCCTTGAGATGCAAATGCATGCTGTTGGCATGGTTACGAAGATTGTCAATACGGACATCAAAGCGGTGCAATCCAGAGGTTTGGTCAGGCATTTCCTTGGGCATCAGTAAACCTTCAATACGCTGTGTCTTGCGAGAAGGGATGTAAAACATCTTTTGCTTGACGGCCACACCGTTGCGATCCAGAGGCGTAAAATTGATGTATTTAGGTGCATTGATGTCATATGTGGCAGGCACGTCTGCCAAATTGCTGATTTGAAATTCGAAACGAGCAGGCTTGAAGGAAGTGCTGTGTCCAATCTTGCCTAAATCAATACGGTCCACCACCAATTCAGTATGAGAGACACAAAACAAGGCTTCCAGTTCCAGGGCAAGCACCTCAATGTTTTGACGCGCATCGTACAAGACCATCATACCCTTGAGAGACCCACTTTGGCCGTGAAGTGCTAATGAGCGACCGTCTTCATCTAGTTTCTCAGCAGAAGGGTTATGCAAACGCACACGGATACGTTGACCAGGCTGCAAGGAAAGTTGGCCACTGCGTTGAGCAAACAAGTTGTCCTTGTGCTCCAGAGCCACTGCCTTGACCTTATCTTCATCGACGGCAAAACCAGCCGTGATGTCCACATCACTCATGACCACCAATTGCATGGGCTGACCTGATGTGTTGGCAATATCCAGTTCACGCACATAGAGACGATGCGCATCTGCTTCAGGAAGTTCCATGATTTGAAGCACTGTCTCCTCTTCTTGTGCAGCTGATGTCGTCACAGGACTAATGTAGATACTCTCCCACTTGATCAAAGGCAAGGGATCTGCTTCACGATGGTCTGTCTGGTCGTAATCATCATCCGCATATCCGTTTTGATGGCCACTGCTTGACTGTAACAGCAGCTTTTTGGAAGGTAAAGCCCAGGCGTCCAATTTCTTGCAGTCCACAAATAATCGCACATCAATCACAAACACTTCTTGGCTATTTCTCTTGTTGGTGACAATCAGCTTCTCATTCAACAAACCATAACGATACGCGCTGATGCGAAACGTAATTTGCGTCAAGGAAGCAGGCACAGAATTGAAATCATCATAGGAGCCACGACGCACACCATCAATGCTGCAGGAACTGTCATTGGCGTGAAGGCTCGCCAAACTTCCCTTGCGTTTCTTTTGATCATCCGTGCTGCTGGTGTCCAGATAACTCATGTCTGTGTCTCTTCGCAATTTAGTACCGCGCCAGCCATGCAACGTACCACCACGACGATCCAGTTCAATGTTGGCACTGGAGCACTCGACTTCATAATCCAGGGGCAACTCACCCGACTTGTTCTTGATAGTGAAAGCACCATAAAACTCTTTTTGAAGCAGATCCGTGTAGCCCATATTGATCACCTTGTCAGAGACTTCCAGATGAGATTGGCCAATGATGGAGATAAACTTGACCGTTTGTGTCAACATGAGCAACATGTTCTGGTCTTGGTCTTGGTCTTGCTGCTGCTGTTGCTGCTGATCTTTTTCATAGACGGAAAACTTGATACCACCCACCAGCTCACGACATTCATCTGCTGAATTACCAAGATAGCCTGTCAGTAAATTAGGCTGAACAGCCACCCACACAGTGGTCATGCTACCACATTTCAGGGGCATCATCTCCACCAAGCCACGTTCACCTGCCTCGTCCATAAAAATCAAGACTTGATGAGACAAGTTACTTTGACACGTAATAAAGACATCTTGTCCAGACTTGTTCTCTACCAGCAAAGGCGTCACCTGTGAATATTTGCTTCCTGGATCCACGTATGAGAAACCAAGATCCAACACACCATTGGCTTCATCTGCCAAAGAAGGGAACTCCAAATACGTGCTGCAATGAACCAAGCATTCAATGGTAAATGGTTGCAAGGAGCCAGTACGCTTGTTTCTGACAGAGAAAGTGTATTGTTGTTTACCTACTTGCGTTGGCTTGATACCGTAACGGATCTTTCTGGTTTCGCCAGGTAAAAGCTCCTTGGATGCTTCTCCGCCTGCATCAAAGTCGAATACAGAGGGCACTTGTGCTGTAGACAAGGCAAATCCAATCGGCTGTTGAGAGGTATTGGTCACCTTGACATAAAAAACGGCTTCTTGGTTCAGTTCCACACGACCACCATCGAAAAAGTGTCTTTCCAGCTGAATGGCCTCCGGTTCTTCCTCTTCTTGTTCAGTGGGAGCCGCGCTGGTCTCGCTTTGGCTTGCATCTGAACTTGTGTGTGGCGTAGTAGCAGCAACAGCACTGGACTTCTCAGCTTGAGAAGTCGCATTAGCAGCATTAGCAGCATTAGCAGTAGCCATGGCAGCAGCATCCGCTCTAGTCGATGCAGCACCCGTATTTTCACCATCATTCTCAAGCGCTAGAGCATCAATATAGGCAGCTTCATCTGTATACACCTCTGCTGTATAGACAATACTCTTACACACATCTGTATTCTTGTATTCATGCACCAAAATACGGCCCTTGACAGAAATAGCTTCCTCGGGTTTCTTGTTGTCCTCCTGAGCATCTTCAGCAGTTTGGAATGGCCGCAACACAGGTTTGAAGGTAACAGACACCGTCTTGGAAGCATGCGCATCCAAAGGAAACACCACGCTCTCTGCCGTCTTTTTAAACACAATGTTGCTCTCCTTGATACTACTGGTGGCAGCAGCAGCTACAGAGACGACCGCATTGGTACTGGAAGAAGTAGTAGTAGCAGCATCAGCATCGCTCTTGGTCTTTGCAGGCGATTTGGCAGATTTGGCAACTTTTTCCTCTTTGTCCTTGTCTTTACCAGAATCAGCATCTTCCTTGTCATCGTGGTCCAAATTCTTAAGCTTTGCCAATTTACGCAAATACTTCTTCACCTTGTCTGGTTGAGCTTTACGCTTAGCAATCTTGAGCTTCTGTTCCAAGTTTTCAATCTCTTCCTCTGCTTCCTTGGAGATGGTGTTTGTGTCGTCTTCCTTGACATCAAAGTCAAACTCGCCATAGTAACGACCAAAGATGACTTCGTTGGGATCCACACGCACTTCAAACATACGCGATTGCTTGTTAGTGTTGGTCAACACGATGGTCTCTGTACGCTGACAGGGCTGATCCACTAAACAGCGGCCAAAGGACATTTCCAATGACTTGATCAAGAAGGTCGATGGTTTACGCACTTGCGCCTTGAGCAGCAACACTTGGTCGTTGGTGCGATCACGGATGTTCTCAATCACCAGTTTCTCCATAAAGGGGCCGGACAATGTCGGTTCAAACACAAACTCGACTTCACGTTTACCGTACGAACGGACAACACCATAGCGACCCACATCCAAGTCAATGTCACCCGAGGCAATGGAACCAGACTTGCGAATGGCGTACAGCAAAGGTGTTTCGCTGCGATTGTGCAGCACAATCGTCTTGGCATGACGCTCGTTTCTCTCCACCAGACCAAAGTTGATGTTCTTTTGACCCAGATCCATGACAGAACGACACAATTGAGAACGCAAAATAACTTCACGCACAGGGATATCCGTTTGATTTGTATCCAGCAGATTCTCAAACTCGGTTTGTTCAATATCACGATCAAATTGCACCAACCTCAAAAAGATGCGTGCGTCTTGTTTCTTGGGAGCAGACTGAATATGAGGCTTGGTAGCACCACACGGTGTAATCACAATCACGACCTCTTCCTCGCCCTTGGGATCCACGTCCACCAACGAGGTGCGCACCAATACACCCTTCTCTATCAGACGGTCCAATTCTCTACGCCATGCCAATTGGTACCGCACAAACTGTTCCTCTGCAGATTGTTTGGGAAACAGAGGAGGGGATGCTTTGGAACCATGTTCCAGCACAGAGATCAGGTCCTCAAAAGGCACACGAGATTTGCCTGCAATATCTGACCAGTCCAGGTTCTTGCGAGACTTGTAGCGAGCTGCTGTAATGCCCAGTGATCGCTTGGTCTTGGCATTTCGTGTACCATAATTGTTGTGGCGCGTGTGGCTGGATAAGCGAGATGCGTTCTTGGAGGCAATAGAAGGTGAAGCTGTAGCGGTGCTGTTGCTGTTGTTGGGCGTAGACACACGCAGATGATGGCGACCGCCCGTCGTCAGTAGCATATCTTCTTTACCATGCTTGGTGTGCTTACCACTAGCAGCAGCAGAAGCATTGCTCTTTTTAGTGACCATTTGACGTGGGTGGTGTTGCGACTTGTTGGACTGAACAGCATCCTTGGTAGCACACATATCCTTGTTATCCACACAATCCTTTTCTTCAGGTATATGCAACAATCTGCTGTGAAGTCCCTTGCGATGATGATGCTTGAGGAAGCTGGGATCTGAATTGACCTGAATCATCTTTCGTCTGTAGGATTTGAGCGAGTGCAATGGTGGTAGAGCAAGGTCCAGATAGGCAGTAGAAGAGTGCGCTTGATCCATTTTAAGCTGCTGCACTGATTGACGCATACGTCTTGCTGCCATGAGCTCCTTTTTAGCATCAGAGGTACGTCGTTTGTTGGTGGCTTCTGATTCAGAGGTATGCTTCTTGGTCTTGGCTGTGTCCTTGGAGCTGGAGCTGGACAAGGATTTGGGCTTGGCAATACGACGATTACTGATGGACTCGAGCAAGAGCTTGGATCTGCGTCTATTACTCAGTGCAGGTGTCAGTGAAGTAGCGGGTATATCAGCAAGCACATCTCCTTTTTCAATGGCTTCTGCTGTGATGGAGTTGGACAGCTTGGAAGACGACGACAGATTGGCAGAAGTGGTGTTGGTAGCAGTGGCTATCATGGCAGAAGCAGCATTTAGAGCAGCAGAGGACGCAATGGCGCTCGTGGAGGTGATGGTGGCGGCGTTTGCAGCAGCAGCAGCATTAGGCAGCGCATTTTCGTTGACCTTGTTCTTGTTGCGCGTATAAATGGCAATATCCTCTGGCAGCGACGTTGTGATTTCCAACTGCAATGGCTTGTCTCTGATATTCTCTACGGTAAATGTTCTCAAGGAAGGCGAATTGAGGGCGATCGAACCAAAATCCAGGAAATTAGCACCTGTAGCTGTGAGAATACGGTAAAACAGCGAGTGGAAGGTCACTCTGTTCTTGTCAATGTTGGTACTGTGCACTTCAATAATCTGATCATTGTCCTTGTTGAGGAAGTTGACCAGCGTAATCTGCTTTCGGTAGTCTGGATTGACCTTGCGCGGGTACAGATCCAACTTGAGCTCCACGTAGCTTCTTGGCTGAATGGTGATTTCACCACGCAAACAATTGAGCACCTTTGAACTAAACTGCAACTCCACACGTGCCAGGATATCAGACCGATTAAAGATATTAATAGGCAGCGACTTGAGCGTACCCACATCTGTATCACCAAAATTGATCACTTTGGGTATGGCCTCTACAAAAGAGGTGCAGGTTCTGGCTCGACATTGAATCACCTTCTTTTCTTTTGCTTCCTCTGTGCGAAAAGTACCGTACTCGAGTAAGATTCTAAAGTTGCGACGGATCAATTGTCCTGCATTAAAGTCGGTGATGGAGGCGTCTTTTTGCGGTCGGTAGGAGACTTGAATCACTCGCTCGGTACCTGGTTTCAAGACAAAGTCCTCAATACGGGTGTAGCTCTCTGTCGTGCTCAGCGTCACAGGTGCATTAGAGGAAGAGGTGACCACAGACGCAGCAGATGCAGTAGTAGCAGATATCACCGTCGAGGTTTCATTGAAGGAGCTGGCTTCTGTAAAGATACTGCCATCCACACTCATCAAGCCGCCCATGCCGCCAGCATCAGAATCAGAGTCCTCGGGAATGGTAGCGTGCGACGGAAAGTGAATACGGGAACCATTGGGCGACTCGGTCAATGCAGGCGAGAAGAATCCATCATTGTCTGTTGTAGTACGAATAGGTGTAGGGGACGACGATCGTGAGCTCAACTCGCTGTTGGGACCTGACAATTCGCTGATGCCTGTCGCTGGTGTATTCATGCCACCTGTATTGGTTCGACTGGCACTGTGATTGTTGTATTTGCGTCGCATTGAATTCATTCTAGTGTTATCCATACGCTCTGTATAGGCTGTTGCTTCACTCGGTTCCACTACAGTTGTATCTTGCTTGATATCAAAAATGACCTCAGCACCTTCTGGTAGAAATCGGACTTCCACAGGGGATTCACTGACATTGTTGAGCACAATTTGTTGTACTGCCCAAGCACCAGATATACAATCGCCAAAATCCACAACATGGCCACTACTGACGATCAAAGTCTCCTTTCTCAGCACGGATCGTACAGTGGCATGTACCTTTGTCTGTACCACATTGCGTGCATCATTGGCATTCTCCACCTGTAGATCGTAATTGTATTCACCCACTTCTTTAGGCCAAAAGAGCATACGCACTTGCTTGCTGGAGAAGCTGGAAATAGGTTCGTCTGATTTCAACGCATCGCCTGTGTCTGCATCAATGAACTGCAGCCAATCTCGACCGTTGTTGCTAACGAGGTCCATAGTGTTAAGTAGCCAGTAGAGATCAATCTCAGATCGATTTTGTATGGTGAAATCCTTGTAATAAGTCTCGCCCAGTACGCAATCATCAAAATTTAAACCAGTTTCTGCAACATCTGTCCATAGTGCAGACTGACACACACTTGCTCTGAATTTCACAGAAACCTGATAGTCGGCTAAACTGGACGTTGATAGCACATCCTTTGTAGTGGCACTGTCGTTGTCTGTCAGACTCTTGTTGGCTGTATTGTAATAGCCAAAGAAAAACAAGCTGCCTGTAACGTTAAACATGCTGTATGTCTCTGTATCATCGTCATGAGTGGTTGCGGCTGCCACTGACATGTCAAAGTCGTCTTCATTCTGTTGCTGCTGTTGGGGACGAGCATCGTTGTCGGTTTCCGGTAAAAAAGCTAGTATAAAACTGCGAGTTTGACCTGGTTCCAAATCAATCTGATCAATGTGGTTGATATAGTTGAATAGTTGATTGAACGGGTATTCTTCAGCTGCTTCACGAGACCAGCTCACAGTGTTGGTTGTCACGATGCTTTGTAATGTGGATTCCGGTAGACTGGATATATTCTCATTCTCTAATTGGAATGCTATTTGGTTGCGTAGATTGGACCTCATCTTGACAAGTATAGGCTGATCTGACAAGTTTTGTATATCCAGCCTTCGAAGTGCATGCAATCCATTCAAATAGACATTGTCTAATGTAATACGGCCATAAAGTCCAGTCAGCTCAAACATTGGGCTGCTCGTTGTGGATGTGGAAGGAGGTGCTGCTGCTGATGCTGTCGTCTTGTCATTCGATAATGATGCTGGTGGTTCATGGCTCATTATTATAACTGTGCACGAGTAGTGTGAGTTGAAGGGGGGCAATGTCATTTCATATAGTACAAGCGCAACTTACTGTATATACAGAGAAAGGGCAAGAGTTTGCTGCTATAGATGTAGGTACTTATGTCCGCTCCTTCTTGGAATCTGCTTGTAATCTTCCCTTGCGAGGTCTAGTAGAATAACAAGGTGGGATGGGCAAAAAGAAGTGTAGCGAAAAGAGAGGAAAAGAAAAGAAAGAAAGGAAAAAAATCAGCAACTGACAAGGCATTTCCGCATCTAAAACATAATTGTGTTGTATACACAAATCTTGTGTCACGTGCTGTATTCAAGATCTTGATTTTGATGCAATGTGTTTATAGTATACACCATGTTCTGTATTAGCAAAGTAATGGATTGTATGATGCTATCATTGGATATATCTGTTTTGGCTAGCAGTGTGCTTTTAGACTATAAAGTATTCTACTTGCGAGGTAAATATAATGGTTCTTGTTCTCGAACCCTAAAATGTTGCTTGAAGGGAATACAATAAGAGAACCACTAAGATTTGTTTGTTGTGATTCGTACCAGCATGGATTACGTTGTTGAGACAACTTGGCTTTTTGTTTGTGAGTAAATATGTACTCTAGATGTGGAATACACATTGTGTACGAGATCATAATTGTGAGTGCCAGGTATAGTGAGAGGTAGAGAGAGAGAAGGTCGAATCGCCTGATGATTTTTCAAATCATTCCTTATATATACGAGCCTTTCGACACTTCGGGTGGTTTCCTAGTCTACGCTTCGCTTCGGTGAAAGCCAACTTGCACATCGGCAGCTCGCGCTACCGATTGCCCTTGCTCATCTTACCAAAAAACTACTACTTTCATGTTGACCCTCTACTTACACATGATAACTCTTCATATTTTCTGTGGATCTGATTCTTATGTGATGCTCTACATCCATATGCATGTAGCTACTTCATATACGAGCAAGCAGCATACTGGTATTTCCTCTTTTTATTCCTTAGTGTCCCTGATACAGCAAAATCTGAATGTATTTGAGCTGCGTTTTAGGCCGTTTTAGGCCGTTTTAGATGGTCAGAATAGCACCAAACAGTTGCTCTCATCTGGCAGTTACTTTCTGACACCTTTGCTCAACTTTTTGGGGATCAAAAAAACATGGACAACATTCGACCAAAAAGCATGAGGTATCCCTTATGGTTTTCATCGAATATCAAACAATCGCGTTTTTGACCTTGATAATGAAGACTTTTACTATGGTATATCTTGAATCAAAATGATTCTCTCGATCTAACGTAACCCTTGAAGTCATCTTTGTGGGACCTTGATATGTAAAATTTCAACATTTTGGCCAGAAACATCTTTTCATATTTTCGTAAATTACTCAATAAGTTTATTTAAAACATCTATATTACTTGGTACCATTGAAAGCGCCTTGAAAAGTGCTCCAAGGAAGCTTAAGGAGGTATGGGGTGATCATCATATTCTGTATAGTCGAATCTGCAAAAATAGTCAAATCGAGTCGAAAATTTTCTAAAATTGGCCAATCTGGGAGCAGACTATGGTTTTGGGTTTGAATTAATTTTGGTTGATGGGGCTGGCTGGCAAACCCAATGCCCTTTTCGTAAGGCAATACAGTGATAGATGTTTTTAAAGCGTATGGAAAGTAGGTGCCAAGTCATAACACTATCGTGTATCATGCTATTTTCGTGCATTCTATATGTAATAACGTTAATCTGGACATTGACGATTCATGGGCTGCATAACATGTCTGCAGTAAGTAGTGAAATCTATGAGGCTTCGGGTCGTCGTTTGAAAAAAAAACGTTGACAGCATTGAGCAGAGGAAAGACGATAAAAATAAAAGTGGATTTTGTTGATTGATTGTAAAATTATTAATCATATATGAGCCAGGTCTGACAGATGCCTGGAAACTCAGTTTTCATATTATTATGGTTGTAACAGTGTCTAAGGACTGAACATTTAGTATAATATGATGATATTCAGTCTGACCTGCTGCTCAGTGGATATCATCAGAGCTCCTTTAGGACTACATGTGTAATATGTGCAAGTGGATGAATGCATAGATCTCAATGACATAACAACAGGTTCTCAACGAGTTGGATGAAATACAATTTAGCTATTTATTCTTATTGTACAACTGAGTACACCATGTTTGAATGACACGAGACACATACAGGGAACGAGGGGACCAACTAATGTAGCTTACATGGTGACCAGCCTGAAATTAAGCCATGTTAGTTTGATGCAGTAAACGTATATTGAGTGAAGCAAACTTACAGGCAATAAAACAAGTGTACATGTGGAATTGGGAGCAGTGGCTATTAGAATCAAAACTGTCAATACCATTGCCATTCCAATGGCATTGTACATACCTTTGTCAAAAGCAACCTTCATTGCCTTGGATATTTTGCTTTCAGTCAAACTATCTCTTTCACCAGCAACCAACAAGAATGGCACTGGATTCTTTGTTTTAGGTACCAACGCCAAAGGTGAATGTTGATTTAAAAAGTCCATGTCTACTTTGTCCATATTGGCTACTTTCTTGCAAAAGAACACAGCATTGTGAGGTTCATTGATCTGATCCAATGCGCCACTGAGACACACAACGCCATGGACAGAGGTATCGACATCCTCGAATCCAGGTTGGAACTGAGGATTGTTGACTGTCATGGATGCCATGGAAGCTAAATGAGCACCAGCAGAATCCCCTGTATATGGGTGTGAGTACTGTTTATATCAAGAGAGTTGCTAGTTTGCCTTACCTGACAATACAATGAAATTGGGATCACCACCAAACGAAGCAATATTCTGCTTTAACCAACGGATAGCACGTTTTACATCCATCAAATGAATAGGATAAGCATTCTTGGGAGCTAAACGGTATCCTATGTTTACAGTAATCTAGACGCCAATCCATCAATATGCTTCCAATCCCATTGTCTCGATGCCTCCAACTTTACCCAATTGTTCTCTGCAATCATCACTTTCTGGAATGGATAGAATGTATCCTTTGAACCCATTCTCCATGCTCCGCCATGAATATGAACCTTAAAGTGAATAGGTTAATTAAGAGGATGATTTGTCTGGTTTACATAAACATCAATGTACCAAAACAGGTCTTAATCCAGCGCCATTAACAGATGGTGACTCTTGAGAAAAGATATCCAGCATCATCTTTCGTGGCTGGTCAAAGTCTTGGTTGGTTGTGTCCAATGCCTCTCTGATTTCCTCGTTGGTTGCGTAAGTAACTAATACAATGTTGTTAGTTTTCCATATCTCCACAAGTTTGATCAAGACTTACTATTGGAGTGAACCTTGATGTTAGCGGGTGTCCAGACGGGATTGATCAATTTCTTTAGATCCTCCAAGCTACGAGTGTTGAAAAAAGGGGTACATTAGACGAAACAACACCCAATGAAAGCAAGTCTTACCGGATGATACTCGCCATAGGCTTACTGTTGTTGTCCAAGGATTGAATCGCTTCATCTGCGACACTTTTATCCTTTAACATTTCAAAGAACAGAATAGCCAGGCCGCCAAAGTTGAGGATATCAGCGAAATAGAACAACCAAGCCAAAGTGTAATCTATGAGACGATGGTTAAGTATACTATGCCTCGCTCAATGGCATATATCCTTACTGAATCCGCCCAAGAATCCTACAATCTTTATCCACACCAAATTGATAAAAATGATTTGTAGCGAGAATTCAGTTACCATGGAGGAAGTAACTTCGATAATGAATAGGTAATTTCTAAGCGAATGTGCAAACAACTGTCGAATGATAGGCTTGTCAAATGCACATACGATGAAGAAAGAGTAAAACAGCACAGAGAATATGTAGCTAGTCGCAGCAAATGCTGCTATGAGGGCAAACATTGAATAGAGAGAGAAAAGGAAAGGGGATTTTTTTTTTTATTACTATCACGCCCCTTTTGAATACAAGAGTGTGTGTATCCAAGCAAGTGTTACAGAAGAAAAGCGTTACAGTATCACTCCATCTGTTGCAACAGCATCATTGTCATGTGAAAAACTTATTGTTAAAGCTCCACGTAAAAAAAAAACGTATAAAATGCTAATCTGCTATCTACATTTCTTCCTTTTCTCTTTACATATCATATTTATATACAAAGAAAAATGAAAAAATCGGTCAACAAGGAAAACACAGATACAAAATCGGATAGAAGGATTGTTTTGCCAGATATCAAAAAGGTATCTGAAGTGATTCCCAATGTGCCCGAGGTGCATTGGGCTCCTTTGACAGGTATCCCGTTTGAAAGAAGAATTCAAATGGCTGTTGTCTTGATGTGGATCTTTCTCTTGGGCAACTGCCTTACTCTCTTTTGCTGCTCTCTGTTTCTTCCGTTCTTATGGCCTTTGCATATCGCTTACATTATTTATCTTTATCGCGATCAATCGGCAGAAAATGGTGGTCGTCGCTCAGAATGGTTCCGTCGCTTGCCTATCTGGAATTACTATGCTGGTTATTTTCCTGCCAAGTTGGTCAAGGTAAGTTTGCCTGTATCTGAAAGATACTCTCCAAATGCCAATCGCTCAAATGCTATTAGGAGCAAGACCTTGATCCCAAAAAGAACTATGTCTTTGGGTCGCATCCACACGGCATCATCAGTATCAGTAGTTTGTAAGTGCCATGATCCCATAGTATAGCAACTTGATGCTCACATTGGCCTTTGCAGTGCTAGTTTTGCTACAGAAGCTACAGGCTTCTCTCAACTCTTCCCTGGCATCATTCCCTCCCTACTGACTTTGACAACCAACTTCAAGTTTCCCATCTATCGCGACATCATTCTTGCGTTGGGCATTGCATCTGTTTCACGCCACTCTTGTGAAAAGATTCTATCGTCTGGTCCTGGCCGCTCAATTGTCATTGTCATTGGAGGCGCATCTGAATCACTAAGTGCTCGTCCAGGCATCGCTGATCTCGTATTAAAAAAGAGATTGGGTTTCATCCGTATTGCGATTCGACATGGAGCTGACTTAGTGCCCGTGTTTTCATTTGGTGAGAATGAGTTGTATGAACAAGTCGATAATTCAACAGGCAGTTGGCTTTGGAAGGCACAGAAAAAGATGCAACAAGCGCTTGGATTCACTATGCCATTATTTCATGCGCGTGGTATTTTCAACTGTAAGTCTATTAGTGGGGAATGGGGCTGCGTAATTGTCAAGTGTAATGAATGACATGTTATGTGTATATCTGCTTAGATAATGTCGGTTTGATCCCTTACAGACATCCCATCGTTACTGTTGGTAAGTGCGCTTTTGAAATGTAGCATTGGAGTTACACTAACTGTCATATGAAAATTTTGTGTTCTAGTTGGAAAGCCTATTCCAGTACCTAAATTGAAACCAGGTCAAACGGAGCCTACACAGGAACAGTTGTTGGAAACACAAGCATTGTATATTCAAGAGTTGGAATCCATTTACAACAAGTACAAGGATGTGTATGCAAAGGATCGAAAGCAAGATTTGCGCATTGTTAGCTAGGTCTAACTTGTCTGGCATTTATAAGTTATTATTCCATGTGTACATAAATTATCATTTTTTATTTGATATTCATGTTGCAAAAACGATGGGGTTCAGATATGTTGTTCATATGCATCTTGTATGATATCTTTTTTTTTTCTCGGTGTTTGTTACCTACTGGTCATCATGTGGTGACAAGAAGCGTTTTGTGCTGTTGAAATAGACTAATTCTGCCTTAATCGAAGAAATCTTACAACTTTTGTGAGAACTAACTCAAGTGGTGGCATTCAACACTGTTGATTACACTCGTCCATCTCAATACACTATCGAATAGTTTACTAGGGTAGACTATTTAACGCTCCACTGCTATATGGGGCTATCTATAATTGGGGATTTGGCTCTTCTACGATGCACCACGTCTGTATCATTGGAGACGGCTCATGTAGTAGCAGACAGCATACTCGCATTGCCTTAAAGTACTCTAAATTACGTCAAACAAAGCGAAATTTTGATGCATTTGAGCCGTGATTTCTCATGCTAGAGGCCGATTTGGACCTCCAGAATAACACCAAACAATTGCTTTCGACTAGTAGGTGCTTCCTGACACCTTTGCTCAACTTTTTTGAGATCGTCGAAAATCCACCAAACACCATGAGGGATACCTCTGATTTTCACCAAAAATCAAACGATCGCGTGTTTGACCCCAAAAATGCATACTTTTACTATGACATATATTATATCAGAATGTTTCTCTCGATCCTAAGCAACCCCTAAAGTTACTTTTGCGAGACTTTCATATGTAATATTTCAACATTTTCGCCGAAAACAAGATTTCATATTTTTGCGTATTGCTCAATAGACCTGTTCAAAACATCTAAGTTTATTAACATCGTTGGATGCGCCTTAAAAAGTACTTCTAAAAAGCATTAAGAAGCACTGGTCGATCATCACAGTTTACATAGTCCTTTTTTGCAAAATAAGTCGAATCGTGCTCAAAATGTTCGAAAGTGGACGAATCGCGATAGAATGTCAATCGGAGATTAAATAAAATTTTGGCTGGCAATATCAATGCCGTTCTCATTATCAAGGTAGCTGACGCTTCTAAATGCTTAGAGAAAAGGATCATGCACTAGAATATAGTGTCATTTAACCCTGTTTTTTTTTTTTGTTCTGCTTCAATTAGTGATTATTTTAAGAACATGATAGGTTTGGTCGCTGTAAAATGCCCGTCTGAGATGCGAACCTTTATGCGAAATGCTAAATTGGCGTTTGCGTAATTCGATATTCCAGACTTCGAATGTGAGCCTACTGATGTATAGAGAAATTTACTTTTCATTATATTCCTAACAATAATGACTGCACTGCACGTCGCATAGAGCAACGAAATAGAGCCAAATGTGCAATCTCGCTTTAATATCAAAATGTGATGGCCAACATCAAATCTATCGTATTCATTAATGATGGAACTTTGCAATAGAGCAGGCTACCGCTAAGCCATAACGAGATTAGATGGCTAATGGTAGATTGCTGGATCAAAGCCTTGATTAAAATTAAGTTTTTATGTAATGTGCACTATCCCGAGGCTTTCTGCACCACAACATTTTAGAATGTTGCATGTGAAATAATCTCATCGAATAATGTATATCACTGGCTTTGAAACTATTCTATTTTTTTGCTGTTTCTTTTTCTTCATTTCTTTTTTTCTCTTCGACCCAATTTGCCCTGTTCGTCAGTACATCACCTCGCATTACTGGCTTATAGCACTGTACATCATTTAAACTGTCTAATTCAGCACACTACGAGCATTGCAATCTAAAGGACTCGTCTCCTTTGGCGTCTAGTCCGCTTCAACAACCACATCAAGAAGAAGGAGATGCCGATGAAGGGTTTGCCTCCTCTTCGTCTGTGGAAGAAGATCAAATTTATGAAGTGATTCGACGCAAGCGAAGCAGCCATCAAATACCAGCCCACAACCACAGTAATAGCACTGCGATATTGGACCCTATTGAAAAGAGTCGCAAACTATTCCATGAAAAGATCAAGATGGCACCACTGGAATCCATCTTGTGGATCATTTCCTTTGTATGGGTGTTCTATCAACTGTTTAGAACAGGTGCATTTGATAATCGAGTCATTTCAGGTTGGATGGTGAGTATTTTGTTGGGTATTTTGTGGGTGCGGTTCTCGTCGAAACAAAAGAGTAAGAATGAGGATTCAACTACTTCGTCTGATGAACAATTGGATATCCATGATGCGCATCAACAGAGCAAGAAATCAGATGGTGATGTCTTTCAAAGATCGTCTTCTTCCGGCCTTCCCACTAACAGTAAAGGATCGCACGAGTTTCCTGAATCCATCAACCGCATTTTCGGTGCGAGCAAAACATCATTTAGGTAATAAGGTGTATGAAGGGGGGATGGGGGTCTGTGCGACGTGTATAGCTAACACAAGTTTTAATAACCCAGAGCCAATGCGGATGATGGCTTATTATGCGGTGTCCTTTTATTGCCTATGGTAGCAGCTACAAAGCTTGTGGATGCAACCAGCAAGAACGCTGATCGGTTTCAAATAGCTTACCTGCAAGTGCGCATGGAATTAGTGCTATTCATGAGCGTTATTTTACTGTTGCTGGTATTGACAAACGACTATTCGCATCCTGTCAAACGAGTGATTTCCAAGAGAGGGTTGTTTGTGTCGAGTATCTGCGTATCTGCACTGTGTACCACGCTTTTGACTCAATTCACACCATTGGCACCAATGCTGACAGAAACACCCGTGGCCATGACAGTGCTGTCTGTTACCATGTTTCAATGGTTCTTGTATATATGTGTTGTCACCTTGAAGAAATGCTTTACATTAGGTGAAATGTGTGTAATCTCTCAGGCTGCTGCTGTGGTTGTTTATGGTGCATCAGAGTATATTTGCTCGGCTGTAAGTTGTGTGTTTGGGCGGGTGGGGGATGTGTGTTATCATTCGTGTATTAACAGAACCTACATAGTATTACCCTGATACAACACCCATCTACTTGCATTACAGTGACATTTCAACCAGCATGGTGTTGATTCATGCGCTGGTCGTCGGCATGATCTTTATCGGTGTCGTGACATACCCTCTTTTGCGCTACTCGCGTCGTTTGGCTCAGCAGCCGTACTGGCGCTCTTTGCCATCTCACAATCAGTCCATCTTTCAGAACAAAAAGATGCTGGTGGCGATAGCTTTCTATGTCTTGACAGCCACGATTGTCTTGTTTGTGATTGCTCCTATTTGCAAATCTGTTACTGGCGAGAATCCATTCATGTGGACACTTGATTTTTTGTACATGTCTCCTTCGCGCATGTTTCTCTGCTTGTACTGGTCTCTGACGGTCATTACGACTGTGGTGATCTGGGTGCTCGTGTTGGATTTTGTGCCTCAGTCTCCCAACAATGGTGATTTGTATTCAAGCAATGTGGAGGGAAAGGCGCTGACCAGTGCTTTGAACAAGAAGAGAAAATTGTTCCATGCCTTGGCTGTCATTATGTTTGTACCTGGCGTCTTGTTTGAGGTAACAATTTGTATGTACCTCCACTTTCATTTTGCTAATGTTTTTGATGTGAACACAGAAATCATTCTTGCAACTGGCCTTCGGTGTTGCATTATCTGGTTTTATCTACCTGGAATATTTGCGCTATTTTGCTGTGTGGCCCTGGGGAAAGAGTCTACATGTGTTTTTAACAGAATTTATCGATAATCGTGATTTGGGCCCTGTCATTTTGAGTCATATCTACTTGCTGTTAGGTTGTGCAAGTCCTGTTTGGCTTGGAAGGTAAACGTGCGATGGTGTGTGTATGATCCAGCAATGCTCATTCTTCTCTGCTTGTAGCTCCAATGTATTAGCCAGTTTATCAGGCGTTTTGTCATTGGGATTTGGTGATGCCGCTGCATCCATCATCGGTAAACGATTTGGTCACTATCGATGGCCAGGCACCAAAAAGACAGTGGAGGGCACCGCTGCATTTATCATTGCAGTCCTTTTCAGCTCCTGGGTTATTGTGTATAGCTCTGCCTTGGTCGGCATAGATGGAGCTTCTCGCTATGTTGCTTTGGCTGGCCGAGGTGAATGGCTGAATTACTCAGTTGTGATTACACTCACAGCCTTGCTGGAAGCATTTTCCACTCAAAATGATAATATCATTATACCACTTTATATGTACGCACTTGTAGTATTAGGCCATACCATGTAAAAAAAAAAAAAAAAAAAAAAAAAAAAAAAAAAATGAAACATAAAAAGCATGCAATTTTTTAATATATTATATTACAATCAAAATTTAACGAGCTGTCTTCTTGACCAGTCTTGATCTTGCTGTTCGTTTCTGCCCATGTCTCGCCTTGATAGATGTGTTTCTTGCTTCTCGGACAGAGTGACAATCATGCGATTATTCAGCTTCAAATAAGCCATATCCTTATCAAAGACAGAGTCTACTAGACGCAATGTATTTGTGGGAGCTGTCTTGTTCATCACTGTATAAGGGTCTCGGCTGGTAGGCACCATCACCCGCATCACTTCATACAAGGATCTTCGATGGACAGGGCTTGTAACAAAGTTCAGTAAAAGATTGCCTATAATGCATAGTGCTAGAGATATGCCAATGATGATTTGAGGTACCAACCCAATCAAGATGCCTACCGTATGGCTGCTGTATTTGGCGGTGACCAAGAATCCACCTACTGTGATAGTACTGCCTAGCTGCCAAATGTTCGTTGCGATAATACCTAGTTCTTTAATGCTGACTTGGCCCAAATCACTGTAAATACATTGTCGCATCCATGTCTGCACATTTTGAGTTCTGAAATCCCAATCGCTACTGCACTGTCCTTTGCTTCGGATTTCAAATATGGGAACAATGGGCACATAGGTTCTGTTGGTTTCTAGGTTGGAAGGGGGTGGAAAGAATGGGAACGGCGTACTGGCTGTTGATCCAGATGCTTGCTCTGCTCCCCAGGCCGAGTCATCGTAACTTCCAAAGAATGCATATGGATTCTGCTCATGATAAATGTTCCATAGTTGGGTATAGGTGTGTAGACACCAGTATGACATGTGTGATGAGGAGGGCTCCAAGAGACAAAGCACGGTGCTGAGACGGTAATTGTCATCAACGACTGTCTGCACTGCATAAGAGCTTGTTGCACTCAGCGTGGCTGCTTGAGCAGGGGTGATGCCAATCAACTGACAAAGAAAGCACCGGCCATCGTCCGTGATATTGGCTATACCAGCATGTGCATTGACCGTTTGCCACAAGACGGTGGATAGAGTAGGTGTTCGATGTATAGCGCTCCAACGTTCTGCTCTATCTACATTGCCATTGACAGGCACACCTTCTCCTCTGCGTCTTCCTTGTCTCAATAAATCTGATAGGTCTGGCGTAATCAAGGGAAAAAATTGGTCAGCGTGCAGTAGATCTAATGGGCTTGTAATGTCATCTGCATCGTATATTGTTGTATTTGTATAGACGGCAGACATGCCTTGACGAAATGCAACTGTACTGTGATTATTGGCAATGAAGGTACTCTTTGCTATCGATATGAATTGCTGTGGTGTTGTGGCTGTGGCAAATGTATCATTGATCGATACAATTAAGCTGTCATTGGTAATAAATGCAATCTCTTTTATATTGATAGGATCCCAAACAATCTCTGCAATGGTGACATTCTTTGCATCTGTGCATCCATATGGCAAATATCTACACAGAAATTTGTTGGTTGCCTCCTTGGAGCTAGCAGGTTCTGAGAGATGTGGGACGTTGATGTCTGTCAGTGTTGGCACGAATATGTTGTTGATAGGCGTTAAGGTGGCATTGGTCTCTACAGCGACGGTATTGATGGTGATGGGACTCAGCTTACTAAGCACAGTAGGCATCACATTAAGTAGCAGCGTTAGAATAAGACAGCAAAAAGCAATAAAATTGGTGCTTTTGACACCTCGCTTTCCAGTAGGACCACATGGATCAAATAGAGATGTAATTTTTGCAATAAGATCAGGCTGCTCGTACCAAAATTTTGCGCTTGATCCGCCTGGTAGTTTGCTGAATAAAATCAATGCCACTACACCAAGCGCTGAATCGTATAAGATGCGGGTGAGAGTGAAAATGGCAGTGGCTGCTGCTTCTGATACGATGATGTCCATAACAAAAGAAGGTAGAGGGTGTATTAATAATAAAATGGAAAAAATAGGGTGAACTTTCGACATTTCTTCTCTGCCGTTTATATATAAGCAAGTGTCAGCCTCTTGATGATTATCCTTTTTCGAACTGTGCAACTAAGCCCACATCAGCCAAAGACGCTGGTTTATTTTTAACATTGTTGCCCTCTGTTTACTAAACTCGTAATATCTTGATATGAAGATTTTTCTGAACCACCGGAATGACACCAAACAATCGTGCTCGAGTAGCAGTAACTCCCAGACACCGTTGTTCAACTTTTTGGGGACCCAAAAACATGGCCATAATAGACCAAAAAGCATGAGGGGTACCGGGAGTGGCTAACGTACCAACAAAAAATTTCCTTTTTTGCTTAACGTACCAACAAAATATCATCTCCTACTACAGACACACTTTGGCTAACGTACCAACAAAATATCCTCTTCATTTGCCGTACATTTTTTTTTCGATCCTGACATGTCAACAATGTATTTGATCTCTTGTATAAGACAAGTAGCCGATCGATCTCGCTACGCTGGGTGACGGCGTTGCCCTGCGGGCTATCGCCGAAGACATTTCAATTCAGAGATATCACATAGATTTTAGACATTCAATTAATAGTGAGAGATTATTGTCATTGCAAAAAACACTTTTACAGGGAAAAACTCTGAACAAAAGTAAATATATATATACATATATTTGGACTAAGTAACTGTTCTTTCAAATATATGACCTCCATTGGGTCAGTATCGCAATTATTATTGCCATCATCAGAAAGGCATTCGGGTAAGCCAGCATCAGCGAAGCTTGCCAAAATCAATTCAAGCTCAGATATATTTTTTTGTTCAAGATTGGTCAGATCTTGTTTTTTTCGACTTAGTTGAACTCTTTTGCGAGATTCGACTATATGGATTGTGAAGATCACCCTACGCTTCCTAATACATTCTTGGAGTACTTTTCAAGACGCTTCCAATGGCACTAATTATAATATGTGCTTTGAATGAAACTATTGAGCAATTTGACAGAGCATGAAATGAGGTTTTTAGCGAAAATAGCCATATTTTGCATATGAAATCCTCATAAAAGTGGTTTTAGAAGTTGCTTTGAATTGAGAGAAACGTTTTGAATTAATATATACCATAGTAAAAGTCTCTATTTTCAAGGTGAAAAAAGCGATCGTTTAATTTTCGTAAAAAACCATGAGGTACACCTCATGGTTTTCAGTGGAATTTTGGCCATGTTTTTTTTGGTTTCAAAAAGTTGAGCAACGGTGTCAGGAAGTTACTACTACTCGAATACAACAATCTGGTGTCATTCCGGTGGCTCAGAAAGGTTTACATGTCAATATATGAAGGCTTGAAAGCTGTCAAAATTGGTAATGTTTTTGCTTTACAGCTTTTATTTACATAGCGTGAATCATATCTTGGTGGATGGATAGCTGAAATTCTTGAAGAGGGCAGTTCTGCACTCTGTGCAACTTCTAATTTGAATAGGAGGTATATTGATTTTGGTAAAGCTCAAAATCATTCTCTGGACTGCACAAATTTACAACTATTCCTCAGTAATGCAAATCAATAAATTACACCACAACTCAAACTGAAAGTCTATATTGACAAATTTATACTTAATAGGAACCAGAAACTTGCATTTTTGTCATTCATCGTCTTGTATTTATATTACTTGCAATACGAGAAGTTTGCAAGTCTATCAATGTTTAGAGACAATTTGTTGGTACGTTAGCCCAAGGAAAAAATAGCAGACAAAGCAAGCGCTGCTACAGCACTGCTGGACAGGGTGTGCATTTGTGAGCTTTAATATTTTGTTGGTATGTTAGCCACCCCCAGGGGTACCTCATGGTTTTCATCGAAAATCAAACGATCGCATTTTTCACCTTGAAAATGAACACTTTTACTATGGTATATATTGAATCAAAATGTTTCTCTATATTCAAAGCAACCACTGAAGCCACTTTTGTGAGATTCTCATGTGCAAATTTCGACCTTTTGGCCAAAAACCTCATTTCATATTTTTCTAAAATTGCTCAATAAGTTCAGTCAAAACATCTATTTTATTTGACACCATTAGATGCGCCATAAAAAGTACTCCTAAAAAGCTTAAGGAAGTATCGGATGATCATCACAACTTATATAGTCGAATCTTGCAAAATAGTTCAATCAAGTCGAAAAAGAACAAAGTTTGGCCAATCTTGAGAAAAAGATAAAGGACCTGAGTTTGAATGTATTTTGGCGCTGCTGGCTTACCAAAATGCCATTCTAGTGATGACAATGATGGTTGAGAGGCTGGTTAAATGAAGATCATGAAATGGAAAGGATCATTGCTTAGACTGAACACTTTTTTTGTTTTTTTGGGCATTTTCATATCTGACAACTCTAGTCAGCATAGCCAACCACCAAAATACATGTAAGAGGTGAATTTGAGTGGCATTGGGGTCGTCGCTTGCAGTTACCAGCTTTAAATGTAGATAACATGGGCGTTGATAAAGAAAGGACACGAGGGAAAGAGGACTAAGAAAATACTCACTATGAGCAAGAGCAAGAAGTGGTTGGGCATCTCTTTTACTGTTGACTAAGTGTTTGAAACCTGCTTGATACGGCAAATTTTTATTATGTGATTTGAAATGTACAGAATAGAGAGCCCGTCGTAGGGCTACAATAGCGTCAGTTACGAAACGTTCTTGTAGAATTTGCTGGAGGCAAGACCAAACGAAACCCGATCAAGCTCACTGTAGCCAAGAAAAAGGATATCAAGGACGCAGATGCAATATACATTGATCATGCCATCCCATACTGTATGTCCTGGACAAGTCATGATATGCATCGCTCAAATGGTACCGAACAAGTGACAAGCGTCAACTCATTGAAGGGCAACTGGCATTATGACCTGTATTTGACTAGAAGCTATGTTTAATATTAGCACCAGAGTATATGGATCACAGATTGAGAAATTCATTTTCGTATGAATGATAATAAAAGATGTTTAATATGGAATAAAATCAATGTGTATTTTTTTTTGGTACAATAAAATGTGTAAATGATATATAGATTAAATTGATGCGAATGTGGAGAAAAGAAGGGAATTAAGCCTTTGCCAAGAGCAAACAAGTACGGTTAGGAATATAGACTTGAAGCCAGTTGGGTCTGCTATCCCAGTCTCCAGGAGTCGTAAAGAACTCGGTATTGTTATCCACACGTTCATGACCCAAGAACTGCTTGTCATCAGAGTTGAGAACTATCTTGTATTTGCCAGCATGTTCAACACCAACACGATAATCAGTAAAGGATTGTGTGGGATGGAAGTTGAAAATGAACAAGACATTGGCACGTTCAAATACAATCACCTTATCACCATCGTTCTTGCGAGACACAAAGGCTTGAGGAGAATGCAACCACCCAAAGCGTTCCTCAGTCAACTGCATAGCACGATCCCATTCATTCAAATACTTGTAACGCAACAACTTGTCATCAAGGACGTTCCATTGACGACGCGCATATTGGAAACTGGAGTCGTTACCAGCGCGAGGGAAATCAAGCCATTCAGGATGACCAAATTCGTTGCCTTCAAAGTTAAGATAGCCTTCACCACCTAAGCCATGGGTGACCATGCGAATCATCTTGTGTAAAGAAATGCCACGATCAATGATGGGCGTCAAGGGGGTCAAATCACTCATGTTGGTATACATTTCCTTGTCCATCAACCAGAATGCCAATGTCTTGTCACCTACAAGGGCTTGGTCGTGAGATTCACAGTAACCGATGGTGTTTTCCAGATAACGACGATTGGTCAAGATATGTACAATATGTCCCATCTTCCAGTCATCGTCTGATTCCTCCTTCAACATCTTGATCCACATATCAGGAATAGCCATAGAGAGACGGTAATCGAAGCCGAGACCGCCTTCACGCACAGGACGGCAAGAACCAGGCATGCCAGAGACATCCTCCGCAATCGTGACCATGTGGGGGTATTTCTCGTGCAAATAGTGATTGGCAATTTGAATGTACATGACGCCTTCGTCATCAACATTCTCGCCAAAGTATTCATGATAATCACCAGAGAAACCAAAGCCAATGCCATGATGCTTGTACAGCATGGAAGTAACACCATCGAATCTGAAACCATCGAATTGGAACACGTCCATCCAATATCTCAAGTTGGACATCAAGAAACGCATCACTTCAAAGTTACCATAGTTAAACAAGCGGGAATCCCACAATTCATGACGGCCCTTTGGACCGGCATGGAAATAGCAGTGATCAGATCCGTCAAACATGTTGAGGCCATCAGCCACGTTCTTACAAGCATGAGAGTGCACAAGATCCAACAAGACAGTGATACCTAAACCATGAGCCGTGTCAATCAGTTCCTTCAAATCATCAGGTGTACCATAACGACTGGAGGGTGCAAAGAAGGAAGTAACTTGATAGCCGAATGAGGCATAGTAAGCGTGCTCCATCACAGCCATCAATTGGATCGTGTTGTAACCATCATAGGCAATACGAGGCAAAATGTTCTTGGTGAATTCCTTGTAGGTAGCACAACGAGGTTCGGGAGATGAGATACCAACTATAACAAGATAAGACTGGATTTAGGCCTCGCTCTACTCAATCATCCTCTATGTCAAAACTTACCATGGGCTTCGTAGACACGAATGGATTCAGGACGCTTGGGACGGGGATGTTTGAATACGTATTGTGATTCAGGGTTCCAAAAGATGGCATCATAAGTAGCGCTCACATTGAGGTCTTGAGTAACATAGTTGATCCAAGCAGGCAAACGATAAATACGTTCTCCGGTATGAGGCATGGTCATAGTGATCTAATCAAGCCCAAATTTGTTAATCTATCATACTCTCCCTGGACGTTGCCACTTGTTTTTACCTTGATCTTGCTACCATGAGGAATAGCGACCTTACCGTCAGCAGTAGGATCAACGAGGATCTCAAAGACACCATACTTGTTACGAGTCATGACATGCGCATTCACATCCCAGTTATCTATAGAAGAAAGGCGTCAAGGTAACATGAGTATGAATGCTTTTTGGTTCTCCGTGCTATCCCGATTATTCCTGTTTCCTCGCACTCTGTACTCCCCCAACAAACGCCTTCTGGTAGTACTTACTGAAATCGCCAACCAAGCTAGCAGTGACAGCATTGGGAGCCCATTCACGATACATGACACTGTTATCTTCTTGCACATTGAAGCCATAGTATTCATAACCCTTCGTGAATTCCTCATAGCCAAGGGTGTTCTTAATTTGCTCATCATATTTTTCAAATGTCGCATATCTGTTTCAATGGTTGCACATGAGATGAGCTGCCTCAAGAGAAACGTGTTTGCAAAACACATCCACACACAACTTACCTCTCTCTAAGAGCATCATTGAAGGGCTCTAACCAAGGATCCACGACAGAAAGGCCAGTGCCATCAGCAGCCATAGTGAGAACACGTCCAGGAGAGACCTCCTCTTTAAAAGTAGGAACATTGGAAGCAAGAGCCATGATGTTTACGATAAAAACAGAGGAAAAAAGTGGGAAAAAAGTATCGACTAGTAAAAGAGGACACAAAGAATTGAAACGTTGTGTCCTATTTATACGTAAATCTTGCTGCTATTAGGCTCGGGCCACTTTTTTTTTCATGTTTCCAGTTTTCCTTTAAACAAATTGAGCCTCAAATCAAACATTTGGTTTGATACTCAGGGCCATAAATGGAAAATCTTCCCTTGGTTTTGCATAAGAAAAAGGGGACAATCTGGCTCTGATCAATCTCCAGATTTAGATTTCAGAAAAAATGTCTGATAAAAAAAAAAGACCTCACTGAGACCTATGGAAACTGATAAGACATGTCTTTGGTAAGCATGAGAAAGGTTCACATGCAATATTGGGAGGAATTGCTCGTTTTAATTGATAAAAAATTATCGTAGTTAGGTCCATTCCATTAGAGCTATCTCACTCTCTATTTCGAGCCTTACCTGAGATATTGGTCTCGGTGTATATGGTGTGTGCTCCGAGATGTACAAATATTTATAAGCTTTTCTTTTAAAACGAGTTAGGGAAAATAACCGCATGATTTTGTTCCATGCTCAATTCAGTTGCCATGATGGGATTTGACAGATCTATGTTTCCATGGTAACAAATGAATGATTTACAACGTTGCCATGGCAACAAATGCAAGGTATTCAGAGTGGGATTACTGCAGCGTATCAAACAAAGCTTTGAAAATTTCCTGCGTCCTTGATTGATTTTTGATGCTTTTCTCGCTATTTATCTTGATGCATCCCGGTAAAGTGTTTGCAAGATATATCGGATTTCTTACTAGTCGAATAAGAGACTTATTCTATCACATAACAAGTTCTGTTAAGCGCGCCTTAAGGTTAGTGTCTGAAAAGCATTTGAAACAGCCTAGAAGTGATGCCAAGTATGGACGTTGTGAAATGCCATGGACCAACAAAATTATCAGACTGTGGTACTACACATTGATTTGAATAAATAATGGAGAAATCAATGGAAAGGCAACCATTTACCCAATTCCACTAATCGATCTTCTATCGTGGTAGTACCAATACTAAAGTCGTATTTGCTGATTTCGATAAGATTGTCCCTTTTCAGCCAGAAGGGATAGATGTTCAGAGCTGGTGCCAACTGCGACTGTTACACTCCTCCAGCTGAAATGACGTTCAAGCCGGTCATGGAAAGGTGGACAAGTTTGATGCTCCTATTGAAATGTATTCACAAAGACATCTTGTACAGTAGCACGCATTTCTTTCTTTTATTATACAAACAAATGTCTAGTCTCGAAGACCTATTTGGAAAACTCGCTGTTACTACTGTTACTACTGTGTCAAGGATTGCACTGAGCCATGCAACAAATGCTGCTATTGTAAGATACTCGTTAAACTCGTGCCATGTTTCGAAGCTCACATCTTTCTGTAGCGTAATGTCACTTCATATATCACCACACAATTACCCAAAAACAAGCCAGACACTAGAGAGATCCGTACATTGCAGCGTCAACTCGACTTGAAGATCAAGAATTTAAAGGTAACTTTACGCTGACCACATGCGTTTATATAACGCTAGCATTAATACGTCGCCTTAGCCGACTATAGACATCATTGCTAGATCAGTCGCTGACGGCAATACAGACCTGGAACCCGCTTTGGAAATGTGCAATGATCTCAAATCAGACATGGACGACTTTGCTGCGAAACCGATGGACAATCCAGATCAAGTCAAAGCACACTTAAAGCAATTATTGGCGAATGTAGACGATGCAATTCCAAGCCTGCACCTCTCTTTACGTAGTATAGAAAACAAGACGGGCACTTCCGCAGTGTCTCCAGCGAAGTTGATTCAAGCATCCAACATCTTGAAGGGAAAAGATGCCGTCTTTTGCGTCAAACTGTATTCATTGTTCTCAGCAAATCAACGGGCGGCTTCAGCAGATGCATTTACATGGAAAGAAGAGTTCTTCAAGGCTTCATTGGTTGTCAAATCGACAGATGAATTCAGTTACGAGCTCTTCATTACAGAAGATACGGACGATGGTCGTTATCATGAGGAGGGAGAACAACAAACGAAATGCATTGATGTCAGTCATATTGATCGCATGTATTATACACAAAGTGGGGAACTGTTGAACATTGAGGACTCCAAATCGCCTGTGCTCGTGATGAAGGTGAACAAGCGTGACAAAGACGATGAGAGAAAGGAATCGATAGTAGAAGTCAAAGAAACTGCACCAGAGATTATCCGAGAGGAGCTGCAAGAATCGGATTGGTATGCGGTTGGATTATGGACAGAAGATGTGGTAGAGAGTGATAGTGATGACGATGAAAAGGAAGACACTGAGAAGAAGAATGGCAGCAACAGCAGCACCAAATCACTCCCCTCTGACAATCAATTAAACCTGTTGCTGTTGGAGAGCGTCATTAAGCTAGCATTGTTGGAAACAACAGAACAAATGAATCATATTAATGCCTCTGATGAGCTAATAACCTTATACATGAAGTGAAGCAATAAAAAGCGACCCGAATTCGAGTAGCTGGTTGTGCGACATTCCCACAAAACAAGTGTTAAATAAACAAGAGTGTCTGATGCATAAATGGACCCTCTTCTTGTTGTCTATGCGTCCATTTTATATCAGCCATACAACCACGACAAAGCACATTCAAGTCGCATGATGACAATACCACCCATCTCTAATGAATCAGTCTTAGCAACTATACACAAACAAACACTGTACTATTTGTTTGCATTCATCAATGCAACTTGCGAGTTATATTTTTTTCTCGTGGTACTGATGTGAACATGCAAAATAGCAGCTTTTACCAGTGTGTCCATTTCACATGTTGTACAAACAAGAATTTAATGGCTTTTTTCTTTCCTGAGAAACCCTTTCTTTTTCCTTAACTTTTTTCTTCTTCAGTCAAGAACGATGAACAATTCATATCCTGAAAAGCTGATTGTCGTCCCTCTTGAATCCAAAGTACTACTGCCATCTGTTATTTTACGTCTGCTTATTCGAGGCAAGCAAGCAACAGATCTGACCAAAAGCTACTTCCGCTCCGCCAATACAAAATCGCATGATATTTACATTGCATGTATTCCTATGAAGCCCTGCCATGTCAATGCTGAAGAAACGGCTGTGATGAGCTCGCAAGCATCTCAAGTGCCTATACCTCAACAAGACGAGTCTGGCCTAGTAAGTGCGAGAGACAGACACCGACTGATAGACTATGGATGCTTGGCTCGCATCATCCGGGTGCAGAGGTCAGGTACCAACCTCTTTGGTGTCTTTGTTGAAGGTGTTTCAAGGTTCAGGGTTCATCAGTATACCCAAAATACACCGTCTATGGCGTTTCCCGGCTGCTGGATGGCCCATGTCAATTACTTTCCAAAGCCTGTGGATGTATCGGATGGCAATGCATTGCAATTCAAGGAGTTAAGTCAAATTTTTGTATTGAGAATGAAGGAATTGCAGTTACCAGACACATTACTGGCACAGCTGACAAAAGTAGTCAATACAATGCCACCGTCTGCCTTGGCAGATTTATTGGTTTGCTTGATAGAGACTACATTTGATGAACGTTTACTCATGTTGTCCACTGTGTCGTTGGACGATCGACTCCAAAAGGCTTGTGAATTCTTGACAAGACAGTTACATGTATTGCACATCTCTGATAATCTGGGTGCTGGTATTGATGGCAAACTGAGCAAAAAACAAAGAGAGTTTTATTTACGACAGCAGGTAAGTGCTACATATTTAGTGGATAGCGGCAAGTTGCTGATGATGTGTATAGTTGGAGGCGATCCAAGATGAATTGGGTGATGATCATAAAAAGGGTTTACCGAGTGGACCTCAAGAAGAAGATGAATTATCAGATCTTCACAAGAGGTTGGTGCAGGCAAATCTACCGAATGAGGTTGTCACGATTGCTCAACGAGAACTCAAGCGTATCAGACGACTCCAACCATCTTCATCTGAATGGGCTGTGTCACGAAACTATCTGGAATGGCTGGCTGATTTGCCTTGGAGCATGAGTGGATCGCAACAGCTCGATATTCAGCGTTCCAAACAGCAATTGGATCAAGACCATTTCGGTTTGAAGCATGTTAAGAAGCGGATCATAGAGTACTTGTCCGTCATCAAGTTAAAGGGCGATTTAAAGGCGCCTATTCTTTGTCTTGTGGGCCCTGTAAGTTCAAGGCACATTGAGATTGAATCAAACACTAATGAATCTTAATTAGCCTGGCATCGGTAAAACATCCTTGGGTAGATCAATAGCGCAATCCATGTCTCGAGAATTCCATCGCATTTCTTTGGGTGGTGTCAGAGATGAAGCAGACATGCGGTAAGCTGCAAATGAGTAATCTGGAGTATACAGTCTCTTATAAATGCATATAGTGGTCATCGTCGAACCTATGTTGGCGCCATGCCGGGTTTGATTATTCAAGGCTTACGCAAATGCAAGGTCAACAACCCTCTGATGCTCTTGGATGAAATTGACAAGCTTGCTCACTCGTCTCATTACGGCGATCCTGCTGCTGCTCTATTGGAGGTGTTGGACCCTGAGCAAAATTGCACTTTTTCAGATCACTACTTGAACGTGCCCTTTGACTTATCAAACATCTTGTTTATTGCCACTGCAAACTCTCTTGATACCATTCCTGAACCTCTCTTGGACCGTATGGAAGTCATTGAACTCCATGGCTATACCTTTGAAGAAAAGTTGCATATTGCAAAGTCGCATTTGATACCCAAACAAGTGAAGGCACATGGTTTGCAAATCGAGCAAGTGAAACTTGCAGATGAAGTCATCTTATATATCGCTGAAAACTTTACACGCGAAAGTGGTGTCCGTAATCTGGAGAGAACACTGGCCTCTGTTGTGCGGGCGAAATGTGTGGAAATAGCTGATCTGCAAGAGAATCAAAGTAAACTGCAGTATAACCCGTCTGTCAGTGTCAAGGATGTGGAGGCGATTCTGGGCAACATCAAGTTTGAAAAGGAAGTATCGGAACGAGAGTCGTATCCAGGTGTTGTTACGGGTTTGGCGTATTCTGGTAGTGGTAATGGTGGTATATTGTTTGTTGAAGCATCCAAAATGCCTGGCGATGGGCATCTCCATTTGACAGGCTCATTGGGAAATGTGATTCAAGAATCTGCTAAGCTTGCCTTATCATGGGTGAAATCGCATGCCTATGCACTGAAATTGACCTCTCATCCAAAGGAGAAAATGGTGCAAGATGATGATATTCATATTCATTTCCCTAGTGGATCTATCCCCAAAGACGGGCCAAGTGCAGGTAACATTTACATGTTGAATGATGATTAAAGTTCAACTCACTCACATTAGGTATGTATACATAGGTGTTACGTTGGTGTGCGCCCTTGTCTCACTTTACTCTGGTAATTGTGTGCCTAATACCACAGCCATGACAGGCGAAATATCCTTACGAGGTCAAGTTTTGCCTGTGGGCGGCATCAAGGAAAAGGTCATCTCTGCTCATCGTGCTGGTATCCGTAAAATTGTGATTCCTACCAGAAATCAAAAAGATGTTGAAACGGATGTCCCTAAAACTGTTCGAGATGAAATCCAATTCTGCTATGCAAAGAATATTTGGCAAGTGCTGGAAGCTGCTTTCGATAATCATCAATTATACCAGTTGCAAGAAAGTCATTTATAGTTTAAACATTTTATTGCTTGACATAAAAACACATAGCCTACAACCCTTCTCTCTTTATTTGGTCTTGATCATTCTTAATTTGCCAGGTGAATATTTGTAATTGTCACCATATGCCTTCTTGACGAATTTGATCTCCTTGGGCTCTTGAACATAATATTGCCAACCTATCATTCAAAAAAAAAGCGTCAAATTCTATCCACATCCTCCATTATCCTCACATCGCATCGTTCGTACCTTGCTTTTCGGCAAAGTTGATGGCATCTTCTTTAGTGATAAACTTCATGGTCAATGCTTGTTGAAAATCGGAACTGCATCATCGCAATTAGACACTGTATTGACTTCTATATCTACACTAATTACCTGGAGGCCCAACCCATGAGAGGATTTTCCCAACGATTACCATCTTCTAAAATATCGAAATCAATACGCCAGAGTCTGGTACCGTTCTTTCCTTGTTGAGTGGGTGTACGAGTAGGTCTGAAAATACGCACTTGACGATCCAACAAAATCTCTACATTTGACAGGATATGTTAGACACAAGTACCTCCTCGACATGTCGAAATAAGGACTATCCAAATTTACCTGGTGCACCAGAAAGGTTTTCAACGCTGAGAACAGGCTCCTTTTCTAAATGTTGAACATCTTTGGTTTGAGATGAAGAGAAACGAACGGTCGAAAAGACGGCAGGCTTGGTGAATGCAGAACGGCAGATGGATGCTGTTCTTGCAACGAGTGGGGAGGACATTTTTCTATTAATGAAAGTTTTGAAATAAACACAATAAGAAAAAACTGACCAAATCCCAGTTGGTACTGATTTGTGGGGTCGTTTGCCCTCCACCTATTGCAATTCACGTCATCATGTTGGAACCTAAGGGTTAGAATTTGAACTGCCACAAAATGAATCTCAGTGTAATAATCAGTGTGATTTACACATATTCATTCTTTTTTCCAAGAGATGCTCCATAATACACAATTGATCCTGACCAGATTGTCAATTAATATTACTCTAATCTCAAATACTTCCCTTCATCTTCGCCAGAAGCTTATCTTGCTCACAAACCGATATACACCAATTACAAGATTATGACAATCATTGTATACCGAGATGTCAAAGTGGACTCTTATTCGAACACTGACTCGAACAGCCATATTAGAGATATGGAATTGAGGCCCAATACATCTCTTAGAAACTAATTTATGGGTTGGGACAATGAATATCTATATGTTTCCATTGGCATCAAAAATAATTGAGCTTTGATCTGCGATAAAGATGTCAGGAAACCGTAGATCTCATTCAAAGCATCTACACTGACTGGGTATTTGACACACACATACAAATATATATATATATAGATAGATAGATGTTGTAACAATTGTCTTTGATGAGGCCAGATCAAATTATGACAGTGATCTATACTTTGTGTTTACTGTATTCAGTCTCCTGAGTAACGCCAGCATCATTCAAGCATTAAAGCAGTAATAAAGACGTGATTTCGGTTCTAACAAGCCAAATCTACCAGTTACTTCATCCTAATTTTATAAAATATCTTAACTGCATAGCTTAATACCTACTTACAATCAATATTCGGTTATTCAGTTAATATGTCTGTAAAAAGTCCATTACATTCGTATACTTTAATACACTCGATATTGATTTATAGTAGTACTTCATCCATGTTTCCGTCCAGTTTCTTTCATATCTTTCTTATGTCTAATTTCTATCTAGCTCCAAACTATGCGCTTACTCAATGCATAGAAATAGTCTCAATCGTTTATACATCCTGCGCTCCCGTTCGAATCAATTGCAAAAATAAGTTAGCTAAAAATTGCAGCATTTCAACGTCTCACAGTAATCGAACGAAATGCAAAAAAGAGTATGAGGCTACCAGGGGTCGAACCTGGAATCTCCTGATTCGTAGTCAGACGCCTTATCCATTGGGCCATAGCCCCTCATTTATTTTTTTCAGATGCTAATATTTAGAGGTAGTATATGCCATTTGAGATCTGATCGAAATATAAATGGAAGTAGATATAGAGAGTGTGCAGGAAGATGTTATAGCCTTTTAGTTGAATGGATAAAAAAGTACTTTATTAATATTAGATTTGAACATTGATTTTATCCAATATAGTTTGTGTAATGTTGTGCGCTATCCAGGTTAATCGCTGTTTAATGTTCCTGGTAGCTGGCGCTCTAGGTTTAAACCTGCGCTTCTTATTCTTGTTTGTGTTTAGTCTGTCAATGATATCCTGCAGATCTAAATCACTGTCAGAATACCCTTCAACCCTGACATTTTTGTCGTGCCTAAATTTAGGTTTAAGCCGAATTTGAAGAAAGCGACTAAAAGGCGCCAGCACATACTCGAAGGTGAAGTGAACTAGACTAGATTCCCATCATAAACAAAACCCAAAATAAATGTCATCTCAATCAAACCATGCTACCATCAGCAGATAGGCATGCATAATAATAGTATTAGCATGATGATAGCAAGGGTTAAATGCTCTAAAATAAGAGATGACAGATACTAAAGTAAATGTCAAGGGTATTGTAATGTGTTGTAACATAAATATACCTAAAAAGGATACAGGCTCAACAATAAAGAGCTATTCTTTACGCATGATTCAAAAACCATAAATTGAAATACCGTTCTTGATCCATCAGATCAACAACTAAATGACCCAACAAAAATATATAAAGTAATGGAATCACTGGCAACTACTAAACTGCTGCCAGATAAGAGATATAAACCAAATAATATAAATAGAGACGTAGAATATACATTTTATTGCACATCATCCTAATTTCGAATAAAGAAGGATTTTAACAGTATTCTACCTGCTTTTTTAACCCCCTTTTTACTGCAGAAGGTTCTGGAAATTGATAGCAGCAGACATTGATCTGATTATCATCAGTTGCTATATCAGGTACAATATCTACTCGGAAGTTCCATTGATTAAGTAATTATTGGTCGTAGAAATAGTATAAATATAAGTTGTAAAATGCATTCAATAAACAGCATCTTTCAACATAATCACTAAGTATTAGTTATACTCTATTTCTTTGTTAACTCTACCTATTGAATCCATCTCACTAGACGACATTTTGTTATGATGGTAAAAAAAAATTCTCGTAATGCTAATTTTAAAAGGCGGCATCAGAACTCTGAGCCTATCAGAACACTGTTCCTGAACTGGTGTTGAAACCGGTTACTCTTACATTTTATACTTTGACTTGTATTTTTTGATCAATACAACACATTGGAAATAAATTGAACTTTCTTACGTTTAAATCTTTTGGGTACATAGCTTTATATATATACATTTTATCGCTGAGATACTGTCTACATCAAGGTTATTGCAAACACATCAGCGACTTAAACAGCTTTAATTACTTGGTGTTGTATACTAGCATGCATCTTAGGCCACATTCACTTTCTCCTCAAGCCACCTTTTACAGTGTAGCAGCATAGATGATGTTTATCGTATCACATCACATCTATGTTTACAAGTCCAGTCAATTGTGTGTGCACAGGTGCCTCAGGAACTACAATACATTCAATCTCCCTAATATCAAGATGTTGTGCCAGAAGAAGGGCTACAACTGTCTATAAAGATTAAGGTATTCTTGATGGGTAGATATGTCTGTGTTGTGCAACAACATGGACAAGCTATGATAATTGAAGTGCATTTCAGCTATCTAAATACTGAGGTTCACCAAATGTGGTAAGCGTTGTACAAGATAAATTGCTACTTTGGCATTCAGAACTTAGTATGAATAGAATAACTCTTGTCTTCATCGATAAATCTTTAGTTTTTGTGTCTGATCTTATTCAAATAAGTCTTTTCTTGTTTTTATAATATCGAACATTTTTTATAAGCTACAAATAATAATCCTTTTATTCTTTGTGCTTAACAAAGTCTCTGGTGTACATTGTTCGCCTAATATTTGGTACGATTGTTTTTGCGATTTTTTGACTGTTTTCTAAAGATAAATCAGTATATGTCATCAAAACATTTTGTTAAGCATTACTAAACATTGTAGACTAAAAAACTTCCTATCGAATAAGCTATTCCTTGAAGCCCTGACGTAACTCTATCATGAAATATTGAAAATATTGTCCTGACCAAAAAATCATCGCCGCAGATTTTGAAGGAAAATCCATGATTTCGCACGATACTCTTTTTTGACCATATCTCGACAAATACTCACTGGATTCGCACAAAACAAAAACCATTCGATAGTTCTACGTTATATTCATTATAATACAAGGGTTTTAAGTACCAGGTGTACGTTCTCTTTATAAATTTGCTCAAAATCATATATTTTATGAGCTACAAGCAGGGGATATTCAATTTTTTATTTATTTATCTATAATAACAATACCGTCGTATAGAGAATTGAGAAAGAGACAAAAGATTAAGTTTGAAGCTATCGTTCACTTAGTAAAATTCAGAGATATGGTCCTTTGAAAATCGGTCATTTGAAACATTTTCCGTCATTACTCATTCTCATTACCTTCCATAACCCCACATCAAACATGCCCTGGTCAAAAAAAGTACCCTCTACAACTCTCACTACACATACATTCCACATTCATATAGTAATTTAAAAGTTTTACTAACAGCATATATTCCAAATGAACTATTTTCTAAAATCATTCTTTTCTCAACAACTATGCTACCTATGCAAATTTTAATTGCACCATCGCTTAGAGTACAAAAAACTGGTATAGGAATATACTAGTCTCAAGGCTCTAGCATCAATATTTGGAAATCGATTTTCGATCGTCCAAAAGTTGGAACCTTTGATCCATCAAACGTATCCTTTTCGGAAGTAACCAGTACTCCAACTCCGTAGTAAGTTTGTACATAATTGAAATGCGCATTGAAGGCTAGCACTCTCACAAGCGATCCCACAGGTTATACACAAATAAGCCTGTTTTTCAGATATTTCCAATGGGAAACATGCGCTAAATCTGAACCGTTTTGTCTGTAGGCGTACTTATTATAAAGATGTAAGACATATCTATCGTTTGAGGTCTTATTAAAGGTTGTATCATCAGTTCTTATGAGTCTACATCACCCAATAAGTCAACCCTTGCCAAATTTTTATCGAAAAGCGATCGCACAATGTTGAATTTTGCTGTAGCTACATATTTAAAATCCTTTTTGTGTACCAGCACCAGAAAATTTACGCCCTAAATTTACTTTATAGATTTGAGCACCACATCGACGATTTCGTGGTGTTTTTACCACTGTAAACGCCAATTTTAAGGTTGAAAACCCAGATTTTTATAAGGAAGCATAGTAAATGACGAAATGATGTTTCATTTTGTAGAGCAAACAAAGGGGAACAAAACCTAATCATTAGAGAAACCGTGTCAAGTTGGTGGTTGTGCGGGTAATAGCTCTCAAACTTTGTTCTTTTCATATTGGTTTCGTTACTAAAAGTCCCTTTATATGCCTGGTAACCCTTTAAAGAGGGCCTATAGTGGTCCTGATCCAAAATATCTAGCATCAACATAGCCTGTGAAAAAAGCTTCGCGATTTTGAAGACAGCGTTGAGCAGCACCTCGTCTACTGATCTATTCCTGGGAACCGCTCGTAATTAACAGGTTCTTATATAAAAACTCATTACTCAAAGTTGGTTTATATCGAAAACCATCTACCTCTCAGCAGTAAACCTGTCCAATTTAAAATTCCAATTACACTATCGGTTTTCTCGCTAGAAATTGCCATAGCAACATGCTATTTTCAAAGCTACAGCATCATTTTTTTTCATGAATCTACAGCACTAGCTTCAAAAATTCGAAAGGTTAGTATACTTTGGATCCTCGAAATGAGAATATGCTGTGGATTTGTAGATAAACACGAAATACGGATCCAATTAGCACATTCTGGTTAGTTGTTTTAAATAGTTGAGCTCTCTCGAGAGTGCTTGGGCATGTCGAAAACTGAGCTAAGCATTTGCCAAATCATATTGAAGCAGAAGGGCGATACAGCAGAGAGGCATAATGAAACAAACAACTCATGACATTAACTTCATTATATCAACCTGGCTTGGCCTGACTTATGTGATGGTAATGCAATCCAAAATGCTTCTTTATTGTTCATTGTCTGATGGTATATTGACAACAAGAACTTCATCTCCCAAGGGACTGTACAGAGTTGAGATAGACAATCCTTTCAACATGGCCTGCGCTTTCTTATTGAACATGATTGATTTCAGCGTGGTGTTCTCGATTGTAACCAAACCTAATGCGATAGTGCTTGCTCTGAACTGCTGAAGCACATCAGGGGTGAATTGATTATTGTTTGTTTGTTTGCGGTTCACTGTTGACAAGATGCCAATGATTTTTCTTCTGTTAGGTGAAGTCGAGGAAGCTACGGTGCCTATTAGTTCTCGGATTTGGTCAGGTGTACATCCTTGCTTTGTGTTTTTACATTGTACGAGAATGTTGATATTGTTGAACCACTGTCCTCTTAGATCGATGCCTCGATCACTCTTTCCTCCAACATGCTCTAAATCCATCCCTGCTGCTGTTGCTAATGTTTCTAAGGTTTGCAATTCGAACAAGGTGCCGCGATATACAGTTGAGCTTATATCTTTATCAGTCTGCTCCAAGAATGATGACAGGTTCTTCTTGCTGGATATATGTCGTCTGATAGTATGTCGAATGAACATTATTTTATGTGGAAAAGTATTTGAATAGAAGCAGAAAAAAAGTAAGAGAGGAGAAAGAAAGCTCTCGCTACACGGATTGGAGTTGAGGAGGGACGTTTAAATGCGGCTGAACCACTTGTAAACTTTACCTAACCCTTTCAAGCTCAAGGCATCGGCTTGCTATTGCGTTATATAGACATTGACCAAAGCAAATGAGTAATATTCTCTAAATTCTGCTGGTGAATACAATTTGCTCGAGTCACACATGCACTCACACACTTCATGTAGCCTCACCAACGTGCGGAAAGTTCATCAGCCGATGACTTCGTTGAAATATAAAATGACTTGTGGAATGGTTTCAAGTAAAAAGTGCTTTTTCTTCTCTTACGCATTTATTACTAATAATATAGACATTACAGAAAAAGATGAAAGAGCACATTTCCAATGCCAATTTCCCTAGAGATGAAGAAGACAGAGTATACCACATTGGCGTGAAGCTTGGTGATGTTGCTAACCGTGTTCTCACTGTGGGTGATCATGTTCGCGCAAGAAAAATTGCCAAGCTGCTAGACTCTGAAGAAGAAACTGGACATCCCATCTTTGAAAGAACCAGCCAACGTGGCTTTCTCACCATTACGGGAAGATATAAAGGTGTTCCTGTATCCATCATGGCAATGTAAGTGGAGATGAAACATGATCAATACCACAGATAGTAACAGGATCATATATCACAGTGGAATGGGTAATTCTATGATGGATTTCTTTGTCCGTGAGACCCGTGCTAGTGTGGAAGGTACCTTGGCCATTATTAGATTTGGCTCATGTGGCACATTATCACATTTAGCACCCCCTGGTGCTGTCATTGTACCCTCTGGTGGTTACTGTATCAGACGTAATATTGACTACTTTGCCGATGAACCTGTGTACCCTGAACTCAAGGATAAACCCTACCTCTTTTCCGGGAATTTCAAGGCTGACGAAGGCATGAAAGAGATTTTAGTCAAGACACTTGAAGCGGCACTGGCGCCTGTGGAGGCTGAAAACGAGTATGTAGGTCCTGTATTGACTGGTGGACTTAATGCCGATGGTTGCTCCTTCTACTCTTCTCAAGGTCGCTTGGACCCTGACTTCTGGGATGACAATGAAAGCTTGCTCAAGGATATTGTTCTCAAGTACCCCAAGACTCATTCCATTGAAATGGAGACATCCATGCTATTCCATCTTGCTCGTTGTGCTCGCGATCCTACCAAGCCTATCAAAGCTGCTGGATGTATGCAAGTCTTTGCTGACCGTCTTGCCAATTCTTTTATCCGTCCTGAAATTGTTGCTGTTTTGGAACCTCTTGTTGGCAAGGCCTGTTTGGACGCATTGATTCAAGTGGAAGTGGAAAATGAGATGTCAGTAGAGGGAACTGTATGGGAGCCTGTCAGTCAGCGTACAGCTCAAGAGTAGGATAGTCGATCGATCAATAAACTGTAAGATAGTATACTACATGGGTGCAAATGAAGGCAGTTATTTGGGTATTGTTTTGTTCTGGATGCAGCAACATAGGATTTGGAGTCAAACCTACATTCTGTGTAATGGATTTTGGGCAATAGCATGATTCTCTAGCAACGTATGCGTACTGATTGGCTGTTATCAATGCAGTACGACTCGACTTATATTGCAAACGGTAGCACGGCGTGATGACCGTGGAAAAAACTGGTCAAATATGAACCTTAAATGTGCAGAATCATCAAAGCATTTCAAAGGCATCAAGTGATTTTATTCCGAGAAGTATGACACTTGAATTCAGTTTTGTTGAACATCAAAGGAATTCAAGAAAACAAAATAATGAGTCGAAGCCCTGGATTGCAGTGTTAGATCTACTAAAACCAAAACTGATTTTTTTGGGACGATCATGCAAATTGCGAGTATCAAGTAGTGAAGTGTTAGCTTTGATTCTTTCCATTGAATGGGACCTGTACATGCCTCAGTAGCTGCCAAAAATATGTAAATTGATAAATTACATCAATTTCTATACTCGATTCATCACAGAGGCATTCTCTCCCTTTTTTTTTCTTTCATTATCTCTATCCCGCCAAAAAGTAGATAATGAATCAATTAAACAGCAGAGATATTAGATTGATAGTCGACTACTTTCTACAGCAAAATGGATGATGAAGCACTCACGTGTAGACATCTGACATGAACATCGATGACGAATCATTTGACCCTACTCACCAGCATCCCAAATCATGTATAGTCCCTTCGCATTCCTTAAGTAGCAATTCAGGCATGGTATCAGTCAAGAGTGTGAATGAGTTGCTGGTAAATGATGACGAGTACTTTCAGGAATGCTATACAGATGAGGAGTGCTACCTCTATGGAGAGCTATATGAGAATGATTCGGGAGTCTCCTGCGCTATTAACAAGCCAGATACTCATCCGGATGAAGTGAGCTTGATGGAGGATATGTCTATCGATGATGAAAGGCAAGAATGTAAACCATTGCGTACCGAGAGCCCTACTTACTCGTATTGCAGCTTTCTAGAGATAGAGTACCAACCCCACAAAGCCGACAGACGCCACTACTAGTGTGAAAAATGACTGTCCTCGCCATAAGCGTTTATATCAAAAATAAAACACCATTTAAATCATCTGCCTATTAACTATGTGTTGTATTCAAAACGTCTATTGAGTGAGCAAGGGCCGCTATTCATGTGTCTAGACAGCTTCCTCGAATAAACATTAGCTTGCAAGCATTGGCTCCATGTTCCCATTTCAGAGCGAGAAGAGTTCAATAATAATTACATTAGCTCCCATGATTACAATACCTGAGCCGGTCGTTTGAGGGTATTTGCAGCATTTACTAGTATCTGGTAGGCCAAAAATCACAAATTGACTTGATCTACGTTGAACACTCTCCTTGCTGAAAAGCGTAACACGAGTGTTTGTCAGAATACGTGCTCGAATAAAAGTTGAACAACATTGTAGGGATATTCTGCGGAAATGCTCATGTCAATCTGAAAAGGAGCGTTGATTATGTAAGATATCATAACAATTTGATTCTGGCTTCATCAAAACACTGATGATGAGGCGATCTAATATATATACTATAAAACATTCAAAAAAAAATATACAAACAAATCATATCCTTTCAAAAATATAAAGAATTGTGTTGTACAAGGTGAATAAACCCACCGGCAAATCTGGCGATGGGGGAAGAACATAACGCATCTAATCCAACACTTGATAGCATTGATTTATAAGGGGGCTTTACCGTAGCGAAGCAAAAGTGAAAATCCATGGTAATAAGGCGTCTAATCTAACACTTGGTAACATTGATCTATACGAGGGCTTGATTGTAGCGAAGCGAATATGCAAAACCATAGTATCTAAGCAGCAAATTCGATTTCTCATCTCCTTTATTAATAAGCTTACCAGCAACATAGCGCACCAAAATTTGCATGAATCAGCTATACCAAAATCAATATGCCTCCTGTTCGAATTAGAAGTTGCACAGGCTGCAGAGCTGTCCTTTCAAAAAATTTCGGCTACCAAAGATGTAATTCATGCCGTGTAAATAATAGCTATAAAGCAAAAACATAACCAAATTTGACAAATTTCAAGCCTTCATATCTTGACATGTAGACATTTATGAGCCACCGGAATGACGCCAAGCAACTGCACTTGAGTAGTAGTAACTTCCTGGCATCTTTGCTCAACTTTTTGGGCCAAAAAAAAAAACATGGCCAAAAATCGACCAAAAAGCATGAGATACCCCTCATGGTTTTCATCGAAAATCAAACAATCGCATTTTTCACCTCGAAAATGAAGACTTTTACTATGGTATGTATCAAATCAAAATATTTCTCTCGATCCGAAGCAACCTCTGAAACCACTTTTATAAGGCTTTCATATGCAAAATATGGCTATTTTCGCTAAAAACCTCATTTCAAATTTTATTAAATTGCTCAATAATCTCAGTCAAAACACTTACTACAGTTAGCATCATTGGAAGCGCCTTGAAAAGTACTTCAAGAATATATTAGGAAGCGTAGGGTGATCATCACAATTTATATAGTCGAATATCATAAAATAGAGGAAAGAAGTCGAAAAAAGACGAAATCTGTCCAATCTTGAACAGAAAAAAATAAACTGAGTTTCAACTGATTTTAGCGGATAGCGCTGCTGCTGGCTGGCCCAACTGCCCTTTCTGATGATGACAATGATGATTAGGATGCTGAGAGAGATACCTCCTCTCCTCCTCCTGGCTCTGATATAACCTTTCTTTCACTAACTAATAATTGGTTGTTTAAAATCTACTGGATATACCAGAATGTTATAATATCTGATTCAAAATGTCTTTGGCGAGAACCCACAAGGCGACGCCGACATCGAGGGTAGCGAGATAGATCGGCTAGTATATAAATTACAACAAACTAAAAACAGAGTTATTATCCATACAAAAGCCAGAACAGCAGGATCAGCCTAGGATAAGCGGCATTTTACATATTGATTGAGATAACATTTGCCTCGTGTTACATGAGATACACGCAAATTTTCATAATAATGACGGATCCAGAGAAGCAGTGAGACTGAGGGAAGCTGAACATGATGCTTGGAGCGATGATAGTCTATGAATGCAGTGTTTAGAAAGGGAATCCTGTTTTAGACGCTGTTTGCATTGGATAAAATTCGGTTTGGCACAGGCCTGATGTTGTACCTGAAATCCACAGACGATGATACCATTTTTTTTAGACGATCTCCGGGTTTCAACGAAATATTTTACTTTCAACTTTGCATGTATGCTATGAAATCGGTTCTGATGTCCATCACATATAGCAGTTTTGACCATTTTATCTTTTTTTTGATTTGATATGTCCTACCACTTTATTTTTAATTATCCCTGTTGTACAAATGACGATTCGAATCAAGTCCGATGAACCAACACATCTCATCCACATCTCCCAGCTTCAGTAAGCTATGTCCTGTGTGTTGGCTTATGACGATCAACTGTATAAAAGAGCAAGGCATCAGGAGTGTAGACTAGCTACATCTCTTGGTTCGAGCATCATGCTAGACCCAAGATAAAAGGAAGCCTTGCAATAAAAATAAACATTAAAGCATGGTCGTCCGTTTTAAACCATTTATTTTTATATTTCAACGGCCTAAAATAAATAGTAGAAGGAGGCTTATTTAAAGGCATATATAGAAGAAAGAGATGTAAAAGCCCTTTCTCTTGTGCTACTTTCACTAAACCCAAAAAAAAAAAAAAAAAAAAAAAAATGGAATAAAAATTGATTAAGCGAGGTTTCTCCTTGATTTTCTCTTCTTCTTCTTCTTCTCTTTCATTATACCTCACATAAATAAAAATGTCTGAAAATCTCATTGCCTCTCTTCAAGTCGGACGCAACGCTCCTTCTATGCCTGTTGAAGAATACAGAGCTCGTAAGGTTGCCCTTGTTACTGGTAAGTTTGATTTGCTATCTTGGTCTTGCATCAAGATGTTAAGTGTATGGTGCGTGTGGGCTTATACGTAAATCAACTGTAGGTGTTACTGGCCAAGATGGTTCTTACTTGACCGAATTTTTATTGGAGAAGGGCTATGAGGTTCACGGTATCATTCGTAGATCCTCTTCTTTCAATACTGGCCGTATTGAACACATTTATAAGGATAGACATGATCAAGGTAAATATAAATCCAGTGGTATCATTGGGCTTTTGGTTAAAGATCCGATGGATGGGCCCAATCAACCATATACTAAATGGCGATCATTCTAGGCGTCAAGTTCTTCCTCCACCATGGTGATTTGACTGACTCCACCTGTCTCGTTCACATCATCTCTCAAATCCAACCCACTGAAGTGTACAACTTGGCTGCTCAGTCTCACGTCAAGGTTTCCTTCGACATGTCCGAATACACTGGTGATGTAGATGCTCTCGGTACTCTTCGTCTTTTGGATGCTATCCGTACCTGTGGTTTGAGTGATCGTGTTCGTTTCTACCAAGCCTCTACCTCTGAACTCTACGGTAAGGTTGTCGAGACCCCTCAAAAGGAAACCACACCTTTCTATCCTCGTTCTCCCTATGGTGTTGCCAAGCTCTACGGTTACTGGATCACTGTCAACTACCGTGAATCATACAACATGTACGCCTGTAACGGTATTCTGTTCAACCACGAAAGTCCTCGTCGTGGCCGTACTTTTGTCACTCGCAAGATTACTCGTGCTGTTGCCGATATCCATTTAGGCCGTCAAGATTGTCTCTACCTTGGTAACATTGATGCTAAGCGTGATTGGGGACATGCTCGTGATTATGTTGAGGGTATGTGGCTCATGCTCCAACAAGATGAACCTCAAGATTTCGTCTTGGCCACTGGTGAAACTCACACTGTCCGTAGCTTCGTTGAGAAGGCCTTCAAGGTTACTGGTCGTAACATTGTCTGGGAAGGTGAGGGTGTCAATGAGATTGGTAAGGATGCTGAGACAGGCAAGGTCCGTGTTCGCATTGATCCCAAGTACTTCCGTCCTGCTGAAGTTGAGCTCTTGTTGGGCGATCCCACCAAGGCCAACACTGAATTGGGTTGGAAGAGAAAGGTCGACTTTGACGAGTTGGTTACTGAAATGGTTGTCTCTGATATCGAAGGTGGTCTCAACTCCTCCACATTAATGTAATTATAGATTTAATAATATATACTCCCACAAACACACGCCATCATCTATACAAAAAAAAAGCCCTTACTCGTAGTCTTTTCTTCATTATTTTATAAATAAACTCGCCCATATATCACTTATCCATTATTGCACAAAAGCAACTGCATGTGTTTTCGTTGTGTTTTGTGCGACATTATCAAATTTCATTGCCAACTGGAAAGACAATTAGCTTATAAAGGTCTAGGCAAACGCTCTTTTATCTCCAAGAAGCCTTGGCATTTTGTCTTTTGCTTGTATTTATAGCATCACATCATGATTTGGTGTTGCTTTAAATCGCAATTGACATGGCATTTGTGATTTACTACAGTTTGACATTACTTTTGTTGCCTGTAAGATACAGTGTAACATTGCAACATGAAGCAAAGGGATCTTCATCTGTTGCTCCATATCGTCACTGATTTCAAGCGCTGATATAATACAACTCAAGCTATCAATGGGAACAGGTTTTAGCTCGTGGGCGGAGCTATCTCCTCATTGATCTGTCCTCGATTTGTAATCTCATGTCAATGAAGAAGATTACCAAAAACTCGCTAAAATCATAAAGGATCGTCAAAGCTAGTTGAAAAGGCACTCATAAAACATGTGTCTAGAATTCTCTGGCAGGTTTAAACAAGCGTGAGTCTATTGTTGTAACGTTTTCAGAGTAAAAGAATGTCAAATGCTGGGGTCGTATTCAGGAACAACACTATAAAGCGATGGCTAACTAAGAGTTAGTGCCAGCCAGCATATTTAAGATACAGTGTAGGATATGACGCTATTCTTCATTACATTTAAGAGCTAAAATATCCATATCGAGGGTCAGGTTTGACAGGATGAACTCGAGTTTGAAACCAGGATGTACTAATCTACAGTATCTAATGTCGGCTCAAGACAAGGAGCAAACCTGAGAGATACAACATACAGACTTTCCCAGCAGCCTGATTGCCTGGCGTTTCTTGAGGGAACCAGGCAATGGCTTTAGACATCCAGAATTACGAATTCTGTCAAAAAAAAAAGAGCCATTTATAGCAAAATTATCTCCTTTATAATATAAAAAGTATCAAATAAAGCTATACCTTTCTGCAATGCGTTGCTAGCTTATCTATTATAGACATTACATTTTGCCAGCGCCTGAGAATCTTTCATGGATGGAATACATGCTGATAAATGTTCAACAAACATGGATACCATTTCGACAATCACAATGGCAATACGACTTGAGTCTTTAGTAATCACATTAAAGGCGCTGAAGGATTCAAGCAGTGTGACAACACTGGAAGCTTCTAGATACACATCTGAAATGCCATCTTCTGCCTGTTCTCTACACATTTGTGTCGTTTGTGACATAAAATCTCACTAAACCAACTGATTGGCTGATCTGTCTCAGCTGTGATGGAAGCTTATAAATGATGGGGCCAAACCGAAAAAATTTTCCTTCAACTTCTTTCCTTTTCTTTTGTCTATCTTTCTTTTTTCTCATCGTATTCTATTCAACATAAGGATACCTCATTAAAGAAAAAGAAGAGCATTACTAAAGAATCATCAATTCAGAGAACACACTAGATTGTTGACAAAAGAAGCTCAACCGCACCTAAAGAATAAGAAACGTTCTTGCGCTAGAAACATCTACACATTTGAGAAACACTCTTTCCAAGTCTACTGCATTAAAGCCCTCTATCCCATCGCATCATCATGACTACAGCTATCCCCTTCCCTTTGCGTGTGGATCCTCATCTCAAAGACGAAGGAAAGCCTAAACAATTTCAGCCCAATCTCAATGTCAAGTTGATTTGTCCTGACTGTAGAGTCGAGCCTCCATCCATTGTAGAGGAATTCGCCTCGGGTGACCTTGTTTGTGGAGATTGTGGGCTCGTTCTTGGTGATCGTATCATCGATACGAGATCAGAATGGAGAACTTTCGCAAACGATGAAGGCGATGTATGTTGTTTTCAAATGTTGTGTATCTGCCAGTGTGTATTTATATATGAATTATATGAAAATAGGATCCTTCTCGTGTAGGTGCCGCAGCGAATCCACTGCTTGATGGCAATCAGTTGGACACTGTGATTTCTCGCAGAGACGGTGGTTCTGGTACAGCAAAGGACTTGAATAAAGTGCATGGTCGTGCCACTGCTGTCAAGGGCGAGCGTAATCTTGTGCAAGCCTACAAGGAGATCAGTGCCATGTGTGATTCCATCTCTCTCTCTAAAATTGTCAGCGATACTGCCAAACAACTTTACAAGCGAGTCGAGGATGAAAAGCTGCTCCGGGGTAAATCCAGTGATGCCATCATCGCTGCCTGCATCTTTATTGCTTGTCGTCAGGAGAAGGTGGGCCGTACCTTCCGAGAAATTTGCGCATTGACTCGTGTCCCAAAGAAAGAGATTGGCCGTTGTTATAAATCACTCCAATCCAAGTTGCAAACCAACACCACCATCATGAACTCTGAGGATTTGATGCTTCGTTTCTGCTCCAACCTTCAATTGCCCAACTATGTTCAAAAGGCAGGCATTGATTTGGTCAAACAGGCTAAAGAGGTCGGCACACTTGCAGGCAAGTCCCCCATTTCTGTCGCTGCTGCTTGCATTTACTTGGTCTCGTACCTCTACCGTCAACCCAAGTCTACCCGCGATATTGCTCATGTCGCTGGCGTATCTGAAGTAACCATTAAAAGTGCCTACAAGACGCTCTATGCTGAGAAGGATAGTTTGGTTGATTTGGAAGCTTTGAGAGCCAAACCTCATGGTGAAGGTTTGAGTTTTGAAGATCTTGCTTTGCCTTAAAGTCAGCCACAAGAGCTTATTCTATTGTATGTATGCCATTGTCAAATGCTCTTTTGCTCCACATTGCAAACGGAGAAAATGATGTGTATAGTTCTGAACAGCTCGAAAATTACTGTAATAACCCTCTAAAAAAATTGTATATAATCCTATCAATAAAATATAAATGGCCTCCATGGCATGTAAATGAAGCTGTTTGATTGTGTACTTAACAGTTGCGGAATTGTGTTTGTTGTTGATCAAACAGCTCGGAAGAAACAGAGTGGGACCTGGGAGTATGTGCAAATGATCATTATTACATGGCATGTATAATGTTATGTATCGCTCTTCTCACTATGGGAGATGTCATGGACATATATGTCTTGAAGCACATGGTACCGCTAGGTTTAAAGATGTATGAAAAGGAGGCTCAAAGTAAATGGATCAATGAGCTGCGGCATAAAGCAGCATCACATTGCCATCGTCATCTCCATCATGCCTGTATAAGTGTGAAAAGGGATTTGCCTGTTCTCTTGGAAATCATGCGTATCTGCTAGTGTGTAAAACCTAGGAGTCTGTCGATCTGGAAAATTGGCGATAAGCATACCTCACATTATGTTTGTTGAAAAAAAAAAAAAAAAAAAAAAAAAAAAAAAAAAAAAAAAAACAAGGGATGTGTAATAATAGAACAAACACTTCATTTCGGCAAAATGCAGTGTTACAGCTGCTTGAATTTCATGGAGACCGTAGCACACACGCATGCAACATGGATAGTGTCTATCAGGAAACTCGCTCATTATATTGCCAGTTAACAGATGCCCTCTCGTTTGAAATACCATACGTTCAAATATATATATTTAGGACGCTCACCACCATTGATCAATCCGAGCGTATGATCTGGGGGTGTGTTGTTGTATAAGCTGACGATTGTTGTCCTACAATGGTGTATGGCGACAAACACATTTACTCTTTTTGGTCCAGGTCGGGTTGTCTTTCTACTCAAAACCCCCTTAATTTTACATGTTTACTTGTTTGAATTCATGCAACTGATTACCTTTGTGTAATGTCATTAATAATAGTATATTTATTGAAACATTCAGTTGTGAATAGCATAATAGATTAAAAAGAGCGAATGGATGAGTAAAGTGATAATACATGGAATGGTGGTATAAGTGATAAAGGATAGACAGTGGTATAATAAAGTAATTTAAAGATGAAATCTCTTCTTGTACATCAAGTAAGTGGGTGATGAGCTTTCAAGCGACATTGCATCACATTGCTTGTCTTTTTTTTGATGGTCCACTCGGAGAACAGTTTGATTCTTGCCGTTGTTTTCTTTGTTGGAATAATTGCTATACCTGTCAATGATGCCAGGAGAAATGAGGAGAGAGCAGCCTAATACAGCACCTGTGGGTGATGGCAACGTGCTTGAAGACGACATTGCGGATAATGAACCACTGTGTAAAGGCAGTGGAGGTTGAGGAGAGCAAGTCATTGAAGATGAAGAAGATGTGGATTGAGTGACTATAGGAGCTAGCTTCTTGTTTCTACGTGCTAATAAGGATCTCTTTCTTGATTCATCTTCTCCCCAACTCATGTTTGTACAACGCAGGGGGAGTGCTGGCATACGGTACACTTCAGGTGATGCCATGATGATGCTATTGACGCTGGCAACAGATGTTACGCGGTGTGTTTGTGATGTTGGTCGCAGCAAAGGAGATGAGGCTGGCGAGTATTTGTTGATTCTGTTTTTGATGGCAGACACCCACATCTCCATATCGACCTCAGACTTGCATTCAATGATCCAGGGCCTCAATCCGTGAGCTGTTTGCTGTTGCTGTTTTGGTTCAAGTCGAAAGCAGTAAGGATGCTGTACAGTGGACGCTGGAATGACTTGGGCAATCTGGCGTAAATTCAAGACTTGAGAGGATGATTCAGAGTGCTCATCTTTATAGAATCTCAATTCAGAATCAAGCAAGACAAAAAATCTTGAGATCCAGCGAGATCTTCCAAATGGCAGAGATACCATCTTTGATAGCCAGCCCGCAGCTGGTGAAAATGACTCGTGGTGAGGTGAAATGATTGTGGTTTTCATGTTGACGTGTGGATTTAAGGAAAGTAGCTGACAGAGAGATAGAGAGCAAGAAGGGGGTGGGCATCAAATCAAGATGGTATTTATACCAAATCGAAGCGATCGAAAATGGGGCTAAATTGTAATTTGGGAAATTACGCCTTCAAATCCTTCCAGCTCTCCCCTTAATCCTCGGGTAATAATTGGATTGGCAAAAAACGTTATTGCGCAAAATCTGCCTGTACGTCTAATATGGAACTGGATTCTCTCTCTTCATTGGTGTCTAGCTGGTCAATCCTATCTATGATTTCCAGCTTGATAATGCAACACTAGCTAGAAAGGATCTTTGGCTGGCGTCTCGGATTTGTAGCGAAGATACCTCCAAGGATATGGAATTATCATGCTTTTTTGATTACCCCTACACGAGACATCTGACCTGATTAGACATGCCATCTCTCGTACTATGAATATCCGATGCATCGAAAGAATCGGAAGAGTTCAGTTGATCCAATCTGTTGGGCGTAGATGTGCAGACTTTGCAACGTAGAATGAAGGACTCTCGATGCTAAATGTCAGACCATTATGTCAGCACTTGACAGGAGAGCACATATAAACAAGGATTCCTAATGTTGCAAAAGTAGAGTGCTTGAAAGATGCTAGAGATGTCTGAAGAACAGCAACCGCATGTTTGGAGACCGGCAATGATCAAGAGAATCAACAACATGTCATATGTGGCCATATGTGATGACTTGCTAGTCAAAACAGCACTGAAGACCATGTAACCATGTTCAACTTGCTGGGTATCAAGGCTTGAGCATAGTTTGAAAGGTAGACCATGTAATTGACGCTTGCAGTTGTTCCAAATCGATTTGTCATTAGACAACATGGTTTCCCTCTTTTCTCAACGCCACGCCAAGTTTACGACGAACGCATTTTGTTCTGAGACCAGAGCTACAATTGTACCAGCACTTATTTCTGAGTAATTGCGATCAAACCAAACGTGGCGTAAAATGATCTATCCTACATTTGATGTTATTGGGTCTTTGGATGTGATACAGCTTTAGGCGCACATTTTTATTTTGGCAGGTGCAGTGTTATAATGGACGCCATGTTATTTTTATGAACAAAGAGGATGTAGGCACCGCCCCCTTGAAAAGCCTATGCTTCATTCAATTGGTGATTGATGTCCCTGCTGGCTGATCAATGACGCTTTTGGTGGTCATTTACGCATGGTTGGAGAACGAGAGGGGCCAGAGGAATGTCGATGGCTTCATCATTGACTCATTCATTGCTATTGTACATGTTTTCAATTGAATGTGCGCGCCTTCCATCACAGCAAGGTTCCTTTCAGTGTTGTATTTGCGCACACAACGCTAGCAACAAGAACGACATGTCTTATCCGGCCATTCGTGTGTGCCATAGACTCTCTCAACATAATTCCTTAAAAGGCGAATGCCTTGATTTTTGAGGCTGACAGCGCTCAGCATCACATTGCTCGTCTTGAGGATAGCTTCTACCCCATACACAAGATCGTTCACAATTTGTACCACACAACCATGCCCATCCCTCATTTGACCTCAACTGCGAATTCAACATTTTAGCTCTGATCAGCCAATGATACTCTACAAAACTTCATCAACCCATTCTTGAGGCTCTCTGAAACAGGAAAGCTGCTAATTGGACTAATGAACGGATCCATTACAAGAAACAGGCGAAAAAAAGTGACTACTGAGATACTAAAGCAATCGATCCGTAACATCGCGGATAATTTGAGTAGAAATGGGCTTAAACGTCTTGCCATTTCCCTCTCTCTCTCTCTCTTTTTTTTTTTTTTTTTTTTTTTTTCTCCATCTTTCTTGAACTCCTTGATTGCGTGTGTGAGTGAGAGAGTGTGTGTGAGTGTGTGAGATTGTGTAATTGCCTAGATAACCCACAACTGCCATCAATTGAATTACCTCTGTAACGCGCTACAACATTGAAAGCTCAAATCACAAAATGAACAATTTCCAAGCATTGAATTATGCCTGTAAGTCAAAAAAGAAATGCAACGTTACAAATGTATGCTAATGCCATCAAAATACTCAAGCAGCACAACAGCAGCAAACGCCAGCACAAGAAGTACATGACTCTTCAGCGAAACGCAAATTTGAAGATGATTCATCGGAACAGGTATGTATTCGCATGTCAATTGGAAGTGATTCTTGTTGACATTGGCTCTAGTCTGTAAAAGCAAAAAGGCTGCATTTTCTGGAAAACAAGCCATGCCAGTTAATAAAAGAAGAGATGGAAGAGAAGAAGCAATTACTGCAGCAGTTGATGCCTGCCATCACCTACGCTTCGCCTGATTATAAACCCTCTTCAAATGCCATTGCTAATTTCGCAAACTCCAGCATGGACACAACACCATCTGCTCTATGTGGCATGATCACACCGCCTGCAGAACAGCAACAGCTGCCTTTACAGACACAACAAGTGGAGGGCAATGCTGATGTGATGATGGTGGATGATGATTATACGGATGAAGATGAATCACTACAAACGCCATCGTACATGAACTGCTACAGCAGCTATATTACGACTGATATAGGCGACGATCTAGAAAGTGGTGGCTACACTGGTCAATTAGAAAGAGGTTGGAGTGAAATGTTTAATGAAATGGTTTAATGAAAACTCGGGATCGTCCCACTACCACATGCAAGCTACATAAGCAGCGGAACTGGAATAAAATGTATAGCCGTAAAAAAGAGATGTTTATTTTTTTTTTTTTGAATGATCATGGCTTCTTTTTTCTTCACACAACAAAATCATGTTGAAGTATTATATCATATTATTCATATATACCTGTGTTCAATGCATGTCAGCAAAAGAGATATCATTTCGCGATGACAATATACAGTATTTTGGCCGGTGGCACTCATCTACAAACGAAATACAAAGCGGCTGGCCCGGTGCATACTTTAGAGTCATATTAGAGCATACGACTTCAGTGCAGTTACAGCTAAGCAAGCCCGCATCAATACAAGTGCAAGTAGACAAGGGCCCGCAACTGCACTTTATCAATACTACTCACATCAAGATACAACAAGGGTTCGAGCAAGATGGCCCCCATGAGCTCAAAGTCATAGCAATAGAAATAGATCCAGCACAATTATCTGTATGTTTGCAATCCATTTTGCTCGATGAAACAGGTATCACACTGTCTCCCGCTCCCTCAGCGGAGAAGCCACTAGTAGAGTTTGTTGGACATGATCTCACATTAGGCTTGGAGACATCGCAAACATTGTTTTCCAGTTATGCTTGGCTGACAAGTGATCTATTGGGATTGGAGCATTCACACATTGCCTACAAAAAGGCTACCTTGATTGAAGGCATGGAATCAAAATACTTTGATTGGTCATTGTTACATGATCAAGAACAACAACAAACAACCAAGACCCCTTGGAGTGTGGTGATCCTATTGGGCTCAAATGATCGTCAAACTGATTATGCCTCTGACGATTACAAAGATGCCTTGAATATGTTTTTGACAAGACTTCGTAAAACACTTTATGAAGATGCACCCATATTTATTCTATCTGAACCACTGGGTGATATGTTTCGACCCTCTCAGCAATCCGTATTGGATATGACGCATCGAGATCAGTATATCTACTTTATCGATACAACCGGGTGGTTGAGATATGGCTCAAATTACTATAGAGACAGGGTAAATCCATATAGAATCATGGCCAACCAAAGCTGCTCTAATCATCTTGCAATCTGCTCTAGGGTCATCTCACTGATGCAGGCCATCAACTACTGGCAAAGAAATTAGCACCCCTTTTGCAAGTCAAGTTGACACATCCAAGAGATCCCTTGCCAGGACCACCACCAAACCCCAATTTACCTGGCGATTGGCAAACCATGGACGTAGGACAAGAAAACAGAATCGGATTACCAGGCACAGTCTCTGCAGATTCAGCCTCCACATTCACGTTATGGGGATCAGGTGCTGATATTGACAATGACACGGACGCATTTCGATTTGTATATCAACCATTTACCAACCAAGGCACCATTGAAAGCACAGTTCGATCGCACTCTGCTTTTGCCAAATGTGCAAAGGCTGGTATCATGATCCGGGAGCATTTGGGTCATGGCTCGCCTCTTATTATGCTGGGCATTTCTCCTGCTGAGGGTATCTTTGTTCAGATCAGATATGGCAATTTTGAATCCACTAAATTGGTCAAAAAGATGAGAGCTTCACCTCCTTACCGTCTGCGATTGGTGCGACAAAGTCAAAACAATATGTTTCAAGCTCAAATTCAACATGTTGATAGTGGTGGAAACGATGCTATTTGGGAAACGTTTGTAACTGTACCTTTTGTCATGGCTCGTGATGTATACGCTGGTATTGCTGTTACTAGTTGCGATACATCTGTTGTCAGTGTAGCTAAATTCACAGAGGTGGCTCTGTACCGCAGTGCATCATTAACGCTGCAAGAAGAACAACCTAGTGCTGTCCATTTTCTAAATCAACAGTAACTTGAATAAAGTAATTGATTCAAGTAGATAGAGTTTCTTGCAACTCCTTTTAGTTTACGTTTTCTGATGTTGTCTACTTGATGCTTTTTTTTTTAACTTAATTCCAGGATTTTCAGTTCATTTTATACACAGAATAATATACAGTTGATCTCTGTTGTATTTTACTATTGCTTTATTTTCTTTGTGCAATCCCTAAACCCGTTTTCACTGCAGCATCCTACGATACCATTTTTGAATAAAGAAGAACTTAAATTGTATTTATTTAGATACCCTTTTATTACAAACAGAAAATTATAATACATGACAGAACAATATGAGATCAATAGAAAATCAACTAGTTGTAGACCATCGTTGATTCAACTTCTTAGCCAATCAAATTGCTTGAAAACTCCGCTGACCCAAAAAAAAATTTGCGAGGGTTTCCCCCTGTTTTGATGTGAGGCAAAATTTTAAGCGCCGCTATAATAGCATTATAGCCGCTGCTATCATCAAATCTCCCCCAGATGCTAGAGCATGCCTTACCTACACCACCTAGCTTTAGATTCTGGCATTGAGACCCTCAATCATCACTAAAGTAAGTAGCGATAACCAAGTGGAGGCAGCCTATCTACCTCTTGGTGTCGGATAAAGTCTTGTTGAGCTTCAGTGATAGGCACATCCACCGCAACGTAATAAAGAGGTATGCTTCAAAGAAACATAATAAGAATAAAAGAAGAAAAGAACATACTACTATAGGGATATAGTAGTTTGTAGGCAAAAAAAGGAAGACTCACACAAAGTGAGTCAAAAAAAAGCATAACAAACACAACATCAAAGATGTTCAAAAAAGCTCATTGTTGTTGCAATAAAAATGCATACATGAGCAACGTGCATGGTAGTAATAGTCGGATGTAAAGCAACATGGCACAAATACGCACAACTGCAAAAGCAACAGTGGTATTATAAGCTTGCAATACAACATAATGACTAATGTTGTTTCATGTAAAGTTACAGAGGAAACACTACCAACAAAAGAACAAGAAGAAGAAAACGCAACAAGGCAAACATTATGAATGCATTATCACGAGAAAGGAAGCAATAATATAAGCGTTCAAAGAAGTTTTATATCATTGCGACCAGAAGAAAGAAGATACTTACCACTTACCACAGCCACAGATAGATCAGAAGAGTATAGGCAATCACCGGAGACAGACCAGAGAACGAGCAAGTACCAAATACAGTAGACCAGAAAAGACCAGATTAGCAGCAGCAGTAGCAGCAGTAACACCAGCACTACAGAAAAACTAAAGAATGAACGCCATCAGCAGAGACCAGACAAAGACCAAAGAAGCTACTTACCACTTATCACCACCACAGATAGACCAGACATTACGCAATCACCGGATATGAGCCAGAGAACGAGCATGCACCAAAGACAGTAGACCAAGAAAGACCAGATTAGCGGCAGCAACACCAGCTCCATAGAAAAACCGAAGAATGAACGACGCCAGAGATCAGACAAAGGCCAAAGAAGCAACCATCAGACATGATAAACCAAAGAAGCAGAAAGCAGAGATAGCAGAAAAGTAATAGCAGCAGCACCCACATCAAGCAGACAAAAAGAATCATCAAAACCTAATAAACAAATTCAATTAGTGCTAATTCTACGCCTTCCAGTGCTCGTTATCGAATGGTACCTAATATATTCCACTTTAAAAGAGCAGTATCAAGCTCTTCTAACAATACAAGACTGAGCTATCAGAAGCTAGAATGTTATTATCAATCAAACGGTGTCCAAAACCACCATGGTTTAATACTAAAACACGTTTTGCAAAAAGGGTGAAAAACGGGGACATGGAAAAACGAGAGGGCACCATATCCGACGTCACGACCTGTAGATTTAGTCTCAGTCCTATATCGTAGCAGCGCTAGTTGCGGCAATTTAATTTGAAATTGTGCAGTGGTATTTTCATGTTCAAACTTGACTTGATCTCACATCCTTTAATCGTTTTTTCTAAATTTGACTACGAAAACTCTCGTTATAACACCAAACTTTCTAATACATTTCTAGAGAACTAAAAAAGCCGCATCAAATGGTGCTAATTACTTTTAGCTTTTACACCGAAAATAATGAGCAATTTGCAAAAATATGAAAACAGGTTTTCTGTGAATATATCAAAAGTTAGCATATAAAAGTTTCATAGAAAGAGTTTCCAATGTTGCATTTCTTCTTTACGATCAATTTGATCTAATATGTGTCATAGAAAGAGTCTTCATTTTTGGGGTGAAAAACATGATTGTTTGATTTTCAAAAAATTTCCCTTGCTAATACTCATGGAAAAAACGATGATTTTCATGAATTTGCAACGACCCAAAAAAAAAATTGAGATAAAGCATCAGGAAGTAAAGCGTGGCCAAGAGAAGGCATGTGATGCTATTCCAAGCGCTCAAAACGCTTTGTGGCATGAGTTATTCGTGCTTGAAAATGGCTAGATTTGAACAGAATTCGACCTAAAACGACAGCGTAGTAGTGGGTTGTGTTACCAGAAGAGTAAGTTACGCTTCTGTCTGATAAACCAGATGTTCTGTATTGTACATTATGAAATCTCTAGTGTCAATCCAAGGCGTGGAAAGGCTGTTTGCCCTTCGTGGTGAGATGATGCACACTATTATGGCTTAAAACCTTTGCCAAACAACCACAATGTTGCATATAAGCATGCATCTTAGCCTACATTTACTTTTTCCTCAAGCCACGTTTACAGTGTAGCAACATAGATGATGTTTATCGTATCACATCACATCTATGTTTACAAGTCCAGTCAATTATTGTGTGTGCACGGATGTCTCAGGAACTACAATAGAATCAACATTGTTGTGCCAGAAGGGCTACAACTGTCTATAAAGATTAAGGTATTCTTGATGGGTAGATATGTCTGTGTTGTGCAACAACATGGACAAGCTATGATCATTGATATGCATCTCAGCTATCTAAATGCTGAGGTTCACCAGATGTGATAAGCGTTGTACAAGATAAATTGCTACTTTGGCATTCAGAACTTAGTATAAATAGAATAATTCTTGTCTTCATCAATAAATCTTTAGTTTTTGTGTCTGATCTTATTCAAATAAGTCTTTTCTTGTTTTTATAATATCGAACATTTTTTATAAGCTACAAATAATAATCCTTTTATTCTTTGTGTTTAACATTATTAATTTTCATCTGCATGAATTTATCTGAATATTTCCAAATGGATTTGGACAAATTTAGAGTGATTAAGACATTTTTAGGATACTACAGAAAAAAATTGGTCAAATTCTAATATATTCAGATAAATTTGAATCTTTTTTAGTCACAGTGTCATATTACATTTTGGATGTATAAAAGTGTTTCTGAAAAACTGTTTCCGGTTTCAAGAGTTGGATCATCCAAAATCAGATTACTGAAGTATTAATGCTAGATCTCTGAAAGCAGCATAATCCTATCGCAGAAATTGTTGAAGAATGCTTGGTTTTAAAATAGTAATCAATGCAAGAGCACTGGTAGTAAGGATCAATTTGAGTAACAACCTTGGTGGGCTTGGATGAGCTATCTTCATAGCATGATTTAATGTAACCTTGATGGTTTAAAGTGTGATGTTTGCTATTGAAGTATGGAATCCTTTATCTGGGATATTGTGCAACTGTGGAATCAGGGCATAGCTGTCATATTTGGATATGCTTGTTATTGATTTAATTTCATTTGGATAAAGATAATATCATCCATTTTTACGACCATCATGGGTGTGACTGAATACAATGCGATCCAGAGTGATCCATTCACACAATGTGCGAGATAAGAAAAATCTGAATGAGTGATATTTGATGAATTCCGGCTTTCAATCACGTTGTGTTTGGGTGACCATCAAACTGCCCTGCTGACCTAATGAATATCTCGTTCAATTTGAGCAAGTTGTTAGATTCAAATATACATAACATTATTGACGCTCAAGTTGCAGTGAAATCAGGTTTAAATAGATTTCACAAAAAAAATAAAGCAAAGGTAAAATACAATAGAAATCAACTGTATTTTATTTTGTGTATAAAATGAACTGAAGATCCTGGAATTGAGTAAAAAAAAGAAGAGTATTTATACATTTGCATCTGGCTTGTAGGATTAGTGATGATAGAGAGCAATAGGTGCTGCTATTGCGATATCTGGCAAATGTTGTTGATGTTTGATTTAAAGTGGTAATCAATGCAGGAGCACTGACCATAAGGGTCGATTTGAGTAACCTTGATGGGCTTGGGTGAGCTATCGTCATAGCATGATTTAATGTAACCTTGATGGTTTAAAGTGTGATGTTTGTTATTGAAGCATGGAATCCTTTATCTGGGATATTGTGCAACTATGGCAGCAGGGCATAGTTGTCATATTTGAATATTATGCTTGTTATTGATTTAATTCTATTTGGATAAAGATACCATCACTTATTACGACCATCATGGGTGTGATTGAATACACTGTGATCAGGAGTGATTCATTCACACGATGTGCGATATAAGCATGCATCTTTACTTTAGTATTTCTAAATGGGTTTTTGATGTACATTTGAGCGCTTTCATTAATAGATCCAAATAGCATGAATTTGAATGAGTGCTATTTGATGAACTTTGGTTTTCAATTAAGTTGCGTTTGGGTGGCTATTTCATTACACAAGTTATGAAATTACCGCAATCGCGCATTTCGAAAAGAAAGATCTGAGCCTCAGAGTTAAAATAAATGTGTCTAACATTAAGGAACTATGTTTCGTACAACGCAGAGCATTTGTATCACCAAGCAGAGCAGTAATTTACTTAGTTCTTTGGCAGCACAACCTATTTGCCCTATTTTTAGACCAGATTTTGTCCAAATCTAAACATTTTCAAACGTGAATACCTCATGCAACAAATCGTTCTGGACGCTTAGAATAGCATCCAACGGCTTATCTAAGCTACGCTGTATTAACTGATGCTTTTTCTCGATTTTTTTTGGGTTATTGCAAATCCATAAAAATCCTCGATTTTTGAACAAAATCTGCCTGTGATAGTAAGGGAAAAATCGTCACTCAATTCTTTGGTCAGGACAAGGTTGTCAATATTTCATAATAAAGTTATGCCAGAGCTTCGAGCAAAAGCTCATTCGATAGGAAATTTTTTGGTGTACAATATTTAGTAATACTTAACAAAATGTTTTGATGACAGATACTAATTAATCTTTAGAAAACAGTCAAAAAATGGCAAGATGTATCTCATTAAATATCAGGTGAACAATGTACACCAGAGATTTGAAATAAATACCATTGTATTTTCCTTGCAATTCTCTACAAGTTTCATATAAGTTTGAAGGGGTAGTTACTATCAAGAAACGCGTCATTTTAAAGTTAATAAATTTCGGAATCCCATGGATCATCATTCAGAACAATAGAAATTGAAGCTCCGTTTAACCTTTGCATGTGTACACCAAACATGTATGAATTTGACTGAGTGTTTTAAAAATCGGAACGTACGAAAGGGGCCATATTAATTTGCTGGTTTCAAGTCATCAATAGATACTTGACATGATGGAGAATCTTGCTTTCAAGGTTAGGTAGTTGTAACTTGCTTTGTTCAATAATAATAAGATTTGCAATTTAAAGCATGCATATTCCCTTGCTTAAAAATAGCACCTCCAATGTCGATTATCTCATGAAGTGTGATGTATCATTTCTAAACCTGATCTCGAAATGCGTAGAAACAATCAGTTCAAGCACAGATCATATCAGATCATAAACTTTGACATGAAACAGGATTCAGTTACGATCTGGCATGCTCAGGATAATAGATTGGATCTATTATCTTACCACCCAAATCAACCCATCTAACATCTTATCCTCACATCAAATCCCTCAGTCCGAATAGTATATTAACCCTCTATTTCCAATGTAATAAACGATATTCTTTACCTGACTAATTTCATACTACTCTTTTTCTAAATATTATATTTCTGATAAATCAGAGGAGCTGCTTTATGGCCAATCCTAATATTGCACTCTAGTTACTTGCTGATAAGCGGTATTCTTGGGGGGGGGGGACATTCATGATATGCTTACTACAGTTGAATGATCTAATTGATCAATAGTGACAAAACTGGCGACGTTTGATCAGTGCTATAAATATAGCTAGCATCCAAAGGCACGAGATTTTCTATTTTTGGTCTCCTTTCTCTTTGATGCTTATCGACACCTATCGATTGAATTTCTTCACAAAATGTTGAACCATTCGCTTTTTCCATTAGTATATTTGTCCAAAAAAAAAGCGCCTTTGCTATCAAAAAGTGCATTACTCTACCTAAAGATAAAATACCAAAGGCAACAGGTTAACCTAGCACGACTAAGAGTCCTATCAAAAGATGCAATGGACTGTTACAACCTGGAAACTATCCTAGACTTTCAAGCAACTGGTAATCAATGCAAGCTTATATATTACGACGTTAAAAAGCAAAAACTTGTATGCCATGACAAAATTCTGCTCGATTCAAATACTCTTGGTACTTGGACCTCATTGGAAACTATGTAGCACTACTGGGTTTGACGGCAATTCATTGCAATTACTGTATTCCTTCCAGTCAAGATTTGTTTTCACTCGCCTGCCCAATAGACCTGTCCATGTATCTCCATAATTTCAAGGTTACAGGCATTACTTGAATGATCGCCCCCCTGAACATACTATGCCTATCTTCATCAAAACTTACCGTTACTGTTGTTGGCAGGCAGAGGCTACAAGTGCGCCCAAAATAAGCTCCATGCAAACATACCATCACAGTTAACATTTCATGTCATTCTACTTATATTATTACTTCTATGTGTTGAATAATTCTTTGTTGAACAAGCTAATTACGTATGAGCATTACGGTCGGTACATTTCAGCGAGATTTCTCTGATCGTTCATGCATGTCATCTACCATATGAACTTGCAATATCAATGTGCAATACACAGATAAAGTGATGAAATCCACCTCCAACAAGAGCATTGGCATCTGTGATCCACCATCAGGGACCAGCCTACCAGTGACCGGCAATCGTCTCAAGTTGACTCATTGTTGCAAATCCAATCGCTTTGAAGATCCGTCATTCTGTTTGGACGACTTTGGGATGGGACGATATGCCTAAGAAAGAGGAGAGACAGGCGAGCTTCTCTCTCTCTCTCTCTCTTTCTTTTTTTCCTTTTTTTTTTTTTTTATATCTGTCAATTTCTTTTCACAACTAGAAAATGGCTTCATCCATAGTGAATCCCGATGTGGCAAGAGTCTCTGTCCTTGGTTCAGAGTCCATCATTGTCGGTTTTCATCTAACGGAATATCTCATACGCGATATTCTAACCAACCTCCCTGCCTCCAACTATGTTGTTATTACAGACACCAACTTGGCTCCCATCTACCTCGACAAGTACGTCAACGCCTTTAAGGCAGTCAGCAAAGACATCTTTGAGGTCAAAAATGAAAAGGAACCTCGTCTTTTTACCCGTATTTTACCACCTGGCGAAATGACCAAGTCTCGCAAAATCAAGGCTGATATTGAGGATTGGCTCTTATCCAATGCAGTGACCAGAGATACATGTTTCCTTGCCATGGGTGGTGGTGTCATTGGCGATCTTGTGGGCTTTGTTGCTGCTACATTTATGCGTGGTGCCATGGTGGTGCAAATCCCTACCACCTTGTTGGCCATGGTGGATTCTTCCATTGGCGGTAAAACTGCCATTGATGTGCCTGCTGGTAAGAATTTGGTAGGTGCCTTCTGGCAACCCAAGCGTATTTTCATGGATTTGGACTTTTTGAATACGTTGCCCGAGCGTGAATTTGCCAATGGTATGGCTGAATTGATTAAGGTTTGTTCAAGGAAAAAACTCTAAATTTGGCATCTATCAGTGTTAACAGTTTGTATTACACGGAAATAGACGGCTGCTATTTCAGATGAAAATGATTTCTGTAAGCTGGAAAATGGCGTAGAAGCTATTCGCAATGCCGTTTTCTGTAGTGGATCTGCCGTCCCCAATCAAGGTAAGCATGTGGATGCAATAGGAATACAGAATTCAAACTGACCCCCCACAAACACAACAAAAGGTGCTACTTTGGATACTCGCACAGAAGCTCAATCCATGCTCATGGATGTCATTTTGGCGTCAGTCAGATTCAAGGCGTTTGTGGTCACCAGCGATGAAAGAGAAGGAGGTCTTCGTGGTTTATTGAACTTTGGTCATTCCATTGGTCATGGTATTGAGGCTATCGTTTCCCCCCTCATGTTGCATGGTGAATGCGTATCCATTGGCTGTATCAAGGAAGCTGAATTAGCCCGTAACTTGGGCCATTTGAATCAAGTCGCTGTCGGCCGTTTAGCCCGTTGTTTTGCCTCTTACGGGTTGCCCATCAGCATGGATGAAAAGAAGGTCAAGGACAGAATCGGCAGCCTTTACTGTCATGTCGATGATATCATGGAAGTCATGAAGGTGGACAAAAAGAATCAAGGCGATAAGAAACGTATTGTCATGCTCTCTGCTATCGGCAAAACTTTGGAGCCTCGTGCCTCTGTCATTGCTGATGCCGATATCCACAAGGTGCTTTCTCCCGAACAACTTGTCTTGCCTGTTACTGAGTCACCCAACGGTCCCAAGAAGGAGGTCTCCTTGACCACACCAGGCTCCAAATCCATCTCTAACCGTGCTTTGCTCATTGCTGCATTAGGTACCGGTACTGTGCGTATCAAGAACTTGTTACACTCGGATGATACTCAATTCATGTTGGCTGCACTCAAGAGCTTGAATGCTGCTGACTTTGAGTGGGAGGATAATGGTGAAACTCTTGTTGTACACGGTGGTGGTGGTCGTCTGTCTGTGCCCGATAAAGAAATCTATGTGGGTAATGCAGGTACTGCTTCCAGATTCTTGACCTCTGTCTTGACATTGATCCCTACTGCTGAGGGTACCAAGAATCCTACTGCCATCTTGACTGGTAATGCCCGTATGAAGCAAAGACCTATTGCGCCTCTTTTGGATGCCTTGAAGGCAGATGGTGCTGAAATCAAGTCTATTGAAAAGGAGGGCTTCTTGCCCATTGCTGTTACTCCTAATGGTGGCCTCAAGGGTGGTCGTATCGAATTGTCTGCCTCCATCTCTTCTCAATATGTCTCCTCCATCTTGTTGTGTGCTCCTTATGCTACTGAGGAAGTTGAGCTGGTGTTGACGGGTGGTCAAGTTATTTCTCAGCCGTACATTGACATGACCATTGCCATGATGGAGTCTTTCGGCGCTGTTGTCGAACGTCTCCCTGAAAATACCTACAGAATCAAGCAAACTACCTACAAGAACCCTGATCATTACCTCGTGGAATCCGATGCCAGTTCTGCCACTTATCCTTTAGCCATTGCTGCCATCACTGGTACGACTTGCACTGTCACCAGTATTGGCTCCAACTCTCTTCAAGGTGATGCCACTTTTGCTATTAATGTGCTGCGTCCTATGGGATGTACTGTTGTGCAAACCGAGACCTCTACTACCGTTACTGGCCCTCCCATTGGTCAACTTCGTCCTCTGCCTGAAGTGGATATGGAAACCATGACAGATGCCTTCTTGACTGCTACTGTGTTAGCTGCTGTAACATCTCCTGCTGACGGTAAAGGTGAAAACATCACTCGCATCTATGGTATTGCCAACCAACGCGTCAAGGAATGCAACCGTATTGCTGCCATGGTTCACGAGCTCACTAAATTTGGTGTGCAAGCCTCTGAATTGCCCGATGGTATCCAGATCCACGGTAAGCCCATCAAGGATTTAAAGGCGCCCAAGGAAGGTGTTCATACCTACGATGACCATCGTATTGCCATGAGTTTCTCTGTTTTCTCCACTGTTGTTCCTCACGGCACCATCATCACTGACAAGAAATGTGTTGAAAAGACTTGGCCAACTTGGTGGGATGATCTTGAAGGCAAGCTCGGTGTTCGTTTGAATGGCGTGGATCAAGGTCTTCGTTTAGCTCAAGCTGAAAAGTCGCTGGGTCGTACTTCCATCAAGCTCAACAACAGCAAGTCTCTGGATGACGGTAAATCCATGGTAATTGTTGGCATGCGTGGTGTTGGCAAGACGACTTTGGGTCAATACGCTGCCGAAGTTCTGGGCTTCAAGTTTATCGATGTGGATCAGTATTTTGAAGCTACCGTAAAGACTAGTGTATTCGAGTTCATCAACACGTGGGGTTGGGATCAGTTCCGCATCAAGGAAACGGCCGCATTGAAGGAATTGCTGGCCAAGGATTCCAAGTATGGTCGTGGCTATGTGATTGCCTGTGGTGGCGGCATCATTGAAACTGCTGAATCGCGAGATGTTTTGAAGGAGCACACCAAGACGGGAGGCAAGGTGCTGCATCTGGTGCGTGATTTGGACCAAGTGGTTCGCTATTTGAACCGTGACAAGACGCGTCCCATGTACGGTGAGGACATGATGAATGTCTGGCGTCGTCGTCGCTCCTGGTATAAGGAAGTCTGCAACTTTGAGTTTGTCGCTTATGCCAACAGCTTAGTGGACGATGGCTACGTCTCTCCCACCGAATGGCTCGCTATCAAGAAGGATCTTCAACGATTCCTGAATTTCATCAGTGGTCGTGATACCAACCATGTGGATACCACTGCTGGCCGTGTTGGTGTGCCTACTACCTTTGTCTCTCTGACTGCCAAGGACCTCAGTCAATCTCTTGAAACGCTAAAGGAAATGTGTGAAGGCGCTGATGCTGTCGAGCTGCGTGTGGATCTACTACAGAAGCCCGAGGAGAAGGAGGAGATGACTGATATCGAGTACTTTGGTGAGCAATTAGCCATCCTGCGTCGCACTGTGTCTATTCCTGTCATCTTTACCGTGAGATCCAAGGGTCAAGCAGGTGCTTTCTCGGATGAAGATGAAGCAGGCATGTTTGAGTTGCTCCATTGGGGCCAACGCTGGGGCTGTGAGTATGTCGATGTAGAGATGTGCTGGACGCCTGCTACTATTGAAAAGTTGATTGCCAACAAGGGCCATAGTCTCATCATTGCCTCATGGCATGATGTGCAGAATGTCACACCTTGGGACGGCAAGGCAATCCAAGTCAAGTACGAAACGGGTGACAAGTATGGTGATATTATCAAATTGGTGGGTGTTGCTCAAACGTTCCAAGACAACATGACATTGGAGACCTTCCGTGCTTCCAAGGTTGGTGGTAAAGACCTCATTGCCATCAATATGGGAGCTGCTGGTCAGTTGTCTCGTGTGATCAACGAATGCTTAACTCCCATCACGCATCCTGCTCTACCTCACAAGGCTGCTCCTGGCCAACTCTCTCTCGCTGAAGTCAACAAGGCGCGCCATCTCATTGGCCTCTTGCCTGCTCAGTCCTTCTGGTTGATCGGTACTCCCATCCAACACTCCATGTCGCCTACACTCCACAACACAGGCTTCGAAGTCTTGGGTCTCCCTCATCGCTACGGTCTCTTGGAATGCCACATGGTTGAGTATGCTGAAGATACCATCCTCAACGATCCCAACTTTGGCGGTGCCTCTGTTACCATTCCCCACAAGGTCGCTATCATCAAGTATCTTGATCAAGTTACTGAGAATGCAAAGACCATTGGCGCTGTTAACACCATCTTTGTACGCGATACGGTTGTCAATGGCGAGAAGAAGCGCAAATTCATTGGCGAGAACACAGACTACATTGGCATGAAGCGTCGCATTCAATCATTGATGCTGGATGCCACCAACCCTCCTGAACAAGGCCTCGTTATTGGTGCTGGTGGCACTGCTCGTGCTGCCTTGTACACGTTGCAAAAGATGGGCATCAAGAAGATCTACCTGTGGAATCGCACCATCTCCAAGGCACATGATTTGCAAAAGGCGTTTGAAGGCAGCATTGATGTCCAAGTCATTGACTCGTTGGAGTCCTCCAAGATTGAGCCTGGTGTGATCATTTCAACTGTGCCCGCTGATTCTGGCATCGAGTTGCCTGAGCATGTGTATGGCGGTATCAAGGGCATCATCTGTGATATGGCCTACAAGCCCCGTCGCACCAAGCTTCTGTTGCAAGCTGAGCGCAAGGGATGGTCCTGTGTGGAAGGCATTGAAGTCTTGATTTCTCAAGGCATTGCTCAATTTGAAATCTGGACAGGCAAGCGTGCCCCCGTGGATAAGATTGAAGCTGAGGTGTTGAAAAAGTATGAACTATGATCGTTTTTTAGACATACGCTGTATCCAATCATGCTCCACATTGAAATGAAAAGCATGCAATACAAGTTTTAAAATAGAAATAAATCTTTTGTGAGACCCCCCTTGCTCCTCTCTTTTTTTTTTTTTTTTTTTTTTTTCTCTCTTCTTCTTCTCCTTTATATACAAGTGTCCTTCCCAAATGAAAGTACTGTCGCAACTGCTGGGAAGATACTCCAACAACCACAAACCGCTGATTTTGTTTCGTCTGCCAGATACAGACATATTGTTCTATCGGCTATCCGACATTGAACCCATCTTCAAATTACCGCCTTTATCCTACAAGAAACTAGCATTCAAAAACTGCTATCGCGACAATGAAGACACCTATCTCAACACCCAAGTGCTATCAGACATTGCAGGCCAATTCAATAGACACTTGCTCGCTGAATTATGTAAATTAAAGCCAAACGACTACAATGTGGGTTTGGCAGATGCGATCCTTCAGACGTTTCCTGAATTCAAAAGAGCTCCCAAAGAAGAACACATTTGGGAATCAGTGCAATTGCCGTTGGAGAATCTAGAGGATATCATTGATAGAGAGGTAAAGACAGAGCCATCGTCACCACCGTCTGTGAATCAGGTTATTCCAGAGACAACAAGAGGCCAGAATGCCATGGCGTTGGACAAAGTGTTGCTCAACACGAGTGAGCTTAGAAGACAGAGGTAAGGGTGTAGAGACTTGTTATAGGGATGCTGTGTGTTGATTACTATAAAACAGTGCTTTGGACTTGGAGAAGCCTGCCAAGAAGCAAAAGACATCCAACGGGCCCGAGCGTGAAAAGAGACCTCACTCTTTATCTGCAGTAACAACAGCAACCACTTCTGCAGCAGCAACTGGCACAAAGCACATTCGCAAATTACACTCGTATCCACCCATCATCAACCAAGATCAAACACCTCAGCAGCCACAGCAACAACAGCCCAGTGATGGTGCTATGGTTTCTAACAAAAAGCGACTCTCCATCAAGCATAAGAATGCTCTCAATCTCACCATTTTCGCTCCTTCTTACAGCGAACAACTCACAGGCGTACGATCTGCACCAATTAACTCTAATTTCAATAAATCAGCACAGCCACAACATCAATTGCAGCAACAACAACATCACTATCAACAGCATCAGCAGCACCCACACCATCATCACCAGCAACAGCAGCAACATAAATATGCTGTAGGTTCATCTCATCTCGCTCCAGCTTCTGCTACCATCTCCAGGCCTCCTTATCATCATCAATCATCGCCCAGAAGACATGAATTTGCCATCCCTCCTATTGTGCCCTCTCAGCAGCAGCCACCTCACACCGCACATCCTACAAGCAGAGAAAACATATCTTATCAACAGTACATGGCATCCCCATCATTGTACGGAAGTCATCCTCATAGCAAACCCCATCCACCACCACCACCTCCAACCACGTCTGTTGCTGCTGCTGCTGCTGCTGCTGCTGCTGCTGCTGCTTATAGTCATGTACAAACCAAGAGAAATTATGAATCGCAACCACAGATTGCAGTAACAGCTGCAAGTGTGCCTTTGCCACCAAAGACACCTACTACCAACTCTTTTGCAGCCCTTCAACGTCAACAATATTTACAGCCTTTCGAGCATTTATTTGATACCATTGAAACCACCCGCACATTGAAATCCACATTGGACGATCAAATCAGACGATCCTCCTCACTCATGCAGACATTGCAAGCATCAGCAACCACGATTGAAGGATTGGTCAGAAATCAGGTCAAGGAAGCACAATGGGAAATGATGACACAGATGGAACAAACCGTGGAAGGGCTTGTGCGTCGTATTGAGGCTATTGAGAACCGTCTGGACCGTGCTTCTGCTCATCAGAACACTACTGCTAACTCGACTCTGACAAGCACCAAGAGCCACAAGAGATTACCTGAACAACACAACTCGGCATCGCTACCATCTCCTTTACCCAGCGCTACGACAAAAGAGGAACGTGCAGCAGCTGAGGATTTAGTTGCTTTCTCAGAGAAAAGAAGAGAGAATTATCACCAGCCTCCTGCCTCGCTCTCATCGTCGGATGAGCTTCAAACACCTCCTACCATTGTTCGATCTCAAAACGACATTGGACCTCAGGAATATCACAACATGTTGAACACGTTGAGGGATCGTCTTGATCGTTTAGAGAGACAAATTGAAACATAAACATAAATAACAAGCTGTCTGAATGCACTTTAATTACATCAAATGTCTTGATTTAGAGTTTATAGCCGATACAAATGCATGGCGTTGGATGAATATCAAATGCCTCTTAATTAACTGTATAAAGTACTATACTGGGTTTTAGATATTTGTTTCTATTGACAATTTATTTTATAAGCGTATAGAATGAGTATGCGATTTCTTTACAAAGATGGACAAGGACATGTTATTGATGAGCACGGAGTTGAGTCGATAGATCCTGTTGTTACCGAGAAGCTATTCGCTATCGAAAAAATAAGATGCCCTTCTTGTCCATCTTTGTAAAGAGAGACAGCAACATAAACTGCCAAACCCAAACCCACACTAATAACATTACAACTGAAATTGCTTACATGAGTCTGCAGATACATGGTGATGCGGATGAGAAACCTTATTATGCTTAGCAATGCGCAACTGCTTTGGATTTCAAGGTAACACTAGATCATTTTAGTTGTAAAGTGTCTGCTCTCATATACTAAATGACATCATGAGCGAATCCATAGATGTTGCTCAGTTTTATCAATGAGGCAGACTGGATTTGCTACATGCTGTCATTGAGGGAGCGATGGGGAGCTACTATCTACATATGTATATGGCGAATTCAAACTTGATACAGACATTGATCTATTCATAGAACATGCAGTGGTGCGTACAAGTACTATATTGTGCTTGAGAAGATTGCCATACAGCCATGACTCCGAACACTAGTCTTGGGACAATATAGCCTTACATCGCAGATCAAATCTCTCGAATCCCGTTTACTAGCAAACAGATGGATTGTTTGCAACAACTAGCTGCAAGATACGTTGATCTACCAACATGGCCGACAAAACAAACGAGCGAGGAAACCCCAAAGAGACATAAAGTGCATGTAGCAGATCGAAAACGCCTGAAATAAGGATTCAGGAGGACCAAATTATAACGTCAGACATGAATTGTAATTGCTTCTGAATTGGGAGGTACTACACACTTGTTTAAATTAGTTTTTTTCTCTCTTTCCATTTCTCTCTTTCTTTTCTTTCTTTCTTTTTTTTTTTTGCAATAGTTTGGTATTCCCCCCCTCTCTCTCCCTTTCTTTTTCATCTCTTTCATACACAGAATAATGCAATGTCTGAATATCACAAAGCAGAAATTAAAGCAAACGGCAAATTGGCTTAGTCAAAATAAGCGTATTGTGATCAATCTAGTAAAATACGGCATCGTCTCTGTTTTCATGATCGCCATCTCCTTTTTCATGCTCTGCAGACTAGAAGTGAATGCCCATGTCTATCTCAGAAATTGGCTATCACCACCGCAACCTGTTGTCGTTGAGCCGCTATCCAAATGCTTCAGCAACTTGCCACAAGATAGTCCCTATTACCAAGGCAATCAAAAGTTCAGCGCCAACTTCGTTCCTGGTCTCCCTGTATGGGAAGCGCATACTTGTTATGATTTTGCTGCTTTATTTAAGCCTCAACGATACCCTCATAATGGAGATCAGCTATTCCACACCTATTGGTCCTCGAATCTGACTCAAGAATTCGAAGAAAAGCAAATAGCCACCCTACGCTCGTTCTCTGCTACCCAAAATACCAACCATACCTTGATCGTTTGGATCCCTAAAGAAGATGAAGACCGTTTGACAAAATCAGAGAGCTGGAATTACTTGACTCGATCTCAACCAAAGAGAGATCGAATTGTATACAAGGTCGTTCAACCAAATATCCTGGTCAAAGACACAGCTATTGAACCTTTCATGAACACTTGGCAATCACTTGTGCATGATGGAAATGATGGAAAAGGAAGAGATGATTTGTTGAGAATGCTTGTCCTCTATCGTTATGGCGGCTTGTGGTTTGATATGGATACCATGTTTGTCAGGGATTTGGCACCGCTTTTTGAACATGAATGGATTGCACAAGGAAGCTGCTCTACTGGTATGTTTGGAAATCCCTTTACTGGTGCTTTATTTCACTTTCATCAAGGCTCTCCCTATGTTTGCGAAATCTTGGAAGGTGCAGCTGATTTGTTCAAGGCTCGGGTACAAGTGGAAAAGGGGCTCTCTGAACCACCCAAGCGATACCTCGTTACAGGACCAGAAATCTTTGGATCAAAACTTTACTATCGCATTTACAGAAGAGTGTTACACCACGGTATCAAGCCTTGGTCTATTTTGCCATGGTGTTTCACTGATCCCTCTCAATGTAGAAAATCAAACTCACTTCCTAGTTTGTTCTCGAATACCGATTTTGATGAGAAACGTGTGCGTCAAACATTTGCCTACCATTGGAGAGATCGCTGGACAGCTACTCCTGGCACCATCTTCAAATTTTTAGATTCTTTACACAGAAAGCGAACCAACTGGTAGTTGAGTTTTTTCTTTTTTAATTTGTACCATTATAATTTCTATTCTCTATCCTTTTGTTTGTGTTTCCAACTCGCTAATCATTCCATTACAATAAAATTACGTCAAATATTCTAAATCAAAGCATGAGACTGATCCAAACATCTCAATATATCGTGTTTTTCCCGAAAAGCCTTTTTTTTTTTTTTTTTTTTATGAAACAACTCGAATTAAATCAAATCTCTCAAAAATAAACTCTTTCCAACATTAGCAATTTGAATGGCCGTATATAGATGCCAAGCCAACATTGACTTCCATGTGCAACAAATCAAGACAACAAAGCCCAATGTCAAATCAAAAGTATAGATTTGGCTGGATTCACACTTCGATGAATTCCCAGGATTCCTTTAAGGAAGTACGACCAATATCATAAATGCTGATGGATGAGTTGGGATGTTCAGTACTCTCGAATTGTCTTTACAATGAACAACTTCATTGCTGTATGCCATTGTGTGGCGAAAGAAATCCTACAAATTCTTGTTTATGCCGTTTTGTGCTACAAATACAACCGAAATGCCAACAGAAAGGTTGCAACGCCACATTTGCCTTTCTTCTTGTTCTCGATTGACCAACGTGCAATATTTGATATGAAATTCTACTGGCATCATATGAAACTTTGCTTTTTTTCCTTCTACGACCCCCCTGAGTGCCCTCCAATAGTAGTCTGAAGTTGTGGATCTGGCTTGGTTATGACGCTCCATATTTGTTTACACAGACAACTCATATCCGGTCAGATAGCATACTTGCATTGTCTTCTACCACCCAAAAATAGGCGCGATACAGCTAACTGGGATATATATGAGCCGTATTTTCTCGCGTTAAAAGACATTTCAGACCGCCAGAATAGCGCCAAATAGTTGCTTTCATCCAACATTTACTTTCTGATACCTTTGCTCAATATTTTTGAGACCTAAAATTCATCGCCAAAAATCGACTAAAAAGCATGAGGGGTACTTCATGGTTTTCATCGAAAATCAAACGATCGCGTTTTTTACCCCAAAAACGAAGGCTTTTACTATGGCATATATTAAGTCAAAATGTTTCTATCGATCCAAGGTAGTCCCTGAAGCTTTGATTGTGAGGTCTTGATATGCAAAATCTCGACATTTTTTGCCAAAAATCACATTTCATATTCTGAAGAATTACTCAACAAGCTTGTTCAAAACATTCCTTATAATTAGCACTATCAGATGCGCCTTGAAAAGCTCTCCAAGAATGCATTAGAAAGTATGGGATAGCCATGACAGCTTACATAGTCGAATCAAGCAAAATAGGTCGAATCGAGTCCAAAAAGTCCCAAATAAACAAATCAGAAGAGAATGCGTATGCGGCAATTTAATTGCTTTTGGCTGGCAAACTCAATACCATTTACATCACTAAAGCAATCGATGCTTCTGACCGTTCATGAGAAAGGAATTTCGAAGCGAAGAATACTAAAGTTTATTCCACATGCTGTTTCTATTTACTTTTGGAAGCCTTCTTTAGTCTGTTAGTTTTAATCGTTGCAAGTGATCCAAATAAATGGGCTCACGTTGAAATGCAATCGTGCCCTATACAAAATTGCCTGTTACAGTATATTGGAGCTTGCATTGGGGCACGTATCCTGAGCGGTTGATATCGATACCAAGCCAAAAACTTTATTATATGTCAATGTACTCAACCTAATAAGCAGCATAATATTATATGTAATGCCTGTAAATTAAAACCAGTTTTTTTTTTATGTGAAATCAATACAAACAGACATCATGTGTTGCTATTTACAGAAACAAACGATAAAACATTGCAAATCCAAACAAAGCTGTGTGCGATAGACATGATAGTAAACTTATATCACTACCCACGATTAAATTTATTAGGCTTCTGAAATATGATAGTGTGATTCTATATCATACATAGAAGCAAGAAGGGAGATTTTCAGGAGAGAGGGTGGCATTGCTACAATTATTTCGCGCCATCATGTAAGGGTGAATGCAGATTGTTTAGCTTGGATGCACCTGTTATACAATGTGGTTAAGTGACAAAATGAGTAGGCTTTTGACATGATGGGAGATATCAGTACAAGAAAATGAAAAAGACAAAGGCTATGATACAACATTTCGAATACATCCAACGTTAATAAGCTTGTTGTATGCTGCATAGAATATTGAAAACAAATATAACATGATCATAAGGACATATATATATATAGAAATTTGATGTCTAAACAGCAGATGTAGTGTAGCCATATCAGCGAATCCAGAGTACATTAGGCTATACATTGGCGACAGCGTATGCATATAAGTTTGGATACGTATGCTTGTGTAAATGACTGTAGGGCAAGTATCTATTTTTTTTGCTCAAAGAATATAAAATGATATGATATGACACCACATCATCTTTACGTCTGTATGTAGGAGTATACATGTACAGTATATTCTTTATTCCTTTCTCCTCTCCTCCTTGCTGTTTGAGAATGTAAAAATAACGGCGGGATGTGTATACAACAGCAGCAGCAATAACAACAGCAGCAGCAATAACAATAGCAGCAGCAACAACGAAAGTTAATATGCATTGCGCCATGTCTAATGTATGAATAGCCGCCACTCATTTAGAGTTGATTTACGAGATGAGCCAAAGTCTCCCTTTTTCTGTATATTGATGTCTATATAGCAAACATACAATGAAATATTTTATTTTGCCACGATTTTAAATTGTAATTGTATGAATTCACAAGATTTATAAATATCATTCTTTCTTGCTAGTGTGTTCTCCATTTTATGCAGGGTTTATTGCATCCCCAATTTACATCTCGAAACCAAGGAGGCGGAGGAGCTCAGTGATGAGTGTTTAAGGTTGAAGATAATCAAATACGACTGACAGATGTTGCTTGGTTCTATTTTCAGAACGAACAATATTAAAAGATGCAATAGATTCATGTAATAATATTAAAAAACGTACAAAGAATACGGATTTTGATGCTGAACCATCAAGATATAAAAGAGATGCGGATTACATTGCTTTTCTCTTCTTCTCTATCTTCTCTATCAAATCTCCATTCATTATAACAGCAACCCACTCACACACCAAACACCATTCCTTTCATTGTCTTACATGATCAACTCACCCAATACTTTCCCTTTCTCCAGCCCAGCTCTCGAGTCTGAGTGTGGTAGTCCTCAATTCAAAGCAACTTCGCCTTTTTCTTCCTCGTCGTCTTCCTCCTCCTTCTCCGCCTCACCTTTGTCTGAATCAATCACTAGAGCTCCAGCACAAGTAGAAAAGATTCCTCGTCCACTGAACAGCTTCATGATATTCCGCCTGGAGAAGCAAAAAGACATTGTCGAAAAATGTCCTGGCGCTAATCACAGAGACATTTCCAAAATCATATCCAAATGGTGGAAGGAATTAAGCAAAACTGAGAAACAATGGTACATTGCCGAAGCCGAAAAGCGTAAAATAGAGCACAAAGCAATGTAAGCCTCGTACAAAATGTATCTATCATGCATCTAGCTCAACTAAACCAATTCTTTGATCAGGTATCCCGATTACAAATTCTGTCCACAAAAGAGAATTGGAAAGCCCAGAGCCTATAGAAAGCGTGCCAAAAACGAATTTGTTGCAAGAGTGTTTGAGAACAAGCAAAGTTTATCTGCCCTGTTCAAAGGTGAGATGATGGCTTCAGGCCACTCTTTTACCTCTTCGGATGATGAAGACAGCAGCAGCAGCAGCAGCAGCAGCAGCAGTATTCCATGTGATCCAAAGCAAGCTAAAGAATGTTCAGTTTACAACAAAGGATTTCAGTTTATTAAAGTGGAGCCAACACCGTCTGTAAGCACGAGCAGTGAAAGCAGCATTGATAGCAACACCAAAGAGCTCAATACGTATCCACTTGCTCTTCCTCAAGTCAAGGCCCCTGAATTTTTTAGCTCTGCGCTTTATTATCCTACCACCACATCTTACTACACCGTGCCACCTGGAGCCTATTCGGTGCCATCTCAATCAACAGCCTATTTTCATTCATCTGCTGTTGCTGCTGCAGGTACCAACCGAACCGAACCATTGATCAATTACAACATTTACGCCAACTATTACGGTGCTTCCAATGATGCTTTTGCACATAACCCATATACGATGAGTGGTGGAAATCCTGCCAATGTAGCTGCTGCACCAAATACGTTACACTACATTGCACCCAGCCATTATTTCCTCCCTTCACTCTCTCCATTAACATCATTCAACACATCTTGCCTTTATCCTTACGATAGTCCTAATAGTAATGCGGAAACTACCAGCATCAATAGTAGCAATAGTAGCACTGCCAGTAGTGACATTGCCAGTATCACACCACGTCTTTTGACCCAAAGCTTCGCATACCCTTCTTAGATTTCTAAATCATTTGATTTGTAATAATAAAATTCGAAATACAGAATGTATGAGTTGTTTGTTTGTGTGGGCGAGTTGTAATAGTTACGCATTGATTGCTTCATCCTTGTTAATTCCACACAAGATCGTATTTGGATCGACATGAATTGTTAAAGCATCAAAATGCCTAAACATTGCCCTTTAAACTTTAAACTAAATTAAAAAAGCATGGTTTTTCGCTTGTAAAATATGAATGTGTGCCTGATTTAAAATAGCAAAGGGGAAGGGGTAGAAATCTCGTACATGACAAGGAGAACTATTTGTTTGTTTTTCATTGCACTCGAAAAATCAAATAAACTTTCAGAAATGAGCTATCCTGTATTGCATCTGTGATGTATATTATCTGATCTGTGGTGAGTGCAAACAAATATTGCGATTTGGAGGTAACAAGAGCAATGATTCAAGCCTGCCAGTTGCTCTTTAGCCACCATGCTCTACAAGAATTTCCAAGAGCAAAATACCAATGCTCCATCCACATCATTATCGAATGTCAGAATCAAGAAGGATTGCTCGAGTAAATAACGAGCAATCACTTTGATTTGGTGCTAGCTGCCATGTGTAGTTTCCAGACGAGATTCATCATAATAGGGCTCTCAAGTGCTCCAAAGGCGACAATGTGGCAATATATCACAATCTGTTCTCGTGATTTATCTTTGATGTATGGTACACAGGCTCTGGATGGTTACGAAATTGACCTATGTGGATTTCTCTCGACTAACATGTCAATGAATTTAGACATATTAATATTCTAGGGAATGAGGTGCATGTTTAGTGTTGCATTGGCGACATACATCCATACATGATATCAATCATATTGATGTGCCTGACCAAGTGCATCTTCCTCTTTGGAGATGAGGTGACCTTTCACAACAGACGTGATGTGTTTAGATATCACTAGAAATTGGTACCATGAAGCAGATTTGATAAGCCCTCAGGGACAGCAGCAGTGGGATGCACTCTTAGCGCTGTCTCACAAAGGTATGAAGGCTGCATGGAGTCTGCACAAGATAAAAGATGCTGCAAATAACTGGAATTTCGCCGGAAATCTTTGATTCAACGAAACTCTACGCTATATACTTGATTCCATGCCATAATTACTGTTTTCATTACAGGTGAGTCATGGATCGAGTAGTGAATGCATCCCTATTTCTCGTTTTAATCAATGTGGAAACGTCACATTGCATGGTAAATCAAATGCTTCAACAACTAAGCTAACCATAATGATACAAAAAGAGAGAATGTATCATGTATGTGCATGTGCTATAGTTGACTATCAGTGGCTAAGAGTGAAGTGTGTGTGTGTGTGTGTGTGTGTGTGTGTGTGTGTGTGTGTGTCTCGTTGGTGATACGGGGAATGAGGTGACAGAATATGAAAAAACCTTGTGACAAAATGGAGTAGTGTGTATTGTATAAAAAGCTTGATTTCTTTCTCCTTTTCTCCTCAACTTCTTTATCTTTCTCACTACATACTCGCTGTCTCTCTTTCTCTCTCTTCTCCCACTGACAAGATGCTTCGGGTTTACTCTGTTTTATATATCGAGCGTCTATGGAACGACGAACCCGCTGTATCTCATCAGAAACATTTGATTCGGTCTTCAAATTCATCAACCCACTCCCAAATCATTGTTACTGACGCATACACAACCAGAGGCATCCAAGCAGACGACGGTGCTGCTACTGCTCATGAGCAAAACGATGATGAAGATGAGCAAGGAGGTCTGTCAATGATTCGATGAAATAGGTTTGCATACATATTCATCTTGTTATCATCTTTAGATAACCAAGAGAGCCCTGAAGAAGCGCCGTTACAAGCAGCCCCTACATTAGTCCAAATACCAGAAGCTACACCAGCAGATGCTGAGATGGTAGATGGCAAATTAGATAGTGAGACGTCAGTTGATAGCGCTGTTCCACAACAACCGCAAGAACACATTATCAACAGTCTAGCCATTGATACCAACAATTTGCAGGATTACCCTTCCTCCTCCTCCTCCTCCTCTACTGCTGCTGCTGCTGCTGCTGATGCACAAGCAAAAGCACAAGCAGAAGTAATGTCAATAACAACAACAATACCTGTAACAGCTGTAGCTGAAAGGTCAGCAGATCATGCCCCAACATCCATCTCATCTTCGTCCTCTATCTTGCCTCCTCTCACACCATCATCTGTTCATTCTATTGGCGGTAATGATGCTTTTGAAAAACCAAGAACGACATCTTTGATTAGAAGAGAAACTCAAAAGATCAACGATAGACGCAAGAGTTTGACAAAGAAAATCAAAAGGGTTCTTACAGTCAAATCAGAAAACAAAAGAAACTCTGTATAGCTAGATACAACAACAACAACAAGCTATGCTTCTTTGTTTATACGCACAAAACACCCCTATTCATTGTCATTCTCTATGTATCAACATTTTACCACTCTATGTATACCTTATTTATTTATTATATATATATATATCTAAAATATATATACTGGAAAACTATGAAAAAAAAATAGACAAGCCAATCATATCCTTTTAAAATTTAATAGTATTAAAAGCCAGAACAAACGAGGGCATAACCACCGGCGAAGCCGGCAATGGGGAGGGGGTTTGGGGGAGGGGGCTTAGCCCCTCCACCAAGAACATCAAGCATCACAATTTGCATAAAGTGTATGAAATATCTTTTTGTTAAAATCAAATCGAATTATCATGCCTCCTGTTCAAGCTAGAAACTGTGTAACCTGTAGAGTTGCTCTACCTGAAGATTACAATTTTCGAAAATGTGATTCATGTCGAGTAAATAGAAAAGAAATGAAAAACAAACATTCGAACGAACCTTATATATATATTTTTGTTTCAGGAACGTGCCCGAAACTACGCCAGACAGAGAGCTGCATTAAGGCCACCTAGAGCACCTAGAGCACCTGCCGCTTTCATATCAGAACTTGGAAGAATGCAACCTCATTATCTGGGAAGAATGGACGTTGTATGTGATGGTTGTGGCGCATTGCATTGGGACGCAGCAAGAACTACCGGTCAATCCAGAAGCAACAATCTCTTCTACTCTTGCTGTAAAAAAGGAAAGGCCATATTGCCCTTATTGCAAGATCCGCCTGAGCCCTTGAATAGCTTAATCAACGGAAGCCATCCACGCTCATCCCATTTCTTGAAGCATATAAGGCAATACAATACTTTGTTTGCTTTTACTTCATTCGGTACCACTGCTACGCCAGCAGGGGCCCAGAGAGAAGGAGAGGAGGAGAGAAGAGGTGGAGTTACTCCAGTAAGTGCCCATGGTGAATTGTATCACATGCAAGCACCCTTGAATTTTGGTAATGCTCCAAAGTACAATCAACTGTACATTTACGATCCCGAGTATGCTGCTGCATGTCGATCTGCCAACCCCAGAAATCAGCATTTAGATGATTCAATCATTGAAGCATTAAGTGAAATGATTGATGACCCGGTTCGTTGTGGTAACCCATTTGTACGTATCTACAAGCATGCCCACGAAATTCTGAGTGCAGAGGAAGAACGACAAGCCCAAGATCATGTCAGCGAGGATGCGTATATTCGACTCAATCCTCAAATGAGACTGGAATTGGTTGTCGGTGAAGATAGGCGTACTCAGAACTTGCCAACTGTCAACGAGATTGCAGCTATTATCCCCAATGAATATGCTGATTCAAGTTTCAGAGACATCCTGATTACCTATCGAAATAGCACCTCCACCAGTTCCAGAGGACTCTTTAGAAGGATCAACGAGACGCATGCTGCCTACATGCCTCTCCATTACGTTTTGCTTTTTCCCAGAGGTGAATATGGGTGGCATTGGGGCCTTCGTTTGCAATTGCCTGCTTCAACTGTTGATGCCATGGATGTTGACAATGAAGAAGCGCAAGAAGAGGGACAACGTCGAGCAACAGGCAGGCTTACCCAGCGTGCCTTCTATAGATTTAGATTGCATGTCAGGAATGGTGAATCCAAAATCCTGTTCCTCTCGAGACGTCTATTCCAGCAATACCTGATCGATGCTTGGGCTGTTTGTGAACAAACCAAGTTAAACTGGATCAAGGCTAATCAAACGACTCTCCGTGCTGATGTCTACAAAGGTCTTGCTGATGCTATCAGTGCTTCTGATACAGATCTTGAAACGGTGGGTAGAACGTTTATTTTGCCAAGCAGTTTCACTGGTGGTCCCCGGTTTATGGCAGAGCTGTACCAAAACGCAATGGCTATTTCTAGATTCTTTGGTAAGCCAACGTTATTCATAACGTTTACTGCAAACCCAAACTGGAGGGAGATCCAAGATGAGTTGTTGCCTGGCCAAAGTGCTGCTGATCGCCCAGATTTGGTTGCTGAAGTATTCAACCGGAAGCACGACGCATTACTCAAAGACCTGAAGCAAAAGAAAATCTTTGGTGCTTATAAAGGGATTGTGAGAACAATCGAATACCAGAAGCGCGGCCTCCCGCATAGTCATATGCTGTTGTTCTTGGATAACCAAAATGACCGGTTTGATACGGCAGAGAGGATCGACCAGATTATTTCCACAGAAATTCCAGACGTTCATCAAGACCCTGAACTACATGCAATTGTCACCCGCAACATGATGCACGGTCCATGTGGTGGTTATAACAAGAAATCTCCCTGTATGGTGAAGGATGCTTTCGGTAACGACGTCTGCTCAAAAAAGTTCCCAAAGCCTTATCAGCCAGCAACCATAGTCCCTGATGATGGGTATCCACTCTATCGTAGAAGAATGGATGGCCGCTCTCATGTAATACGCATCAAAGATGATCAGAACGTGTACCACGACTTTCATATGACAAATGAATGGGTGGTAGCGTATAATCCATTCCTATCAAAGAGATACAACGCTCATATCAACGTGGAAGTATGCGCCAGTGTCCAGGCTATCAAATACATCAACAAGTATATATACAAAGGTTCTGATCAGACTACTCTGAAAACCACGACTACCGCGACAACAGCCGCAACAGCTGGTACTGCAGCAATGTATCAGAATGATGAATGTGCCAAATATCTGAATGGCCGTTATATCAGCCCGTGTGAAGCCGTCTGGAGGTTGAAAGAGTTCCCAATGCATGAGGAAAGCCCACCTGTCACTACACTTGCTATTCATCTTGAAAATGAGCAGCCTGTATATTTTGATCCTTCCTGGCCTCAATCAAGAATTGATAATGTCCTGAGAGAGAGTCATACCACGCTCATGGGTTACTTTCATTATAATGCCGTGAATCAAAACAAACCTGGTTTTCAACCATTGCTTTACCAGCAATTCCCAGAGCATATGACTTGGAAAGAAAAGAAGCCAAAAAGGTGGGAAGCAAGACGAACCGATACCATGTCTATCGGCCGCATGTACTACTGTAGCCCTGCTGCCGGCGAGAGGTATTATCTGCGTCTGCTGCTCACAGTTGTCAGAGGAGCCACGTCGTTTTCTCATCTGAGAACTGTCAATAATCACGAGTATGCCACCTTTCGTGAGGCCTGTATGATGCTGCATTTGATCGAAGATGATGGAGAATGGACCAGAGCCTTTGAAGAAGCTGCTACCTTTGCCTCTGGCTACGCAATGCGTTCAATGTTTGTCTCTGCGCTCATGTTCAACTCATTGGTATCGCCTGTTCAGATTTGGAATCAATTCTGTGAAAGTTTCTGTGATGACCTTGAGCATGCAATCGTGCAAAAAGGGTATTCGCTGCTGCTCAGCGTGCAACCTGACGCTGAATTTTACCATGGAACGCGAAGTCTTGATTATGGCTTATATCTGTTGCAAACATCTCTTGGTGCACAAGACAGATCTCTAGGTCAGTTCAATTTGCCTTTGCCTCTCTTCAACTGGAATGGCTTGATAAGCAGAATGACTGGCATACAGCGCAATTCATTGATACTCAATGAAATGTCATATCTCCAAGATCAAGAAGCCTTTTCGTATCAGCAAAAGTATGCTCAAATGAACGCTACCCAGAAGCACATATTTGAGACCATCACCTCCTCCATCAACAGCAACGCCAACAGCTCACATTTCTTTTTGCAAGGTCCAGCTGGCACTGGCAAAACCTTCATTTACAATACTCTTTGTCACTTTTATAGAAGCCAAGGAAAAATTGTTCTCTGTGTTGCCTCCTCTGGCATTGCTGCTTTGCTACTTCCTGGTGGGCGTACGTCACACTCTCGCTTTGCCATTCCACTCAACATCCACGAGCAGTCTGTGTGTGCGATCAAGAAGAACGATGACCTTGCTGATCTCATTCGAGAGACAGCATTGATAATTTGGGATGAAGTGCCAATGCAGCATCGATATTGCTTTGAAGCTTTTGATCGAACACTTCGTGATATTTGTAGTCGTGGTGATGAAGTTACCTTTGGTGGTATTCCTGTTGTTCTTGGCGGTGATTTTGCTCAAATTCCACCTGTTGTTAGGCAAGGTGGCCGTCCTGAAATCGTCAATGCCTCACTGAAATCGTCAAGATTATGGCCCAAATTACAAAAGCTGAGCCTGACTGAGAATATGAGACTTGCCAACTCCAATGACACAGATAGGCAATTTGCAGATTGGATAGGAAAAATGTCGTATGAACCATCCATGATTGGCAGCATTGCTTTGCCCTCTTTTTTGAGGCAGATGACTGATCTTGATCAGTTCATTGAAGATATCTATCCTCAGCATGTTCTGCAGTGTCCTCTGCAAAATAGTGATTTCTTCAAGGAAAGAGCTATTCTCTGTTCAAAGAACGTCAACGTTGATGCTATTAACAGCAAGGTGATGGAGAACGTGATTGGGGAAAAGGTCACTTTGTACTCTGCTGACACGGTGCAATCTGATCTGACCAACACTGAGACCCAAGCCTATCCCTCAGAGTATTTGCAAACCCTTTCGCCTTCAGGGCTGCCGCCAGCAGTTTTGGAGTTGAAAGTAGGTCTTCCTGTAATGCTCTTGAGAAACCTCAACCCTGAAAGAGGTTTGTGCAATGGTACAAGGCTGATCATTCAGCAAATTGGACAGTATGTCCTCAAGGTGAAAATCCTCGGAGGGTCAGGTGCAGTCGAGTTGATTCCTCGCTTTACTTTGTCTACATTGCCTGGCACATTGCCATTCATATTGACCAGGAAGCAATTCCCGGTTAAAGTATCTTTCGCAATGACCATCAACAAGTCGCAGGGTCAATCTCTCAGGAAAGTTGCCGTGGACCTCAGGAGTCCCGTATTTACTCATGGTCAACTCTATGTTGCCATGTCAAGAGCAACATCTGCCAATGGCATGACCATTTTATTACCCGAAAATATGAAACACACAGAAAATGTAGTGTATCCTGAAGTTCTATTTTCAGATACTACCTAATATAACTACTCTATATATTTTTTTTTACCCTTTATAACTATTGATTTAATCAGTTTTATTGTAATCGGCCAAAGCCCGCAGGGCGACGCCGTCATCGAGCGTAGCGAGATAGATCGGCTAGTATATATATACCAAAATATCACCCCGTATAATTTACCATCATTAAACTATATCTTTTTCATATATACAGACATTTTATTGCTACTATTGCTATTATTGAAGGGATAAAACTACAAATTATGAAAGGTGGGTAATGTACGTGGTGTCAAGTGCTTCTTCTTTTACACTTGTGGTTGATGTGGCAGCATACGCTGATCTTGCTGGCTATTATTAGCCATGTCAGGAGCACTACCATTGTTACCGTTGGCAGCAGCAGTAGGCACACTGTTGCTGGCATTGTTGTAAACACCAGCGCCGCCTGTAGCATTTTGGATCATGCCCACTGTAACACCTGCTCTTTGAGCTACTGCACAGTCTTTATGCGCAAGTAGCAGTGTCTTGAGATTGATGACTTCTTCTCGTAGCATGGTTGCTTGCGACTGAAGCTGTTCGTTATCAGTGGATAAATATTCAACTCTATGTTGCAAATTGGCAAGCCATTGCTTCTTTCTTTGGCGACATTTCAATGCAGCTTGTCTATTTCTTTCTAAAAAGTGCTTTCTCTTGCTCTCTTCATCGTCATCCTCTTTACTGCTAGAACTGACAGAACTAATTCTTTGTTTTCTGCTCTTTCTAGTGCTGTTGCCGTTTAAGGATGTAGTGGATGCTGGAATAGAACCTTCAGTGTAGCGGCGATTATAAGGCGGGACCACGGGTGCTGGAATAGTCTGCATTTGACTTGCTGTCAATGTAGATGCTGGACTGAACATGTCAGTGTTATGTATCATGGGTAAACTATTTCTGTGCTGGCTAAAACTGAATTGATCTATATAATCATTTATTGTGAGTGTGCATTTCGCCATTCAAGAAAAGGCACGCTAGAACCTCCGCTTACCCATGCCAACGTTATTGTTCTGCTGCTGTTGTTGCGGGGAAGGATTCTCGCAGTAATGAAAGGGAATTTGATTCGAGTTATTGTTTTCATACATACTGTCAAATGGATGTGGTTGGTTGTGATTGAATCCTTGCCCCATCATCTCGGAAGTTACACCGCCTGTCCACCTGTACCTAATGGCTTCCGCGTTGCTCGGCTGATCTTGATTGATTGAGTATTGTGGGTCGAACAGCTCTTCATACTGCTCCAGTTTAACTGGGCTCACTGTATTTAATATTTGTTGAGGGGAAGTCATTTTGTTGGTAATATTCTCCTGCTCGTTTTCTAGAGTTCATCGAGTCAGAATAGAAAGATTTAGTGCATCAGTGCATGCATGGCATTACCCATTGATGTGGATTCTAGCTGATTTAACTTGGCTTGCGATGAATGAGAAAGTAAAAGATGAAATAAAGAAGAAGAGGAGTAGAAAGGAAGACATTTTTCAGATAGCTTTTATTCTAAATCGTATGGATGTAGTGGGACTCATTGGAAGAACTGAAAAACACCGATGAGGATATTCGCATGGCATGTTTGGCTGGTCTAAAAACCCTGATCAAAAAGAAAACTGGCTGTGCTCCACTTGCTAAATAGAGGCTAGCCTGTTCAATTATATATTCCCCCATTATTCATGACAAAATCTTTGCAAGTAACTTGATAGATTGTATAAGCAGATGCATGATTTTTTTGCAGTGTGTGAAAAGCTCATCTTGTTGCGAATTAAAGCGGAGGTACGCAAGTCAAGTTTGACAAGATTTTAGGCATCTTGCTAAATGTTTTGAAATTTAGCTTTTAACCATAGAATGTATCTCGTCTGAAACAATCTTCCTTATTTTACCATATCTCTTGTTTGCTTTCCCATTTGAGAGATATTGAAAAATGAGATCAAGAACTGTGAAAGTGAAATGGCTAACCAAGACCTAAGCACGGCAATTTAATCTGGCACCATCGTTGGAATACCACACTTTCTTGATTTGGATGGGTAAACCAAGGCTTCATCATTCCTAATGGGAAAAACCAACATTTTGCTGAACCTTTATATTGGTTCTAGCGAGTTGACTTGGAAATGTAATGCATCATTCAAGAACAATGTAAACCTGGAAACTGAGATGAGCATTTCTGCAAATAGCTAAAAACAAAAGAATGTTAAGTTATGATAATTTTCTGATTCCGGAGCGCTCAAGAATTGTAAATCTTCATGCTTATTCTTCGCACATGTCAACCCATTGATTTTGCCATAAAGAATGATTTCAATGGAGATTTCTTTATTGAATCTTTCACAGTTTAGACTCTCAACGTTCTAGATGAACGTCTGCCTTCATTGAAACATCATTGACACGGCTTGTTTTCTTTATTTCTTTTTCATGTCAAACAATCTGCATTATTGAAACAAAGAGATTGCTATCTTTCGACCACCGGGCGAGTCCAATGCCCACCACGTTTGATTTGATCGGAAAATTTAATGTTCTTGATTGCTCAGAGTGGCAACTGTGTGTATTTTCGCAGGGTATAAGGCCAGATGAATATACATACGTCAGATGTCGATCAGTGGTCAAGACCCTGTAGACTTTTCTCGTCTTGACATCTAGGACATTGCAACAAAAACCCAATTAGACGTGATCAAGACAATGGGCACTTGTTTCAACCACAATGCATTTGCTGGAAACATATCATTAAAATAAAGAATATGCATCGAATCGAGCGCACTCAACATTCAAAGGTAGAACATTCCTACCTTTCAAGTGATGGTCGGCCTTTCATGATTGTTGCTATCAGAGCCTATTTTGCACCAAAAGCCTCGCTTGCTTGCTTTGAATGAATTATAAAGCTAAATCAAAATGATCTCATCATGGTACCATTATTCGAGCTTTAGCTCATTTCTGTATTGAATTTTCATTGCACCAACAGAGTGGTAACCTTACATCATTTTGAAGATCCTCCATTTTGAGTTTGGTCTAAAGGCTGAGCAAGTTTTAGAATCAGTTACAGTTTATAGGGTCTAAAGATTGAATGACAACAAGCAAAATTAACGCGAAATGCGTAGGACAAGGCGCCTGATATAAACCATAAAGCGTAGACATTGTTTCTCGAAGAAATTCACTACCGAGATTTTGCTCAAACTCATAGAAATATCTTTTTAACCGTGATATCAAGGCCAACATGATGAGGCATGTTCTGTATGAGCCCCAAAGCTTGGGTATAGATCTAAAAAGAATGGTGTAAAACGTAGATACTACGCATTCTGAGCCCTACCAACGCAGAGTTATATCGCACCCTGTTAATATATACTGGTATTTCGCTCTTTAGGTACGAGTATTGGATGAGAGCTTTCTGTGATGGCGAATTTGACTTCTCTCTGATGCTCTGTATCCGTATCAATGGAACAACTCATATACGGATGCATAAAATACTTGAATTACACCTTACTAGTTAAAAGTATGCAAACTACAGAGAAATTTGGATGCATTTCAGCTGCGATTTCTCGTGCTAGAAGCCGTTTTAAGCTGCCAAAATAGCACCAAACAATCGCTCTCATCTAGCACTCACTTACTGACACCATTGCTTGCCTTTTCTGAGACCTAAAAATCTTCGTCAAAAATCGACCAAAAAGCATGAGGTACCCCTCATGGTTTTCATCGAAAATCAAACGATCGCGTTTTTCAGCTCAAAAACAAAGACTTTTAGTATGGTATATATTATATCAAAATACTTCTCCAATTCCAAAGCAACCCTTGAAACCATTTTTGTGAGGCCGTCATATGCAAAATTTCGACATTTTGGCCAAAACCTCATCTGAATTTTTCTAACATTGCTCAATAAACTAGTTCAAAGCACCTCTCTCAAGCAGCACCATTGGACGCGCCTTGAAAAGTGCTCCAAGAAAGCTTACGAAAGGATTGAATGAACATTACTGTTTTCATAGTCAAATCTGGTATAATAGATTAATCAAGTCGAAAAAAGACAAAATATGTCCAATCTTGAATATAAAAAATAGGTCTGAGAATCAGTTGATTTTGGCGGTTGGCAGAGGCTGGCGAGTGCTTTTTGATTGATGACTACAATTGCTGTTTGTGATGCTACTGAAAAGAGAGCTGCGCACTACATGGCTGTGTTGCTTTCTTGATTTCTCATGCGTTTTTCTTTTTGGGAGGACGGATATATTGCATAAACGCTGATTGTAAATGCACTCCATCTATTTCCCGCCAAATGACCACGTATGAAGCCACCGTAGGTAACAATAAAGGGTTTGTCTTTGCCTTTAGTGGCAAAAGCTTACTACACGAATAGAACATTATCAAGATACTACCGTTTAGGCGAATGGTACTGTTGGCCCTCAGGATGTGTTCATCATTCTGTCATCCGACAAAGAAGTGATGTGGCAAACTCTATCTTATCAATCTGGCTTCAAGTAATTTTGATCATCAACAAAAGAATTTCTAGCCTTACCATTTCAAAAGTCATTCAATAGCTGTACCCTAGATCCTTCATGCTATCAGGGTTGTGATCGTGGGCATCTCTTATGAATCAGTTAGAGACAATCGCACGTTAGATTGAATTCGCTTTAGTTATAGAACAAAAGGTATAACTCCTCCTTCACAAAACTTCACATGCAGCCTAAACATTTGTCCTTCCAGCGAACTGGAGCAATGAAGAATGCCACAATTTATTTAATCGTAATAACAACCATTGTTGCTGTCGTTACTATCGTCTTGGTTCTCATCCTCAGAATCCATGTTAGCACCTTCTCTCGCCAGCTCATCCGCCATTTCGTTTTCATAGATGCCAGCATGGCCAGGCACATGTTTGACATACACATGGCCAGGTCTGTTATTCATAAAGTACAGTATTTCTTTGAATATGCTCTGATTCGCGACAGGAAGACCTTTTGCGTTTACCCAGCCATTGCTCTCCCATTTATAACACCATTCATTTACAGCACGCACCACGTAAATAGAGTCTGTTCTGATTTCCACGGTATCGTAAAAGCCATCTGTCTGCTCCAAAGCGGTAAGCACCGCTTGTGCTTCGGCTCGTTGGTTAGTTTGTTGAGGACCACAGAGTCTTTCGGATACATTGTGATGATCATCATCGCCCCAAAATATGCCGAAGCCAGCTTGTGCCCAAGGACGACCATTGTTGATACATGCACCGTCAGTGTGTATGATATACCAAATGCCACGATTGCCATAGGGTCTCCATCTTCTTCTGCCCATCTCACCTTGTGAAAGTAGTATGAATTTGGAAAGAAATGGGAAAAGATCAAAAACATCCTCGAAGCAGCAACTAGGGTCTTTATTTTGATTGACTTGCGCCTTCGCTGTTGTGCTCGTCAAGTGTTGAATTTGCATGTAACACAATTTGCTTTATCTCTCCTGCATTATTTGTTTATCGTTCATCGAGTAGAACTACTGCTCAATTCTAATTGATTCGAGAGAGTTGCACAGTCATTATTTTAAGCATGTCTCTAAACTCGCTGGTGAGGGCAACTTTAAACCAGCAGTATTGCGTTTGTTGGAACTCCCATTTTGCAAATCAAAAGCGAAATCAGCATTTAAATATGTAAGTAATAGCATCACTGCTACCTCTACTACTTTGGTACCGAGAATCTAACCGTTATGACGATGCCCTGAGCAATGAACGTTCACCATGTGCCAGGCTGCATCCCATTTCCTAGCATTTAGCAATGATAAGAAGCTCCAAACTGTCATGATCTCTTCTCTAAAAATGACGCTCTCAAACAAATTCAATAACAAACGCAAGGTCTATTAGGACACATAACAACGGCAAGTACCCTAATAGTAGATACCACAGCATGCTGTTTAGAATCGCCCTTCTCATGCAACCGACATGTTTATTTCAAAGCCCTTGGATGATTAAACTACATGTATTGAGACATTGCAAAAATGGAATAAATAATAGAGGTTACAATCATTGCCATTGCCATGATAAAATTGACCTTTCCCCAGAAAGATTCATACTCGTTTCGACTTCCTGCGCAGCAACATGCACCAATAACCCATAGAGGTGGACAAAACCTAAAACAAAAAAAGCCCATGAATCCATGATCATGGACACTGAATAAGCACAGCACTTACCATCCAAACAAAAAGAAAATGGCTGCCAGAGGAAACTTTCTTCTTTCTTCAATTTGTCTGCGTATCATACGTGGAGTGACATTGGGTGTAGTGGATGGATAGGGTAACTCAATGGTTTGGTATCTGGCTTGCTGTGGTGGTAATGGTTGATAGGGTTGTTGTGGAGGAGGAGGCGAAGAAGGAATTTGAGGATAGAGGGATTGATTTATATCTGGTGTATGGGGAGGTGAGCTGTGATGATGCTGATGGTTGTAATTTGGATTGAATGGAGGTGATTGATACGTCGAGCTGGGACCATCTTGCTGCTGATGATAGTGTGGGTTAAAGGGTGGAGTCTCTTGGTAGGCAGGAGGAGGAGTAGAAGCATCGTCATCAACATCAGGTGTATTTTGTGGTTTTCCCATCTTGACTGTATCTATTGGTAAAAAAAAAAAAAAAGAGAGAGAGAGAGAGAGAGAGAGAGAGAGAGAGAGAGAGAGAAAAAGAGAGCAAAAAGGGTAATTGCCCAGCTTTTTCAATATCCCTTCTCCTCTTGTATTTCCCTAATGTGTGTGTTTGTGTGCTGTTGCAAAGAGATCGTTGGTCACACACTAAAAGATACCTGAAGTTCCATTATTCGCATGTGATGTCATGCTGTAGAACAAGCTGCAGATTTAAGCAAATGCCAATAAGCTTGTACAGGTAATGCAATGTGTCTAGTATCAAGATCACCAGGCTGTGGAAGAAGCGACTATTCCAAGCTGAATATAAAGAGCTCGGCGAAAAAGAAAAATAAAGTAATGCGACATGAATGATCTGAAGCGACAAAAGCGATCCTATCGACAAATATAAAGGGGGATCATCGCTTTAAAAGGCTAAAAATCTTCTTTTTCCTCTTGTTCTTTCAACTTTTTTTTTTTTTTTAAAAAAAAACAATGAGATCCACCACACTCTGGTTGGTGTTGCTGGTGCTATGTCCATTCATGGCATCAGCATCTCTACTGGTTCCTATCTCATCGACGCTCTCTCACCATCATAAATCAGTAAGTAGATATAGTAGACATCGTTTTGGCCTTGGCACTCACATGCACTGAATCCAGTGCTCTAATATCGAGACTCACAAAGATCAATGCGCCTTTGTCATGAGTGCTTGCCATGGATTCAGCGGTGTATTTCTCAAATTCTACTATTGCTCCACGCTATGGAAGCCCATCACGATTGTCATTATGGTAAAAGAAATGGAGAACATGCATCATGTTGTGCTGATGTGTGTGCTAAATGTCGTCTGCCAAGCGTAGTTATCTGGATTGCTGCTCTTGTTTGGTGCAGTCAGTGTAGTTGCTGCTGATTTCTTTTGCCCCAATTTGCAAACTATCTCATCCAGGTTGCAACTGTCTGAGAGCATGGCAAGTAGTGCATTCTTCTAAAAAAAAAGCGCCCTGTTTTTGATTGTTTTTGTTGATGCTTTAGGCTGGTGTAACTGTGCTTGCATTTGGCAACGGAAGCCCGGATTTGTTCAGTACCTTTACGTAGGTTCAGGATCAAACAAGACGATATACACAGGCACTCAATACCTCTATTATGTGTAGCGCCATGAACAGCGGGTCAGGATCACTGGCAATTGGAGAGCTTATTGGAGCAGCGTTCTTTATTGTGTCTGTCGTGTCTGGATGTATGGGCATCATTCGTCCATTCAGATCGAAAAGAATTACCTTTATGCGAGACGCATCCTTCCTTACAGGCGCTATCATGATTCTGACATGGATCGTATATCATCAACGCATATGTTGGTACCATGGTTTGATTTTAATTTGCTACTACATTACATACGTAATTGTTGTGGTGATGGGCGCCTATCGATTTCCAGGGGCAGAAACACCCGCTTTGCCTGAACCGAAATCTATAGCCACAGAACACTGCAATACAGAAGAATTGCTCACAGAGACGTCTCGGCTATTGCAATCTACACCAGGTGAGTGCGATCTTGAGCTGTGCAAGAGGATGTCTTGATTGAGCTTGTATACAACAGATAGCCCATTACGCCTTGATATCCCTGTTCATGGATTTCAATCACAAGAGCATCTAGGACATGTTATCAGACCCGTTTCTCCCAATTCATCGCATCTCTCCCGCAGATCATCGCTACACATTGATTCCTACTTTCCACGTACGACAAGCACCAATGGATCCATCTCGTCTCGACTGTACAGACATGCCATGTCACCGCGTGTTGGTATCAGAACCTCGCTGTTTAGTGCCATTGAGGTAGTGTGTCTAGTGATAATCGGATGTGCATTGCATTGACCTATATACAGTTTCAAGAACAAGTAGCCAGCATCAAGAGAGCCAACAGCACGCAATTATATCCACACAAGAGGGATACATCATCTGTTTTTCGACGACGACACACACAAGCATCCGTACCTTGTATTTCTGCTGCAAGACAGCGACAGGAGAGTGCAGATCATCTCTTGACCACTGCTCACCTTATGCCAAACAGCAGTATGCGCACTCCTGAAAGTTCATATGCTAATAATAACAATGACTACTTTACATATATTTCTGCAAGCCAACAGAACCATCGCCTAGCATCACCATATCCCAACGAAAGTAACGATGATCGACCAATCCCTGAAATTAGACTTGCCCCACCCAACTTGGAAGAGCAACAACAACAACAACAACAGCCTGTAGATAATGTGAGCATTCATGTGCCCTTCAAAAATCAAGACGAACTCAAGATATCCCTGTCTATGTCAATGGTACTAGACGATGTGTGCTGCACCTTATTCCCCACACTGCAAGACTGGAGCTCAAAAACTGCATTCGCCAAACTAAGCGCACTAGTCGCTGTACCACTGGTGTTGATATTCAGATTGACATTGCCCGTAGCAGAAGGAGATGAAGTCAAAGTAGATGATATCGAAGTCTTAGCGCCTGCCACTACCAATGAACCTCAAACAAATCAACAAACCGTCGTGATAACATCATCGTCAGCTGGTAATGGTGAAACGCCCACAAGAGCAGCAGGAACAACACCAGCAGCATCGAAAAGTTATCTCATTGTACCTACATCCGAAAGAAGCATATCTGAACTCAATACAGACGAGGATTTGCCCTTGTTGATTGAAGAAGACGAAGGACAGTTGGGTTGGTGTCGATGGCTGGTAGCGGTGCAAGCGATTTGCGCAACCACATTTGTTACCGGTGTGATGGCATGTAAGTCGAGTGATCACTTTTGAAAAGCATGCACAGATGATAACTCATGTACTTGTACAGTAAATGGTTTTGTTCCTGCATTTGGTATTCTGGTTGGTTTCTTTATTGGCTGTGTGTTATCATGTCTGGTGCTGTACAAGACAAAAACGAATGAAGCGCCTACATGGCACTGGATGTTGTCGTTTGTTGGGTTTGTGATTGCATTGAACTGGATCTTTTTACTAGCCAACGAGATGGTGGGGTTATTGCAAGCTTTAGGCGCTATATTTGATATCAGCGAAGCTATCATGGGATTGACTATCTTTGCATTGGGCAACAGCGTGGGTGATTTGGTAGCCAACACTGCTATTGCAAAGATGGGATTCCCTACTATGGCTATCTCAGCTTGTTATGCAGGACCTTTGCTCAGTAAGTAAATGAAATGCGCTTGTATATAGTATACTAACAAGACGGGTGGCTTTATTTAGACATGGTGCTAGGTGTCGGTATCTCATCCACGTATCAAACTTGGGTCACAGGAAAGCCCTATGAACTGGACATTGCACCTACTATTCTCATCTCATCAGCAGGATTAATCACTGTGCTATTGAGTACGCTTATTGTAGTCAACGTCAATGGCTACCATATCAATAGTGGTCTTGGATGGTGGATGATTATCGTATATCTAACATGTACCGTTGTGAATATCTTGATTGAATTTCATGTAGTTCATTGAATGTCTATGATTCCAAACATACATACGCTACTCTTTTATTCCTGAGATGAACATCAAGTTCATTCATACAATTGATTCCCCCCCCCCCCACTCTTTTTCTCCTTGATTTACCTACCGTAATATACATATAAATTTATAGTCCCTAGACACTTTCAGAGCCTCAAAAAGGAAATAAGTTGACCTAACAAGTATTTTGATAGACTCGCGTTATTAAATATAGAATTTAAGAGAATAGCATGGGTGAAAATAATGTTATGTGATTTGCCATCTACTTTCCATACGCTTCAAAAACATCTATTACTGTATTGCCTTCATGATGAAAAGGGCATTGAGTTTGCCTGCCAGCCCCACAAGCCAAAATAAATTCAATCCCAGACTCATAGTCTGCTCCAGATTGGCCAAATCTTGAAGGTTTACGACTCGATTGATCTATTTTTGAAGATTCGACTAAGTAAAACATGATAATCGCCCTATGCCTCTTTAAGCTTTCTTGGAGCGCTTTTCCAGGTGCATCCAATGGTATCAAGTAAGATAGATGTTTTGAATAAACTTATTGAATAATTTACGAAAATACGAAAAGAGGTTTCTGGCCAAAATGTCGAAATTTTACATATCAAAGTCCCACAAAGATGATTTTAGGGGCTGCTTTGGATCGATAGAAACATTTTGATCTAATATATACCATAGGAAAAACCTTTATTATCAAGGTCAAAACGCGATTGTTTGATTTTCGATGAAAACCATGAGGGGTACCTCATGCTTTTTGGTCGATTTTCAGTCATGTTTTTTTTGGTCCCCAAAAGTTGAACAAAGGTGTCAGGAAATAACTGCTAGATGAGAGCAATTGTTTGGTGCTACTCTGACGGTCTAAAACGGTCTTTAACGCGGAAAAGCACAGTTCAAATGCACTCAGATTTTGCTGTACCAGGGACACTCTTGACTAAAAAGGAGCAATAGTAGTGTGCTGCTTGGCCGTATATGAAGTACCTACATATATACGGGTGTAAACATCCACTTAAGAGTCAGATCCACAGATAATTGTAGGGTTCTCATATGTAATAGGAAAATTAAAATGAAAGCAGCAGTATTTGATAAAATGAGCAAGGGCAGCCGGTAGCGCGAACTGTCGCTGCGCAGGTTGGGTCTTACCGAAGCGAAGCGCAGGCCAGGAAACCACCCGAAGTGTCGAAAGTCTCGTTATTTTATAAAAATGAACCCTCTATATATATAGTACTTTTTTCAAGGTTGAAAAAAATAAGCATGGGGCCATACTGCGATACTCTACAAGCCGAGACTCATTAAGAGAGCTGTATACGAAGATAGATTTAGCAGCAATGAGCTGCACTATATAATCATCATTTCAGAACGATATTCATAGGAAGAAAGATGGAAGAATCCGTACTGGCCCCACTCAGGTCAATTAGCCAGGAGCTATCTAACAAAAAGAGACCAAAAGCTCGCAAAGCAGCTCCCATGGCCTGGTTTTTTGAACGTGCAACAGCAGTAACGACGTATTCACCTAATTATAGCATAGACAATGAGATTAATATAGGAAACCATAATAATATCAACCAAATTAGACAAATCTTTGCTAATGATACGAATATAGATTGTAGTCAAGCCACAAAAAACTTGCTTTGTGAGTTGGTGATGACGCTAAACTACTGAATTGGATGAGAATATCCACAATACCATTGTGGGATGCATGGGACCTACTCAACAAATCAAAAAAGCACAATATCTTGTAACAAAAGAGGAATCAACAAAATAAGGCACGCAAGAAGATTTCTATGATAGATGAAACATTTAGCGTATATTTAGATCACTATCATCCATTGTAATCATCCGTACGAACTAAAAACCCTTATACCAACCCCAATAGAGTTGCCACTAAAAAGACCATAGGATACAAAGCAGAAAACGGGACTTTAACTGCTACTATTGTAGCAGCAGCAGCGTAAAATTTGATAGACTTGATCAATGTCAATTCATTGATATAGGCTTGATGGAATTCAATCGGCCTGGAGGACACAAAAAGCAGCTTGTATGCGGAGATCCATAGCATTAATAAGGATTATTCAAGCAAGAACACGAGGGAAATGATGGTTGAAGACATGTGGGTCAGATTGCCCTCCAAAAAGTAGCTGAGAAGCGAGAAAAAAGACAATGTGCTAGTTATCTGTTTCGTATGAATAAATGATACACTAACTGATGTCCCTTAAAAGGTAGTATTAATCGATTCATTAACCATTGCTGCACAGTAATCATTTGTTTGTTGTGTTGAATCGAGAGTGTGGGTCGTTTATTCATTCTTTTCATAATAGCCCAATTACACTGCTGCTAAATTCAGCACGGTGGTGAATAAACAAATGGACATTGTCATTAATGCTATTCTGGATAGTGAGCCGAATAAAAAATCGCAAATGATTTCATATTTTTCATTCGTACTAAATGAGACACTCGAAATTCTGTGCGTTTATTCCAAGTAAATAAACATATGCGCTCAGTTTCTTGATGTCATTATCATTAATAGAGCAACTATATAGAGCAAATTTGATACAGCACGCCTTGAAACGTTCCTGACATTTAATACTCGTTAGAGTGGTCTATTTTGGAGATTTGCTTTTTTCCTGTTTTTGGCGCCAAATACCTCACTTGTAAATCAATTTAACAAGTGCCTCCTCCATACATGATGTTTGTACAGTGCATTGTTCTGGATTTCATCACATGATACTAATCATAGCGAGTCGAGTAAGATTAGCAATTTGCTAAAATGCGTTCATTCATTGTTGTAAATAAACTTGATCTATTAGTTTCATCCGAGAAATCCGTCAAGTATGCCATGTTGTTTTGCAAAAATAAAAACAGGAAATCAAAGCGCTACACTTGGCATGATGGATGTGATTTCGAATCTTCAAATTGGGATAATCCCTCCATGTCTGCGCCGAGACTGTTTGCCCTGCAACATGCAAAGACAAAATCTCACATGCGCATATATATTTTGGTGATCTCTGTCTATTGTTCTCTGGGAGAAATTTTCATTTACATTAAAAACAGATATGAATTTGATTCAAAATAACAAAAATGCACTGACCATACTATCTCAGTATTTACAAGAAAAAGCTTCTCTTCTTCTTTTTTTTATTATTCCAGAGAGGGATACATGTAAGTAAAAGCAGCAAAAAAAAAAAACACAGGGACAAGAAGGGAAGGGGATATGTACAGTAAGTAGTATAACAAACAGGGTTAATCAGTATAAGGTGGAGTTATAGGTAAATCCTGGTAACTACATTGTGATCTACGCTTGAATCGATCATATTGTCTTCTCAATGAATTCCGTCTTTGCTCAAAGAATTGGCTGAAAGGATCTTGTCCTCCTTCTACCATTTGATGCTGCGTAAAATCGAAATCAGCAAACTGGTCTTCCAACTGCATTCGGAATCTTGCTTCTTCAGTGACAGGACTAAATGTATCTAACGTTGGTGTTTTGACAGGTGAAATTCGTTTATGTGATTTCAAGCCATCATCCTGATATCGCTGCTGTTGATCTTTTATCAGGCTGCGCAGCTTGTTGTTTTTCTATGGCGCAAATAAATGTTAGCTGTCTCTTGATTGTGTAAGTGCGTACATGAAAATTGCTATACGTACGTCAGGTCTAATAGGTGGGGTCAGCTGTTTACGTTCAAGTAAATCCCAATCTAAACCACGAAACCAAGGATGTGCCTTGAATTCTTGGAACCCATCTGTATTGCATCCACCGTATCTTTGAAATGGTGATTTGTCCAGCAGCTAGATAGATACCAGAGTAAGTCTTTTACTGCGCGCGTTCATGTTGATGATCTATCTTTCCCACTTACACCACTGATTACATCGATACATTCTTTGGATACACTATCGTAGACATGATTAGGAAACATGAGTGGCTCATGTATGATGGCATGAGCCAAAGCTTCTTTTGATGGGGCTAAATAGGGACGCTGTTATGATGACAGTGAAGCAAGGTTAGTAACTCGCATGAGCTTGTTTCATGTTTGTTGTTATTATTACCACGCCAAATAAGAGCTCATAGGTAACAATACCCAAACTCCACCAATCTACGGCTGTGGAATAGCCTTTACGAGCCAGCATTTCAGGAGCCATGTAAGCCATGGTGCCGGCTATGGACCAACTCAGAGGCTGGCTTGTTGTAAATTGTATCGCAATGTTGAAATCACTGAGATGCGCATATCCCTTCTTATCTATCAATATATTCTCTGGCTTGACATCTCGATGAGCGATTCGTTTTCTGTGCAAGTAGTCCAAAGATAAAGCGATAGAGGCAACATGGTGTCTCACTTGGAGTTCGTGAAATGTAAATTGTTGGTCTAGTTGAAATCGTAAATCACCACCCAGCATGAGATCAAGTGCCATGAAGATGGTTTCATCGTCTTGGAAGGCGTATCTGAGGTTGGCTATCAGAGGGTAATCAATGCGTTCCAGTATGTTGCGTTCTAGTATGATGTTTCCAATCGCCTTTTGCTTTATACAGATGGATTTGTTGATGTATTTGAGTGCGTATTTCTTCTTTGTACGCTTGTGTTGGACGATGCGGACTTTGCCAAATACACCTTTACCAATGATCTTTTGTAGATGAAAATGACCCAGCTCAGGTCCTATGTTCGCTTGTTTTAGCTGCCCTGTTTGTTCGAGATGTCTGATGTCTATCTGGCTTACCTTGCGAATAGTCTATTTCATCTTGCTTACAACATAGTGCCCCCATGATATAGATATATAATACAACAAAGAAAGAAAGTAGAGTAAAAAAAAAAAAAAGTAGTGGAAGCAAGAGAAAGAGAGAGAGAGAGAGAAAGGAAAAAAAAAATCAGTGAGAATGTAGCCACTTTTTATATTTTGCAAACAGTTTGTGCTTATAGTTTTAAATACAAGTGTAACGCACTGATACAAATTTTCTCGAAATTACATGTAAATGTTGGTATTCATTACTTGGAATTGTTTGTTTCAAGATTCTGCCATTTTTGTATTATCTTTCTATATGTTTAAGCGAGTTGGGATTTTGGGTAACATTGGTGATCATCACATGCAACTGGCAAACATGCTTTCAATTTACATGTTTGCTCTATGCCTGTCTCTATCAGAAAAGTTGTTGAGCTGTTGGCTGTGGCGAACCGGGCTTTGTACTGCTTCCCTCAATCATTATTAAATGTAGTGTGATTTTGGGGCACTTTTTTTTTGTCTTTCTTTCTTTTCATTCATATAAACACTTACCCTCATTTTTCTATTTTTGATCAAAACAAAGCATAGCACTTACATCATGAAGGAAGGAGAAGGTAAAGAATAAGAAGAGTGATGTGTTGGGGAGCACGGTTGGAAGGATGAAACTGAATGGCTCGAAAAAGCAAATTATAAATTCATTCGTAACTATATGGCGACTAAATTCTCTCTTTTTTTTTTTTTTTTTCTTTCTTTCCTTTACAGCAGCAACTACATCGCTCCATTTGAGCTGGTCAGTCATCATCATGTCAGTACTTTCGTTTTTGGTAGTGTATCGCAAATACGGTGGTTTCTACTATCGTTCCATCATGTCCACCTTGTGTCTTTTGGTCATGGCTATTTATGGCATGTGTGTCTCCATTGTGCTCCCCATCTTTGGTAAAACACACCTCATCAATTACTCGGTCGCTCGTGGCTACTACATGCTCGGTAGTTTCTTTTGTGGCCTCAAGGTCGAGAATGAGGGAGAGGAAAACTTGCACAAAGTCAAAGGTCCCGTCATCTACGTTTGCAATCATCAATCCAGCATGGATATCATGTTGATGGGCAAAGTGTACCCCAAGAACACTGCCATTGTCGCAAAGAAGCAGCTCAAATACTACCCTTTCTTGGGTTGGTTTAGTAAGTATCTTGGCAGACTTCAACAGGAAAACATGTTAAATCATGATCCTATTTACTAACTGACTGATTGCTTGTTGTACTCACAAATAGTGACTTTGAGTAATGCCATTTTCTTGGATCGTAAAAACAGAGATAGTGCTGTCAAGGAAGCTCGCAATGCTGCTTTGGATATTCACAGAAAAAATGTAAGGATGGATCAATGAAAAAAAAAAAGGAGAAAACAAAGTATTAACAATGAAATGTGTATGCAGACCAATGTCTGGATTTTCCCTGAAGGTACTCGTGGTCACGAAGCAGAGATCACCCTCTTACCCTTCAAGAAAGGTGCATTCTACATGGCCGTTCAAGCTGGTGTCCCCATTGTGCCCGTTGTCATCGCCAACTACTATGATTTCTACAGTGCCAAAGAGAAGAGATTTGATGCGGGTACTGTTCGTTGCAGAGGTAATATATAAACATGATGTGATATGGAATCATCCCACTTATTCATCTGATACTTTCTTTTAGTTTTGCCTCCCATTTCAACTGAAGGTGTTGCTGAAGATTCCGCTGACATCGAAAAGCTTGCCAACAAGTGTCGTGATCAAATGCTTGCTGCACTCAAGGAAATCACTCCTGCTCGTCAAATCAAGAACAAATCCCAATAAATACAATAGATACATCATTTCCATCGTTTTGCCCTGTAACATTATAAACAATAAAGAAATATAGAAACGAAAAACACCACTAAATGTTTATTTTTCACTACAAAAATAGGAAACATGAAACACGGATATAAAAAAAGGGGTCAAGAGAGACAAAAGAGAGATGTTGAGACATTTGAAATACATTCTATGATGAGCAGATGTACTGTGGTTGCGGAAGACTGCAGCTTAGAGTTGAATTTGATTACGAGAGTTGAATTTATGTACCAACATCTAGTGATAGAGAGTAAGTTGTATGGATCTTTGATGTGAGATGTCTTTGTACATGTTTACCTGACAACCACAGAAACCAAGGAAACAAGCATAGACGATAGCAGCAGAGAAACATGCCTTTGCGGTCAACTTCGGATCATCAGGGTCACTGGTGAATTCTGTTAGAATCTCAACCTTGGCATCAAATGCCATGCCGAGAACAACCTTGAACGTGTTTTTTCGTTAGATGTACATCTACATGCTACCGGCCATCTTACTTACAAGGAAGATGATGCCACAAAAGGACAACATACTGCAACATGTGGCATTTCCAGGGCTTACAAATGTCTTCATTTTATAAATGTAATGTGGAAATGTGAAAAAGAGACACTTTCAATAGACCAGTTCCAGATGAATTGAAACAGGATTCACCACTACAGCTCTCTGCTCACGACGTCACATAGACTCCATGACGTTTCACCTAGTATCTTTTCTTATTAGGATGGAAACTCCATAGTAAGCACATTTCCTTCTCCCTTTTTCCCTTCTTTTCTCAAACATTTCGTTTCTGGTTCTTTATTTTAAAGAATTTTTTATAGAGAAAAGACACTATAAACACTCTAACTACCTAGTCGTTTCTCAACGGAATAAGATCTCCTCTACCAGACTTTATTTTTGTTCGTGAGCATCATCCATATTTATCGCAGAGAAGATTACAGCAGACAAAACAACAGAAAAAATTTTTAGACAATTTTTTTTTTTTTTTTGCCAACGCTATAGCTCTGTAACCTTTCTTTTTACATCTTCTCAAAAAGAAAACCCATAATTATTCAAGTGCAAGTTACTTTGATTGCAGGAAGATATTCTTCACGTTTGCAACAAACAAGAAATTTTAATCAAAACATACGCCAATGGGCACGACTAAAAGTCGTAAATCTAGGCGGAATAACTCAAGACCAACTGCCTTTACTTTTTTATCCAACATTGCACTCGGTAGCGAAAACGAAAAACCACCGGATGACTCTATACGAATCAACAATGCTTACTTGTCAACCACTGATCCAGACTTATTGCACTATGTGGAAGAAACTACTGCGAATGAGCAGGTCGGAGGTATAGCCCATCCCCATATAGGAACAAACAAAAGCCTTCCATCTCGATGCTAAATTGTAAACTGTTTAGCTTCTTCCTTGCACTCATCAGATAGCAGCTTCTCCGCGGACGACGACAATGTACAAACCACCATACCTTCTGATTCCCATGGTCGATTTAATTCAACAACCACTGCACCCGTTATAACAACCAATGTGTACCAAAACGATACAAATCCACCAAAGAGAGGAAAATACCTTTCTCAAAAGCGTCATCCTTCTTCTGAAAGCAGCAATGAAGATGTGCAACATCATAAATTGACCAGAGAAGACAGCGAACGACCCATTGCTTCTGAAAAAATCAAGAAAAAGTCGAATCACAACGACAAGGATGTAAAGTATCTTGATGAGGATGTGTGCGTATCGTATACTTACTCAACACATAGCATGGACATGGTGGCATGTCAATCCTGTCCGTCTTTCGCTATTACACTGACAAAATTCGCCATTCAACAAGCAAGAAGAAATTAGATTCATCCAATGCAACCAACCGTGGCTATGTGTAAGTTGCTTTTTGAGTGCTTCTCATGTGAGCCCTGTACTCACTTTAATGACTATTTGACAGGCAACAACAATTGGAATGTCAGGATGGCCACCGACACCGAAAGGCTCAATCGTATGCTCACTTTTTGAATACGACAGGGTCATTGCTGTAAGTTGTGTATATGATGAAATGCTTTTTAGTCTGAATCTCTGATGAATAAGGACCCACTTTTTTTTTTTTTTTTTTTTTTTTTTTTACGTAGTGATAATGAAACTGTGCAAGAGCAGGTCGATGCCAATTCATATGATCCCTTTTTCCTTGATGATGATTCCTATGGCAAATATGGACTCGATCCAAGCTCCTTGGGCACACTTGTCAACAGCAACAACAACAATACTATGAAGCCATCTGAATTGAAGCGAGAAATGAATGAACAGTTCCGTTTGAATCATCCAGAAATCCCTGCTGAAATCACGCTTAGTAAAATCAGAGCCATCAAGCTCCATTTATTGGAGATTGGTAAACAAGTGGATCTGGAAGTATCCAGTGTAGCACACGCTTATGTCTTTTTCGAAAAGCTAGTGACCAAGGTAAAGCGCATACATCATGACATGGTATATGGACATTAGGCTCATGCGACTTTTTTATATTTAGAATGTGGTGACTAAGAAGAACCGTAAACTCATTGCAGCCTGCTGCTTGTTTTTAGCTACCAAAGTAAATGAAGCTAAAGGAACTTGGTTTAGACCACTTTTGGAAGCCATAGATGACGAATTGGACGTTGATGCTGAGGAGATTCATGAGCATGAATTTGCAGTGTTTGCAGATCTCGAATTCAATCTCTATGTGCCTCGAAGAGAATTCATGCCTCATTTTGAACGCATTTTCAACCATTTGGAGTACAAGAGTATGCAAGAGTACCTTGGAAATACTGCCTTTTATGAGGTCAATCAACGCATGTAGTCGTCGTATATGAATATTTACAAAATTTAAATCATATTTTATTATTAATTCGTTATTTTGATATTGTTGTCGTTGTTGTTGTTGTTGTTGTTGTTGTTGTTGGTGGTGGTGGTGGTGGTGGTGAGGGTTAGGGTGAGGGTGAGGGTGAGGGTGTTGTTGATTTAATGTGAGTGGAAGGAGGAGATTCGATGGTAGTAGTAATGGCAAGTGGAATGATGTGATGGTTGCTAGAAGGAGGAGGAGGGTCAACAGCGGCAGCAGTGGTAGCTGCACTCGTGGAACTGTTCAAGCTAATGAATGTATCCATTTCTCTTCTCGGCGGTAAATACATGCTATTTGAATTTGTGTTGTGTGTAAAATATCGAAGGCGTCTAAAGAACTGTGTAATACGTCTGCTGGAACTATAAATGATAGCACCTGTAGACTCTTGTTTTTGTGCGGTTGTGGTTGTAGTTGCAGTTGATGCAAGTGCTTCTACTGCAGAATCATGGTTGTAGACAGAAGATGAGGAAGCAGATTCTCCTGGGTTTGATGATTTAGCTGCAGCAGTTTTATTAGTATCGATGATTCCCTTTTCTTCTTTTGCAGATAACCAGTTGCTCGTGTGCTCTAGTTCTTGCTGTCGATGATTGCTGTCTACATGGCTGGCTTCTTCGTCCTCGTCCTCGTTCATGTGTGCTGCTGGATCAGGCTTTGAACTAAGTAAATAGACACCGTAAATGAGTACACCGATACCTACAAATACCAGTAAGATGGCCCAAGGAGGATAATTGCCAATTTCATCGAGGTAGATGATGGTATTGACAAGACCCAAAGCGGTGTATGTCCCGTAAAAGACAGGCACCACGACAACAGAAGAATACAGTTTAAGGGCAGTGTTCAAGCAGTACACCTAGAACGCTATTTTAGTAATCCACATATTGTATGTAAAATAAGGACATAAACAATAACAAACCTGTAATATCGCTGTAACTAGTAATGCTAACAAGATGAGTCGACTTGCGTTATCATTGAATTGATTGACTTGAGATTTGATGGACAGTGTGAATAACTTGACTCTATATATAAATAGAAAATGTTGTCAGTACACTCCATCTAAACCGTAGAAATGGCTCTCACCCGCTCTTCGCCAACAACAGGGTCTCGCTGGCCAATACACCACCTTCTATACTAAACATAAGGCCCACAATGTGCTTCATCTTTTTTTGCTTCATGGTAGCAAATATTTGACTCTTTCTTTTCCGAGTTTCATCTGAGATTGCCCAATTTGACCAAATTGAAATGATGAGACCACCAAATGCAGCGATATTAAGGACACTAAAGTAAATGATAAAGATGGGACGGACAAAGAGGACCTTGAGACTTTCCAGAGATATCAATTCTTCCGCTATGTAGTAATATAAAGAGGCGTGAGCAACATTTAAGTACACATATTTGTCAAAAGAGCCAACTTACGATCATCGCCGTTGTACATGCCACCAAACACAACAATCCAAATTACAGATGCAACTACTACACATGTGCCCAAGACATCTTTTCGAGTAATTTTTGTGTTTACAAGCAGTTTTGCAAATATAAAATTAAATATCAATGCTACGCTTCCTAATGGTGCGACCCACTTTTTGTTGTTGTTACATAGGAGATGATGAGGATGATGGAATAGAATGATTAATTAAGGGGATGAAAAGACTTAAATATAGACACACACACAAGGGGAAAAATACCTGAGTTTTTAGATAGTCTATACATGAGGTGAAAAGAACATAAATGTGAGATCCATGGCACATTAACAAGAGTAGCATGTCTGTACTTACTCAGGGCAATTGTGCTACCAATCAGTTGACTAGCAATATAAGTGTATAGGCCCATGTGCCATAACGGTCTTCCACAATCACCACGTTGATGCTCTTTATCTCGCTTTGCTTCTTTAACATGATCCAGCTTCAATATATTCAATCCTAATGCGTCCATGAAGGAAGCACCTAAAGACACAAATACGCCAATCACAAATCGAATGACATTATCTTCTGATCCCATGTGTGTCAAATGTGCGTCGTTTTCTATGGTAAAAAGGTATATGTACAGTAAGAGTAAACAGAATTGAAAAAAGAGAGAGCAAACGAAAGAAAGAGAGAGAGAGAGGGTGAGAATGTGTGGTCATTTATTATATACACAAAATATATTAAAGGTGCTGCATGATCGCCACCCTCTCTACATACTATATTTAGCCTGGAGATTGAGAGAAAGATTTCATTAAAGACCATAACACACAATGCACTCGTTTTGTTGTCATTCATTTCTCGTACAAAATGCCAACGCTATATACAAAGAGAACTATTAATTTTGTTTATAGATATATTCATGATGGGAAAGAATTCATATTAAATTTTAAGCGAGTATGAGAAGGGATATGATGGATGGGTTGTGTGTCTGTTCAAGGGATAAAAAGGAGATGAAGAGAAAGAGAGAGAGAGACATGTCTAATTAGAATGGACAGAATAATTAGATTCGTTTGATAATGTGAGGTCATCCACATCTTCGTCTTCATCTTCATCCAACACAGGAGGTCCTATTTACATTCATCGAGTTAGTCTATGCTATACACGCTACAGCAGGCCAAGCTTACCATCCATGTGTTTCTCTAAATCTACAATGGCATTAGGCGCACCGTCCATGTAATTCACACTGTTGCGGTTACTACGGCCATGTTCTTCTCTAAGGCGTAGCGTGGTTTTACGACTGAGGCCCTCATATTGATGATGATCGACAATCACCTCTTCCACCTGTTCTACTGATTCTCTGGGTGCATCAATCTGAATCTTGGTTTGTGGCTCTGGTGCTGCGGCCACAACTGGTTCCTCAATGGCTTCATCTTCGATTCTACGTGGCGCTGCGTCACCGTCTTTTGTGGTCCAAAAGATGTACTCAAATTCACTCATAAACAAGTTGAAGATGGTAGCAGGAATACCCAGTGTAGGCGAAAACACGATACTCACGTTACGCATAGTCATCTTGTTGATGTCTGAATGCTGAACCACGCGAATCAAATGTGCTGTCAATGCTCTCAGCAAGGTGTAATTTGACAGAGGAAGCACAGATACCAGTCGACCCAGCTCATTGACGCGATCTTTACGATCCAACAGATCAATCACATGCAAAAAGTCCATGCGATGCTCTCTGGTCAGCACACTGGTAGGCAGTTCACGTAGCCACATCTTGAGCAGGCCAGCCACTACATGGACATCATATTCTTCTTTGGCAGCCAGCAGATTGACATCGCCCTCTTGATTGAAACGCTCACGCAGCGCCTTCATGGTAGCATTACTGCCGCTCAAACGATACAGACCTTCTTCAAGCACAGCGTCCATGGCATCCAGGTATTCAATGCAACGATACACCACAGCAGGCAGTTCATAGCCCTCAGCGACACGAGAGATACGCACTGCTTCTTCCAAAGAGACACCAAACACTTGCTTAGCTGCTTGTTTGGGAACAGGCATATCATCGTACTTGTTTCTCTGACGGTCGTTTTGTTCGTGGGATGATCTGGATAAGAAGCCACGCAGACCAGCCGAATTGGAGCTGCTTGTCGTAGCAGAAGAGGACTGAGAAGGTCTGGGTTGTCCCTCTCTTTGTTGCTGTTGCTGCTGCTGCTGTTGACTTTGTTGGTCTTGATCTTCGCTGCTGTTGAACAACATCTTCTTGCCCCAAAAGGTCATGCGATGTGCCTTGTTTCTGGCCTTCTTTTCAGACTCGGCTGCAACCACAGGTGGTGCTTCATCAGGCACTCGAGAAATGATGGTTGGCGACACAGCACGGCGGTAATTGTGAAAGTTCAATTGGTCTTCATTTTGTTGCTGCTGCTCATTGTTGCTAATCAAGTTGCCCATGGAACTGCGACGCATGATGGGAGGACGGGGTGCTTGCAATGTATTGCCATTGTTTCTTTGATCCAGACTCGTGCGACCTGCTTCATAAGAGGACCATGTGGAGGTGGCATTGGCATTGGCATTGTTGTTGTTGTTAGAGGGCAGCGAAGAGGAGACGATGGTGGCAGAGTCTGCAGTGCTGTCACTTGAAATAGAAGGTGTGGGTCTGCTGTAGCCATTGTTGCTGATGGCCATACCAATACTAGCATCGTCATGATGCGAGGGCACAGAGGTCAACTTCTCCATGTCTGCATTGCCCACATGATCCATCTTTAAATGACTGATGGGTGTTGCTGAGATAGCTCTGATTTCACCTTTGGAGAGTTTTCTGGGCTTTTCATTCTTTCGTTTCTTTTGCATCAAAGCTTCATCCTCGACAATACTGATGTTTTGCAGCAGTGCATGGACCCAGGTATCGCGATCATCGTCTGAATTGGCACACAGGATATGACGCACACTGTGAGTTGAATTCACTCGTTTTTGCTCGACAATCAAAAAGGCGTGACGATAGACACTGTTGTATTCTTCTTGAGCAGAGGAGGAAGCCGATGAACCGTTCATTTGGGTGCCGATTTGTGCATTGGTCAATCGAATGGAGCCAAGCTGAGTGCCTTCTTTCTACAATGGCATAGTCAGTACATATAGACTCCTATGAAAGCACGACTTACAGATTCATAGTATTCCAGAACGGACTCATTCAGTACGAAATAACGAGTCTTCCAGCCGCCAAAGTTTTTACCTCTCTTTGTCAAATACCCTTCCTTTTGACCTGACAATTGGTATACTTTGGTGTCCATGACATTGGTGCTGAGAAATTCACAGAGGTCGGAAGCGTCTTCCAAGGGTAAAGAGACAATGTGTTGCAAGTATTGCTCCAAGGCTACTTTTCGCTGATCCACTTTGGTAGGTGCATTGTTGGAGAATAAAGCCTTGTCTGGCAACTTACCGATGCGACCAGAAATGGCTCTGTTGCGTTGTGCTTTGAGCTGTAGAGCAGAGCTGTTAGAAACGACATCTCTCCATACGCTCACATACAGGCTTACCTTGGAATCCAATGTCAAAAAGTCAGAATACAGCTTTTCCACTCTCCATTTCTCATCAAACTCATTGCTGACATCGTCCTTGTAGGACCCCACAGACAGGATAAATGACACGACCTCCTTGCCCTTGTCATTTGGCTTGATGTTAGATCCCACTACCTTGATACACACATTGGCCATGTTGCCCATGAATGCGGTTTGTTGTTTACTGTTGTTGCTGGCGGATGGAGATACTGCAGCAGTAGAGGATTGATCATCATCATCACCATAACTAGCGAGATCAGTGCGAGATGAAGAATACATGGATTGCTGTCCGTCCTGTTTACTGCGACTGCCGTAAATGGGGCTGTTACTATTAGGTGGAATGTAGTTGCTGTTGACGACTGGATTTGTGGAGATGGCATTAGTGGCGGTTGTAGTAGTAGTTGTAGTAGTATTAGTAGTGTGTGGTGTATTATTGGTATTGATATTAGCGCTAATATTAGTATTAGTTGTAGTAAAGTTGGTATTGGTGGCTCTGAAGGACGAGGAGGATGGAATCAAAGGAGGCGAAGCAGCACGCATGGTCGGATCGTGTTCAAGAGCAGCTCTTGCTGGTGGCATCATGGAATCTCTTTGACGTGCGTTTTTGCGTACCTCGAGTGAGGAAGATGATTTGCTAGGAGAAGGCACGATGAAGGGTGAGTGATTTCTAGTAGTTGTACTAGGTAATGGGGCACTGTCTTTGCGCTGTTGTTGTTGGTATTTGGGTAGCGTAGGTGAGTGAGGACCAGGAGCAGGAGAACCAGGAGAGGATCTTCCATTTAAACTAGTATAATCTTCCATATTGCTACGACTGGCAGCAGCGACAATGTAAGACTCAGGTTCCTGATCCATGAATCGCTTGGGAGAGTCCATCAAACCAAAATCATCTGGCTTTTCTTTCAATGGACGATAAGGTGAGCGAGGAGGCGGCATTGGACTGACAGCAGCGACAGCAGCCATTGGAGCAGTATTAGCAACAGCCGTGGCATTGGCATAGACTTCAATAGGCGATGGCGTCGTTTCACTACTGGGCGTGGAAACAGCATCTTCCTGTTCTGCTATTTCACGAAGTGCTTGAGGTGAAATGAGCAGAGAAGTAACTCGCTGCTTTCTGGTGATTTCTTTCTCCAAAAAGTTAACTTGATCCTGAAGACCATCTCTCTCTGCTGAAAGACGTACATTGTCTTTTTGAAGGTTTTGGATCATGACTCGTTGCTTTTCTATAATTTTCCAAAGCTGATCGTTTTGAGAGCGTAAATGAGGTATTTCATCTTGACCGTAATTGATGCTAGATTGTGATGGTAGTTGTTGTTGTTGAGACATTTTCTTATGAAAAAAAAAAAAAAAGAGTGGAAGGGGTTGTTTGATTAGGATTTGCGCCTTATTAAAGATGGAAAGAGAGGGAGAGGAAAGAGAGAGAGAGAGAGAGAGAGAGAGAGAGAGAGAAATTTGTATCAATATATATTTAATATTTCGACAAAAAAAGGGGATAATAATAGCAAGTTGGCAAAAACAGTGTGGAAATGAAAGAAACAGGGAGCTTTTCCACTCTATCTATACAGTGACAAAAAAAGAATTAGAGAAAGAGAGAGAGAGAGAGAGAGAGAGAGAGGTAGTTGGTGTACAAGTGGACATTATTTATAAAAGGGAGGGGTAAAGTTGTAATTAGCTGTAGCACAAAACATAAAGATCAATGTAGTGCAAGAAAAAAGATCTTGTGTGTACCAGGTATGACAACTGGTTAAATTGTCATTTAAATGAAAAGGGCAGTGTGTTCGGAGGTTTGCTTGTCGAAGCTGCATCGAGTGCTGCCATGCTTTCTTGCAATTTATATATATGCACATAGAACATTCCAATCTTTTTCTCTTCTTTCTTTCTTCTACCTATTACATGATGAATGACAACGAGCAGCAGGATTGGACATGTCCTTTCAAGCAAACCGCCGTGGCTGCCATGCCAGTCGATGATAGTGCATTGCTGGATATACCCAATGTCTCGAGATCCATGCAACTGAATCTGCCCAGATCGAATTCATTGGACAAGCTATACTATTACAGTAATAAGAAAAACGACACCTTAAAAAGCTTGTTTCCACCTTCTGGCTACGATGACTCCGACTCAGACGAAGACGACAATGACAATGATCAGCAAGTGCAGCTATTACGGTCTTTTACTGTGGGGTCAAAGCATATCACCCACCACAGAGAGATCTGGAAATGCTCAACATCCACAGCGACATCCAATAGCGCTCATCCAGATACCACACAAGCCAGCAAGAAACCGCCTGTATTGAATCACGAGATTCGTATCTCCAACGAGCATGGTACAATTCATGCAATCACTACCAGAGGTTCTCTTATTGTAGCAGGTACAAGCCATTACAACATTCAGTCCTACAACATCAAGCAGGTAGCAGAGAGTCTGTTCAACACAATAGAAGCAGTGCCTGGCCAACCGCAAGAGCCTACCACGGGTGCCATTCGATGCATCTGCTTCTCTGCGCATGCCAATGACATGATCTGGGCTGGCACAGATAGCGGATCCCTTTTGGCCATCGGAACACAGTCGAACAGGGTTATCAGCAAACGAGCAGCCATGCACTCATCAGCCATCACATTCATGCTGCAACATCGCAACATTGAACTATGGACACTGGATGACAGTGGATGTCTCAACATTTGGTCTACATCACCACACGGCATCGATCTAGCAAAAGCAACGCCTCAGCAATTCACTGTTACCAAAAGCCCCAAAACTGCAGTTTTGAGTTCAACCAGATCAAGTACCCTGTGGCTATCATCGGGTACATGCATAGACAAGTTTGATAGTTCGACCGCTATGCTGGTACCTGTTATCCCTATACCAGCTGATCTCGGAGAATTGATTCAACTGTTTACGCTTCCGTTTCATCATAACCTGCTATTTGCAGTGCATCTCGATGGCCAAATTACAGCTTGGGATGAAACCACTTTTGAACAAACCCAATGTGTCTCTGTTGTGGCTTGCATGGATAAACTGACGGCGATAGTGCCAGTGGGTGATTTTTATGTGTGGGCTGGTTTTCGCAATGGCATGGTGGCTGTGTACGATACCCGAACGGAGCCCTGGTTGGTCATCAAGATGTGGAAGGCACATAAAAATGCCATTGCAAAATTTGCGGTAGACGCATGCTCGATCTCTGCATTCAAGCCTGTCATTTCTGTAGACTCGTTGGGCCATATTGCAATTTGGGATGGATTATTATCAGAGTATTGGCTAGGTAATTGAGTCCGTATCAATATAGTTATGCGTGGATCGAGAATGATGACTAAACTGGCGTATAGAGGAGCAATTGGTGGCTCATATGGCCGATTACTGCGATTTTAATGAACTCAAGACTATGATATGCTCTTGGAACATGGATGCCATCAAACCTGATGCCTTGACAGATACAGATAGAGAAAAGATACACGAGTGGTTAAATGGCATGGCAGACCCTGATATCATTATGGTGGGGATCCAGGAAATCGTCGACTTGAACTCCAAGACACTGACTGCCAGTAAGTAGATTGGCTCTGTGTTTTAATGCATTTAACATTATTTATAGCACACCCACCTACCAAGAATCATTTTTATCGCTTAACCGAAAGATTGAAACTATTGAAGAAGCAGATGAGCTCTTGACACATCGCTACATGCTGTGGCATGACTACCTGACCTCGGTGGTGGACACTAATTTTGGAAAGAACATGTACAAAATCATCAAGACAGACCAAATGGTGGGATTGTTCAGTTGTATCTTTGTCAAGACAAAGTTGGAAGAGCGCATTCGTCACTGTGATAGCAATGCCGTCAAAACTGGCTTTCGATTGATGAACAAAAGCTTGCACGGCAACAAAGGTGGCATTGCGACTCGACTGATCATTGACGATACATCCGTTTGCTTTGTCAACTGTCATTTAGCTGCTGGTCAGTCCAATGTTTTGACTCGCAATGTAGATGTCGATGGCATTCTCCATTCCGCTCGGTTTCCTGTACCTGCATCCACAACACTAGACGCATTCAAGCCCGACTCGGATGGCACCAGCATATTAGATCATGACACCTGCTTTCTTAGCGGCGATCTGAACTATCGCATTGGTATGAAGCGAGATCAAGTACTAGCGCTCTTAGCAGCAGAATCGCACAACAAATTCGAAGCATGGGAAACATTACAGCAAGAAGATCAATTAAAAAAGCAATTAGCACTAAACCCAATGTTTCGCCTATTTGGCTTTAAAGAACCGCCCATCCTGTTTGACCCTACCTACAAGTACGATCAAGGTAGCGAAGTCTATGATAGCTCAGAAAAGAAGCGTATACCTGCTTGGTGTGATCGTATCTTGCACAGGGGTCCTGCTTCCATGAGTAACATCTATTATCGTCGTCACGAGGTAAAGGCCTCAGATCATCGTCCTATCAGTGCTGGTTTTACAATTCATGCAAAAACGGTGTGTCAGAATAGATTGGATCAAGTGAAAACTCGACTGACAGAAGAATGGCAGCACTCTCTGGAAGAAAATCTACAAAGCAAAAAAATACAGCATATCACCCGCTACGATTTATGTGATGAGAATGAAGCACGGTATCGATTAGAGAAAGTAGATTGGGATGTAGGCCAAGTAGTAGTAGACTTGTATCGTGATAAAGGGGATTGCTTAAATTAGGGACGGAGGGTTGCACCAACATGAGTGTCCCTGAATCCATATTTTTTGCTTTGTGAATAATATTCTGTAACGTGCCTGAATACCACATTTAGATAGTTTCACCATGAAACTGAGTTAGCTTGAAAACAGTGTGTGCTGTGTATACACTCACATATGGCTCGGTTAAATTGGTGGTCAATTAAATTCGCGATATAGTAATACACTTGACATTTGTAAAACGCATGATATATATTTGTGTCGTTATATGAGCAACGCATAAATGGCCGAAGACTGTTCTTTATACTAGCTCTGAATCCCGTTTTAATAATTACTTGTGTTCAACTCGTTGTTTTTGTTGATACAAGGAGCTTTGTATTGGATGTATGCTATACATATATATGATATAAACAAGGCATGCTGCTTTTCTAGGCATCGCATTCAATGAATACATCTTACCTAAGCCAAGACAGATGAAAATACCACATGCGTTACCTTCTCAGGTACGCCGTTTAAAAAGCTGTTATCTCGAGCCAGATCCGATACGTTGAAATGATAGATGGGTATCCAGCTCACTCTAATTATTCACTACAATTTAAGCTTTTTTTTTGCGTTTGTTTATATTTAGACAAATGGCCTTAATTTGTACTGCATTTCATTTCGGTAGTAAATTATCATTTGGATCTCACCTTCTAGGTGAATTGTAAGCTCAACTTGCGTTGTAACAATTTAAAATGGGCTTTTTGAAGTGTATACTGTTGTTTCAATCATACAAAACGGATATAATACGGACCACCTAGTAATTTGAGCTACCAAGTTATGGACCACCTAAATTTCGGCTAATTTTATAGTGTACTTTTTACCAGTTACAGAGTATCTGTTGCATCTGAAATAACCAGCTTGACTTAAAACTGCCACCATCTCATTAATAAGATATATCCTTGTGTTATGAAACAGCAATACGACAGCGTCATTCAACCTAATATTTACAGCCGAATATTTGGATGCAACAGCATGCTCCAAATCTAAATTAATGCATTCAATGTCTACGCCTTTGTATCATGATAAAAATGCGCCTATTGATAATCAAATGTATGAAACACAGCCAAATTTGACAGTTTTGAAGTCTAAATACCTTGGCATGTAGACCTTTATGAGCCACCGGAATGCCGCCAAACAATTGTACTCGAGTAGCGATAACTTCCTGACATCTTTGCTCAACTTTTTGGGAACCAAAAAAAATATGATCGAAAATCGACCAAAAAGCATGAGGTACCCCTCATGGTTTTTATTGAAAATTAAACGATCGTGTTTTTGGCCATGATAATGAAAGCTTTTACTATGGCATATATTAGATCAAAATGTTTCTATCGATCCAACGCAACCCCTGAAATCATCCTTGTGGGGCCATGATATGTAAAAATTTGACAATTTTGCTATAAACGTCATTTCATACTTTTAAGTATTACTCAATAAGTTCATTCAAAACTCTTCTCATATTTATTACCATTGGATGCAGTATGAAAAGTACTCTTAAAATGCTTAAGGAAGTACCGAATGAGCAACACACTGTATATAGTCGAATCTCGCAAAACAGATTTTTCAAGTCGAATAAATACATACTTTGGCCAATCTTGAGCAGATGAAACGTCGGAATTTAAATAGCTTTTGGCGCTGCTGGTTGATCAAAATGACTTTTTGATGTTGATGATGACAATTGGGATATTGCTTAAATGAAGACTATAAATTTGAAACGACTATCGCTTGGCCTTAATAGTTTCTTTTGCTTTTGTTTGGCAATTCTTATTTGACACCGCCTGTCAGCTTGGTTCAACACCAAAATATACGTAATCGCAATTCCTAATCATTATTTGCAGCATTTCAACATGGCATGCAGGCAGTGCGCATTTCCTTGATTCATTTAAAAGGGGTTATAGCCACTGGCTGATGAAAAGCTGTTTCGTTATATGAGAAGATATTCTTTAAGCTTGTATCAGACTATTGATTGGGAATGGTGGCTGCAATCTCGTTGACAGTTGGCAGATTCTGAGTGCGCCTATTTTCATCAACAGCTAGCTCCAATCTCATTAGAGGGTTGTGTCGAATGTAAGCATCTTCGTTAATATGACTTCAAGCTTGTCGTTCTTCTTCTTCACTCAGGATCCTATGAGCATGCTTACAAATGCGGACAAAGTTTTTTTTTTAAACCTTATACGATACTCAATGTTAAGTAGCTGCCTAATATTGGCAAACAACATCTGTATATCTTAACATAATAAACTTAGAGTCCATAGACACTTTTGAAACTCTGATATGGAAATTGAGTTGCCAGGCATTTGTCAGGCATGGCTCATATGATTAGAGATTATATTATATTAAATTACTATCAGTCAACAACCAGGTTTCATTTAACATTTTACCTAATATTGATTTTGCAGTATTAGCCCAAAGTCCGCGGCAGCGCAAACCACCTGAACGTAGGTCGGTTTCCTGTGACCAACGCTTCGCTTTGGTGAAAGCCAACAGAAGAATCGAAATGGTTATCGTAACGTAATACCTTTGTAGTCCCTAGACACTTTCAAAGCATCAAAAAGGAAAGAAGTTATTCTAACAAGTATTTTGATAGACCGACGTTATTAAATACAGAATGCAAGAAGATAGCATAATTAACTATGGTGCTATGATTTGCCACCTACTTTCCATACGCTTCAAAAGCATCTATTACTGTATTACCTTCATGATTAGAAGACCATTGAGTTTGCCAGCTGGCCATATAAACCAAAATTAATTCAACCTCAGACTTATATTCTGTTCCAGCTTGGCCAAATCTTAATGTATTTCGACTTGATCGAACTATTTTTCCAGATTCGACCATAAGAAATATGATGATCATTCTATGCTTCCTTATATATTTTTGTAGTACTTTTCAAGGCGCATCTAATGGTATCAAGTAAGATAGTTGTTTTAAATAAACTTATTGGGCAATTTATGAAAATATGAAAAAATGTTTCTGGCCAAAAAGTCGAGATCTTACATATCAGGGCCCCACAAAGATGATTTCAGGGATTGTGTTGTATCGATAGAAACATTTTGATCTAATATATACCATAGTAAAAGCTTTCATTATCATGGCCAAAAACACGATCGTTTAATTTTCAATAAAAACCATGAGGGGTACCTCATGCTTTTTGGTCGATTTTCGATCATATTTTTTTTGGTTCCCAAAAAGTTGAGCAAAGATGTAAGAAAGTAACTGTCAAATGAAAGCAATAGTTTAGTGCTATTCTGACGATCCAAAACGGCCTTGAACACAAGAAAACGCATCTCAAATGACCCAGAGCTTGCTGTATCAGGGACACTATGGACTAAAAAGGGGAAATACCACTATGCTACTTGCCCGTATATAAATTAGCCACGTGTATATGGATGTAGAGCGTCACATAAGCATCAGATCCACAGATAACATGAAGGGTTTTCATGTGTAAAATGGAGGGTCAAAATGAAAGTAGCAGTAGTTTGATAAGATACGCAAGGGCAATCGGTAGAGCGAGCTGCCGCTGTGCAGGTTGGTTCTCACCGAAGCGAAGCGAAGGTAGAGAGCCATCCGAAGCATAAACATTCGTATCATATAAACAAAGTAAAGCAATAAAAGCTAGGCTAAAGCATGTGCGTCGTCATGGAAAGAGACAAGTGCAAATGTACACCATTCTGTCCTATAGGTATCAATATGCCTAATAGTGCGCTCAAGTGCCTTGAGTATGTAGTCAGTAGGTGGTCCATATCAAGCCTGTACAAAATGCATGAGATGAATGGCAGATGCGACTGAGAACATTAGATGATAGTGGTTTTGTTGGCTGCACTTTGATATATGTTCTGTTTGCGAGATTGGTTAAATGTTAAGAAGAGAGTTATCGAAAGTAAAATGTTGCTTATTAAAGTAAAGAATTACGATGTCTCAAAAAATGGATAGTTGTGTGCTGTATACTCAAGCCGAGATGCTTGAAATTGGATTTCCAATTCGTGGACAATTTTTATTAGATGCTAAAGCACTGATGAGAATTGCAGTGTGTGAGGTTGTGAGGAAGCATCTCGGTTAAGCGTCATTCTACATAAAAATTGATTCATATCAGCTCAATAGAAAGAGATAGATAAACATTGTCTAATGTGATTCTGTAGTGAAGAATCCCATCTTCCCTTTTCTGTGACAAGCGTCTATCATTTAGGAGCCCGGTGTATTTTAGCCAACCTTTCAAATTTACAAGGCCCTCCCTCCTCTGTCCTTTTTTTTTTTTTTTTTTTTCTTACAGCTAGACAACATCATGGCACTTAGAACAGCATTATTCAGCCTTTCACATAAATTCACAGCACCTACTGCAACAGCACCCATGCAATGGATGCGTCAAATCTCCACCTCTCAAGCGATCCGTCAAGTTGAAGGTGCCGCCAAGGAAGAGACTACAACAACCCCTGCCATGCCTCACATGTTGGCACAAGAGCTCCGTGGACCCAACGAGCTCTCCACATCACTTGATGCCTATTCTGGCAGATCGATTGGATCAGTTACAAACCCCAACACTGCTTACAGACGTTTGAGCTCCATCCTATCACAAAACAATGTTCGCAAAGAATTGCGTGCTAATAGATATTACGAAAAGCCCAATGTCGCAAGGAGAAGAAAGAACATTGAACGCAATCGTAAATTGTTTGGTGCTATGATTGGAAAGAAGGTTGCACTCATTATGCAAATGAAGCAAAGGTAAGGATCAGTGAGATGTTTGAGTTGGATGTGGCACTCAACGATTGTTTTACACAATTTACAGAGGCATGTAAAGATATGAATTATATATAAATACTATAGTGTACGATACATTGAATAAAACCGCAGCAAAAAGATTAGATATTACTTTTTTATTATAATTTACTAGTGTTTAATATCCTAAGCCAAGATTGACGGGAGCCTGGATGTTCTCCATCCTACACAGCTCTCGAACAATAAAGTGCCATGCATCTTTCTCCAGTCCAACACGACGACCGTATTCCCATAGTTTTTGACGCTTGTATTCATAAGTTTCATCATCAATGCCTCTGAGGATCTCATCCAGTCTATGCACTTGATCACGGCGGACACGGACAATGAACGAATCCCAATCTACATCATATTCAAAAGGCTCAATGATGCCATCTGCAATGACCACAGGAACAACACCAAACGCCATAAACTCCCAGATACGAGTGGTATCCAATGTCCAACCCATAGGGCTAAGGCCGTATTTCGCACGAGCCAGTTTTTGGACATATTCCTGATCTGCAATCACTTGACCAATTTCATATCCAGGGTAATGCGAGAAATACTGGAACATCAGAGATCGAATGCCGTTGGAGTATTCATCTTCAGGCTTGACATCAGGGCAGCAACCTTGAAACAGGACAAAGATATCTCTTTTGCCAGACTTGGGGCGTCCATCACTGTTCAAGAAAGTAAGCGGATCGACTCGTAAATGGTGGATCATTCGTGTAGAGGACGGAATGACGATATCTCTTCCATAGCGATGGCGGTGCATCCACTTTTCTCTCTTGTCGCCAACCGTTTTCAAGAAAACAGCTGGCTGGAAACGAGCATTGTTCTGGTAATAAGTGAATGTTTGGTCCATAGGGTGAATCATGATGTGATTCCTGCCGTTTGTCTGATTCCAGTAAGGGAAGTCGTTAATCACCATGTCCATCATGGGATCGACGTAGTTGGTATCCACATTGCAACGTTCGTCCCATTTCCATTCATTTTCAGCCCAGCAATTGTATAGATAACAGGCTCCAAAGAAAGGGATAAAGAAAAACGTCGCTTCTTCAGGGTTTTCAGTAACGTAGTATCTGTATATAGGACTTGAGGGATCAGTGAGTTGATTATGTAAGATGATTTCCGAATTGTAGTTGGACTCATGGCATCTATCTTCTTGTACTTTCTTTGACACTTGGAATGTTGCCGGGGCTTTATATACATAGATTTTGGGTTGACAAACAGCTTGTTCTAACGGTGTTGGCCAATATGAAGGTGTGTCTCTTACTGGAAGTGGTGGTGCAGGTGCTGCTGCTTTACCGTTTAATCTGTATAAAACGCAGGTGATTAAGAATGCAGCAGTGGCTCCTACCAGCAGGATGTATCTCCTGTTGAACCGCAGAACACTAGCCATTGTGTTGTTGTGTGTTGGAGTGGAGGGAAAAATGCAATAGAGGACCAAAATAATGAAAAGATTTTATTTGAAACGGAACCCTAACTCAACTGATACCAAACATGAAAAAGAGGTTGCACCAAGGCACAAAAGGGCCTTAGAACTTTCATGTAACACCCCCTTGAGGTGTGCTGTTCCTATCGTTTACACGATTCACTACAATTGGTGATAACAGTTTGTACTCTGGTATACATTGACCTTGTTCAACATACAATAATATTGAATATGGTCTGATGTATACATCGCTTAGCACTTCTTAATGTTGAGCTTGCAAGTATGATCAATAATCCACTTTGGTTGAATAACTTGGAATCTTGAAAACAGATGAGATGGGATAGGTTTGTAAGCCCCCAGTTGTCGTCGAGTTCCTAGGCCAAGGTCTTCAATACCGTGTTTTCCTTGGTGCAACAAATACTAGCGTCTGTCCATGGCGTCCAGCTTTGATTAATGATGGCTGCTTTAACCCAAAGATCCCGTTTTTTTTTTTTACACATTGTAGACAGCACCGAGCTTAATCGGCTTTAGACTGAACCTGATTGAGAATTACTATCCAATGCTCCACGGGCGAGTGACATTGAAGCATTACCATTGAAAGATGCTCTCTCTTTGGTGTATATGAATAGACAATGATTCTTGAAAATCAAGAGGAAAGAGATGTCGTCTGATGCATTTTGCTTTATCACCACGGTTCATTTCTGTCACTCGCATATATCGATCGTAATGACAGGTAAAAAACACTTTTGCTCTAATTAAGTTAATAGCTACCTTAATGTAATATAATGAGAGCCATTACAAAGCAGCATAATGTTAATCTATTGAGAATCCTTTGTTTCCGCAGAAAACCATTCTCAACTTCCACATCATACTGTTGTGCATGTTGGGTCAACACATTTCTCGCGTTATTAAAGAGGCTGATAAATGCTCGTTTGACTACGATACTGCTCCTACTTTGCTGACAGGTCCCAATTTGCTGTTGTCTTCAATTTCTGTCTGTTTTCTCCTCAGTGAAGACGTCGCTATACGTTCTAAAGTCATAGTATTTCAGCCTTCTACTGATTACGTCTTCTACGTTACAACTTCTCAATATCTCCAGTCTTGAAGGACATTCTTTGTGAAAGGCCATTGCGACACAACAACAGGACAATATTGCCTCACTAATCAAACCGTTCTCAATAATTTCGTTCACAAAAGATATATAAAGACATCCTCGCATCCACTTCTTTCCTTAGTTTGGATTTTTCCTTTCTATTTCCCCTTATCTTTTATCCATCTTTGAATCATGCTTTAAATCATGCTTTGATTCGAGCTTTGCGAGTGGCATGTTCCTATGACAAACTTTTGCGAGAAAAACGGCGGTGTAATTGGAGTTTAGATTGGGTGGGTTTAATGCTAAGAAATAGATGATGGTTAACATAAGCCAACTTTGAATAATGAGCTTGATATAGAACCTGTTAATTACTAGTGATTACGCGTAGTACTGTAGATCGATGGATCGGATATTGCAAAATGTTGCACTTAAAACCGCTTGATGATAACTTGCTTTGTTGCGGTTTGGCAAAGGGTCAAGGGTTCGCTGCGCATTTGATGAAAAAGAATTGCTTTTCCAAGCTATCTTCGTTTATTTACAATTTCTCTGCAAGAAGGAGATTGTGAAATCAAATAAATCTATAGCCCTATGCATTTATGAATGAGGAAAAGAAATGCTACTACTCCTTAAAGCATACAATGTTGCATTATAGTTTTCAACAATTAGAAAGATTGTCTGGTGGTGGGTTGTCCAGAACAATACTGTTATAGCAGCAATGCAAACACTGTGTTGAAGTAGTATTTATTGTATAATTTTCCTTGCATAAATATGTTCAAAAGGCATTCCTCACGTCGAGCTATTATGCAATGGGTGCTAGATTAAACGCTTGCACTTTAACATACTGTTAAATAAAGAAGGCTTTAAATTGTATCTATTTTGCTACTTTTTTTTTACTTCAAATATAAGCTCATTATAGATGACAGCTCAATAGGAGATCAACTAGCTAGAATCCTTCGGTCCCTGAACCTCTGAGCCAATCAGATTGCTTGAAAACTCCGCTGACCTAAAAAAAATTTGCGAGGGTTTCCCCCTGTTTTGATGTGAAGCAAAATTTTAAGCGCCGCTATAGTAGCAATATAGCCGCTGCTATCATCAAACTTCCCCCAGATGCTAGAGCATGCCTTACTTACACCACCTAGCTTTAAATTCTGGCATTGAGATCCTCAATCATCACTAAAGTAAGTAGTGATAACCAAGTGAAGGCAGCCTATCTACCTCCTAGCCTCGGATAGAGTCTTGTTGAGCTTCAGGGATAGGCACATCCACACAACGTAAAAAAAAAGGTATGCTTCAGAAAAGAAACAGAATAATAATAGAAGAAAGAAGAAAAGAACATACTACTATAGGAGTATAGTAGTACGTAGGCAAAAAAGGGATATTCACACAAAATGAGTCAAAGAAAAGTATAACAAACACAACATCAGAGACGTTCAGAACAGCTCGTTGTTGTTGCAACAAAAATGCATACATGATGAACAACATGCATGAAAATAGTCGGATGTAAAGCAACACAACCAACAAAAGAAGAAAAACGCAACAAAGCAAACATCATGAATGCATTATCATGAGAAAGGAAGCAATAATACAAGCGTTCAGAGAAGTTTTATATCATTGCCACCAGAAGAAAGAAGATACTTACCACTTACCATCACCGTAGATAGACCATAGGATACGCAATCACCGGATATAGGCCAGAGAACGGGCATGCACCAAACACAGTAAACCAGGAAAAACCATATTAGCAGCAGTAGTAGCAACACCAGCACCACAGACAAACCAAAGTACGAACGACACCAGAGACCAGACAAAGGCCAAAGAAGCAAACGCCAGACATGATAAACCAAAGACGCAGGCAGCAGAGATAGCAGAAAAGAAATGGCAGCAGCACCCACGTCAAACAGGCAAAAGAGTTATCAAAACCTAATAAACAAATTCAATTACTGTTATTTCTACGCCTTCAAGTGCTCGTTATCGAATGGCACCTAATATATTCCACTTTAAGAGAGCATTGTCAAGTTCTTCTAACAGTACAAGGCAGAGTTATCGGAAGCTAGAGTGTTATTATCAATCAAACGGTGTCCAAAACCACCATGGTTTGATACTAAAACGCGTTTTGCAAAAGGGGTAAAAAACGAGGGCATGGAAAAATGAGAGAGCACCCTATTCGACGTCACGACCAGTAGGTTTAGTCTCAGTATTGTGCCATAGCAGCCGTAATTGCGGTAATTTAATTTGAAATTGTGCAGTGATATTTTCATGTTGTTCAAACTTGACTTGATCTCACATCCTTTAAACGTTTTTGCTAAGTTTGACTATGAAAACTGTCGTTGTCACACCTAACTTTCTGATACGTTTCTAAAGGACTAAAGAAGCCGCATCAAATGGTACTGATCACTTTCAGCTTTCAGACCAAAAATAATGAACAATTTCCAAAAATAAGATAACAGATTTTATGTGAATATGTCAAAATTTAGCATATGTGTTGTGCATGAAGGGCTACAACTGTCTATGATGATTAAGGTATTCTTGATGGGTAGATATGTCTGTGTTGTGCAATAATATGGACAAGCTATGATAATTGAAGTGCATCTCAGCTGTGGAATTTGAGGCTTGATAGACTAAAATTCACGGAAAAAAAAGAATAAAAAAAACAGTAAAGTCAACTTGATAAAGGTATGTTTTATTATCAAACTGACATGTGTAAAGTAAACTGAAGTATCTCTACTGGCCAGGTAGATGATCCTTCTTATATACTATAACAATGGATAAAAGTTCTATTAATTAGATTGACAAATAAGTCAACTCAGATTAACTAATGTCTAATCATGCTTGTGGAATTTGAGGCTTGATAGACTAAAATTCACGGAAAAAAAAAAGAATAAAAAAAACAGTAATGTCAACTTGATAAAGGTATATTTTATTATCAAACTGACAGGTGTAAAGTAAACTGAAGTCTCTCTACTGGCCAGGTAGATGATCCTTCTTATATACTATAACAATGGATAAAAGTTCTATTAATTAGATTGACAAATAAGTCAACTCAGATCAACTAATGTCTAATCATGCTAAAAGACAACTCCAGCAAGCTAATCATGATTTAGCTCTTCTGTCTGGATGAATAATTAGACTCTCATCCCAAGTACCCTGATCTATCCTTTCTATAAGGATAATTAATATCGATCTAGTAGCATGTATCCGATAGGTACAGTCTTCTTAGTCTATATTAATAGTACATATCTGAGTGTATATCGCTGAGCATACATCTTTAGCATGTATCTGGATATATGGCATGTCTATAGCATATCGTATGCATGTCTATAGCATGTCTCATATATAGTACAAGTCTGTAGTACATAAGGTATCTGTAGCTAGTATCACGGATACAAGCATGTGTCTTATAGCGTGGATCATAAAGTGCACATCTGAAGCAACAAGCTCATATTGCATTAATCTTGGTGCCTATCCAGATATGGTAAACATCCGTAGTCAATGTCGGAATACAAGTATAAGTCTATAGCGCCATCCATGTCCGTGGTGCCATCTATATGATTAATTTCATATTCTTTTATATAAATAATTTTTTTCTGATAAATCATCGAACATTTTTTATAAGCTGCAAATAATAATCCTTTTATTCTTTGTGCTTAACAGGCACCACTCATGTTCCTTCGTGCTGCTTGAATAAAGACCTTTCACTTCTACTACGCATCTCTGCTCATTCTCAGATCCTCTTATATAATATACAACGCCTAATACATTTGCTTCTCAGAGATGATCTATATCCTAAACATCTGCAAGTTTCATATAAGTTGGAAGGGGTGTTTACTATCAAGAAACGCGTAATTTTAAGGCCGATAGATTTCGGAATCCCATGGATCATCATTCAGAACAATAGAAATTGAATCTCCGTTGAGCTTCCGCACGTGTACACCACACAAGTGTGCATTTGAACAAGCATTTTAAAAATCGGAGCGTACGAAATGGGCCATATTAACTTGCTGGTTTCAAGTTATCAATAGATACTTGACATAATGGAAAATCTTGCCTCTAAGGTTAGACAGTTGTAGCTTGCTTTGTTCGATTATAATAAGATTTGCAATCTAGGGTATGCGTATTCCCCCGCTTAAAAATAGCATCTGCAATGTCGATTATGTCATAAAGCAGGCGTTTTCAATATAAACTACGAGTTAAAGGCGAATAGATTAGGTGTTGGGAAACGCTGTAGTGAAAACCGCTTGGTAATAGTTTGCTTCGCTGTGGTTTGGCAAAGGTTTGAGGCTGTGTTGTGTATTTCAGCAAAAGGGTTGGATTGCTTTTTCACGCCGTCCCATGTTGATGCTAAAGACTTTATATTAGAAAGATTATATGCCATTTTGAGGGGTTGCTAAACATACGAATGGATTAATAGTCGCTACATTAGTTGTCGAATAATTAAGCGAGGAAACTGTAACGAAGTCAATATTATAAACAATGGCTTGGTTGAACGCTATGCCTCCATCAGCTGTCAACTCAATCTGGCGTCTTTAATTAAATATTGCTCCTCTTTATTTGCTTTACAAAATGGACCTCGTTTGGACACCTACGTGGCTTCCTTGCAAAAATCGTTATCCAATTACTCCCAAACTGGAGTTTTCAGTGCGTAATTATTCACATCATTACATATGTTGTTTTAATTCATATGATTGGAACGTTAATATGTTATGTATGAATAGTCTTCATTTCTGGCAGGTATTGAAAGATAATGAAAATATCTGTCATTACTACTCATACTTTTATAACAACACATCCATCATTTAATCCTAATACTACCTGCCCTATAATATTTACATAAATTATATAATACGTATTGTTCAAGGTTAAGGGCCTACAAATAATAATGCCAGCCTCGCCCATTCTAGTACATTTGTATTCCTTACTAGAAGAATATTATACTTCATTACTACATAGTGGGAAAAACACGTTTTTATCTTAACAACTCCATGGAAATGTCTTTGTGGTGCTCAAGTCTATAAAATAAATAATGCATCTAGAGGATGCATCTATATACTTTCCATCATGCTAGGGTTTGCAGTATGATGATGAACTATAATACAAATAGGGTTATTATCTATCCAACAAATGATTCTTAAATCATGATTTAGCATGATTATTTACCCAAGGGCCTGAGATAGCTAAAACCTTTAGTATGAGACCTTGTACGGGCGTTTGATATAACAGTGGCCATGCTGTTTGAGTGATCATTTCTGTACAAAGAAGTAACATGTATCCTACCCAGTGGCTCGATCAATTTACTGCTAGTATCTATGTCATACGGCCCACAATGACCCAAAAATTTTATATCGTCTCTAAAGAATGCGTATACAATGTACAATGATTTCAATATCAATCAACTTTTAAAGGACAATGACATTATAGGCTCAATTGGTAGTAAATGAGCGCAAATGAATGAACTTATCAAAGGCAGATTCTTTAACTGGCATAAATCAGTGTCTCATACCGACAATATTCACATCCAGCATCTTTTTGATGTATCTAAAGTAATCTGCGATGTAACATATGTAATTCAATCAATAAGGTTTCTATATGTAGCCTGCAGTCTCTGTGCAGCATTTAACATGTCAGAAAGGCTTAAACGCCTACAAATACAAAATCACATATAGAAATGATAGGTAGACAGTGCGAGACACAACTTTTATATATACTACGTGTAAATTCGCGTATCAAAATCGTGTATTTAAACTATAGAATTCTGCAACATGAGGTTTTTACTTTGCACAGCCATTATATCTGGAGCCTCTTTTGCAAAAAAAAAAAAAAAAAAAAAAAAGGCTATATGCGTTCGAATAATAAGGGTTGATTGCAGTTCATCTGATCTTATGAAAGAGATGTGTTTTCAAGGATCTGCAGTAATTGTATTTTTAGTGAAAGACGAATAAATGGCGTGGATACTCTCAAATTGTGATTTCTGTGCCATGTTTACAATTCGCATCAGTTTTTTCATCATGAAATACAAGTAAATCCTCGATGATTAAGAGACGTAACATTTGATCTCTACCTGTCTTCCTATAGCTGGACTACATCCATTACAGCTTGAACTGTCATTCCCTACATTTGGGATTTCCTTGAGCGAATCAAAACCAAGCAGGTATGAAAAGGGTAATTCTGCATTTTGCTTGAATCAAGCATGTGAATTTTTTGACAGATCCCTTTTTTCTCACACTCAGTAAGAGCATGTTAGCCATAATTCAGTTTGAGTTGCAATTGACACTTGTTTTCTCAAAAAAAAAAAAAAAGAAGTGAGTATTAGACATCATCCATGATCCCAGTCAACAATAGCAATCAATTTTCGACATTGATATTCTATAATTATGCGGCGGCACTGTGTACAGATTAATAAGCTCAGGAGAAACTCGCTGATTAATGTAATTATCATTTGCTTACACATTTCTTTTCCCAGTCCCAATCACATCCCGGGAAGCGAATCCTAAATATCTTAAACTTGATCAAAAGAGAGAGAAAGAAACGCTGACACATTTATATTTTCTTCTTCTTCTTTCTCTGTACAAAAAAAAAAAAAAAACTAAATTACTATGGTTGAAGCACAATCTGCAACTTATAAATATGAATTCGATTCTGTCAAGAGTGCGCTCGAAGATTTTGGTAAGTAGATGGGGGGGGGGGGCGGTTGCATGTGCTGCCAAAGTATGTATGACTCACATCATCATCATCATCATCATCATCAGCTGCCAACAAGTTTGTCATTGTCATGGATAACGAGGATCGTGAAAATGAGGGTGACTTGATCATTGCTGCCGAGAAGGTAACAACTGAACAAATGGCATTCCTGATTCGTTATTCAAGGTAAGGGATTGGGGGAAAAAAAAAAAAGACGAGCAAGCATGTATTGATGATGTGTATACGCATTAGTGGTTATATCTGTACTCCTACTACCGGTGAGCGCTTGGACGAACTGAAGCTACCTTTGATGGTGGAGAGAAACACTGAATTGATGAGAACCGCATATACCGTATCCTGTGATTACGCTCATGGCACAACCACGGGCATTTCAGCTCACGACAGAGCATTGACATCTCGCAAATTAGCCGATCCTACAAGTAAGCCTGAAGATTTCATGCGTCCTGGTCATATCCTTCCTTTACGCTCTGTTCCTGGTGGCACCTTTGAACGTTTTGGTCATACGGAGGCTGCTGTTGATCTTTGTCAGTTAGCAGGTGTTGCACCTGTTGCCTGTATTGGCGAACTGATCAAGGAAGACGACCCCAAGGGAGACATGGCAAGAAGAGACGATTGCTTTGCTTTTGCAAAGAAGCACAACATCAAGATGATCACTATCAAGGACATTATTGCTTACAAGAGACTGAACCAAACTATTGCATAGACATGACATTATAGACGTGGAGATGGACAGAGAAAGAGAGAAAAAGGATATAGAAGTCGACACACGGGAGGTGCAACATGAATGTACATAATCGCTTTTAGGGAAAGAATAAACATCTATATTTTTATTACTTTTTATACGCTGCTTTGATATGTGGTAAATGCTATAAATTCGTCCAGCAGGCCTCCATCTTGGCGAGGCTCCTTGATAAAGACTGCTGGTCTTTGAAATGGGGATGCAACATGGATGTCCTGTCCAGTGGGTGTAAACGATTGGTTTGACCATACATGGCGCCATGTAACACCTTCCTCTTTGGGGAGATATACCTTGACATGGGATACTGAAGGAGCAAGCATGGGTGCTACCAAGAGACTATCACCTAGCAAATATTGACTGTAGGTAATTTGACGTACAACGGGGTCATGCGGGTAGTAAAAGACGAGGTGCCGCATCAATGGCCAGCCTTTGGTATGCGCTTCTTGGATCAACTGTTTTCTGTAGGGCGACAAGGAGGCATACAATTTGGCACAGAATGCAAAATAAGCCAGGGACTCTATACAACGAAGGCTGTTGTTATTGTCATGGAATACGTTCTTGTGTACTACTATACGCGTACCTTCATCGTCGTAAAACTGTGCATTGAGCTCTGGGATAATGCCTTCGTGCGTCCTAAAAACAGCTGTGAATGCAGACAGCTCCATCCAGCGGAACAGAAGCTCCTTGGATCGAACCAGTTTCAGCAGTGGAGCAGCAGAGATGGTAGTATAGCCTCCAATGTCACTGTGTGTGATAGAGAAACCCGAGAACCCACCAGATAGCATACCAGTAACAGCACTTTTGATGCCATCATGCTCATCCCAAGCAACATTTTGATCGCCTGCCCACATCAGGTTGACATAGCCAGGTGTGCAAGTGTAACCAGCGCGATAAAAGCACACCGCTTCATTCTCCAAGCCGATATCACGAACTAATTCACTGTGCAGTTTTGCCCATTCTTGTGGGTACCGATTATGATACACTTCAGAGGAGATGCCAGAGTAAAGAGACACCTTGTCCGAGTGATAGGGAAGATACTCACCAAAATCTGTCATCATACCAGACACACCAGCATCGTAAATGTGCTGCTTTATAATCGACTTGAACCAGACAACAGCGTCCGGATTCGTAAGATCAAGAATGCCTGCCTCAAAATCAGTGCCACTGCTGATGATCAATGTCTGATGCTCTGTCTTGCTGGAAGGGTTTCTTACAAGATAGCCACGCGCTTCAGCCTCCAAAAAGTAGTTGTTGCGGTAAGATTGCTTTTTTTCTACATTGGCAAGAAAGGTATTGACATAAGATAGCACGCGAATATTCTGAGATTTCAACTCATCATTAACAAATGTAGCCCAGTCTGGATACAATGTATCATCGCTTTCCCAGTTCCACCACAGACGCTTAAACTCGACACCATTGGGCGTCTTTTGCAATCGCTTTCCACACCAATCTTGAAGCCAGACAGCTGCAATGGGCGTCTTGTAATGCTGTAGCTGCTTGATGACCTTGCGCACCTTTTCAGTTCCACCCTGTATACCTACAACAGCTCCACCAGAGATCCAATCTGGAAGGCAATGCATACGACCCGAATATAAAGTGTACTCAGAGACCAGATCAAGTAAGTTATCGCCTTGAAACAAACGGCCTTCCAGCAAAGTGGCATTGAGGCGAACACTAACTCGATCATGTTGTCGAAGATCAAAACTAGAATACTCTGAGTTCTTTATAACAAGGCTTCGATTGTCTGTGGACAGAAATTGAGGCACGGAGCAGTAGGTTGTAAAGCTATCACCGCCTGCAAAATCACCAAATACACCAGAAGGATCATTGAGGATAGATGTTACCTGAATAAAAGTATTAGTCTGGTTGCAATGGCGAGTCTTTCAAAGCAGCACTTACTGGTTCCTGGCCACGACCAATACCTTGTTCTCGAACAAAGATGGGCACCTTTTGTCCCTTCAAAGTAGAGTAAGAGAATTGCTCCCCAAAGCCATAGAAATCCTCATTTGCGTTGCTTTCAAAGCTAAAGATAATACGATGGTGGTCCTTGTTGTCCTGAGCAACATCTAGTTGTAAACTAAAGTCCAATTGTTTTGGAGGCAATTCGCGAAAATGAAGCGAATAGCCAATGGACCGATCATCAGCAAACTTGAGAATACCGTTGAGGTGCAAGCCAGTATCATTTGATTCAATCGTGTCGACTGTTTGAGCAACGGTTGTATTGGAAGGGCCATCTACTATTTCTGTAATCTTGAACACACCACCATCGCCAGCGATAATTTGATCTTGGCCGTAGGAAGACTGAATAAAAGGTAGATCTGGTAAAGCTGCGTACAGGTTGTTACGACTAGATATGGCATGGCATGCCATTGATACTTACACTGCAGTAGAATCTTGTTGTCTCTGCCATGAACAGCAATGTAGGATGTTTGCTTTACATGATGAACAGCCAGATAATACGTGGCTCCAATGCGAAATTCGCCCTTGATGGGATCTGCTATAGATAATGGAAGATATGTCATGCCAATGTTTATGTTTTGAATATAAAAAAGTATCTGGATAATGGGATTTATTAGAAAATTACGAGTACTGTATAGTCTATCATCATGTGTTGGTAGCACGCCATACTATAATACATGTCCATGTAGCACGCCATAGAAATGGGATATCGTATCATTTGACATGCATTATTTGAAAAAGAGGCTATGCTCCTTTGCCTCGGCATACTGCTTTCTTGCAAGCGATTGTTTTGCAACTTCGACATCAGTTTTGATGTCTCGAATCAAAGCATCTATTTGTAGATTACATTTGAGTAACCCAGCATCAGCGTGATTCCTCAAATGAAGCTTACCTAATGAAGGATAATTCTGCTCAGGACGAATGAATCCCAACACCAATACACGGATAGATGTATTGTAAAAGTCCTCTGGGAATTCATGGATAATGTGCACCTCCTACAACAGCACCATGTTCAATACAACTCGATCAGCATTAGTATACCACACCACATACAGACAACTTACTGCTGAGCGCCTTTCGTTTTTAAAGTAAGGATTCCAACCTAAACTCATCACCATAGGATACACCTCACTGCCCAATTCTCCTATTTGCGTCCAGCCGTAATAAACACCTGTCTCGAGCCCAGAGACAAGCGCATCGATAGCTTCATCAGATAGATTGGCTAAAATACAAGCATGTCATCAGTAAGTTTGAAGAGGCACTGTGCTTTTTGTATTTATATTATACCTGTGGGAATGCCCAACTGTTTTGAACCTCTGCCATAGCCCTTCACAACAGTGCCCTGCAAAGCAAAAGGGAATGGCTTGGCTGGTGTTTCGGGGCCCACAAGAAGGGGACGATCAGGATTGATATCAAGAAGGGACATGGTACGCTATTGTTGTGGAAAAAAAGCGAGAGTCGAAACAGACATTTCAAATGTGCGACATTTTTTTTTTTTTTTTTTTTTTTTTTTTTTTTTTTTGCTGTGCTATAGATTTTTGACGTTCAGTAACTCAGTCATGAGTAAAGCCGATTTGTCTTGGAATCTTATAGCAAAAGAGCTGGATCTAGTATTGTTCGCTTGATACAGTCGACACTGTATGGAAACACAAAATGGCAATGGAAGATCCTGGCATTTCCCTTGTAAAACACCTAGTATTTGTTCTCCCATCTCATGGAATAACCCAGTGCTACTTTTATTGCTTAATCATGTTGGATAATCTCGTCAGTGTGGCATGATAATTCTGCTGATGTGCGTCCTTTTCACGATGCAGTCTGTTCTTGACCTTGTAATATCTGTCTCGATGGTATTCGCAAATGTCGTCGTCATCCTCTATATCCTGTAGATGAACAGCAGTTGGCAGTTGTCTGCAGATGGAATCTACAGGCACAAACGGCGCATCCCAAATGATCTTGCGTGTGTGTACGTACTGCTCAGCATCTGCCTTCCATTGCTGTACTTGATCTTTGAATTCCTTCGGGTTCAGTGACAAGTCCTGCAGTGCGCTTTCCAGTTGTTGCAATTGCTCCACATCCTTGTTCTGTATGTCTGTCTGAATGCCCTCATCCATGTACTCTTTTTCCATCAAATGAATGGCTTCAATATCTGTTCTTGATTGACTGTAATCTTGCTCTGCTTTGGTCAATTGCGCTTCCAATTGCTGCTCATGTCATGAGCAACCATGCTTCTCCAGACACTAACAACAACTTGCCTTGATCTTTTCATCAAACTCGAGTTGAATGCTCCTGCATTTCTCGTCTACTCTTTCCATGATCAGTTCAGTGTCATTATCGTCTACAATGGTGGGTGGGTATATGGTCTGTTGTGGGGGTATCTCGTTGTTGTGGATGGCCAATGCCTCTTCCGTCAGTGATATAGCAGGTTTCTTGCGAATGGGCTCAGAGGCTATTGATTTTTTGATATTGCGGCTCCTGGATCTATTGTAGACAGCTATGTGAAAAACATGTTAGTAAGTTCATACTGTCTCAATCGCGCGTATGCCAACATGTGCGTACTGTCCGAATGAATTTGACTCGGCAATGACCTCGATTTATAGGAAGAATAGGAGCTTATCAGGTCTCTATCGATGCTAGGATGGTTTAAACTGGATTCCTCTGTGTACTTGTAGTGTTTGTATTCTTCCTCTGATTCCATATTGTATATCATCAGGATGGAGAAAAAGAAGTTTAATGCTCGATTTATTGAGGAGAGAAATACACAAACAATCAAAGTTATCAACGTCACATGCAAGTCAATCAATTGTAGCTGTAATGGTGTCTTGCATTGTACCTTTGATTGTGTCTTGGCTGTGGTTGCTGCTGGTAATAGTAATCCACCGGTGAATACACGTACTGTTGAGGTGGCTGTTGTTGCTGTTGTGGTGGATAGTAGGGTATATCAGAATTGTATCTTGACATCATTTGCTGCTGTTGCTTGCTAGGCGGTATATTTTCCATGTAGTTACTATAGTAGCCGCCATCATAGAAGCTAGGCTGGCTATCAAACAATTCATCGTCCATGAGATCGTTTTCCTCATAATACATATTATACACAGAAGATGCTCTGGATACAGGGCGCATGCTGTGAAGATCTCTGCCGGCTGATCTGCTTTTTCGAAGTTTTTCACAAGGCACCATCATTTCATCTATGTACACAGGTGGTACAGCATTCATCTTGATCATCATTTGCTGCTGCTGTTGCTCTTCGTGCCATCTGGCTGACTCAATGGATCGAGCACGAGGTCGTCTGCCTTTACTGACAGTGTGGTTTGAAACAAGTGTAGTTGCAGGACTTGTATGATCAAACATATGACCAGCACCACTGCTTTTATTGCTGGCGTTGCTAGCACGACGAGAAACAGGTTTTCGATTTGAGACGAGCATGTCTTCGTTTGTATAGTTGTTTCTACTGTTGCTGCTTCGTCTGCCACCATCATCCACAACTGGATGCTGCTGTTGGTAGTGGTAACTTGATCTTGATGAGCTACGTGTGTTGTTCTTCATTTGCTCGTCTGATTTGCTTCGGTTGCGGACGCGTCGTTGATGGTACATGGGAGCTTCATCGCCATCGACAGCGTGCTCATCTAATGGCACCTCTTGATCGTTTTCATAATAGTATGTTTGCTGATAATAATGACCATTCAGTCGTGTGACAGGCAGAGGCTCATCGACGGCATCTTCCTCTTGCTGCTGTAACTGCTGCTGTTGGCTCAATCCCATCTCAATCACTTGCTTTTGCATTTGGTGCAACTGCTGCTGCTTTAACTGCTTGTCATAGTATGTCAGTTTTGCCTTGTTATTCTCCTCTTCTCGATTCTTCAGTACGTTTGTCAGTTGATCTTTGGTTTCAATCAAGGTTTCCATCATCTGGTGGCGATGTGTCAAAAGCTCTTGCTCTTTGCGGTTCCATTCTTCACGATCCTTAATACGCTGCTTTTCAATAAGCTCTACCTGCTTTTTAAGTTCTCTTAACAGAAACTCTTGGTCATCCTTTTGCTGCTGCTGCTGCTGCTGCTGTTGTTGTTGTTGTTGTTGTTGTTGATCTGCTAGCAATGTTTGAGCTGGTTGAGGAGGTGGCGGCATGTGCTGTTGTCGCTGCGGTTCGTAAATGGTTGCAGCAATGGGGGTCAATGTTTGCTTGTTATGAGCTTGTAAGGGTGTGACAGTAATAGCAGATGATCCTGATGGTGGACCTGTATTTGTTCTTTTCCGAGTATAATACTGTGGACTCATGGTTCGAGAAGAAGCGTCCGATATGATACCACTGGCAATGATATCTTGCTGTATCTGTTGCTGCATTTGAGGCTGTTGTTGTTGCTGGGGTGACAGTTGTGCTAAAGCTGGTGGCTGCTGCTGCGGCGACGGCAAGGGAACGTGCAATGGATTGGCAATGGGTTTGTAGGAAGGCTGCTTCTTCAGCATGAGCAAGTCAGGTAACTCTGCTACATGACTCTCTTCTGTTGTATCAGAAAGAGACTCCAGTGCGGATTCATACACTCGGCTGGAATCATCGCTCATGATAGTAGACAGTGAGGATGTGGTAATGGCATTCTGCTGGTGCTGCTGCTGCGATGGTTGTGTCAAATGACAAGCAACAGGCTTGACAAGTTGAGGCAGCAATGGCTCTAAAGTAGCTTGCAAATTAAGCTCTCATTGCCAAGCTCAACTGTGCATTTACCACTTACCTTCTCGAGGGGTTGGCAACAAAATGGGCGAGATCTCCTGTTGATGTGCAAGTTGCCCGTCGAGTTCATCTTCCTCGACTTGGGTTTTGTCATGGTCAAATCTCCCTAGAATGGCACGAGTAGGCGTCAACAGCCTTCGAGGCTTTGGCATGACAATGACAGGAGGGGACGAGGATCTTGATGCGTCCATGTTGGTGGCAACAGGAATTGTGGCGATGGGAGATTTAGGCTGCCTCTTGACATTGGGCGATTCAAATTCCCTTGTGTCTTGTTGCACGATGGTGTTTGCTATGTTTTTGTCTGATTTCTTCTTTTTAAATAGTTTCATCATTTGGCAAGAGGAAAAGTAAGAGAGAGAGAGAGAGAGAGAGAGAGAGAGAGAGAGGGAAAAAAAAGAACGTATTGAATACATAATATTCACAGTGCACTTGCACTGCTTAAATAGGATTAGAGAATAAACAAACATCATGTCCAAAACAGGCATACGGTAGTAGCACAATTAACACACTCACAACAACAACATCCGTATTGACTTAACCAAGTTTCTAATGAATTTTTTGATTTGATTTTCTGGAATAATATAATAAAGGTAAAGAAAGAAGAAAAAATTAAACTACTGAGAACCCATTTCCTTGGCGAGTTCCTCGGCACGCTTTTGAACATCGTTGATATCACCTTGCATGTAGAAAGCAGATTCGGGCAAGTTATCGTGCTTACCACCCAAGATTTCTTGGAAAGAACGGATGGTGTCAGCGAGCTTGACGAGACGACCTTCGTAACCAGTGAAGACTTGAGCGACAGCGAAGGGTTGAGACAAGAAACGTTGGATCTTACGGGCACGTTCGACAACGAGCTTATCTTCTTCGGAAAGTTCATCCATACCCAAAATAGCAATGATATCTTGGAGAGACTTGTAGTTTTGGAGGATTTGTTGAACTTCAGTGGCAACCTTGTAGTGCTCATCACCGACAATACGGGGATCGAGGATACGAGACTTGGAATCAAGAGGATCGACAGCGGGGTAGATACCCAATTCAGCAATGGAACGAGACAAGACAGTGGTGGCATCCAAGTGAGCAAAGGTGGTGGCAGGAGCAGGATCAGTCAAATCATCAGCAGGGACGTAGACAGCTTGGACGGAAGTAATGGAACCGTTCTTGGTGGTAGTAATACGCTCTTGCATACCACCCATATCAGTGGAAAGGGTGGGTTGATAACCGACAGCGGAAGGAATACGACCCAAAAGGGCAGATACCTCAGAACCAGCTTGGGTGAATCTGAAAATGTTATCAATGAAAAGCAAGACATCTTGACCCTCATCGTCACGGAAGTATTCAGCAATAGTCAAACCGGTCAAAGCAACACGGGCACGAGCTCCTGGGGGTTCGTTCATTTGACCAAAGACAAGAGCACACTTGGATTCGCCTTCCAATTGAATGACACCAGTTTCAATCATTTCATGGTACAAATCGTTACCCTCACGAGTACGTTCACCGACACCACAGAAGATGGAGTAACCACCGTGAGCCTTGGCAATGTTGTTGATCAATTCTTGAATCAAGACAGTCTTACCGACACCAGCACCACCGAAAAGACCAATCTTACCACCACGAGCGTAAGGAGCGAGCAAATCGACAACCTTGATACCAGTCTCGAGGATTTCGGGAGTGGGAGATTGGTCGACGAATTCAGGAGCTTCAGCGTGAATAGGACGATGGGTCTTGGCGTCAATGGGACCACGCTCATCAATGGGTTCACCAATAACGTTGATGATACGACCGAGGACTTCCTTACCAACAGGAATGGTAATGGGAGCACCAGTGTCAACAACCTTTTGACCACGGACAAGACCTAATGTATGAGGTCAATCATCGGCTGCTACTCTCTTCCCCACTGCAAATTCACACAGAGATAAAACTTACCTTCAGTACCATCCATAGCAATAGTACGGACAGTGTTCTCACCCAAATGTTGAGAGACTTCGAGGACAAGACGGCCGCCAGAGTGGTCCTTGACTTCAAGGGCGTTCAAAATGGCAGGCAAGTTGTCTTGCTCGAATTGGACATCGACAACGGCACCAATGACGGAACTACACAATTGTCATGAATAAACGTTCATAATGACAACATGCTGCTGCTCTATATGCTTACCGAATTTGACCAGCAGAGGCAGCTTGAGTAGAGTAAGCTAATAAACAATAAAACAACATTCAATCTCTCTGTTTTAACATGGCGTTTCCAATGAGTTACCCTTGACAGCCATGGGCTTCATGGCAGACTTGAAAAGAGCAGCATTAGCCTTTTGGGTCTGGAGAGCGGAACGAGAGGCCGCAAAGATACGATTCATAGACATGGTAAATGAGGGTGTTCCTTTACTACAAAATGTATTAAAAAGAGAAACGATGCAAAAGGGTCTTGTTTTGCTGTAACAAAAATAAACTGAGTTCTAAAAACCAGGGTAAGGTGGTGTATGGCCAGTCATGTTTAATGTGCCCCTGGTGCAATTTCTGATCAAGGTTGTTGTTTGAACTCAAAAGGGTAGTCCAAATTTGGTGTCGTGGTGATCCATACTCTGTAGGTCTAGTTGGCGCCACTCAAAAAGAGCCTCATCACTACTAGCGGTTGGGTTGCTAAGCAACAATATACGATCATTTCAAAAAGATGGATTCAAATTACCAAGATCTCGAGAGCAATCTTAGATTGTTTAGACATTGCTAGTCTTACGGTAACTCCCACTAGTGTCATTGCGAGACAAAAAGCCTTCATTAGTATAGAAGCGCCTCGACACTTTTGAAAATCAAACTACACAGCGTTGCTGATTGCATTTCCCCCATCTCATTTGGCTATAGTAAGCTTTATCCAATATCCTACTAGTACAGACTTCTCAGCGTTCCGCTACGACGTTGGAGCCCTTCATAACTGTGGATCTGACTCTTCTACGATGTTCCACGTCTGTATTAATGAGAACAACCCAAGAATGGGTGGACAACGTGCTTGCATTGCCTGTTGCTTCTCAAAAGTATAAAAACGCAGCCCAAATTGGATGCATTTGAGCCGTGATTTCTCGAGCTAGAAGCCGTTTTAAGTTGCCAGAATAACACGAAACAATTGCTTTTGACTGGCAGGTACTTTCTGACACCTCTGCTCAACTTTTTTGGAATCGTCAAAAATCGACCAAAAAGCATGAGGGGGTACCTCATCATTTTCATTGAAAATCAAACAATCACATTTTTCACCTCGATAACGAAGACTTTTACTACGGTATATCTTGAATCAAAATGTTTCTATCGATCCAACGTAACCCTTGAAATCATCTTTGTGGAACTTTGATATGTAAAATTTCGACTTTTTGGCCAGAAACCTCTTTTCATATTTTTGTAAATTACTCAATAAGCTTATTCAAAACATCTATCTTACTTGGTACCATTGGATGCGCCTTGAAAAGCACACCAAGAAAGCTTAAAGAAGCATAGGGCGATCATCATATTTTTATTTAGTCGAATCTGCTAAAATAGTTCAATTGAGTCGAAAACCATCAAGATTTATCCAATCTTGAAAAATAAAAACGAATCTGCGTTTGAATTGATTTTGGCGCTGCTGGCTGGCCAAAATGCCTTTCGGACGAGGACAATGAAAGCTGGGATGCTGATTAAAAGGGTATCATGAATCTGAAAGGACTATCATCTAGCCTGAATACTCCATTTAGATTTTGTTGCACACTTCTATATATCACAACGCCAGTCAGCCTGATTTACTACCAAAACATATATAAACGCAAGACTCGTGGCAGTATTAACGGATTGATATTATTTCAGCTAAAGCAAATGCTTTCATAGAAAACAAACGGTTTACTCTTTTATAAAAAAAGCATTACTATGGCCCAATTCGTCATCGTACAAGAGGCAGGTATTATTAGACACCACTCAGTCTTTGTTGGATTTACAGCGTCTTTCTGCTGTAGTCTTTTTTATAAGCTGATCACAAAAGTAGCAAATTTTTTCAGAAACGTATTTGTCGATTGTTTAAATGTTCAAGATTTTCATGTGGAACTACAAAAGTTGTGTGTAGAACGGTGCGAAACTGAAAGCACCAATGTCTAAGGAGATTGTAAAGAAGAAACGCACACTGGCTTTCCGTGAACGAAAGTTCAAGCAAAAAGTCTGTCGCAAGGTCATGATTTAATTGACTAGTCAAATGGAGGGTGATTTGAATAGGTGTTCATTGACATGGTGAACCACTTTGAAGGAAAGTCCAAGGTACCTGAGGTAGCGATTCAACAAGCATTATTGGATAAGCAGGAGTATGTTACTGGATAAGCCGCACTTAAATCAAACTACTGACAGTTATTCTCGATACTGTGCAGAACAATCCACTAATGATGAAATACATCATCGGATTCAAGGCTGATATTAGATTTCTTCAAGACTACAATGATGCTGAATTTGATCTCGTCGTTGCCGACGCTTGTTTCCCTACAGCAAATGATACCAAGGTCACTAAAGACACAGTCAAGTTATTGAAAGCACGGAAACGTATATGATTCAATGTGAAATAAACCATTAGCCTTCATAATCAACAATTCAAAGGAGAAATCTGATAGGCGTCGCTGTACTGAATACCAATAAAGCAAAATGCGAGAGCTTTAAACGGTCATAAAATTTTGCTTTAAAAGCAATTCATAGACAGAAGGTATTTTTCGTAGCTGTTTCTCTACTTTCTTTCACTGCGTTTGACCATCGTTATATTACCACTCCAGCAAGAAACAGACACCAGCACCATTTACAAAACCAACACGACGCAACATGATGTAAATGAGATGGCTGTATAGCATTGACTTGTATGGTAGTTTTTGACACATAAAACACGATCTCTTCTGTAGTTTCAACATTGATGAACTCGTTGTACACTTTCCCTATGACAAAATATACCCTGAACAATATCAGTACATGTGCGATTTGAAGAAATCTTTGGATGCGCAGGTTTGTCTTTCCAGCATCACTACTACCGTAGCAAAATGCCAACAAATGCGTTGATATCATCTAGGGTCATTGTGTGTTGGAAATGCCTTCTGGTACCGGTAAAACAGTTTCCTTGCTTTCATTGATTGTCGCCTATCAAATGGTAAACATCAGATACAAACGTCGATTTCATAATGTGTCCACCATCTAAACTAATTTCCTGCGTAGCAATATCCTGATCAGCATAGAAAATTCATTTACTGCTCTCGAACAGTGCCTGAAATCGATAAGGCATTAGCAGAATTGAAGAATTTAATGGCATACAGACAATCACAGGGTTTAGTGGAGGATTTCTTTGGTATTGGGCTCACATCTCGTAAGAATTTATGTTTGAATCCCAAAGTGTCAAAAGAGAAAAAGGGTAAAGTGGTGGATTCCAAATGCAGAAATCTCACTGCAAGTTGGGTTCGTGCAAAGGTTGGTGTCAATCGCACTGACAATCAGCAGCAGCAAGCAGAAGAAGGGAACGATCCTATGGAGGTAGATCAGCAACGTCATGATATTGAATTGTGCAATTTCTACGAGGTGAGTGCAAAGCGTGCTGCGGAAATAACAGCATCGTTCATCAACATGAACTAGACTTTGGAATCTGCCAATTCACCAAACCCCATTCCCAATGGCGTATACACATTTGAGGACCTGAAAGCGTATGGAAAAGAAATGCAATACTGTCCTTACTACCTTGTGCGACGAGCTGTAAGTTGATGTTGGCCTGCCATTTTCAAGTTGCATGAATCTCATGATTGCCACTATTAGATTCCATTTGCAAACGTTGTCATTTACTCGTACCATTACATGTTGGATCCTAAAGTCGCCGAGCTTGTGTCAAGAGAACTGTCGAGGGATTGCATTGTGGTCTTTGACGAAGCACATAATATTGATAACGTATGTATTGAGTCATTGAGTATTGATTTGACGAGACCCATGTTGGATGCCAGTGCACGAAGTGTGGGCGTGTTGGCAGAAAGAATCGAAGAGTAAGTTGGCTCTATCGCAGTTGAACTACGCCTCCAGTGCAATGACACAATATATCCTACAGGATCAAAAAGACGGATGCCCAGAGATTGAAGAATGAGTACACAAAATTGGTTGAGGGATTGCGAGATGCCAATACAGCCAGAGATGAGGACACGTTTATGGCAAATCCCATCCTGCCAGATGATTTATTAAAGGAAGCAGTGCCCGGTAACATCAGAAGAGCAGAGCATTTTGTAGCCTTCCTGAGAAGATTTATCGAGTATTTAAAGGTATAGTGTTAGTGGGATGAGATTCAATGCGGGATGTGTGCTCAAGTTTTGTTTTATATAGACTCGTCTCAGAGTCATGCATGTTGTAGCAGAAACACCTGCCTCCTTCTTACAGCACTTGAAGGATGTCACTTACATCGAACGAAAGCCTCTAAGATTCTGTGCAGAGAGATTATCGAGTCTGGTGCGAACATTAGAATTAACTGATTTGGAGCATTTCAGCAGCTTACAAAAAGTAGCCTCATTTGCCACGCTGACATCCACATACGACAAAGGCTTTCTGCTTATTCTTGAGCCATTTGAAACGGAAACGGCTACCATCCCTAATCCTGTATTGCATTTTACGTAAGTTGATATCTGGCATAGAGCACAGGTTGAGTGACTGACAAGTTCATTTTGTAGTTGTTTGGACGCATCGATTGCTATCAAGCCTGTGTTTGATCGATTCAGCACAGTGGTAATTACATCGGGTACCTTGTCACCACTGGAAATGTACCCCAAGATGCTCAACTTCCAAGCTGTTGTACAAGAAAGTTACTCCATGACACTGTCTCGCAATTGTTTCTTGCCTATGGTCATTACGCGTGGTTCAGATCAAGTTGCCATCAGTTCCAAATTTGAAGTACGTAACGATCCAGCTGTAGTGCGTAATTTTGGTCAAATCATGGTCGAGATGTCAAAGATTGTCCCTGATGGCATGGTGTGTTTCTTTCCTAGCTACTTGTATATGGAGTCCATCGTGTCCATGTGGAACGACATGGGTATTTTGAACGAAGCGTGGAAGTATAAGCTAATCTTTGTCGAAACACCTGACGCAGCAGAAACGAGTCTGGCGTTGGCAAACTATCGAAAGGCGTGCGATAATGGTCGAGGCGCTATTTTACTGTCTGTAGCAAGAGGTAAGGTGTCTGAAGGTATCGATTTTGACCACAATTACGGAAGAGCGGTCATCATGTTTGGTATTCCATATCAATACACAGAATCCCGTATCCTGAAGGCTCGTTTGGAGTATCTGCGTGATAATCTGCATATCCGCGAGAATGATTTCTTGACATTTGATGCCATGCGACATGCTGCTCAGTGTGTAGGGAGAGTCTTGAGAGGTAAAACAGACTATGGATTGATGGTGTTCGCGGACAAGGTAAAATAGGAACATGGCATGTGTTGAGAGTAGCTTCTGATTGTTCTTACGCAGAGATTTGCAAGAGCGGACAAAAGAGCCAAGCTACCCAAGTGGATCAATCAATATGTCACAGATACATCTACCAATCTGTCAACTGACATGTCTTTGGTCATTGCCAAAAAGTTCTTGCGATCCATGGCACAACCTTATGAATCAAATCAAACAGGCGTATCTTTATGGACTGCCAAGGACATTGAAAAGCACACTTCAAAGTAAACACTGTACATACCCCCCTATTTTTCGTGCTTCAGGTATAACCAATCAATGCGCTTGTACATTTCGCAATTTTGCTTGAATTGTAATAAAGATCCATGAAATCAAGCTTTGTAACAGCTAGAGTTCTTGATTATCGCTGCAAGATATCTTTTTCAAAATGTGCTTTTTCGATATTTCAAGTAACATGTACATGCAGCATGGCAACATCCCATCATGGATCTGTAGAAATGAATCAAGCATGGCTACTTCGGAGTGCTAATCATCTCTTTTTCTAGATGATGTTCAACGTTTCGAGATTTATATTCGTAGCAACCAGCAAGCAGAGCGCCCTCCCTTCCTCTTTGTTCACATATAAAACTTATTCTACCATGTCAGGTAAGCTACATATCGCGCTCAATTTACTCGAAAGCCTGATACAAGCTATGCCATAGTGTACGCTAAAGAAAGAAATGTCGCTATCCGAGCTGTCTTGACTGCCAGCAAAGTGTGTCAATCCGTATTTCAACACTTGGTTGCCAACGAGACTTTGACCAAGAACGACAAGTCTCCTGTTACAGGTAAACAGCAACAAGCGTGTGTGTGTAAACATTAGGGGTAGAGTATTCAATGCGTTTTATCCATGTTTAGTTGCTGATTTCTCAGCTCAAGCTATTGTAAACACCTATCTTAAGGACCATTTTCCTGAAGATCCTATTGTGGGTGAAGAGGATTCCAAGGATTTGCAAGGTGATGAGGGTAAACCATTGAGAGAAAAGGTCTTTTCTTTGACCAATGGTGTCTTGAGTGATAATGAGAAGCTCTCTGAACAGCAAGTAAGTCGGTGTATGAGAGGAGGAAAGGCACCATTAGAACGTATCATTAAAACCACGCACTCGTTAGATTCTAGATGCTATTGATCGTGGTAATTACATTGGTGGAGCCAAAGGTCGCCATTGGGCTTTAGATCCTATTGATGGTACCAAGGGGTTCCTGCGTGGTGGACAGTATGCAGTTTGCTTAGCACTCATTGTAGACGGTATCGTTCAATTGGGTGTTGTAGGCTGTCCCAACTTGCCAGTGGATCACAAGCATCCCGAGGGTGAGCGTGGATCTCTTTTCATTGCTGTCCGTGGACAAGGCGCCTTCCAACGCACATTTACAAACGAAACTGAATCACCTATTCACTTTGCTGACATATCATCTACCGAAGAAGCCACTTTCTGTGAATCTGTAGAAGCAGCCCATTCATCTCACTCGGATGCCGTTGAGATTGCTCAATTATTGGGCATCACTCGTGAGCCTGTTCGCATGGACAGTCAAGCCAAATACTGCTCTATCTCTCGCGGTGATGCAGACATCTACTTGCGTCTGCCCACTAGCAAGGCCTATGTGGAAAAGATTTGGGATCATGCCTCTGGTAATGTCCTCGTCACTGAGGCAGGTGGAAAGGTCACTGACATCCATGGTCAACCTCTCGATTTCTCTATTGGCCGTACATTGGAGAAAAATAAGGGTGTCATTGCCTCCAAGGCTAATATTCATGGACGAGTTTTAGAAGCTGTTCAAAATGTTTTGGGCAATAAATTTTAAAGGCAATCTGCTTATCAACGTTTGATATTAAATGCTGCAATAGCTCACATTCGATGTAGAAACTGTAGTATCCGATAACGACTTAAACTTGGCATTTCCCATATGAATTTATCTTTATATAAAATTGTATAGCTATAAAGATTATGTGGCGCATATAATACAAATCAATGAATTTTGCTTGTAATTGACGTATTTCTTGTCTGGGTCAATTTTTGTATCCACAAATGATTTTTTTTTTTGTAGTTAAATTGAATGTTTGTGTGCACCCCTCATTTCTATCATGCAGATCAAAATTATAGGTTGAAATCACTGCAAACGACTTGAATCACATCTGAGCCCACTGAAAATCATATCAATCTAAATGTAAAGCAATGAATCACATCGATTGCAGTTTAATTCTTGATCAGGCATATCGAATTCTTTTAGGTCGGTGAACGCAGCAGAGTTGACCTCCCATTGTGCCTGTGCGTTCGAGATGTGCACTGAATTTGGACAAATGCGCAAAATTTCAGTTCGACATTCCTCGCCCAACTCAGAAACCAATGTAGAAAGCCGAGTAGCTCCCCATTGTTGTTGTAAAGAACATCAACCTTGTACTCATTCATGGAAGCTATTGTATCAATGAGCATTTAAATTGGTGTACGACCGTTGAGCGACGAGACTCCAAGTTTTGCCCTGGCATTGTAAATTGAAGTGAGGTGGAAATGGTGCGTAGGGAATCTCCGTCGCAACCTTTCCATTAGAGCCGCTAGTCTTATCACAGACGTTGTGTTGCATTCGTCCCGTATAAAAGCCAAGCGCTCCCTGGTTACTTTGCGGTTAGCCGCATGACCGACAAAATCACGCTCATCACAAGGATGGTTGTGCATCGAGTTATCACACTAAACGAAGACACTCTCTTCCATTTGGTCAACTTGATTTGAACTCTACATCCACATTGTTTTGACGAACCCTGTCTTATTTTGCTACCAGCAACATGTTCCGGCTCTCCAGTGTGATCATATCGAAAATAGATGCTTCTTGTTTCGCTATAATCATGTAATCCTTTAATAACACACTAGAAACCTATGAAAAAACGTCGTCGCGGCCAGTCAGAGACCAGAAGTTCTTCTCCCAAGAATATAACGCATCCAATTTAAATGATTTCTTGCCACCTATTTGACTGTTGCTTGAGTGATTTGTGTTTTCAAAGCAACATTTGGCAACATTGACCTTAAGAAGGTTTTACCGTAGCGAAGCAAGGGTGTGAGACCATAGTATTCAAGCAGCAAATTTGGATTTTCATTACCATTGCTAATAAGCTTACCAACAACATAGCTCATCAAAATTTGCATGAATTAGCTTTACCACTATCAATATGACTCTTATTCGAATTAAAAATTGCACAGGTTGCAGAACTGCTCTTCCAGAAAATTACAGCTATCAAAGATGAGATTCACTCCGTGTAAATAAAGCTATAAAGCAAAAATAGAACAAAATTTGATAGTTTTCAAGTCTTCATATCTTGACTTATAGACCTTTCTGAGTCACTGGAATAACGCCAAACAATTGTACTCAAGTAGCAGTAACTTCCTGACACCTTTGCTCAACTTTTTGGGCCAAAAAAAAACATGGCCAAAAATCGACCAAAGAGCATGAGGGGTACCTCATGGTTTTCATCGAAAACCAAACGATCGCGTTTTTCATCTTGAAATGAAGACTTTTACTATAGTATATGTTGAGTCAAAAATTTTATGTCGATCCAAAGCAACCTATGAAATCACCTTTATGAGGTTTTCATATGCAAAATATGGCTATTTTCGCTAAAAACCTCATTTCAAATTTTATTAGATTGCTCAGTAATTTCAGTCAAAACATTTATTACAATCAGCACCATTAGAAGCGCCTTGAAAAGTACTTCAAGAATGGATTAGGAAGCGTAGGATGATCATTACAGTTTATATAGTCGGATATTACAAAATAGATTAAAGAAGTCGAAAAAAACACGAAACCTGTTCAATCTTGAGCAGAAAAAATAAACTGAGTTTGAATCAATTTTGGTGGCGGCATTGCTGCTGGCTGACCTAAATGCCTTTCTGTTGCTAACAATGATGATTGCAATGCTAATTAAATGGGGATCATGGAATTGAAAGGACAATTTCTTAGTGCAAATACTTTTCTTTGGAGAGCTTTGACTCATGAAGGTGTCTTTTGCAATGACAATATCTCAAAAAAAGTCGCTGTAGATCTTACACAAGTGCTGTATTTACGCATGACCAGCTTTATGTCGCCATCTCAAGAACAGCATCAGCGAATGGATGCCTCCTCCTCCTGACTTTGATATAGCCTTTTTTTTTTTACTATTAATTGTTTATAATTTACTTGATATGCCGGATTTGGTATCTCTGATTTGAAATGTCTTCGGTGAAAGCCCACAGGGCGACGCCGTCATCGACCGTAGCGAGATTGATCGGTTAGTAAGCATATACTACAAATTCGGAAACCAAAGATCTCAGCCTTCTTTTTTCAACAATGAAGAGGGAAGGATACACCACGGAAAATGCCCCGCTTGTATTTCCAATCTATTACCAAAGAAGTATGTGATTTGTGTTTAGACTTGGACCTGAAATCTTCCAATATAGCAATACCTATATTGCATCCACTTAGCCGTTACTTCACATCGCGCAGTCTCTTGTTTATTTCTCTCAAGCTCTAATTCATTTTTCAAAAGTAGTGTTTTGCCCTTGTACAGTATTAACTACTTTTTTTATACAAGTTGCTCTTTGAAACGTTCATATTTACGACTCTATCGCAGTTTGTCTTTCTACGTAGACTCTGTGCAATGTATCATCAAGCCTCAGAAGGAGATAATTTGGACTCTAGAGTTTCCATGAACTTGCATAGTCCATTTCGTCGAGATGAACGTTGATTTGTCGAAGTAAATAAAACGCAAATTATAAGGAAAAGATTCTGAATCGAGAAATCATAGTTTATAATCGAGGAGGGATTGATGTTGGGGTGCAATGGAGGTCTAAAAGAACGAAGGGAGAGGATCTTGACATACGGAGGGAAAGCTAAAACTATTCGGGATATTGTGTCCAATCCCACTAGCAATGGGCCATTTTGCCTAAAGGAGAATTTCTAGGAATAGGCTTTTCAAGCTAATATAAATTCAATCACATATTCCCCACACTCACTTTCTTTTTTTTTCCTACTAAAAACCAATAAAGAAAATGTCTATTGCCCTTGCAAGTGAGTATACTATTCCTACCAAGGATACCATCAACCAAGGTGTCTTGCTTAAAGAGAAGAATGATCTCCAGTTGGTCGAAATCCCGGTTCCTGAACCTCCTGCTGGTCATGTCCAGGTACAGGTAAAGTGCACTGGCATTTGTGGAAGCGACGTTCATTTGTGGAAGCACGGTGAGATTGGTATCTTTCCTGTATGTGCTCCTCAATTACTCGGTCATGAGAGTGCTGGTATTGTCACTGCTCTCGGCGAGGGTGTTACTACGCTGCAAGTAGGTGACCGAGTTGCTGTCGAAGCGTAAGTTGGTCGAGTATGTGTGATGGGTAGTTGCTTGTACTGAGATCGTATGTGTATAGTGGTATTCCTTGCTCTTCTTGTGATCAATGTATGATGGGTAGATACCATCTCTGTCCAGATGTTATCTTCAAATCTACTCCTCCTTATGATGGTCAGCTTGCTAGATATATTACTCACCCTGCTCGCTGGTTGCACAAGATTCCTGCCAACATCTCTTATGGTGAAGGTGCTTTACTGGAGCCCTTGTCAGTTGCTATCGCTGCTGTTGATCGCGTGAGAGCTCAGTTCGGTAGATCCATGTTGATTGCCGGAAGTGGCCCTATTGGGTTATTGATTTTGGCTGTTGCCAAGGCCACTGGTGTCCATCCCATTGCTATTACTGATGTTAACCAAAGCCGTTTGGATTATGCAAAGAAGATGGGCGCTACCATGACATACAAGATCAACCCGGAGAACTCGGAATTAGAGACAGCCAAGGAACTACGTGCCCTGTTTGGTGGTGAAGGTGCTGAATGCTCCTTGGAGTGCACAGGTATCGAGAGCTCTTTTAGAACTGCTATTATGGCTACTCGTGATGCTGGCACCTGCCTACTTGTGGGTGTAGGAAAGAATGATCAAACGCTTCCCGTCAACAACTTTGCTATGCGTGAGGTTGATATTAGAGGTCTCTTCAGATATCATCATACATACCCTCGTGCTATTGCATTGCTATCCAGTGGCATTTTGGATATCAAGCATCTGATTACTGATACCTATGACTTCGCTGATGCTCTTGCAGCATTTGAAAAGACACATGATCGTAACTCTGGCGCATTGAAGGTTCAAATCGTCAACTAAATCTCTCTTTCTGTATAATAACTCTTCATTTTCACATATCCATAATAATAAAAAGTGTCATATTAACACACTAAAACGTATTTTATGCAAATGAAGGTTTGTATTACTTTGGTATAAGATGGATATCCATTGATAGGATCAAATTTATGATTTGCGGCTTTGTGCGGCATTTTCGTTTTACCGGTCCACAGTATTCATGTTGTCTTCAGCAGCCTGTCTCATGGAGACTTCCATTGAGCAAACGCTTTCATGCCAACTAACATATATGCTCGGAATTTTTCTTTAATCTTGATACAGTGTTCATTATCTTGACATGTAAACACTCGCCTGATGTCGGTGATGTGACCCGACGTGCTCTGCGATTACATCCGCACTTCTCAAACATCAAATAAACCCTCGTATGTGCTTAGAATGATACACATATTGTCATTCAACTTGATGCACTCGTCTGAGAATGCCAGAAATAATGATAGACCTGTATTACGAGGTAATTTTAGTAGCAAATGTAGAAATGCTAATAAAGACTCTTGCTATATCATGGCACTTAAAGTATGTTCATTGTTCTTGATAATATCCAAACAATGGAAGTATGATCTGATGGTAATGAAACCTAATCGAATCTCATTGTGTGTTTCTATATAAGAAACAACACATCACAATAAGAGATGGACATTCAAATGTGTAGAGCACATGGAATGCTTTATTTCATCTGCCCCTAAATCAACGCTGCTTCCTTTAAAGCTGAGAAACATGGACTCTCAGTTCAAACAAAGCTGAAATTACCTTAATCAGTTCAGAGCGAACAGATTTCTTGGATCATTTGGCCGAGCAATTTATGTAAATTAGATGTGATACTTGTTTAATTAAATTTTTTTTTTTTTGTCAACATCTGATGTCTTTCTGTACAGTCGAATAAAATACAAGGCAGCTTGCCATCTATCATCCATGTTTTGTAGAGCATCTAAATTTAGTCAAAATATCGCTAAAAGACTCGGGCCGTCTGTTTAGAAAAAGAGAATGCAGAGCAGAAATTTGAATTAATCCAAAAATTTTAATTGGCCACGTTTCGGTATCATTAAAAATGCTGGCTCTATAAAATGGGAAACATTGTGAAATGGAGGTTCTTTATTTCTTCTCTTTTCACGAACTAAACATGTTACAAAATAACAGTAATTCAGAATATTTTGTTGGAAGGGAATCAATAGACGATTTTTCTGAACTCGATTTGCAGCATCAGCAACAGTCGCTGCGATCCACACAGCATTTATTACATGATGATGATGAAGTCATTTATAGAACTGATTCTTTGTCGAAAAATGCTCCCACTTGGAGACAGCTAGTACCTCGCCTAGTCATTTTTGTTGCCATTGGTGTGTTATCACTCGTATTCTCGATCTCATTAGCGCATGTCGTCTTGGATATCGGATTGCCCCGCACATTAGAAGATGTTCAACAAACAGCACTTCAGTTGGAAGAACTCATCAAGAACAGTTGGACTGGATATGGTTCTGTTACATTTGTATTTGCAGTCTTGTATTTATGGCAACAAGCTTTCAGCATCCCAGGCTCTGTATTGTTAAACCTGTTGGCAGGTTATCTCTATGGTATAACGATGGGCACCGTTTGGACAAGTTTATTAACTGCTGGTGGTGCTACTTTGGCCTACGGTTTAGCCATCTTGGTGGGTGAACCATTAATTCGAGTCCCTTGGTTTGCCCGTAAAGCCGAGCCTTTAAATCGTCAACTTGAACAAGAGAGACAAACTGGTGGTCTATTCTGGTGGTTGCTCTTTGCTAGATTGTTCCCATTTTCGCCTTACTGGTTCATCAACTTGGTGTCTCCTTTGCTTGACATTCCTGTATCTCCATTCTTTTGGTCCACCTTTTTTGGCTCAATGCCGTACAACTTTATCTGTGCCCAAGCCGGTGATGTCTTGGGTGATTTAACCTCTACTTCTGACATCGTTTCAGTGTCATTGGTGTTGAAACTCTTGATTGTATCTTTCATTTCTCTCGTGCCAGTCATCTGGGGTAAGGCTATCCAACAATGGACTAGACAAATCATGGGCCTACCTCCCGTATTAGATGTGGATTTGGAGAAGTCGCTCAATAACGATGACGTTGAATTGACAATCAATGGCTATTCCAGATTACCAAACAACACTATTAATGCTGTTTAAAGGAACAAAGAAAAGCATTACTTTCTACACTGTATATTCTACTATTAATTATATTCCCTCGCAATCACCTTTTCATATCTCTGACTTACCGTATCATACACCAATTTCCACTAATAGCGATTCTCTGTTACTTGAATAAACTTTTTTCCCATTATTCTATAAAGTCATACATCCAAAACCCTAGTTTGTTTTTTATTTTTATCATCGTCTGATGTCGTTTTAGCTCTTCAATCATATGGTCATTGTGCTACTACAAAATCAATCAGTTTTGTTGAGTTTTATGATATTCGGTAGTTGCATTTATCAAAATCGCTCACGCTGCCTTTTAAACATGATCAGATAAGTACTACAACATGGATGTCTTATATTCATGCCAAGACTATGATCCAGAGGAGGTGAGATTCTTCGGAGAGATGCATCTTAAGACTTCTTTTTATCTCGAGATGGGTCTGAGATTCATTACTACATCTTTAAAGCATCATAAAAATTGCTAGATGTAATGTTTATACTACACAAAAAGAAAATGAAATCATATTGTACAGACACACTTGGATACAAACAATAATGTCATTGTCTAAAATCCCAAAATCAATTTTCTGCAACTAATTGTTTGCCATGTTATAAATAGATTATGTACATACAGCTTCCTAGAAAAATAGAAGCACATTTTCTTAATTGCAACCCCTTGAATATGCCATGGTAATGCAATGTAGCATAATGGTATTCGGCTGTAGGATCCATTACGGTTGAGTAATACGCCAAAAATGACAAACGTTTGGCAGGCAAAGCAAGCCAACTGTGATAAGATAGACATAATCTAAAAACTTGTATATCTAAAGAATGTCTCGACCAAAGTTCCCTTTCCAAATTCTTGTTTCTATTCAATGTGTAACCACAATTTTAATGAGCATCCGCCTCGTCGTTGCACATGTTGCTGGCTGTCGGATACCCGGAATAGCAAATATGTGCCATGCTGTAGGATATGTATTTGAAATGCAATTTGAGAAAGTTTGGGGCGGGTACCTGAATCAAACATGTTTTCTGGGGAATCTGGCTTTGTGCATGCAGTTTGAGTGGCACCGACAGTATTTGCGCAGAAACCATTCCTTTATGCCACAACATAACACATTTTGACTTTCAAGTATCAACGATACAAACGTCTTGTTGAAGAGCTTGGTGTTGAGATGCGTATTTCCAGTCCTACAAACACAATCTGTATTGCAGGCAATAGCAGCTACTAGCAGTTTTAATAAACTGCAACTTTAGATCTGACACTTTTACGATGCTCTGCATCTGAGTTAGTGAAAACAACTCATATAAAGGCCTACAGGATAATAGCACTGCCTCTTAAGACTGAATAGTATGCAAAACATAACAAAATCTAGGTTTATTTGGGCCGCGTTTTTTCGCGTTGGGAGCCGTTTCAAACAACCAAAATAGCACCAAACAATTGCTTTCATCTAGGAGTTACTTTCTGACACCTTTGCTCAACTTTTTGGGGATCAAAAAAACATGAACAAAAATCGACCAAAAAGCATGAGGTACCCCTTATGGTTTTCATTGAAAATCAAACGATCGCATTTTTCACCTTGATAACGAAGACTTTTACTATGGTATATCTTGAATCATAATGTTTCTATCGATCCAACGTAACCCTTGAAATCATCTTTGTGGGACCTTGATATGTAAAATCTCGACTTTTTGGCCAGAAACCTTATTTCATATTTTCGTAAATTACTCAGTAAGTTTATTCAAAACATCCATCTTATTGGGTACCATTGAAAGCGCCTTGAAAAGCACGCCAAAAAATCTTAAAGAAGCATAGGGCGATCACCATGTTTTACTTAGTCGAATCCGTTAAAATAGTTCGATCGAGTCGAAAAATGTTAAAATTTGGCCAATCTGGAACAGATTATGATTCTGGGGTTGAAATAATTTTGGCTGGTGGGGCTGGCTGGCAAACTCAATGCACTTCTAATCATGAAGGCACTATTCGTTTGGAAAGGCTCACTATCGCCTTATCTTCGATCGAACTTTCTTCGCTGCCGTCACTGTGCCGAGTAATGTCCAGATCGACATTTAAAAGATGATTGACAAAGATCTTATTCATGGCAGTCTGTAGTTTGTCCATTCTTTTGAATAGTCCTGCTATAAAAAATTCACTCAATCCACATTGAAATAACCGGCATGAAATCACAACAAATCACAACAAATCACAACAAAATGTCGAGCAAAGTTTAATCAGTTCTGGCAGCTGCTTGCTGGCAAAATTGATGGTATCTGTCTCATGAAGACAGTGGAGATTTTCAGAGTTACTAAGAAGAAACTTGCGAAACAAAAGGTATTATAGATTAGCGTAAAAGCTTTCTATTGCCCTTGTTATGATCAAGTCTGTCAATATATTTATTCATTACAAAATAGATATCGACGTATAGGAGATCTCTGGTGCAAATCAAAAGACATCTCGGGCACATTTCTTACGAGACAGGCACAAGCTAGCATAGAACTTGAAGATCATTTTGGTCAATGTCATTGAAACAGTACTCTTCGCATATAAATTTCTTTGTTTAGAGCCAACCAGCCACTTTGGATGGTGCAAATGTCAATACCTCTTCTTAAGGCAAGGTTTTCTCGATATTATATATATCTCTAGCGAGGCTCTCATTTATCATTATAATTCTATACTATCAAAATAAAATCAATTTCTATTCAGCTTTGGTAAAACCGAATAGCTGGCGTTTGGCAGTATGATGCAGTATCAACCAAACATGATTAAATTATGTCAAAAACATACTGTAAAGTAAGCCAACCTCATACAACATGTCTAGGTCTCTTATCAGGCAAACTCGTTCGTGATGTTTCTAAGGAGATAGGGCGCATAACGAGGGATTGCAGCCTCTTGATGCTACCGAAATGACATGCCTATTGTGCCTAGATGTTTCCTGAGCGGGCCTCACTTGATGGTCACAGATGGAGTAGTAGACTTGATTACGTTGCAACTTTTCTTATAGCATGCGCGTCCTCATTGTACACATACTTCTTCTTTTTTCTATTCTAATACATAAACACACATAAATACAACTTGAGAACAATGATGACAGTGCAACAATTAGATGTCCTTCGTGACCAACTCAAGCAAGAACTGAACTCTTCCTCCAGCAATCTTCAAAAAGTGGGTCAACTGTTGACTCAAGCCAAGGTAATTTTCATGTGGAAATGGGGCATCATGCGTGCTGCTCTTACTCATGGACGATGGTAGGTTGGTTTGATTGAACTCGGTGCATTCGTTCCTGTTGCAGGCAAGACTGATCCCAATGTACTTGTCACCGCACGTAAGTATTTAAATATGTATGTATCTCTCAACTGAAACACTGAACCTGTTTGATATAGGCGACATTTTGGAGGCAGGCGCCTACTACAGTGTTCGCATCAAGGACATTGCCTCATTTGAAAGATACATTGCTCAACTCAACACATATTATCACGACCTTGCGTAAGGAATAGCCATTCAAGAAACTCTCAACCACTACACATTGACTGACCTTTGACGCATACCCTTAGATCTGTGCTTCCTCCTTCAACTCAAATGTACCCACTTATCGGCTTGAATTTGCTTCGATTGTTATCACAAAATAGATTATCTGATTTCCACACTGCACTCGAAACAATTGACCTTGATCAGTTGCAGTCAAATCAATTCATCAAGCAAGCAGTTGATTTAGGTAAACTAGCACAAACAGAGAACCAGCATAAGGACGTAGCAGTATTAAAACAAAATTGTTTTGTAGAGCAATTTTTGATGGAAGGTAGTTACAACAAGGTCTGGAGCACAAGAAGCACTGTTCAAGGAGAGGAATTCATGTTTTTTTATGATATTTTAATCAGTACCATCAGGTAAGCATGGCGACATACAGGGTGTACATGTCAAGTATTAATAGATTGGGTGTGGGAATAGACATGAAATTGCTAGTTGCAGTGAGAAAGCCTATGAATACCTTCCTTTGAACGATGCCAGCACTTTGTTGTTCTTGAAGAATACCGAGGAACTATTGAATTTTGCAAACGAGAGAGGATGGAAGGTCAATCCAGCTGAACAAAAGGTTTACTTTGGCACAGAAGATGATAGCATTGTAGAGATCCCTCAAGAACAAATCATTACTCGCACATTAGGATATGCTAGAGAACTTGAACGTATTGTATAAATGGATGAAATAAACTGAATTTTTGCAAGTACTTTACAATGATATTAAGTCTTTGCACACACACAAAGTAGAGTGGGATGATGCAGTGATACGACTAGTTATTTTCATTAGGATTGTGAATTCGACATCTTGGTATATAAGGCACTCTCGCTATGCCGATTTAGCTCCCTTTTCATGCTAATTGAGGCTGAAATACTCGACTAGACAGTTTACTAAAGCGGCGGGAAAGACAAGGAGATGGACATCTCTTTCTTTCAAGTTGCGTGTGCAACCATTAATATTCTATACCTGGGCCATTTCAAATTTTTTCCTTTTTCTCTTTCTTTCTTGTCTATTTTTCCTACTTGCAACCGTTTCCTCAAGGCAATAATATACACAAGATGATGTCCGGCGAAGCAATGCTCTTTTTGTTTGCGGTTATTATGTCTGCATTACTGTTGTTCATGATGGTCTTTTTCGTATGTATATTCGTGCCCATAAGGAACAGGGTCGAGATTAACAACGCTTTGGATACAGGTTATCATGTTTTCTGATTTAGAATGTGACTATATCAACCCTATTGATCTTTGTAACAAGCTAAACCAGGTATGATATCTATCATTTGGTCACTAGGACACGGTACCAACATGTTGCGTTATAGTTTGTTATACCCGAAATGGGCGCACACGCATTTTTGTTCTTCATGTTCCTCGTCAATGGTAGCTGGATGTCTATGCTGCTGAATTTTCCCTTGGCCGCCTATAATATTAGAAAGTAAGTGCATACTGGTACTCATTTGGGAGGACGGGAAACGACATGCTGACACGGTGTTATGATGATGTAGGGTCATGAACGGTCGTCATATGTATGATGCCACAGAGATTTTCCGTACTCTTTCTCAACACAAGAAGGAATGCTTTATCAAACTTGGTTTTTATTTAATTGTAAGTGAGTGCCGTGTGTGTTTGGATACTCGTACTAATGTCGTGATTTACGCAGTGTTTCTTCATCTTTTTATACCGCATGATTGTTGCATTAATTGCTGCTGATTCATAAGTTTAACCTTTTTTTTATTGATATATGTACAAAATAAAACTAAAAACTTGAATATATATATATATATATATACTGCTCATTGTACCCAAGCACGGTGCAATTCCTCAATGTACTTTGAAAACGTTGATCTGGGAGTCGTTAATATCTGCCTTCCATGAGCAGCCACCATTGCATCCACAATAGGTATCAGAAAGCTCTTGAGCGACTTTGACGGGACCACCACATCTCTCAATCCATCCAAAGGGGCGAACAGGTGTTCTGGCAAATCATCCAACACTGTTGTACAGGGGAATTCGTCAAACCATGGCATCAAACTGCTAGTCAAGCCGCGAGGATCTCTGTGGTCTGTGGCAATGTATACCTTGACTCGCTTACCCAAATTATGTGCGGAGAACTGATATTCATTATCACCTTGGCTGTTGCTATTATCGCCATTAAAAGATGGTGGTGATGCAATATTCAGACAGTGGTGCGCTAAATCCACAATTTCGTTCTCTTCATGGTGTTGCACATAGGTCTCATGACTCACAATTTCTGTCATATTTTTTACAAAGGCTTTCAAGTTGGCAGACACTTCTCTCTTGAACGGATTATCACCAGTTCTAAAATGCACCGACGTGAAAGAGCCTTTGCCACCCAGATGGTTGACAATGGCTTTCACAGTTTCACCCAGGGGTGTGTCCAAACGATAATGTAACACCTGTTTGATCTTTTCCTGCATTTGTTTATCTTGGGAATCAATTAGATTGAAACGTGTTGAGCCAAAGATGCCACCCAAATACAGGAGCTTTTCTGTTCTACATTGAAAATGACGAGGCAATAGCACTTTGTAGTAACGACGTCCACTGAATGAATCGAAATAGTTGAGCTTATTTCGCAGCAGCTGCACAGCTTCAGAGTGATTTTGATATAAGCGCCAGTCGTACAATTGAGCGTCTTGATGCAGGTAGATATCAGTATCGTTGAGCTGCAGATCCTCTTTGATTTGTTTCATGGAGATCACGGATTGAAACCTGATTTTGATACCCGCCTCTTGCAACGGACTAAAGTCGTGTAAATCTGTCCACGCCAATGCACCAAAATGGCGGTATTCGGCACATCTTGATCTCTGCACATAACTACGAAGTTTTCCTGGTGTTGGACGCTGGCAAATCTTTGGGAAGTTCTTTGGCGTTGTTAGCCATTCAAGTCTTTCTTCTAATTGAGCTCTGTTCATCCAACCAAATACCGAGCCTAAAAATGCAGGAGGGATGATGAGCGTACGGTTCAACATGTGGGATAGTAGTAGGGCATTTGCCAGTTCAATGCGTTGATTTGATAGGCCTGAATGAGGTAAGTAAGCTAGGTATCTCTCTTCTTCAAAGGACGGTATAATGGGCGGTTCTGCTGCTGTTGAGACGCTCTTGTGCTGAATTGAGTTTTTGTGATGAATTAGGGTTGTGGTAGTCGATGTCGAAGATGGTAAAGTGTAACAAATCATGAGTGATATCAGGATTAAGCCTAAAATGCTTGATTTTCTGGTTTTTGTGGATAGCATGGATAGAAATGATGTGGATAGTTGCTTCATCATTTTGTTGTCTGTACAGTCTATGCTTTGAGGGGAAGGGGGAGGAGGAGGAGGAGAAGGAGCGTATAATAAAAGCAGATATGAGAGAAAGAGGAAAGCGAAAGAAAGAGATGAGAAAAGACGATTAATAAATATTTTTAATATATAGAAGTTCTCCTACCTCAATCCTTACCTAACGGTGAAAAACAGGCCAATTAAATAAACAAACATAAGGGGATCCGTCTATTTCTCTTTCTCAACATCCAAAAAAAGAAGTTCCTGAATTCAAAGGAGCTTTGGTTTCGCCATGTAGCCTAGAGATCAGGGTATAGTCAGCTATTTATATCTACGTTTTGTTTGACTTTTGGCAATAACTTGAATTTCCTTTATAATGAACTCGATGCATATACCATATTGATTGTGCTTGAATGATAAGCGCTTTCACTTCCTCTTTGTCTGTCTTTCTTGGCGCAGTTGTACAAGGCAAAAATCGAGCATATCACTTACTTAACATCTACCTCTAGCATCGCGTTCAAGATGCCTTTTAAGACGCTTATTTGCAATGCAATTCTGTTTGCTTCTTTCCATCCTTTCGTATTATTAATAGCTTCGTTTGTTAGCATTTTTGTCAGTGAATAAAATTGATATAAATGGTCTTATTTACTTGTTTTGTGATTAAACGACTATTTTTACATGATTTAATTCAGAGTGTGCAACAACCAAAATAAACTTGTGTAATATAAATGTTCCGTGTGCGCTGCAGAGTATAAAAAAAGTCATCGATCTTCGTTTATGGGAATCATTTGAAGCATTGTCTTATTGCTGGTGTCGCTGTACAAGGTTTTGTTTGCAAACATACAAAGTATCAGCCTCAATCATGATCACAATTAACTCCCTAAAAGACGCAAATAGCTCTGATGTTGATCTAGAACCTGCGGTATATTTAGTGTGATGCCTAGTGCACAGTGTTGATAGGAAAGCTGAGTGTAACGGAGATCAACGGACTATGGCGCGACTCAATTGATCTCCATATACTAATCTTGAGTAATTATATTAAATGTGGGCGTCTCTGCTTGGCAACATTTACATGGGCATGCTGCTATGCATCAGATGTCAAGGTAAAACTCGTGTGCATATCAGCATTGCTCTGGCTGCCGTGCGTCCAACAAATATAAGCATGTTCAGTATCAACATGTACATGCAAGAGCAGCAATGTCTAACTGATCCATGTAAGTTGGTTTCAGGTTCATCCGTATTTGATGTCATTTACCGTTAAAAATGCAACAAATCTTCTTACAGAGCCTACTCTCTTCCTGTATCCCAGGTGAATCAGTACTTTAGTCTTATACTCGTGGTATTATGTCATGAGTGTAAACACCTCCTCCAGACGAAAGAAGCAGATAATGTTCCATTGCCCACAGAAACGATTTTCAAGAGAGATGCATGGCTGGAAAACACAATCAATGCTCTTTTCAAACCAAAAGCTTTTCATTCTTTGCAAAATACAGTAATCAATACCAGCAAATGTGCATTTACGCGCAACACGCAAATCCAAGATTGTTCTCCATGATAATTCGTGTTAGTAGGTTCACTAGTGTCTTTCCATCTCTGTCGTTGTATAATGCCCAAAGTATGATACCATCACTTTGTACTGACATCATTGCTGCTTGACACGAAAGGTAGGCTATTTTGCTGAGCAAGTCTAGTAAACAGTTCTTTTACTATTCTATGCAGCTCACCAAATTCTATAAAATTCACTAAAATGGCCTTTGTGTACGCGCAATGATATCAAATCGACAGGACCCATAATCTCAGTTTGAAAGCGCATCATCATTGACCTTGCATTGTCTGAGAAAACAACGCATTGATGGGAGCATGCGTTATAGCAGACTATCACTTCCAGAGCCTCTGCAATAATTAGATTGAGATCTAGTCCCTACCTCAGCATGACAACGTGGAAATGCACCGAGATATAGCAACATGTTGTTGCATCTGTGCATGATATATACGCCAATCAGCCCATGAACAAGAGTGCCATGACGCAAGACGCTGTCTATGAAGATCTCCCATGAATGATATACCATGCTCTAGATGAATCCAAAGTATATCCTATTAACCATTCATCTTTAGCGCCTTCAATGACGATTACCTTGAGATGAGAACAAACAGAGTCGACAGAACAGACCATCTAGTTGAAACCCAGAAAACTACACTCTATTAGCTTGAATTAAGTTACCTTTTAAGGTTGATTTATATATTTATATCCGTCGTCATAGTGAAATGGTCAAGAATATACTTTATTTAGAATGATATCATGGTGATGAAGCTAATTTCTGAATTTCTACATGTATATAAAGACTGAAGGTAGAGCCAATTCAAGAGCATTAACACATCTAATTTTGTAATATAATATATAATCATGCTTTCCAACCAAAACAACACTCAAATGCCCGAATCCATGCCCGGATCCATGCCTGGATCTATGCCTGGATCTATGCCTGGATCTATGCCTGGATCTATGCCTGGAGCAATTCCTGAAAACAACAATACAACTCACAACGCAACGAACCAAGATGCTGAGCCTAGCATTGGTGGTCCTCACAAAATCCAATCAGGAATTCTTCATCATGGACTCCCTGTTGATAACACTGATAATGGTAAGCATACTATAACCTGGCGTGGCGGAAGCGAGTAGCTAACATAATGATGCAGTACATAATAATACCCACGGTGAACACAACTTCAGCAAGGACAAATCACTTGTAAATAACGCTGCATCTGGCATGAATGGTCATCAAAATGACATGAGCCCTCTTCATTCAAATCACAGTGAGAACAGCATTGATAATAACAACGACCATCATTATAAGCGAAACGCTGCCCTTGGTGCTGGTGCCGCTGGTCTTGCCGGCCATGAGATCAAGAACCACCAGAATCAACAATTTGGCTTTGAAAACCATCGTGCAGGTGGCAATTCTCACCAATCTGGTCTCGGTCATAGTAGCCACGAAGGTGCTATCAACAATCCTCTTCAATCTGGAAATGATAAGCTTCACCATTCTTCCAACAACGATGACCATCATTATAAGCGCGATGCTGCCCTGGGTGCTGGTGCCGCTGGTCTTGCCGGCCATGAGATCAAGAACCACCAGGATCAACAATTTGGCTTTGAAAACCATCGTGCAGGTGGCAATTCTCATCAATCTGGTCTCGGTCATAGTAGCCACGAAGGTGCCATCAACAACCCTCTTCAATCTGGAAATGATAAGCTTCACCATTCTTCCAACAACGATGATCATCATTACAAGCGCGATGCTGCCCTGGGTGCTGGTGCTACTGGTCTCGCTGGCTACGAGTTGAAGGATCACCATGGCAACGCTAACCCTCTTCAATCTGGCGTTGGACACAATAATCATGAAGGTATCAACAATAGCAATCCCCTGCATACTGAGACCGGTTTTGGTCATTCTTCTGCTGGCAATCCTCTCCATCCTGGAGCTGCTAGTTCTTTCAACGACAATGAACACCACTACAAGCGCGACGCTGCTCTCGGTACTGGTGCTGCTGGTATTGCTGGCCACGAACTGAAGAACCACCATGATAAAGAATCCGGTCTTGATGGCCATCACAGAGGAAGCAACCCTCTTCGTTCCGGATCTGGTCTTGATAACCACCATTCTGCCACTGGTAATCCTCTCCACTCTGGACCTGATAGCGTTAACCGCTCTGTTGATGGTAACAATGACCACCATTACAAGCGTGACGCTGCTCTCGGTGCTGGTGCTGCTGGTCTTGCTGGCCACGAACTGAAGAACCATCATGACAAGGAATCTGGTCTCGAACGTGCTCATCATACTTCTGGTAACCCTATTCACCCTGGATCTGACAACATCAATCGCTCTGTCGATGGTAACAATGAACACCACTACAAGCGCGACGCTGCTCTCGGTACTGGTGCTGCTGGTCTTGCTGGCAACGAACTGAAGAACTCTCATGATAAAGAAACTGGTCTCAGTAATCACCATACCTCTTCTGGCAACCCTCTCCACTCTGGACCTGATAGCGTTAACCGCTCTGTTGATGGTAACAACGACCACCATTATAAGCGCGATGCTGCGCTTGGTGCTGGTGCTGCTGGCCTCGCTGGTCATGAATTGAAGAACCACCAAGACAAACAATCTAATGTTGATGGCCATCATGGTAGCTCTGGTAACCCTCTCCATCCCAGCTCTGACAACTTGAGCTATACCCCTGATGGCAATGATCATCACTACAAGCGTGATGCTGCTATCGGTGCTGGTGCTGCTGGTGTTGCTGGACACGAGATGAAGGAACATCGCGACAAGACGGAAGCAGCTTCAAACCGTACCTCTGTCTCTTCTGCTGGTTCCGGTGAAAAGAAGGGTGCTGCTGTACACGATAAGCCCTTGAATACTGGTGGTGATGCTCATCATGTTGCTGAACAACCTCCTATGGGTTTGGGCGGCCTTACTGGTAAACAACCTGTGGGTGAAATCAACTTCCACAAGCTTTCTTAGGTCCTATACTCTATATTTTGTAAATAAATAATTGAATAAAACACTTACTTGATGAAACTACACACGGATGGCTTTATTTATAATGTTATATATATATATATATATATATATACGGTTTGTTTGCAAGTGTCATTGGGGATATAATGGTGCAGGTATTTACATGTTTAGAGATCTTCACTTCCCTTGAACTCCCATCTTCCTTCGTAGAGTCCCTTTGCAGTATCTGTGATCAGTGTGTTTTGTCTATGACTCACGTACACTGACTTGTCGAGCACACGTTTGCGCAAATCTGCAATGTTTTCTGAGAGAATGGGTGTCTCAAGCAGCTCTGAGAGTTGTTCCGTGGCTACTTCAAGGTCTCTTTGGTTGTCTTCAAATATGGTCTTTTGGTTGGTTTTATCCATGTAGTAGGCCATGACGTAGGACCACTTTAATGTGTTTCTAGATTGCACAATCATGTCCACAGCACGTTTCAGAAATTGCACTTCAATCCAGGTGAGATTGCTTGTTTTTTGTACTTGCAACATGGAGCTCTCTGTTTTGCGATATAACGCTTGATCCAGTTTTAATGAGTTCTGGTGGTTGGTGTAGCGAGTCCAGTACTATTTATGCTTGTCAGTACCAAGCTAATCTAGATGCGGATCAAAACTTACATGCAAGTATCGCTCAAGGCTTGCTCTCTTTCTTGAAAAGCCAGTAGTGTCCTCCCTGTATCGGTTGCAACTGTAAGCTTGGCCATTGTGCGTTTTCCAGTCGCCTGAAGAGCAATTGACATGAGTCTGTGTATGCCTGATACTAACCAACATTCGTTCTTACCCAAGCAAACCCAGCAAAACTCGTGTTTGCACTGTTTGCACCACATGTGATTACATCCGCCATTCTTTTCGATAGGTGATTGACATTTGGGACAATCCTTGGTATGACTAGAGATCCAAGTAGCTGTTGCCGAGTCCTCCTCCTTCTTTTCCCACCAATCTTTGACCATGGCGCAGTTTGCTGGCTATACAAATGCATGAGAGTTACATGATGGACTTGATGTGTTTAAAGCTGAAAAAGTTCTCTTACCTGATGGTTTTTATGATCGCATCCAAAACACATGACATGCCCACACTCACAAGTTACTGTAGGGACAGTGGTACCGAGAGAGTTCTTTGAGATGTCGCATTCAATGGCATATTTGCAATCAGGAGCTGTGCACCACTTCAAATTGGGATTAGCCTGTACATAGACCTTGTCCAACAAGCTCTGGTATCTGGATATGAGGTCAGTAACTGCAGCAGAGTCAAGTAATATCAACATACCTGATGTACATGTCATCGTCTAATACAACCTTCAGAGTAGCTTCATCCACGGCTGCTTTACATCCCTCTTGGGGGCACTGAATATTGGTGGCATCGCCCTGCTTGACTTTATCTGACAAATAGTACGAGTAGCAATCCACGCAAAACAAGTGACCGCAAGCAAGACTAACAGTTTCCAAGCCTGGCTCGTCATTGCAGCAAATCTCACATTCGAATGAAGCGCTGCAATCTCTCTTGTTGTTGCTTTCAGATACAACCTGAATACCAGCATCCACCAGTACTCTATCAGGGCCCTCCATGTACTTTTCAATGAGCTTTTCCTTGTTCCAGCAGAAATAGTGTAATAGGATGGCCGACACTTGTGGCCTGATGGCTATCCAATGTGTTTAATAACCACACAGAAATCATGGGCTGATGTTGCTCGTTTACCCAATAAAGACGCTACTTGATTCACATTGTCCTTTTGCATGATTCTCAATTTATCGACATCTTTGGTTGCGAAATCCACTTTGTAATTGTCTTCTTCAGTTGATTTATCATGAAACATAGCGTCGTCCATATCAGCATCGCTGTTCCCACTGTCCACGCTGAAAATGTCGTCGTCAAAGTCTTCGTCTGTGATGAGATGATGAGCAGCCATAAGTCTTTCTGTCTAAAGGCAATCCATGTGAATCCATACCTGGTTGCATATCCTCCAAACCTGCAGAATAAAAGGTATCCCCGGAATCGCTGGTAGTTACGTCCCGCTCATCAACCATCATGGCATCATCATCATCAGAATCTTCAAGCAACTAAGAGGTTTAGACAATAACACACACACACACACACACACACACAGGGATTAGTACAGACGAGATGTCTTGGATGGTGTCCTACCTCGATAGAATTCTCTTGAGAGGCGCCAATATCATAATCAGGCGTTTTAGGCATGTTTACAAAGAGCAGAAGAGAAGGATATGAGATGATATAAACCGATTGTTTAAAGAGTGAAATAAAGAACAAGAACAGGTTTGATTGATTTAAATCAACCACCTATCATCTGCATATTTAATTTCAGACGGAAGCCCCATTGTGATTGTACAGTCAGGGCTGCGGATATGCGAGGCATTTTCGCATTAGAGAGACATTGGTAGTCATAAGAGGAACCGTGCTGTCTGTAAGAATACGAGTACTATGTCGCAATGAGACTATTTAGCTTTGAAAATGAGATTTTCGTAAGCAAATGTCTGCCTAGTGTGCGAAAAAACGGTTGCTTATATCCAGCATACATCTAGGAGCAGTTACTCTTGAGACTGAAAAAGCAGCGGCTCACTATGTAGCATGGACGTGCTTAACATTAACATAAATGGAAACCCCAACTCACCCTGTATTGAAAAATGGATATCGGTCGGCGCCGCCTCCGTAAAAATCGGAAAAGTGATCTTGATCTGGAGTAGCTAATGTTGATGGTATGTCTTGACTTGAAATTCAGCTGGAGTATGTTTCTATACGAAAAGCCTATAAATACAGGATCAAAATCCATTCCATTATAGAAAGCCATACTTATCTAATAAAGAAATGGCTAAACAATTGCAAAATGTTCTCATCATAGGCGCTGGTCTCTCTGGTCTCACTCTGGCCAATTACCTGCAATTGCACAATATCCCATTCCAAATCTACGAGCGTGATACTTTTGCTGATGTCCGTTCCCAAGGCTGGTCCATCACGCTTAATTTCGCCCTGAAAGCATTGAAGCAATGCCTGCCTAAAGAAGCTTTTGAGGACCTGAACAGCAAGATCTCTGTGATTCCCGACAAGGATGAAGGTCTCTCGTTTGCCTTTGAGGATGCTAATACCAGCGAGCCTCTGATGTCAAGACATTTTGAGCCTGGAAAGTCATATCGTGCCAACCGTAAACATCTTCGTGATTGGCTTTTGGAACCTGTCAAGGACAAGGTACATTGGAGCAAGCAGGTACAACGGTTCCAGGAAGACAAGGACGCTGGATCCGTTACCGCCTTCTTTGCGGATGGCACTGAAGCCATGGGTGATTTGCTTGTAGCGTGTGATGGTATCTATTCTCCTGTTGCTTGCCAGCTGCTCGGTGGTAAAGAAGAGTTTGAAAAGTTGACAGAGACCCTCCCTATTGACTCTTTTGGTGTCTTGCGTTGGATGACTGAAGAAGAGTGGTCCAAGATTGCCTCAAACAATCCTAACCATATCGTGGTGTTGAATGGCAAGCATGGACTGGTGGATGGCGTGAAGGGAGAGACATTCAACATGTTCTGCTCTGTCAAAGACACTGATCGTTCTCGTCCCGACCCTTACTGTATCTTTTGGTCCGTCTCTCACGCTAGCGATTCTTCTACCACCAAAAAGCTGTCTGAAAAGGAGAATGCTGACAAGTTGGCTCTGACCAAATTATGGGCTGCTAATGGCTTTCATCCTGGCTCGCTCTATCAAGACCTTATCATGAGCACACCCGATGACACTCCAATTTACCCCATTGCTGTGCAAGATAGACAGCCCCTGGCTGAAAAGATTGCTGTTCCTGGAAGCAGAGTTGTTCTCTCTGGTGACGCTTCACATGCCATGACCATGTTCAAGGGAGAAGGTGGTAATCACGCCATGGTCGATGCTGCCAATTTGGGTGCTGAGCTCCTCAAGGTGCAACAGGGAGAGAAGTCCATCATCGAAGCACTTGACGCCTACAATGCTGAAATGATTGAAAGAAACACAAAGGCTGTCAAGGAATCCCATGATTTTGCCATCATGGTACATACAAATCCTGAACTGATGCTTAATATGATAAGAACCACTGCCTTTGACAAGAAATAAACTTATTATCGTATTATTTATTGAATCATCTTTGAGTTGCCAGCGTTGCATGTCATGTTTTCCAGTGTTTGCTTTATGATGGCCAGTATTAAATTTCTAGTCCTTCAGCCATGGAATCATCAATATGTCTCAGTTTGAGGAATACATCACATCCAAACCCCCACATGGATACCAAAGTAAGCGAACCACCAAAGTAGCGAGCATACATTCTGGCCAGTGGTAAGCCAAACCCTAAACCAGCCAACGGACCGCCAACACCGCTTTGCATTGCCATCTCTGTAATGTTTCTAAAAATGTTGGATGGGTCGTTCTCTGCATCCTCCTTTGACTTGGATACTGTGGTGTAAGAGTATTCAAACACCTTGTGGAGATCTTCGTCGCTGATGCCGTTGCCTTGATCGCGAATTCGAATTGAAATGTCCTCATGGCCCTGGCTGATGGTGATTTGGATAGGTGGCAATTCGGTTGTTCTGCCCATCTTTTTATGATGCTCTACAGTGGCTCTGTAGGAATTCTTTAACAGCTCTGTCAGAATGTACTCAAGATGGACAGGGACGTAGGTAAACATGGTATCTGTATGACCGTCAATGATGGCATCTGGGCTTTGACCATAGTTGAATTCACACAGCTCGGCAACGAAATCAGAACAGGATTTGATCAACTGAACGGGTCTGATCTGAGTGTCAATGATGCCCACCAAACCATCTGTTTGCAAGTCTTTTTGTTGCATCAATGCAATGGCTTGTTCTGCAATGAGACGGATGCCTATCCGTGCTTGAATCATGTCGTCCAAGAATCGTGCCATATCTTGCGAGTTCATGTACTGCTTGCATTCCAAGAAGCCTGTTTTTTTTTATATATATATAAGTTTCTGGCTGGTACCACTACTGTTGGATCAAACTTTTTTTTTTTTTACCTCTGGCAAGAGTGGGAATATTATCGCTATGACGTTCAACGAAATCCTTGAGCTTTTCAGTGAATTCTAAATCATCGCCAGGAGCATCGGGAAGTGCGTATTTCACCAGCGACTCGAAAGAATCGTAATACAAACTATAAATTTCTTTTATATGAGGATTGGTACCGACGATGAAAGGTAAACTTTGAAAGGCTCTTACGCGTCTCGCTAAACGCACCGGTAGTTCAGTTCGTGCGTATCGTGTGCAAGCTTGTAGACTTTCGTTGGACAGCGGTGGACGTCCAAAGCCTGCTAGTTTACCGAGGGTTACAGGGTTTACTTGTTTGCTGGCAAAGTTGGTGATTTTGTCATCGTAGAAGGCATGAGCATGAGGTCTCTCAAGAGCTTTGGATGCAATGGAACGGGCGTATTTAAGTTTGTGTATAGGATGATGAGGGATTTGGATAAAGCGAAGCATGGCAAGAGCAAGCGTAAGAGTCAAGGTTAAAGAAAGAGAGAGAAAAAGAGAGATTGAATCACTGTGAGTCAAAAAAAAAAAAAAAAAAAAAAAAAAAAAGAGATTTATCGTGAGAAAAATACCTCTGGCTGGTGAGCACCCAATGCCTGTGTGTGTGTGTGCATGTACATGATTCATTTTGAAGTGCATGTCGTCACTATCTAAAGGCATACTGGCTGTCTTGCTTATTGCATCTGTCTACCTAGAGACCCAGCGCTATGTACAACATGCCATCTGGCATAAGAGATACCATCTTCAATCCTCTTCATGTGAAAAGAAACCGTACCCAATGTTTTCTGGAAACCCAGCTTTGCAGTAACAGTCTATGCGTGTGTGCACTATTTATTAGGTGTATTGATATAGAGTACAAAAGTGTATTTATTTGATGTGGTCCTCTTCTTCCAATGAAGCGAATCCATTTGTGCTAAGCCAGGAGAAGGATATCACTAATAAACTTGTGCAAATCACATCGATGATGGCCGTTCTATTCATCATTAGCATGCATCCCTCTCATTTCTATCATGAATACTTACAAGTAAGGTAAAACATAGTTGTCAGGGTCATATTTGTACTTCCAGAATCCCAATGTCATGGATTTGCCCATTTTCAACGCTGTGAATGTCTATAAAATGGCAATCGTTAGCATCGAATAGGTGCTACTACTACCAAATACACAGCTTACACAAATCATGGACACGATAAAGTAAGTCAAAGCAAATGCAAAGGTGAAATCCAAGTGTCCAATGTCCAAAATCCACGCAATAAGCAAAAACAGAATCTGCACTGGTATATTCATCAGCAATAGTGTTGACTCGACCGTCTTGAATTGCTCTTGTACGCCCCTATGAAGGCATGTACTGATGCGAGAAGCATAAATGGATCCCAAGTTTCCCGCGAGACCTGTGTCAATACTAGGGTGAGCGTACAAATATTAAAAAATAATGATATACTGTACCACATAGAATAGGTGTTATCATGGCCAACCCCTTGAACTTTTCAACGTATCTCTCCAACACAAGACCAGCACCACTGGAGATGAGCATGGCAATGATGATGGGCGTCCAGCCAGAAAAGAGCAGGTCTCTGACATGAGGGTTTCTCCAGACAGATAAACCAAAAAATGGGATTGAAATAAACATGATCAGGAGTAAAAATGTACTTAGATTCGTCTCTAAATGAGGAAAGTAAGACACATTGCTTTTATATTGCTCTCATCCCTTACCCATATTGACTAATAAAAGATTTGCGCATCCTGCCAAAATACCAAGTGTAACAACATCACCCAAAGAAGAAGCCATGGGACAAGCAATGTTGTCTATATCACTAGCTAGTCAATACATTTTGCGTCCATCTCTCCCGTTGATATACTTTTACCAGGATCAATCTTGAGCATGCGACTGATGATTATGAGAATGCACATGAACAATCCTAGCACAAAACTCGACACTGAGGCTGACACCATGGAGCTTGCAATCACTAGCACACTTTCACTGATCGTCACTGAATCCTCTGGATGTAATAATGCGCCTAGAAATACCGAGAATAAACCTGCAATGGAGCCTGATATCAGTGCCTGCACCTGGATCAACGACAGGTTGCCCCATACAAGTGCATTTCTAGTTTCAGGATGATCCAAATCGCCCATATTCGCAGATGTTGAGAACCTTGCGGCTAGATTCATCTCGAGATTTCCTTTCAAATTCAACAGTACAGGCACCAAGATGAATAATTCTGACACTTGGGTAAACACTTTCCAATGCTGTTTTGCTCGGTTAGTTTTGGGTTGATTTCAATTCGAGTGTCGATAGTTACTTGGTATATATCCATCATCCATCCTGCTATAATCAATCCAACAACACAGATTAATAACGAAGGTAGCGCCTATTATAATATTTTAGTATACAGCCTACACTACGACTCAACTACGCCAAGAAAATAGACCAGCTATACTTTACTTGAGACGCAAGTTTATTGCCACTGGGTATCACTTCCTCTTTTTTTTGAGGCGCTTTGTAATGTATAAACGATGATGATGATGCAGAACGAGTGTGTCTGCCGAGTCTTTTTTGTTGTCCTGTTCCTGTTGAACCGCCTGCTCCTCCTCCAAGTTCGAGATGATGATCTCCTGGTGTTAATAGTTCTATTGCATCATTTTTTGCAGGATTATAATTTGGAGGCATCTCGATATTCTATAAAATGAAAGCAAAAAGAAAGAAGAAGGGCCTAAAATCGAAACTAAATGTTCTGCTTTTATTAAAGTGAAATAAAAAGATCGACTCCAATGATTTTAAGGATTTTTGTCCGACCGAAGCCAATTAAACGGAAAACACAGAAGGGTTGGTAGCAGTGTACCAAGCTTAAAAGACGTTTATGGTCTTGTGCCATGAGTTTGCAGTGCTCTTAAAGCATAAATGTGTAGTGTTGCTAGATTGCCCGAGGCTGTGAAGACGATCGGTTGGAGGATCGAGCAGGATTGGGAAGATCTCTTGTTGGTAAGAGCATGATTGAGTCAAATTCTGAGGAAGGGTTCTCCTTGATGTAGTTTTGAGCGTGTATAGCCTTATCATGTTGAGATGTAAATTATATGATTTGTAAACATACCTAAAACAATAAGCTAGCTCATTTTGCTGAATCGTCTTCACTATCATGGCCATGGTCCTTGTTCTTGTCGTAGTGATGGCGATAATTATGGTCATGATCTTTTGTACATTCTTCTCCAGCAGTCTATGTGTCTGATTCTAGTTCTTGATCTGGCGGGAGTGATTATTCAAGGAAAAGAGACAATAGGAGGGCCAGTAGTGATATGCACAGGCGCACAACAAAAGTACTGATCACAGTCGCCGCCTGCAGCGCTAGAGATTGAAACGATTGATAGTTGTGTAGTTACGAGCCTTCTATTCTTTTATGTAAGTGTGTGTAATCGTGTATATCGACACCACTATGTAAATTCTCCCGGGATAGCCCTAATACTGGTAATAAGTTTAATAGAATGTATTTACATGCTCAAAACATTACAAAAATGGCTGTGATGCGGGTGGTCCAAAGCCGAGACAATTGCTAATTTCATTGCCAAAGCAAATCAAAAAATGGTTATATATCCACATGTATCCACATGGTTTACAGCTTCAGAATACTCATCAGCGTTTAGCTCGAGGTATTTCAGTAAATACGAACGAAGCGTAATCTAAAGAATATTTGATCTATTTTTCCTTGCTCAAAATCTAGTGTACTGCGGATAATCTGCAATATTCTCAAAGATTCAGTATCCATCTCACCTTTATTGGCATAAATCAGTGAATTGGTGTAGCCATCTTAAATATCATATTGTTCATATAAGCTTTCCTTGATCAGAAGGAAAGCTCACGCGAAATGCTGCTCGAGATAATTAGCAATGATGTATCCATTTCGGTCAAGCCAATGATCGCAAGCCGGTCAACCTGTGATTTGGAAAAGCTAGATCACTCACTGTTATGCACTAGGCGCTATGGTTGAGGTCTTCACTAGCTGCTGATAGTATATACATGAGCTTGACAACACGGAATGTTTTGATTGCTGAGAAAGGCACTGGTGCTGCCAGCATCATCCGCAGCCAAAAAATGGTTAAATCCACGCTAAACAAATCTGCTCTGATTTGTTCGTTTCTAACCTCTTTGGACTTGATTCGACCTATTTTGCAAAATTTGACAGATAAGTTGTGATGATCATTCTATGCTTCCTAATGCATTCCTGAAGCAATTTTCAAGGCGCATCCAATGGTACCAAGTCATATCGATGTTCTTAATAAACTTATTGAGCAATGTGTGAAAGTATGAAAAGAGGTTTATGGCCAAAAAGTCGAAATTTTACATATCAAAGTTCCACAAAGATGATTTCAGAGGCTGCGTTGGATCGATAGAAACATTTTGATTCAAGATATACCATAGTAAAAGTTTTCATTATCAAGGTAAAAAACGCGACCGTTTGATTTTCGATGAAAACCATGAGGGATATTTCATGCTTTTTGGTCGATTTTTGACCATCTCGAAAAAGTTGAGCAAAGGTGCCAGAAAGTGCCTGCTATTCGAAAGCATTTGTTTGGTGCTATTCTGGCAACTTAAAACGGCTTCTAACGCGAGAAATTATGGCTCAAATGCATCCGATTTGCGCTGTGTTGTGTATAGTTTTGAGTAATAAGAGACAATACCGGTATACAGTATGCCTATATAGAAATTGCTCTCGTTAATACAGAAGCGGAGCATCCTAGAAACGTCAAATCCACAGTGACAATCCGCTTTTAAAGGAATCCTCCACTCTGTAGAAAGGAAAATTGAAAACCGGACAACCAGAATTGAGGTTGCTGCTCAAAGCACCAGCGTGCAACTTTATTTTTTAAAGGTATAAATCACTAGGTAAATCACAATGCAAATGCTGAAAATCCACACCCTTTCGCTTCGTCTCTTTCTTTCAGTTTCAATCTTCCATTGTTTAAAATCGTTCAATTGAGAGATAAATTCCTGCTGACACAACTCCAATTCTTCCATTCTCTTTTTACTCTTCCTCTTGACACGATACAGCTCTTGTTCGATCAGATCCATCCGATCATGAAACAGCATGTTATTGGTGCCGCTGCGATTCGCATGTGTGGTTGCAGTCGTTGTGGCAGTGCTTACGGTGTTTGTCAGGCAGTTTTCTTTATCTTCTTGCTGAGATGATGCATTGGATGTCTCTTGTTGAGTGCTGTTTAGTTGATCGTTGGACCCATGTGCATGTCGCGCTGTAGTTAAACGCTCGATTTCGTTCATAATCTTCTCAGCCATGACAGCTGTATACAGTTGCTGTAGTAGCAGACTCTGGTTCAGGTACTCCTTTTTCAACGGCATGTTCCCCACCATCATATTGTCTGACAAAACTCTTGCATTTGTTATCGCAGTGCCATGAGCTCCTTCCCGTGTAAGATTCTGCAAATCAGATAGAATTCCCTGCAACGCATCCCATACTGATCCTGAGCGATCCAAAATAGGCAAAACTGGCTGTTGATCTTGTATTGCATTCTGCTGTAAAAATTGTTCATATGCCCACACCTGCCATCGAACCAATCCACTCTCTGTTCTGTCTTTCATGACCATTCCCTTTTGCTTTGACCGTGCAATTTGTGTTCTGATCTTGCGGTTGGACGGCTCTAGCATGTCAACTGCTTCAAAGGTCGTCTCCATTAATGCACGAGTCGAGTACTGCAGATGGGGTATTGTTGGCACGATCCAATTATGCATCATTTCATTTCGGCCGATGTTATCTGATGAAAAGCATGCGCCAATTTCCTCGCCGAGCAATAGTCCCAATTCATGCTCAATGCCTAACGCCAGAGCCATGTGTCTAGCTTGGTCCACGCTGACCCATATATCACAAAATGGGAATTGCGCAATCAAGAAATCCACTTCAAAATCTGTCATTTTGAGATCAAACAGGAACAAGCCCTCTGTAAGCGTGATACCGTTTGCTTTGAATAACTGCCCTGCTGATATATAGTGCCGTTCAAATTCGTGATAAATGAGTCGATAGATGGGCGTGTTGTTTAAATCCACTTTGAAGGCAGGGTACATTCTAGTTCGATGTTTGAGCAGAGCATCAGGCGTAGATTCAATTTCCCAGTTGAAAAGTAGTTGGAACTGTAAAGGTATAGCATGGGGTTCTTCCATTGTGTTATAGAGATGTTGTACACAAAAAAAAGGTGAAATGGATTACCACATGCTAATCGTGGATTCGACAAGAAATCAATTGTCGGTTGAGTCGCCGATAGGATAATTCGTTTCAAGGAACTGCACAGTTGGATCAGAAGCAATCAGCAAATGTATCGTCCTTATAGTGCCTACTATTCAACTGCATACATAGTATCACACAAGAAGATACTACAATTATAAAAGACGCTTACTTTTTAGTGAATTGAAATAGATGTCGCAAGATATTTCGCTCATAGTATACCTACATTGCGAGCATTTACTCAAAGAAGCTCCCCTAGACAGGTTTGTGAACCAAAGCATCTATTAACTTGAAAGCTGAGAATGATTAAACTATACAATACATATACAGAAATACTGACATAATTCGTATATGGCATCCCTCATCTCATAGTTTTTGATTATCTTGCACATCTGAGCACGACATTTAGGCAATGCTTCAAAGACATTTGATGCTGTGGATGTTGGTGTCATTCGACGTTGATTTTATCTTAGAAAGCAAGATGTTAATTCCATATGCTAGCTAAAAAAAAAAAAAAAACCTATTAGCTATACTCTTTTCAAGTATCCGAAAACTATAACTTTGCCTCCAAGAGTGCCCTCCCTATATGTGCATCCCGATTGCTACTACCAGCGATCATAAGACCATCTTCGATGGTGTCGGTCCACATTTACTTTTATACTGTCATTGGCACACTCAGACCAGAGTCTATATATAAAGCTTCGTTACACGTTTCATAAACTTTGATGGGAGAGCGATAACATACACATTTGCAGTGTTTTAGAGCTAGAAAAACGTATGATCTGGTTCCTGAGCTTAATTAGGGCTCCGTTTACCATGTTATCAAAGTTCTGTAATCACGGAGAAGCAGTAGACATCTCCATCTTCTCTGAGCCTACAGATAATAGAAACCCCACTTGGCTATTCAGCATATCAGTGATCACTATGAGGTGCCCGTCGCTATTGGTAACCCTTAAACTTGAATTTCATTTGTGGTAGATTGCATATTTTAAGGGCAACATTTAGATTCGATTTTTCATTTAAAAAGCTGAATCTACATTTTTGGCCATATGCTCCAGGAAAGCCATAATTACAGAGAGTTGCATAGTGCATACATACGATCCTACAATTGCTTTATTGATCTGCTTGCTTGATCCAGGTATTTTTTTTTTCGGTTTTAATCTGTATTAATAGGAATCCTTAGTGAGCAATGGATGTGCATCAGATTCTGGGCCTGTTCGAGTTGTATTTAGATAGCAGCATTGCTCCTTTTCAAGCTAGCTGTTTTGTCTCAAGCAATGATCAACCTTTGTGATCTTGTTAGTAGTTGTTTACTCAACATTGGGAGCACTTGTATCCAAAAGGTTCTTTGTATGATATGTACATAGCACTAGATTAGTGTCACCGTATTGATATGGGTCTCCGAATGTAAAGAAGGTGATACACTGCTATAAACAGCACTTGTCTTGAGTTCCCCCACCTCAGTTTAGTGTGGGTGTATGTTGTTTTTTGTGTCATGTCTGGTTTAAAACTCATAAAGCTTAATGTGATTGATTCTGTCTGTCGGTCGATTACTCTTTGATAATGCTATTGCATACATATAGAACTAGGCAAGCGATGCATATAGTTGTACGTTACATAAGGGAAAAAAAAATAGAAAGAAGGCAAGGTGAGTTGTTTAAAACTTTCTTTCTTTTTTTTTTTCTAACTCTCTCTCTCTCTCTCTCTCTCTCTCTCTCTTTCTTTTCTTTCTACTTCTTCCTTCTCTTCTCTTGTTTTCAGGTACGCCATAGTAACATGTAGCCCCCATTTATTTACTGCTTTCTCCTCTTTTGGGAGAACAAGATGTTTATATTAACGCTGTATTCAACATGGTGTAGAGCAAACATATATACACTATGACGACAGTTAAACCTATTATTAAGCTTCCACCTCGCAGTAAATCATGCTCCACTCGTTCAACTTACCAGGACATGATGTCCCCTTATGACCCCCAATCTATTGTATCAAACGAACTCTATTTCGAGGACAAGGAGAATAGACTTCAAGATTATGACATTCAACATCTTTTGCAAGAATACGGTCTCTATCAGTAAGCGTCGAATTTAGCAGGCGATCACATAAAGCTAATATAAAAAAAACGTGCTTTAAAGGATCAAGAGAGAACGAGGTGGCGGATATTTAAGCTTCCCGGATTCCAAAATGGGTAAGTGACAAGGACAAACGAAACAGAGATTGTGATACTCAAAGCAAATACATATAGCGGATAGAGTGTACTCGTTGTTCAATGGTTACATGTTTGCAAATCAGACGGTGCTCAAATTTAGACTGTCCTTCAACGATCTGAATGACCCTCAACCTGAGGGATACATTTTGGAAATTAGACATTTGCCCACACACATGGATCATAATTCATTGTATGACATATTCCGTCCTTTTGGTCCCTTGAACATCTGTAAACCCATTGCAGAAGATGGGACGCTCAAAGGAAAAGCACTTGTTCAATTCTTTTACAAAGAGGATTCAGACGCTGCTGTCAGCAGTTTGGTAAGTAGGATTCATTTGTGGCTGTGATGAAATGTGTTACTGAACTTGTTGGTTTCATAGAACAACAAGATGATTGATGGCAACACCATGTAAGTAATGGGGAAAGATGTGAGCTAACGGGGTGAACAAAGGATCCTGTTCTATTATAAGCAGGCATTGCAATAGTTATTGAGGCCCTTTTTCTGCTTTCATTCTACAAAATCATACTAATCTAGCGTTGATTACATCTAGTCAAATTCATGCATTGATGATGAACACGTTTTCATCCTCCCGCTATATGGTAACTATACAAGCAACATATCCATATAAACTTGCTACTGACATGCACGACGACACACAGACCCAATCCATGTCAACCCCTACCTCCGGTACTACCGCCATGGTAGCAGCTGAACCTATTAAAGAAAGCACTGGCTTTGTCGACTATATGAACCTTTACGTCAAAAATCTCGATCCCACTGTCGACAATACTGATTTGTTCAACATTTTCCGCAAATATGGCCGCATTGTCTCGGCTCGAGTGATGAGTAACCCTGCCACTGGATTATCAAAGGGTTATGGTTTTGTAAGTTTCGGAAAACCTGAGGAAGCAGCACTCGCCCTGAAGGAAACAGATGGAATGCAATACCGCACCAAACCCATGATTGTAGCCTATCATGAGCCCAAAAAGCCCCGTCAAGAGAAATCAACTTCCACTACCACATCGTCCTTTCATTCGCCTCCTCCAACTGCTTCTATTGATTATGCCACAACTCCTTACTTTGAAACAAGGCATCCGCATGAAGGTAAATACCATATTTGATGGACACCTGTTGTTTCTTTGACGCATTATTGAAACACTCAGTTGGTCCTCTCGGTTTAGGCATTGACAATGTAGATCAGTTGGCCATAAATCATGTCAAGGACCTGTCAGTTAGTGGCACTGCACCACCTCCACTACGAAGAAATGTAATTATTACATGTATATGGCCGATTCAAGCAGTTATATTGACTTAATTTCTACCAGTTATCCATGGAAAACAACTCATTCTCGCCTCCACCTATTCGCACATCACCTCAGTTTGCCTCTCGCCCATCACTCGCATCATTGGCATCGGGTGCCAGTATTCAACAAGCTCCTGTTTCTGCCATGTACGAAAAGATGGAACAAGAAAAGATTTTGGAAGAGAAACCTCGCTCACTGCGTCGCAAGGGGTCTTTAGAATCAATCAGTTCTGTCATGACTGAATCAAGCGCACAAATTCAACGTCAACGCATGACAGAAGCTGTCAAACGTTGCGGAAGCTATGGCAATGATCTTCCAGACATTGTAGACATGCTCTTGACACTCAAAAAGAAGGAGAGGTCCATCTGTCTGTTCAACCCTGATTTCCTTAAAGACAAGATCAATGCAGCAGTTGAAGCATTAGAGATCTGCGAAGATGACGACGAAGAAGACGATCAAGATGAGATACATCGACAGATGATGATTGCAGAAAAGAAAAAAGAAAACAGAGGCGTTGAGATTAAAGCAAGGTACAGTTCTCAGTAGAGCTGAGTCGTATGGAAATGCTAACCTTGTACTTTTGTAGATCCTATGTTCCCAGTCCTCCCAAATCACCTTTGAAAAAGAGAAAAAGCGTGAGCCCACCACGCGTTGCCAACCGCACAGTTGCTGTTGACAATGTCGTTATACCTCCTCGTCAATCCAAAGCTATACCCATCATTGCACCTCCTATTTTAGATACACCAAAAGCTGCAGAGATCAAAGCCATGTTGGCATCGTTTGAAGGCAAGGCGATACATGAGAAAAAGCAACTTTTAGGAGATCAATTGTTTCCCTTGGTGAAGGCTACTGGCATCAAACATGCCCCCAAAGTGACCATTCGTTTGTTGGATACGATTGAACTGGAGACTTTGGCCAAGACCATGTTTGACAAGGAAGCACTCAAGACTCAAGTGGACAAAGCATTTGCTAGTTTATAATAATACCGTAACGAATTGAGAATATGTCTGCTGGAAGCATATTTTCATACCAATAAAATATCTAATATCACATCATTCTATTGTATTCTATATGCTTTCATTTGCAAACATCGGCCTTTATTAATACATTGCATTTTTTTTTTTTTACCCATTTTGTGTGCTTCACACATGCTTTTCCTTTATATAATAGCCACGTGCACGCTCCAAACCCTCAAAGTAATGAATGGGAATGTGATCTCGGAGAAAAAATGGGTAGAAGGATTCAATAAAGGGAATCGGGTTGATGACTTTTTTGAGAAAGGGCCTACACCACCAAGGATAATTGGCAGTGAGATCCTTGCTGGATGCTGACATGGCTGGATTGGGTCCTGTCGTCTTTTGATGAGATGGAGAGTAAGCAGAAGATACCACAATATCTACGTTGAGGTTGGGCTGGTAACTAGAAGGATAAATCTCTAATGGTTCTGGATTCAACATGGGATGTGTGATCTGGACAGCGTGGCCGACATGTGAGTAGTTGAAGAAGTCGGTGGTTGGCACATAGTGACCCACGGTTCTGTTGTTGTAACCAGGAGGAATGCGACATACGACATCCGACTTGTTGATGATTCTCCACAAGGTGGATGATCGAGTCAATGGCGTGTTGGAGTGAGAGGCAAAGATAGATGCGAAATCATTGTCTCCTACTGCTGGTGTGCCGATGAGATAGGCATCTCGTAATTCACATAAGGGCTCGATGTCTTGAGGGCATTTCAGCCATCTAGCAAACAAGAGCACGCCTAAAGAGGCTCCCAAAGAATGGCCACTCACCCAGACCTGAACAGGCTTCCTAGTCTTGAACTTCTTTTGCAGCTGTCTTGCCTTTTCTTCAATGGCCGATTGAATAGCATAATAAGGGTCTCTGCTGTCAGTGCCTGAATCGATGCTCGTTGGAAACAGACTGTCATAGAATCCTTCATGTGCAGATCCAAACAAGTAAGCTCGTGCATCTGTACGCTGTAATGTGGCATCTACCAAGAACTCGCTAGCAATTTGAAAGAGAGGATCAGCTATTCAGAACATGCGATACCACAGACGACTACTCACGAATAGTTTTGCGGTGTTGTTCCCTTGAAAGACACGATGATGAATGGATCTTGGCTATCGTCCTCACTATGAACAGGCCAGTAGAGACCACAAAAGGGACCTCCCAACGACTTTAGCTCTGTCACACCAGCGAAGTGAAGGCCATAGGTACGGGCTATCTTTCTAATAGACTTTTCAGACTCCCAAACCAATCTCTTCATTTCTAATTCTATCTGTTCGTATGTTTGCTTTGGCTGTTGCGTCTTGTTAAAGTCGGAGAGCGTCTTGAAGGCTTTGGTTACCTTTTTGTCCTGTCTTTCATAGATCAAGGAAGAGAGCACTGTCATTGTCTCTGCGATGGAAATATCAAATGTACGATGACGATGATCGACATCACCTTTCATTTGAGTTGCATCTGCCGTTTTACCTAGTACGAGTAGTGTCGTTTGAATTAAGCGCCTTGTGTCAGGAGAAAGCAGCAATTGAGGAGCACCCCAATTGATAATACTAAGGTCTGATCAAAATACAGCATGTTAAAATCATGAAAGGCCAGTGTGATCAGAGTGTTGCTACTTACTGTGCCCATAGTCTTGGCTAATGCGTTCCACGAGCTTTGCACCACCTAAATAGTCCATAAATATCTTGAGGCCAATTTCGAAAGCGAACAATGCGCTGCTCAGTGTAGGATAAACAAGGATAAAAGCCAAGGAGCTCAAGGGCGAAGTAAAGATGGCAAACCAATTAAAGTAGAATACAAGAAACAGATTCTTGTAGACGCCTATTGCATAACGCCAATAGCCACTGGGCCGGTACTTGTTGCTCGTCTTTTGCTGAATGTAGTGAACAAAGTAGATGATATACTCAACGACTGTCTGTGGTTTAGGCATATCTGGACGAGGATGCTGGCTCATGAGATGGCTCTCTCTGGACTGGCTTAGCAGCTCGGCGAAATGCTGTTGCGAGCAATTGTTCACGTTGAGGAATCCATGATCATCGTCAGGTGTAGTGTCGCTATTGTGATCGTCGTCTTTGAATATATGGTCTATCAATGAATGTTTCGTCATCTAATACTGCTAGTGGTAGAAAGAAAGAAGTGCAGCAGAAATCAGCCCAGAAAGGGCTATTTAAATGAATACACCTGAATAGCATTTATGTCTTGTCGCACAAACACTGGTCTTTGGGGACATTGGTCAAGTCAACAAATGTCCTCGAGTACTAGCTCTTTTGTATTTTACTTGATTCAAGTCGTTTGCAGTATCGCCGATGCCAATGCAGCGTCAGAGAAGCTTAATCCCATTCTGCAAACACTCAAGGGGTGAGACACACTACTTGATCGCAATGGAATTACTATTAACATACAATTTCGCTGATTGTTTACCGAGACAATGATCGATGAGCTCACTACAAGATGAGCAGCACTCAAATACCAATAGAATATGATTACTAGCAATCGTTACTGACGATATGAGCTGCACAAAACACAAACAGTAGAGATATATGCTTGATTTGCGCGTTACACACGTCATGAGTCTGTTACAAAAGTGGTTGCTGCGTGTGATGCGTCCAGGTTGGGGGGGTTTTTTACCTATTTTCTACCTGTCTACACCTATATCCATATATACAGCAACATAGCTGTATATTACTATACCAAAGAGAACCTTGAGATGCTGGGATCTGAACCTAATGTAACAAATACAACAGGAAATGGAGCCACCTGTAGTCCTAGACTCATGATTTGCATCATTGGTTTTTGTAGAGAGAATTGCTAAAGGATTCCACACGACTAGCCGCATTCCTGCAAGAGTGCTTAGCGTTAGGAAGTCTTAGAGTATGACATTGCGTAGCTCAACGATATGAAGAGCGATACTCACGCTTGAGATAGGGCTTCAAGCACTTTGAATCATTCGTCAGAGGAAGGGAAGAACTCGTTTTATGCATTTACACCAACAACTATACACCAAAGCCTTCTGTTATCATGCCAAAAGACGTGCTCAATAAATACTATCCTCGGTAAGCTTCTAGTATCATCTCGAGATCAGCACTTTGTCAACGAGCATCATCTCTAGAAGCAAATTGTCTCAATGGAAATCGCCTGAATCCCAAAGCCCATTGGACGAGGATTTTCGACAGGTACCATCTTGCAAAATATCATTTTCAGGCACAACTCAACATTTTAGATGCAGGAAAAGAACAAAATCATATTCCTTGTGGCAGGATATGCAAAATACAGATGTCCATATGTCTGGGTAAGCCTATGAGAGGGGGGGAATGCTCCGTTGCAGGATGCTAATGGGGCTCTTTAATACAGTTAAGGTCCCATCATGAACAACTGATTCGAGCTCAAACAGGACACATTGAAGAGGACGACAATCCCTTACAGTTACAAAAGACGAACGAATGGAAGACTAGCAGTAAAATGAATTAGAAAAATGCCTCATTTGGTTGACGTAACTAAAGTCTAAATGATATCATGTATCTATAGATGTCTCGTTATGGGAAATGGTGGCTGAAATCTTGCTCATGACAACGAATCCAAGAAACCCCTTTCAGCTTGATCATGACTATATTAACAAGCTGCCTGTCGAGGAATCCATCTTACTGACAGGTTCGCTACTGGCTTTTCTGGAAAATGTCTGGATACAAGCCGACCCAAGTATCGCATTCCTGGATGATTGTAAGTAGCATCCTTGTTGCTATTTCCGAGATGACTAAAAAGAAACTGTATATAGTGCATACCGAAATTCAAGTGTTACAATCCAAGCATATTGAGAACATGTATACATACAATTTAAAGAATAAAAACTAACGATTCAGCTCTAGATTCTGTTGTGGGATACACCAGAATTTAAGATTTGAGAAGGAGCCATACCCGATCTATACTTATGCCAGATGTATATAGTTCAAGTGTATCATCTTGTTTGATTCCAATGAATCCATTCAGAATCTGCTGTTCAAATTAAGGTTTTCTGCCCCTTTTTTGCGCGTATTACATGTAATTAGCATCACAGATAAATACCGGGATACAGGCAGGTTATTCCGAAACGGCATACCCATAATGATGATGGTACTGCTGTATCAACACTCTACAATATAATTAGAACATGACGCATGTATATCAGCAGAAAATCAAGTATAAATAGCATCCTTTTAAGCGACTCTTGCGCTTCTTCTCTTCATCTTTATTACCTAAACTTCTCAAAATGACTGGTACCATGTATTTCATCAAAAGTCAAATGAACGGCCGTGTTCTTGATGTGAGTGAAGGCTCGACTGAGGTAAGTTGTCCTGTATTTACCCGTGTCTATCGATACCAACAGCAAGGTATTATGAATAGGATGAAGCCCCTATCATTGTCTATTCTCAAAAGAGCGAAGATTGCTTGAACCAATTGTGGCGTTACGAAGATGGCTATCTCATCAATGCCAACTCTGCCAAGGCGCTTGATATCAGTGGTGGTGAAATGCAACCCGAATCTCCTATCATTCAATATGCTCAAAAGATGTCTGAGGAAGCCGCTAATCAAAAGTGGGAAATTGACGATGAAGGCTATATCTGTTGTGCTGCTCGCCCTGATTTAGTCTTGGATATTGCCGAACGTAATGACGAGGATGGCGCTGCTATTATTTTGTACTCGAAGCGCGAGGGTGAGATTGCCTCTAACCAACGCTGGTTCTTGGAGGAGTACTCTGGTTAAATTTAGCATCATTTTTAATAAACAAAGATTACAAGTAGTGGATGTTATTTCGCGCGCGCATGAGGCTTCATCATGTTTGAGGAGATGTTAACGCAATTTGTCAACTGATGGCCTGAACAGGCAGTATCATGACGCCTTGTTTGTAGTAGGCAGCTCAATAACGAATTAACGAAGCAAATCCACAATAGCTTATGGTGAGCTACCAAAATTGATACCACGGGCAGTTGTATTTGCGAGTGCTTTTGTATGTAAAAACATGAGAGCTTCTACTACATGTGAGTACTCAAAACCATCTACTATTTGAAGCGTTGCACCATATCATAATTTCAAGCGCACAATTTATTTTAGGGACAACATTGTGAAGCAATTTCACTACAAATAATGAATGCAACATAGAAAGTTGCATTCGAGACATAGCAAGCAAAAAGGTGACTGAATCCATCCTCATGATCAACTGTGATGTATCTGAAATTGAGCACTACGTATGCTTGGTAAAAGCCATTCATTTGTTTATAGAGACAGTTGGAAAGTGCTGCGCATACAAACACATTGTCTAGGCCTACAAAAGCACTATTCAGCAGACACTATCCAAACCTACAAACGACTATTCAAGCAATAGAAACGCTATCCATGCCGAATATGAAACTAGACAACATTATTCAGACTACTGAGAACACTGTGCAGCACTATTCAGGCAAAAAATAGCGTCATGCAAGTCTAAAACACATAGTTCAGGCGCCAAACGGATAGTCAAGCATATAAAGCATTAGCCAAGTTGGAATCTCCCATTAACCTGGTTTCGAGACATTGTCCAGGCGTACACAATACAAAAAATCTATCCAATGCTCTATATGGATGCGATGGAGTTCGGGAAAGGGGAGAGAGGAGGGAGGGCGAGGGACACAACAAGTTGACATTCCCTTTGTACGACTCAATCTTACACTCGCAACACCCACTGATCAGCCTATATTCATGCGGTGCTTTCATTTCCACTTGTATATGAAATGACTCGATTAAAGCAAATACATCTGATCTACAAGCCAGACTCTATTGCAATCTGATGGCATGTGCACTTTTTGAAGTGATCCAATTGTAGATACGTATCAAAGTGTAACACCAAGTTTATCATCTAAATAAACAACCCTGTAGGCTGCTTGTGCACTTTTACTCTCTCTCACACCACACAAATAGAGAGATCCTCCCTAAAAATGAATTAATACCCCTTACTTCTATCTTGATTGTCTCCTTTTTTTTGTAATTATTATTATTATTATTGTTGTTGTTGTTGTTGTTGTTGTAGTTTCCTTTAATTCTGGTTCAAGTTGAAGGGAATCGTTTGCTTCTTCTTTTTCCTTTTCTCTTTTTGCATTCTTTTCTGAGCTTTTCTACACCACATCGATACCATGCCAAATACAAACAACGACAGCGATATACCTGAAAGAATAGCAGCTGCAAGGAGAGAAGCAGAGGCACTGAAAGAGCGTATCAAACAACGTAAAGAAGCACTGGCTGACACAACTTGTAAGTGTTCTGCTCAACCGTTGATGCCGACATGCAAATCTAATATACACATCTAGTGCAAGAAATGGCCAAAGATATTGAGCCATTACCACGTATTGTCATGAAAGCCAGACGCACACTGAAAGGCCATTTGGCCAAGATTTATTCGATGCATTGGGCCTCTGACAAGAGACATCTGGTATCAGCATCGCAAGACGGTAAGCTCATTGTATGGGACGCCTATTCAACAAACAAAGTGCATGCCATTCCGCTTCGATCATCTTGGGTCATGACTTGCGCCTATGCACCGTCTGGTAATTTTGTTGCTTGTGGTGGTTTGGATAACATTTGTTCGATTTACAATCTTCGCACACGCGATGGCCCTGTGCGTCCTGCTCGTGAACTATCGGCGCACAATGGTTACCTTAGCTGCTGTCGGTTCATCAATGACCGCCAAATCTTGACAGCGTCTGGTGACATGACCTGTATGCTGTGGGATATCGATGCGGGTGTCAAGACGGAAGAGTTTGCGGATCATACAGGCGATGTGATGAGGTAAGGCATTGCATGCTTTTGTGCTCAAGTCAACGTACCACTGATACGGATTCGATACAACAGTCTGTCATTAGGCACAAATCCCAATGTGTTTGTCACTGGTGCTTGTGATTCCACAGCCAAAGTGTGGGATATTCGCACAAAGAGATGTGTACAGACATTTGTGGGTCATGAATCCGATATCAACGCCGTTCAGTTCTTTCCCGATAGCAACTCATTTGCAACAGGCTCTGATGATGCTACTTGCCGCTTGTTTGATCTGCGTGCCGATTGTGAATTGAGTGTTTACTCACATGAGTCCATCTTGTGTGGTATCACATCGATTGGGTTCTCTCCTTCAGGCCGTTTATTGTTTGGCGGCTATGATGATTACAATTGCAATGTCTGGGATACACTCAAGTGTGAACGCGTGGGTGTATTGTCTGCTCACGACAATAGAGTCTCTTGCTTGGGCGTCGCTGGAGACGGTATGGCCTTGTGTACAGGTAGTTGGGACTCTACTCTCAAGGTCTGGGCCTAAGCTTGTATTGACACTAACAACAACAAAAACTTGATTTCGATACGCTGGCTACTCCTTAATTCTCTTCCAGTGTAATGATTTGTATGAGCCTTATTCTCTCTCTCTCTCTCTCTCTCTCTCTCTCTCTCATTCTGCGTGTAATTCATCTCCTTTTACCCTCTATTTCTCCATTCAATGCCCCTATTTTTCTCTCTCTCTCTCTCTTTCTTTCTCGCATTTCACCAAGCAAATGACACTCTGCTTATCCATCATTAACGGGATAATTTGGATTTCTTTTTGTAAATTAAACTCAAATAAAGAAAATACTTATAAAGACAAGGATAACAAGACGTTTTGATCTTTTGCCACCATGAGAATGCAAATTAAAAAGGGGAGGGGGTTAGTCGTGACCATGGAGTATGTAGAATAAAATATGTATAAGGTATAATAGATAGCAGATAAATATAAATATATATATATATATATATATATATAGCAGGAATTGAATATGCACAGAACATTACGCAACATGTGGATAACGTTTAAGTTGAGACGAGGAGAGTGTCGAATGATGCATTGATGAGGCACCAAACAACCTACCGATAAAGCCTTGTGATTTGTCATTAAACGAGTGTCGTCTCTCTTCCTTGAAATTCATCAGGTAATCATGCACTGTGTGCGATGAAGCCCTTCTCTGTAATTTGGGTGGTATAGACAGGGATGAGCAAGACGATGACCAGGAGGAAGCAGCAGATGATGTTTGCGGTGTGTTTGAAACCAGCAGAGGCAATTGTTGTTGTTGCAACTCTGTCACGCGTTTGATGGATAGGGCTAATGGATCTTGGAACTGTTTAACACACTTGTATTCACGATTGACCCTGTCTAGTTCCTTTGTGAGTCTTCGCATGTTGTCAGGATGGTCCAAGTAGTTTTTATCGTCTGCCAAAAAAGACTGTCTCTGCAACATCAGCTTATGTTGTGTCCGACTTAGTTCTGATTTACAATGAACAGATGATGAACGGGATGAACTTGATCTTTTCATGACTAAACCTTCATGTTCCACGCTATTGGTGGAGGTGTACGCCAATGCATTGTACGTTGTGAGCTGTATGCTTGGAGGCGACCTTAGTAGAGACGGTCTTGGATTATGTTGATTCATGTTTATTAGACTTGTAGTAAAAAGAGAGATAAAAAGAGAAGGAAGGAAATAAAAAAAAAAAAAGAGGGAGCTACTAATTATTGTTATTTACTATACACATTGCTCTCCCCTTTATATAAGTGTAATTTCATCTCACATGACACTCCCTCTATTGCTTATTTGTTTGTGTCATTTTTCAAAACCATCTTGCTGATCAAGAGTCTTCCAAGCTTGAATTTTGCTAGAATCCTTTGAAGGACGCCTAGAATTGCATGTGCCACTGGGCTTTGTTTCTTGTATAAAAATAATAGTAGAATAGAAGCTGTCAGTAGGTTCATCACAGCATGCTTCACCGCTGCCTATATTTCATGAATTCAGTATTTTTTTTTTTTTTTTTTTTTTTTTTGTCTTTACCTTGTAGACCCATTTCCAACCATCCTCATCTCCACTACCAGCAGCAGTGCTGGGTTTCGCAAGTCGTTTGGATGCTGATGCTGCATCCCTAGCAACCAATTCCTTTCTCAGTCCATCGATCCGCTCATTCAATGCTTCAATCTCTTGCTGCAATGCTTCCAGGGCTCTCTTGGTAGCAGGTCCTAACACTGTCTGCTCATGCTGCTGCTGCTGTTGTTGTTGTTGTTGTTGTTGCTGGCTGTTCAATGATGCAAATTGCTGTTGTGTTGCTGTTGCAGAGGATGATGTGGTGCTCATGGGCGATCTGTACAATGTAGAGAGATCCTGTTGACTATCTTGCTGCTGCATGGATGGCACTTCCTCCATTCTGTATTGCCGAGATGAAGGATGGAGCACCCAAGGATTCACATTGTCATCAAAACTATCCTCGTACAGTTCTCTTTTGGCCATTCTCTGCTGCTGCTGAATGCCGCTTCGTTTGCTCATATCTAATCCTGATCTAGCAGATGCTGCTGACACGGGGCGTAATGTGGTGCTGTTGGATGATGAAATTGAGAGTCGTCTCAGTTCTGAGGGTGCTGTCATCATGGACATGCGACCTGACTGGGAAGAAGCACGGCTAGAGGGTCTCTGTTCCTGTTGCCATCTGGCCTTGTGTTGCGCGGGTGATGCTAGTGGGCGACGGTTCATCATGGGCGTTGATCTCTGCACTTGTCGAAGGTACGCTCGTTCCTCTGCCTCTGCTGATCCTATACTGGATTCATCTTCGTCTCTGTCATCGCCGTCTTCATCGTCGTCGCTGGAGGAGTCGCCACTGTCGCCTGATGGCTGCATAACGGCAAAGGATTGAATGATTTGATGAGCTTGTGCCCTGCCTGCAGGTTTCTTATATGCCTACACAAGATGCATTGTTGAACTTGGGCATTCAATCAGGACATCCACAATGAGTATACCTCTTTTGCTGCTTGCAGTAGTGTTTCGACATATCTATGTTTTGCTTCCATTTCACTGATGCCTTCTAATCTTTTCCAGGCATCCCTAAAATACAATTTATGTTTAGTCATTGCAAACGGAAATTTTCATATGTCAATCAAAAAAAAACTACCATTTCGCTCTGCCTACAACATCAAAGATGCCAGGCCGTTGGGTATCTATATCTCCATGAGATACTTGCTTATACAGGGCATACAGCTGTTGTTATCAAGCATTGAGTCTCTGTCTCTTTTGGTCGAGTGTGTGTGGTTTGAGTGGCAGAAAATACCTCTAATTTTTGATCTTTTGTCGGCTGAACATTGGATGAAGACGGCAAATGCTGTACAATGTAGAGCGCTTTGTTATATCGCTGATTGATGTATCTGTTCGAATAATGAGTTGGTATAAAACTCATGCTTTGGTATTTTGTTTGAAGGATTGTAAAGGGGTGTGTAGAGAGAGAGAGAAAGAGAAAAAAACGACAGCAAGTAGTGGGAACTGCCTTGCACACGGAGACTGAACTCGATTATTGTTGTCTCTGTGGCACACGATATCCAGATATACACCATGGCTACTATTACCACTCACGGCTGCTCTGTCCAATGATTTAGATGAGATTCATCTCAATGTATTTTTCTCTGTTCTTGGGGCATAACCAACTTTAGGCGTGAAGCTTATGACATTTTTAGATGGTGATCTCGTTACAAAAGGCAATTGTCTGCGGCTGCTACTGGAGCGATTTGGGAGCGATCTGTCCAGTCAAACCTTCATGCAAATGAATCAACTGTTGATGAATCAAACGCTCGCATTTGATCTCGATTTGAGCGGCTCTCACGGTCATTTGCCAATGCGTCGACATTGGATATATGTGTGCTTTATGGTATGAATGGTTGCAGTGCTGTCGTATCATACATTAACACAATAGTGAACTGAACATGTATACATCATATCAGTATGGGCGTTTACAGGTGCAAGCCCAAGATGTGTTTATATATGAAATCATAGACGTCATGCCAATGTAAGGGTAAATAGGTACACAACAACATACGAAATGCCTTTTCGGCATATATCGCGTTGATGGATTCAGAGTGAAGTATCGAAAACCAACGAACTTTATTTTGCTTTATATGATTATGAACCAAAATATACTGTAAAAGCTATATCAGATCGACAGCCTCAAAATTAGCACTCAAATTAATATAAAGTGTTGCTTGCATAGTTTCTATGGATCATCATCATAGTCACTATCGTCATCATCAAGACGAAAACATATCGTCACTTGGCTCAAATGCATAAAATAGAAAGGTACAGCAGAAAACAAATATAAACAGAGTCTAAATTTCATAGACAGTGTCAAACATACATCATCATCGGTAGTGAGAGAATCACTGGGAGTATGCAGACAATGAGCACATTTGCAGTGTAGCTATAATAGGCAATAATTTCATGATGACAGAATGACTGAAGCTGGACTTGTTACGAAATGGAGTATATAAAAGAAGCCAACAAGCACACGAAAAAGACTCTATTTTTTAACCATTTTATACATACTTCATCATGGCTACTCATTCACAACAACAACCTCATCAACAAAATCTCAAGCAAAACCCCAATATCAATAAGCATGATTTGCCTCTGAGTGAGACTGACCCCAAGGCGGCCAAGCAAAAGTCCGCTGAACAAAAGCTGCAGTTGTTCGGTGCTTTCCAGGCTATGCAAAAAGACGGAAGAATGCCTCACAACCCTGAATTGGACGACCTGTTGGGCAAGTTAATGACAAACAAGGTCATTTCTTCAAGAGAACATTTGATGTCTGAAGATGGCAGAATCCTGTTGAAGGATTTCCGCAAGTTGATCGGCACTATGCAAAAAGCTTTGAACGTCAAGAACAAGGACGAGTTGTTCCAGTCTCTCGTGTATCATCTTCACTGTATGGAAAGCCCTATCAACAAAGGTAAGCTCGCATAGGGCCTCAGATAGCGTCCTGTATGCTTACATTACTATCAGAGCACATCAATCAACAAGTGAAGTCTACTGACAAAACCGCAATGCAAAACGAAGGAAAGAAAGGTAATACATTACGTAATGTGAAGCTCAAGTTTTGGCTTTGATCTGACCACTTCTTTTTTTAGCATCGGAATCCATGATGCAAATCGGCAAGCTTATTCTTCTCAACAACGAGTTCCGTTCTGTGTTGGGTGAGCTTATTGATATTGCTCAAGACATTTTTAACAGTGTCGCTGGTAAGGCTGGTGATTCGCTTCAACAAGCTGGCTCTGGCCTTCAAGATCACAACAACAGCAATGATGGCAAGTCTGGCAAGCACTTTGTCGATAATGCTCTTGACAAGGCCTTAAGCCATAGCAACGACAACAACAACAGCATTGCTCCATCTCATGACCATACCCAGCAACACCACTCCTCCTCTTATCATGATCGTGAGCCTCATCTCGTTGATGTCCCCAAGGATGATTCTCGTCACCAAGGCCTCCTGAATACCGGTGATTCTGTCCATCCCAACGCTATTCCTGGTGGATTTCCTACTGTAAATAACAACACTGCTCCAGGTGGCGGCATTCTTGGTGGACACAGTCAACAACAACAAGCACCTCAAGTACCTTCTCATCACACACCTCCCTTTGACCACAACGTGGACTCCCATACTGCTCACAACATGAGTGGTGAACAGCCTCGACAAAATTATACCGAACAAATCCAAAACCATCCCAAATATCAGCAAGCTCAACAACATTATAATGAGCACAAGGAGTTTGCTCAAAACACCGTCAAGGAAAAGGTTCCCAAGGAGAAGCAAGACGAGCTTTTGCGTCGTCTTCAAGATGCCCTTACCGAAGTTCAACAGCACCCTGAATATCAAGATGCTATCAGCACCCTTATTCATTTGATCCAAGTCTGGTCTTCTCGCTTGACCAAGGTCTCTTCTGATGTTATGTCCAAGGCCAAGGAAAACGACAAGCCTGAGCAAATGAACTACAGAGAACAATCTGAAAAGGAGCTTAAGGCTATCATTGAATGCTGGGCTCAAGGTGCCTCCATTGATCCCTTGCTCCATGGCGTCCAAGATGTCATGCGCGATATGCAAAACGATGAGCATCTCCGTGATTACTACCACACTGTCATGAATTACGCTGATCGCTTGTTGAGAGAGCCTGGCTATGCTCAAAAGGACAGCTCTACTGAGGAAGGAAGAAAGCTCATGGACCAAGGCAACCACATTATTAAGGGCCGCTACAAGGAACATCTCAACTTCTTGTCATCTGAATCTCGCAAGTATATGAATTTGATGGCCGAGGATGAAATCTCCAAGGAGCTCCATGCTCGCATTGCAAAGATCCACAGAGATCTCTGGATGGATAAGGAGGTAAGCTGTGGTGGTGTATATGACAAGGCGCATCATTTACTGACATGATAGATTAGGGCAATCCTGCTTTCAAGCCTCAACTCTTGAACGACATGAGAATGACCTTGCTCCCTGCCTTTATTGATGAGATCAAGTACATTCCCATTCCTCGTATCGAATACAGCGATCCTCAATACGATATTGTCATTGAAAACCTCATTCTCTCGGGTGATTCTTTGCTTCCCAACGTCTTTGACTCCAAGATTGAAAGCTTCAACAGCTTTAGCCTCAAGTCTGAAATTCAATCCAAGCCTAGCCATCAAACCTTGTTTGTTCGCATGAGTGAGATTCAAGCTGAAATCGATGATGTTGTCTTCTTTTACAAGAAAAAGACTGGCTTCCCCAAGCTCTCTGATCGTGGTGTCGCTTCTCTTACTGTCGGTGGCAAGGGTATTTCTGTTGCTACTCGTATCACTACTGTCTCTGATAACCCAGCCAAGACATTCAAGGTCGCTTCCTGCAAGTGTAACGTCGATAATTTGAAGGTCAAGGTCAATGACAGCAACCACGATATCTTGTACAAGGCTATTCGTCCTTTGGTTATTGGCCAAGTCAAGAAGCAAGTATCTCGCGCTATTGAGGAGAAGGTTGTCACTATGATCAATCAACTCGATCAAAAGGTCACCAAGTCCATTGTCAAGATGAACCAAGATATGCAGATGAAGGCTTATGAAGCACTTCCTGAAGAAGAGAAGGCTCGTCAACAACCTCCCTCTGTCTCCATGGCTCGTCCTCGTCCTGGCCTCTTCTCCACCGTTGTCAATGTGATTAATCGTAACATCAAGACCAAGGTTCAAAAGCGTAACGAAGCCAAGCGATTCAGCCGTTTGTCTGAAGACAGTGGTAGCTCTCGTCCCATGTCTCAATTTAACGATGAAGAGAAGCGTCAAGTTGCCGGCTCTACCAGCCACCACATGCCTGTTGTCAATGCTGCCACTGGTGGCCTTCGTCACTCTGAACACGGTAACCGTGGTATCCACTTGGATGACTCATCTCAACACTCTGGTTTGCAGCATCCTCAAGTCAGCCACAATTTCCCTCCTGCTGCTGAAGGAGGTATTCAACAATATCCTCAACAGACTTTTGGTAACACCCAAGAAGATCCTGCTCGTGTCAAGGAGCCTCATCATCAAAGACTCGATAACGTAGCTGGCATTCCTGAGCACAATACTCAATATGCCTCCAACTTGGCTGGTACCAATCAACCTCTTCACCAGCAACAAGGTCTCTCCAACGTTGCTGGTATCCGTGAACCCAATGTTCATCAACAACATGGTTTTTCAAATGAGCCTCATCTCAACCAACAACACGGTCTTGGTAATGTCGCTGGCATCAATGAACCTCACCATACTCAACACGGTCTTGGTAATGTCGCTGGCATCAATGAACCTCACCATGCTCAACACGGTCTTGGTAATGTCGCTGGCATCAATGAACCTCACCATACTCAACACGGTCTTGGTAATGTCGCTGGCATCAATGAACCTCACCATGCTCAACACGGTCTTGGTAATGTCGCTGGCATCAATGAACCTCACCATGCTCAACACGGCCTTGGTAATGTCGCTGGCATCAATGAACCTCACCATGCTCAACACGGCCTTGGTAATGTCGCTGGCATCAATGAACCTCACCATACTCAACACGGCCTTGGTAATGTCGCTGGTATCCATCAACAACCCAACTACCAAGAACAACAAGATTACCAACCCGGTTATACTTCATCCAACGCTGCTTCCATGGCATCTGATCGCCACAACGTTGTCAGCCCTCCTGCCTCTCCTCCCAAGAAGCACGATCCCAACAACTTTAAGTTGGCTACTGATCTTTCCAATGCTCAAAACGAGTATCAACAAAACCAAATGTCTGCTAGACAATTGTAAATTTCTACCTTCATTACTGCTACATATATAATCTTTATCAATCAGTTAATAAATAAAAGAATCTAATTTTTGTAATAAATTCAGAAGCTGCTGACTGCAGCGAAAAGAGCGATTTCTAAGCTTTTTGGAGCTATTTGAGTTTGAATATGAAGAAATATTTTGAATCAAATTTGTTCTAAATCGACATTTTTGGAAAATTTACAATCTTTAAAGAATTTTTACATCCCAAAGAGGGATACTAAACATTCAAAGGTATTCTAACAAAATGCATACAGTCAGACATGCTCTATTTTATGGCATTTTTTACTTTAATCATTTCGTTGAAAATTACATAGATAATCGCAATAAATTGATTTTGGAGTTTACAGCGAGGAAGTCAAAAACTTGGCTTGCATGCTCCAAATAAACGTTTTCATCAGATCAAGACGAGCCTCTGCTGCATTTTCATCTGATATATACATTAGTAAAAAATCTTGTTTTCGGCTGAAAAATCGACATTTGTCAGGTTTGCGATTTTTCCCTTGCTACTACAAGGCCAAAATCGTCGAATTTTGAGGTGGAAAAAAAGTCTTCCGAAAACTTATACATGTGTATCAGATCAAATCTGCAACTCTGTAGCATTCATTCGATACCATTTTTCAGGCTAGAAATGGCTTCTGACTATCAATTTTGCGCATCTAAAGTGTGAAAATACGCTAATCTGAGAGATTTGAGGGTATATTCCCAAGATTGCATTCGTTTATGGACATATACATAAATGGATCTTATGCATCTGATACCTAGTTTTGCTTTTATAACGGTACGTATTAAAAACTATACCTTGACATCTACAAAGCTGCTCTGTTTTAGTGATACGTGCCTTCAAATGCTGTGATGATTTCCATCCGATCTCTCAAATCTAGTAGCGCCTTCTACTAGATAAGCGACAGCAGTGAATGTCCCGCCTATATAATAGGAATCAAACAAATATACACTTTTCTTTTTGTGCCAAAGAGATATAATATATACAACTGTTGACATCAGCTACCCTATACGAGCGAGATGCATCACTAAAAGCATCCCTTGAGCACGGTTACACGAAACATCATTATTATGCTTGGTATGCGTATGCTCATGTCTCGGACGCATTTGTTTAAATATACCCGGCTAAACCCTTGAGGAGAAACTTTCGCGTATAAAAGCCTGTCATCATTATGAAGCATGAGATAAGCTTTACATCTCTTTTTCGTATATTCTTTCTCAAAATGTCTGGTACAGTTCCATCGCTCGCTGCAAACATTGAGAAGCCTCCTGGCACACCAATTGACCCTGCTGATGCTGAGCGTGTCAAACTTTTTCAACCATTCCAGCAAAAATCTGTTACCTTGCATAATCGTTTGGGCGTTTCTCCTATGTGCATGTACAGCTCTGTCGATGGCCATTTGAATGATTTCCACGTCTTGCATTGTAAGTCTTCCTATATCCCATTCATTACCATACTCATTCATTGTGTGCATAGATGGATCTTTAGCTTTAAAGGGTCCAGGCATCGTCATGATTGAAGCCTCGGCTGTAGTTCCAGAAGGTAAGATTTGCTAGGAACTGCTACAGGGAGCTTAACCACTAACTTTACATCGCGTTGCTTGTAGGCAGAATTACGCCTCAGGATAGTGGTAATAGATCTTTCTTGTAATGTCTTGATGAAATGCGTATGTTAACTTGTTTATCAAGGTTTGTGGAACGACTCACATATCAACGATTTGAAGCGTGTAGTCGATGTTATCAAATCACAAGGTAGTACACCAGGTATTCAGGTAATATAAAGCTGGATAGGGGGCGTATTGGATCACACAAACCTAAACAAGATGTATACTTTCTTTATCAGATTGCACACGCTGGTAGAAAAGCATCCATGTCTCCTCCTTTCAAAGGCGATTACCTCGAAGCTGAAGCTGATGGAGGCTGGCCCAATAGTGTCGTCGGTCCATCTGATAACGCTTACGCTCCTCATTACGCAAAACCCCATGCTTTGACTGTGCAAGAGATCAGACAGATTGTTCAATCGTTTGTCGATGCTGCCGTTCGCGCTGATAAGGCTGGCATTGAAGTGTTGGAAATTCATGCCGCTCATGGGTAAGGCATCCATTAAAGTAAAATGCACGACAATATCTCATATTTGATGCCATCCCTAGATACTTGCTCAGCAGCTTCTTTTCGGGTAACTCCAACAAACGTACTGATAAATACGGCGGTAGTTTTGAAAACAGAATTAGATTTGGTAGCCGTAAACCTTGATTTGTTTGTATAGAACCTTAATTTAACCGTGCATGAAAAATACAGGTTTGGAAGTTGTCAAGGCGGTTCGCGATGCATGGCCCGATCATAAACCACTATGGGTTCGTATCTCGTGTGCTGAATACGTTAACCCTGAGCCCATGGGTAGCGATCCTGATGGCTGGGATATCTACCAATCTTGCAAACTGGCAGCCGAATTCAAGAAATTGGGTGTGGATGTGGTAGATTGCTCTAGCGGCGGTAAGCTGATTATGGCTGATTCAACATTGGATAGAGAGCTAAACACACATATTATAGGCAATGTCCAGGGTGTCAAGTATCCTAGTACCCCCATGTACCAAGTCCAATTCTCTGAAGCCATCAAAAGAGAAGCAGGCATCCAAACAGCTACTGTTGGATTGATTGTAGAAGGCACTGACGCCGAGCAAATTCTGCAAAAGAATCAAGCTGATTACATTTTAGCAGCACGTGAATTCTTGAGAGACAGCGCATTTGTCTTGGTATCAGCACAAGCATTGGATGTCAATATCAAGTTTCCCAACCAATACGAATGGGCTGTGCGCAAAGCCAGACGCCATAACACCACCAAACCAGATGAATCAAAGCATGGTAGTGCTGTCAAAATGACCTCTATCCCATAAATTATGATGCTATACAAGCCTTTTTGCATAAATAAAATTGAATTTTTGAAACATAACTAGTAGACAGACAACATAATGGGACATGTCTTGGCCCATTTTGACATCATAGCCCTTGTTTTAACAAAAGTGAGAACCCTGTTTTCGATCCATTTGTTTCAAAAAGAAAAGGGCTCCTATAAAAACACTTGAGATCAACCAAATCAATCCATTTTTTGCTTTTCACTTCACAGCAATCCATAGCATGCGTTTTGCTTTTCCTACAGCAAGCATTCTCTTATGCTTAACAGCTATCAGCGCACAACAACAGCAGCAAAATTCTAGTAACAATGTTACCATTTTGCAAGCATTGAACGACACAAATTCGAGTCCTGCTCTCAAATTCGTAGAGTTCTTGCAATCATCTCCAGATTATCAATCCATCTTGGAAATCCTGAATGATACCTCAAGCAATGTCACTTTGTTTGTACCATCAGATCAAGTCTATTACAAAGCAACAGGCCAGCAGCCCCCAGCGCCAGCTCCTCCTGCTCCGGCTGGTAACACCACTACTGGCACCAATAGTACAACTGGCACAAATGCTACTACTCCCTCTAGTACTGCTATTGCTGGAGGTGGTTCAGCTACTTCTTCTTCTGCCGCTGCTGCTCCTACTGCTTCTGCCTCCACCTCTTCCTCTGCTGGTGGATTACCTGCTTTCTTGTCATCTATCTTGTATGGAAGATCTTCTTCCACTGCTCAACCTGTTCAGCCTACATTAGCTCCTGCAACTACGGGTATCCCTCAGAACAGCCCAGTCGCTTCTGGCCGCTTTAGCAACAACATGGCTCGCTATGTCAAGATCCCCCATGCCGAGGTAGTTCAACCTTATGAGCGTTTTGGCGCCGCTAGTGATGCTTCGGATGACGCTAAAGATACGCCTTCTTTGGTGATGAGAGCACTTGTGGTCGAAAGACAACAGCAGCAACAGCAAAACAATGCAAGTGATTGGAAATCTGTCACTACGGATGCTCCATTTGTTGATCAATTTAGCTTTGCTGACCTTCTCACCTATCATCTGGTGAATGGATCCATTCAATTGAATAATACTCAAAATGCTACTATCATTATGAATACTCTTTTGACAAACGAAACTGTCGATAAGCTTGGATATGGTTTACCTTTGCTTCTTCAACAACAACAGCAGCAGCAAGGTCAGCAACAACAAGGCGGCCAAGATCAAGGTCAAGGCCAAGGTCAAGGTCAACAAAACCAAACTCAAGGTCAAGGCCAAGATCAAGGTCAAGGTCAAGGTCAAGGTCAAGGTCAAGGTCAAGGTCAAGGTCAAGGTCAAGGTCAACAAAACCAAACTCAAGGTCAAGGCCAAGATCAAGGTCAAGGTCAAGGCCAAGATCAAGGTCAAGGTCAAGGCCAAGGTCAAGGTCAACAAAACCAAACTCAAGGATTATGGCAGCAATTGCAACAACAACAAGGCAATGGTACTTCCAACTCGTCCAACAGTGCTGGTGGTAACTGGACTGTAGGCAGCGGCTTGGGAGACGATGCCAACATCATGATAAATGAGACCATCCAAGCTTCAAATGGTATGGTGTACATCATTGACAAGAGTAGGTACCATCTGAATAGACATAATCAGCAGTTATTAAACGTATATTGCCTAGTTTTGGTGCCTCCTGTGAGTCCTACGGAAACATTGCACACAATTCAAAATGCTTCCTTCTTCGAATGGCTATTGACAAAGTCGACAGAAAACAGTACCTTGGATAGCACGTCTAACGTAAGTCATCTCTGCGCGATGCTTTAATGTATCACTCAACAAGCAAGTCTAGATTACTATCTTTGTTCCTACCAACGATGCTCTGCAAAACTTGAATTTTACCGAGTTGAACAATGATACACTGGAGGGTGCTTTAAAGGCTCATATTGTGCCTGGTGTCTACTACACTACTAATTTGACAAATGAGCCCACAACTGTCCAGTCAGTAGGCGGTACCAACATCACATTGACCAACTCTGATCCTACTAACAACAGCAGTGTCACTGGTAAGCATATATAAATGTCCCATCCATTCTTTCAATTTCTCATGTCTTTTCTTGTCTTAGTCAACAATGCTCATTTAGTCCAAGGAAACATTTTGCTCAACAATGGTGTAATGCATTTGATTGATAGCAGTAAGTTAAGATGTTCAATCACCAAGCATAGTCTAATGCATGCTTCAATCTGTAGTTTTGAACTTCACCGTTGAACCTCCTAATGGCAGTGGTAATGGCAGTGGTAGTGGCAGTGGTAATGGCACTGATAATGGCAACTCAACTGGCGCTGGACCTTTCCCTGCGTCTCAAACATCTACTAAGTCTATGGCAGTCTCCATTGCTATGCCAACGATCGGAAGTGCATTTGGTCTCATTCTTTGTGCTATCTATGCTTGCTTCTTTTCCTGGTAAACAATCACCCTTTAATTTTCTAACGTTACTATTCAATAAACATTTATTTTAATTCAATTACATGGGTCTCAATGAGTTTTTATATATTCGCAAGATGGGGGTTATACTCTTGAGAAATATAGTTTGATGGCTGTTGGTACATTGATGTTGCTGCAGAGTGCTTCTGACCCAAGGGGCTTGGCGCAGTGGTTTGGTACATGGCTGGGGATGTCTGTTGATACAATGGGCTTGATGGATATGCTTGCTGTTGAGAAGGAGCTGGGTATTGAGATGTGGTAATGGGAACATTTGGAGCAGATGGAGCTTGTTCATGGTAGCCATAAGGTGAATCATTACTCATATAAGGCGATGGTGTTTGATATGGGCTGTAAGGTTGCTGCTGTTGAGGTATATAGGCATTAGTTACTGGATAGGGTGACCCTGCGTATGCAACAGAGGCTATTGCATTTGCTGAAGGTGTATATGGGGCAGACAGTGGGGAGTATGTGTTGCTTGGGACTGAAGGTGAGTAGGGTAAAGCAAAGTTGTTGACAGAACCAGTGGCAGAAGCTACCATTGGAACAGAGGGAGATGACATGTATGATCTTGCGGCCTGTGCATCCTGTGGTTGTGGAGAAACACAAGGGGATGCACCATTGGGAGATCCTTCATAACTTGCTACGGGTTGCTGATCCTTCTCAGAGTATTTCATGTCGACAATCGTACGAGCATCATCGTCGTATGCGGTTGAAGAAGAGTCATTGCTGGTATCATTGCCTTCGTTATTGCCTGTTGCATCAGCGTTAACTTGGTTGTTTAGCTCTGCGTGTCTCAATTTCTTTTCGTGCCAGAAAAGAATAGCACTGTAAACTACGGTAGCAACAGCGACAAGAAATGCGATCCAGCAAAAGGCGGCTGAAGCCTTGGCAGAGTTACACTAAGTATATCATCGGTGAGTACATACCGCTTACCTATATCAGTATGTTTTCATTTACCTGTTTTGACCAAGCATGAACGTAGCTTTGATCCTTTTTTAATTTATCGTCCAAGGCACAATTGGATTCATTTGTCGAGTGTACAGTCATTGAAACCATGGCAGCAAACCAGCCTAATGTCATGAAGCAGGTTAAGATCACCGTAGTGCGAGGTCTCAAAAAGAAGTTTCTAATGGCAGTGAGTCCTTTTTTGCTCATCATTGTCCAGGGAAAGATGGCCAGTGGGGCTGACACGAAAAGTGTGATGAGTGTAACTGCTAATGTGTAATTTGGAGCTGCTTGACTGGATCCCTGTAATAAGTTGTGTCAATATTAAAACAAAAGCAACATTTGACACGTTTCTGCCTTACTTTGTATGCATTTTCTGCAGATATAACTGATGCTGTAATACATAGCGTGATGAATGCAAGTAACATTTGAAGGACATGGAGTGCCACTTTGTAAACACCGAGTTTTGGCAAGCTCGAAGGTGTATCAAAGTCTAGTTTATCGACCAGATCATTCAACTCAATGTTAATCATAGTTTATATTTAAGAGAAATTAAAGAGCAAGAAAAAAAAGAGAGATGTTGACAAGATATTGTTGTTATATATACAGGTAAATGCTTTTATATACAATGTTTTGATTCAGGATCATCACAAAAACCTTTTTAGGAAATTCATTCAGTAAGCTGTGTTTTTCGTGAGATCCCAATTACGTCTGAAGGTCGTTGATCCGTAGTGTCTATGATGTGTCATATTCCGTATAAAGCGACAGTGCACCAAACAACATTTACCATACAAAATGTGGCTTGAGATGTACTGAGCCGCTCATTAGGTTTCATGATGCTGTGGCACATCATACTATTATGAATCGAACCTAGTAATAAATGCCCAGCACACACACACACACACACAGCAAGTGTGCGCCTAGCAAAATGTACGAATAGAAACCTCACTCACACACAGTTGGATAATGGGGCAGATCCAAAAATAAACTAAATTGATGGGCGTGTAAATTAGCTTGGTCATCCCGCGGGAGTAACCTTCAATCCGAGGTATGGTTAACAAGGATCATTTATAAATAATTTTGCTATCTATCCCTCTTATTTCTTTCTTCTTCTCCACACTCTTTCAGCAGGTACATTACTATGAGCAACTCGACTGAATCATCGCTATACAACTTTGCGCTTCCCACACCGCCATCTCCACCACCAGAGCCAGAGACATTCAATGAAAAACCAGTGACACAACAAAGACAACAGCAAGCAACACAGATTGCGAAACGTTTACTAGCAACTCGCCCTCTTATCACAAAATGGGCCAGCGTCATTCAAAGACTACTCAAAGAACTCGACGGTCGTGATAAAATCATGAAGATTATTCAGTACTTTATCAAAATTTTATTGCATTACAAACTGGTCAAAGCAAAGCAGTTCTCTACGATCACCAGCCATTTCTCAATGACTCGTAAATTATTGAGATTAGGTACTGCCATTGGCCCCATCAGAGAATTATCACCCCTTAAAAACTCCATTCCATCGACGCTCATCACACTCAATGCATTGGTCAATAATATCTCGGACGACGTCTTTTGTTTGTATAAATTAGGTGTATTTGGCTCAAAATTGGGTGCTATCTCAGAGAAAGTTTCGGCTTACTGTTGGTTTGCCGGCATCCTGATTGATTTACGAGAGGGTGCTGTGAACATGTCGAAATTACAAGCCAAAGCAGCTATAGACAAGGATGAAAAAAACGCTGAATTGAAGCAAAAGATCTACGTTGCTGAAATTTCCATCATCAAACTGCTCATGGATGCTGTATTTTGTGGTAAGTTTTATTTTCTTGGTGCGTATAAAGGGACATGATGCTAATTCACTCTTAATAGCATGTGATATATGGCCTCCTAGACAAGCTGCCGCCATCCAAGCGTGGTCTGGTTTCTTAAGCGGTGCTCTGGCTGGTTACAAGCTTTGGATCAAGTTTTCAAACTAGTTGCTACTATAATTATAGAATTTTTTACTCGCTCATGTCATACACCCATTCATCTTATCTTCATTTTTACACATGATATTGTACTTTTTGCATTATTAATTATCTATACACTCCATTATCGCAATCATATATCAACATACCATTATTATTATTTATTAAACCGGATTGATCTTGCTCTGCTGAGGTTTTTCCAGCATGGACATCTTTAACCTAGTAGCACTATCCATCATCTAAACCATGCATTGCTCTGTTAATGGGCTATTTACATCGAACAAAGTATCAACTTACATTGCTGTCGTCTGTTGGACGTTCTAAATCCAATCCTTCGGCAGAGTATTCCTTCCAATTTTGCCAATTGTCATATACAGGTCGAGGAATAGGCGTCTGAGGTATGAATGATAGAACAAGATATAGCAATCCGAACACTAGATTCAAGATGCCGGCAGCCAGCAGAGATGAATGCTCGTTGTTACCCAAGATGATGCTTCCTAGTCTTATTCATCACATTATCAATGACAAGTTTTCAAATGTACAGCACATACGACTCACAATATCACGAGCATTGCACGTCCACGATAAAGAGTAAAGAACCTAAAATAGTAAACAGCCATATCGAACGATTTCGATTCCATAACAAGAAGTACTAAGGACAGAATACTTGTGAATGTGAGTATAATACTACAAAATCATGATGTATTAACTTACAATGCATATACACATGTCAAAACTTGTGACACACTAGAATGCTCCACGATTGCTTTCATCAGAGAGGCAATGGCTGCCAGCAAGTAGAGACTCAGATTGATCACATTGAATACAAGGCCAAATATGTTTTCTAATTTCGTTCTGGATACCATGAGAATGTGTAGCACAGAAAGAAAAGAAAGCAATCTAATCAAGTGCTATTAATCTTGGTAAAATTGGTTCGATGTATTGCTAGTGATCTCTGTTGTTCTGTTGCCATTCTGGGTAATTTTGCACACTGTATCTCATCCATCATGATAATGAAATTAGAATTGTTGAGTTCAGTTCCATGGAGAAACATGCTAACACTAAATATGAGATCATTAGTTTAAGCTTTATTGTGTACTTTTAGAAAAAGATTGGATGACTGCAAGAACTGCAGAAATGTGGTAAAGCGTGTGTTAGCACATACCGAAACTAAATTATCTTATCTACCCTCTGTCGAAGCATGAGCAGATCATACAATTTGTGTACTATAGGTGAAGAGGAGCTCGACATACTTCAACAGCTTTTTGCTTCACATATTAAGCAATTCAGTCTTATAAACAGCTATCCATTTTGTCGATTCGACGTAGACCTATGCTTATTAAGCTGTAACTGACGCCGCACGCGGCGTAAACCGCCCAATTTCGTACTCTCTGGATTAGATACAGTTTGCTCATGAGCTTGTCAGCCAAACTCAACCAAAGCATATCGCACCTTCATCAAAGTTAAGAACCAGAACTTAAAAGTAGCTAAATAATGCTATAGTTCAGCACGCTTCGAAGTATTGTCTGCTGGTTTTGATATGACATGCAGATGAAATTGCTTCTTTATATCATTATTGTTAAACAATGATAGCGCCGTACTTGAAAGCACTAAACCATTCAAAACATCAACTTCTGAATAAGTACATAGTCTGAACCTTGACTAGCTGATCAATCTTGCTACGCTCGATGACGGCGTCGCCCCGCGGGCTCTTGTCGAAGACACTTTAAATCAAAGACAATAAAAATCTGGCATATCAAGTAGATTATAAACAACCAGTTAATAGTAAAAAAAAAAGGGTTATATCAGAGTCAGGAGGGGGAGGTATCCAATCGCTGGTGTTGCTCTTGAGATGGCGGTATAAAGCTGGCCATCTGTAAATATAGGACCTGTGTAAGATCTGCAGCGACGGCTTTAAGATATTGTCATTGCAAAAGACATCTTTATGAGGTAAACTCCCCCAGAAAAGAATAGTTAAGCTATTCAATTGTCCTTTCAATTCCATGATCCCCATTTAATTAGCATTGCAATCATCATTGTTAGCAACAGAAAGGCATTTAGGTCAGCCAGCAGCAATGCCGTCGCCAAAATCGATTCAAACTCAGTCTGTTTTTTTTTCTGTTCGAGATTGGATAGATTTTGTCTTTTTTCGACTTTGTTAATCTATTCTGTGATATTCGACTATATGAAATGTGGTTTTCAGACTACGCTTCCTAATACATTCTTGAAGTACTTTTCAAGGCGCTTCTAATGGTACTAATTGTAATAAATGTTTTGACTGAAACTATTGAGCAATTTAATAAATTTGAAATGAGGTTTTTAGCGAAAATAGCCATATTTTGCATATGAAAGTCTCATAAACGTGGTGCCAGAGGTTGCTTTGGATTGAGAGAAACATTTTGATTTGATATATATCATAGTAAAAGCCTTCATTTTCAAGGTGAAAAATGCGATCGTTTGATTTTCGATGAAAACCATGAGGTACCCCTCATGCTTTTTGGTCGATTTTTGGCCATGTTTTTTTTTTGGCCCAAAAAGTTGAGCAAAGGTATCAGGAAGTTACTACTACTCGAGTGCAATCGTTTAGTCTCATTCCGGTGGCTCATGAAGGTCTACATGTCAAGATATGAAGGCTTGAAAGATGTCAAATTTGCTCATGTATTGCTTTATAGCTTATATGTACATGGCATAAAGCACATCTTTGGTAGCTGAAATCTTCTGGAAGGGCAGTTCTGCAGCCTGTGCAATTTCCAATTCGAATATGAGGCATATTGATTTTGATAAAGCCAATTTATGAAAATCTTGATGCTTTTTGTTGTTGGTATAGTAAGCTTGATAATAAAGGAAATAAGAAAGCGAATTTGCTGCTTAAACACTACGGTTTTACACCTTTGCTTCGCTACAATCAAGCCTTCGTATAGATCAATGCTATCGAATGCTAGATTGGATGCTTAATTGTCATAGGTTTGCATCTTTGCTTCGCTGGGATCAAGTCCTCATATAGATCAATGTTATCAAGTGCTGGATTGGACGCCTTTTTACCATGGGTTTACACCTTTGCTTCTTACGGTAAAGCCCCCCGATAAATTAATGCTATCAAGTGTTGAATTAGACGCGTTATATTCTTTCCCCAACCCCCCTCACCATTGCCGGCTTTGCCGCTGGTTTTATTCACCTTTTACAGTAATCAATTCTTTAAATTTTTGAAAGGATATGATTTGTTTGTCTACTTTTTTTTTTGAATGTTTTACAGCATATATATTAGATTAAAGACTGCTGATATACCCGCTGTTTATATTTACGTTACCAGAAATTAGATATTATCAGGCAAATACTCGCCCCAACACAGAAATCAGTGGAAATACGCTACTCATACCATCTGCATTTTGACTCAGAATGATTGCGAGATGGCATTTTATTCAAATTACGCCATAACAGCTGTCAGTAATATGAGAAGACCAAACATCTCATTGCTCTCAATTCACCTGTCAAGAACCAAGCTTTAGGGCGTCTGGTCCTGGCACAGAAACCTCATCGAATAGGTATTTATCGCTTTCTGCAGGCCGGGCTACCTTGAGAGCAATTATTGGTGGAAAATAATGTCTCAATATTCGCATCTTGCACCATGTGATCAAATGAACCATATTTATGCTAGTTAAAATGTCTGTACATGCTCCTGGATGCAATTTTTTGTTGGCATTTGCGCATAAAAGCAAACTCATGCACAGCTTGAGCTTTACAAATGTGGATTTCCATTTATTAGAGTGCTCTAGTTACGCCAACATGATTCAATCGGTTGAACATAATCAGAAACAGGAAACGGAAAACTTGATTCATAAGGGGTGAAATAAAAGGTACGATAATTGAACGACGTTGAATATACTGTATATCATCCAATATTATTGGCAATTCCGGTAATGAAGATATTGCCTCAAGTTATTTTTCAGGAAAAAAAAAAGGGTAGAAAACACTTTTCAGTGCTGATCACCATCATCGCAAAGCATTGCCTATCAATGAATCCTACTAAAATAAGGCTTTAATGACATTTTGCACTAATAATGTGTCATTTTTTCAAAAGGACATCTTCTTTTTCTGTTTTGTGACAAAGGGGTTCTTACTAATTGATTACTACGATGACGATAGTATCAATCAAATATCTAAAGATAAATGTACTTATAGTGCTACACCATCAAAACTCTATTCCAGTTTGCTTTTAAATGTATTAGAGGACGTTTCATGATCATCATGAGGCTTCTGCAATTCAGTCATTAATCGATAGGGCATTTCATCTGCTAATGCGATGGAAATAAGGCATGCTTTATCGATTTTGATGGAAAAAAGCAGCAGCGCCTTGTATTGTCTTGTGGTTGGACGAATGATTGCATTAGGGAAAGTTTAAAATTTCTTGACTTCTCTACAAAGCATACAGATCTCGTATAAATAAAACCGCGGACTGGGCTCCAATCAAGAGTATTTTGTTATTTTCGTTCTGATGTTACATTTCTTACCGAATTGGAACATCTCACAACATGAACCTGGTCAAAACTCCCTTTACCAATTCTCATCGGGTGTTCGGCAGCCGAAAAATAACATGGAGAAAAGGAAGCGTTTTTATTACAAAAGATAGGTAGATATACAATATACATAGATATAAATAGTTTAGCGATGAGATAATGGATCAAGTGGAGACATGTATGAGGAATAAACGTTTTGATTGTTGGTTGTTGTTGACGATGTGGAGTGATGTCTAGGCGTGTGAGGAGAATTGGGGGAGTATAATGAGCTTGCATTATCGAGTTCATCGTCAGAAACCAGCATACTAGGGCTTGGACTAGGCGGTAATTGGTTGCCATAGGGACCTAATGACATACGGTTGTTGCTTGACAAATTCTGTGTTTGCACAGTCAGTGGAGAACGGGATACACCAAACATATCGTCTAGAACGCTATTATTGGAGGGATCATGAGAGGTGACAAAGATGGATGGTGGTTTTTCTTGTTTGTATTCATATTGATCTAGTTGATGGTGCTGCAGTTCAGATGGTAGTTGCCCTCCATTTTGCTGTGAAATATAGTTCATCATCGTTTTCATAAATTGCTGCTGGCTTTCTTGTTTTTGCTTTGTTTCTTCCAATTCCTTTATAACTTGGGTGAAATTTTCATATAAATTCTGTATTTGTTGAATCATTTCGGATTGGGATGCCTGTAACATGGCTACATGTCCTTGGAGGTCGCCGTTGTCTCGTCTGGCATTGTCCGTTTCCATTGATTTACGCTTGATCTCATCCAGGAGATCAGGTCGATTTCTCAAGAATTTTGGATGCGAGAACTCCCAGATCTGATTTTCTGCCAGTGTACGATGACCTCTTGGTGATTTATTGACTTTGTGGAAACCATACATATTGAGTTGTCTGACGAAGCTGCTAAAGTTGTTGTGTTTAAAGTGCTTTGGTAGCACATCTCGAGAAAACTCCATAATATTACACACAATGAACGAGGAACCGGTATAAGCCCACGAGATCAAATGCTGATAATGGACATCCACGACCATGCTAGAATGACATGTTAATTAATACAATGTATTTGACATAGAGTGCATTGCATGAAATACTTACTTGTAGAGTTTGTGGACAAATGTATTTGTGTGTGCTGGCTTTTGGGTTGTGTTTGGCGGAGGAGGAGGTAATTGAGATGTCGGCTGTGCTGCATTGGTATTTTTATAGAATTGAGGAGAGGAGTGGATAGAAGAGAATGAACTACGGTGGTCCATGGCTGTGCTTGTGTCAAGATGATAATCTGAAGAAATTGATCTACGGTGCATTTTTTGTTGTTAGAATATGAAAAGTGTACAGAAGTGGAAGAGAAGGAGAGAAATTCAATCAGACAACAAATGTGAGCCTTTTAAGCGAACCTGATCAAGATATAATTATGAATTATTAAAACAGCGTTTCGAAATAGAATGTTGAGAAGGATAAAAGAGTGGTGGCCATTTTAAGTTTTGGCTCTAAAAAAGGCATGCTTTTCAGTTTATTCATCATTTTCATCCGTCTCATAATTGCAGGTTGAAATCAATTTTTTGGCATTGGGATAAATGGAAAAGTCTATTTTTTCATTTGAAATTGTTTCAAATCCAATCAGTCGTAATGAAGTACTTGAGGTTGCGTTGTTCTGGTGGAAGAAGGTTACATTTAAATGCGGAGCAAAGCCCCTCCAATCAAACCACAAACGTGGTATCTCTTGATACTTCAATTTTCTTTTATGCAAAACTGAAATGTCATAAATCGACAGCAAAAATTACAGGCAAAGAGAAAAAAAAGGAAGCGATCTACAATTTTTAACTTGATTAAGCCTTATTATACATTTTAAATGATGAGAGGAGGCCTGCATTGATGATTGCATTAGTAGAGTCATTGATAAATCAATGAATCTTACAATTCCAAATGTCGTCATGCTTGTCGCTGCAATGTATATGAGATTGGTCTTGTTTAGCCTTCTCAGAGTAAATGTGAAACAGTTTAGGCAGCTAGATTTTGACACTGCTTATTAAATATTTATTTAATGCATATGTTTGTTATGGAACACATGGTGCAAAATCTGATAAAAACCGACCCCCTGATTCTATATTTGCTTTTTTCTTCACATAACTTTGTAATCGCTGAGCAGCTTCAGGCTTTTAATAATAGCAACATCTCGTTTTGGTTTCACTCTGTGGTGGCGGATCAGAATTTGACAATTTTCGTACAGCAAGTCTATTACCTGCTGAATCATATAAAATTGTAGCATAAAGACCTCATTATCAACTCCCTTCAAAAATTTTTGTGGTAAAATGCAATGACTAACAGGAAACAATTTTTACATATTTATTTATCATATTCGTCACTGCGATCTATATCAAGCCAATTGTCTAATTGTGATATCAGCTATTTATATATCATACTCGCTTTCACAAGCAAACAAATACTGCATTGTTGTGTCTAAAAATACCGTTTCTGGCTCTGTGTGGCACTACAGATTTTATCTATAAATGCTATTTTTGCCCTACAAATGCACCAAGTAAATGCCATCGATTTTGCATACTGACCCGATGCTTCGTACTTTTTGCATATTGTGAGACAATGTTTTCTGTCGGGTAGGACAACTAGTGTCACAAGCTTCGCTTTCTTTTTGTCCTAAGATGAAAAATAAGAGAGCTTGACCGTAGTAAGCAAGAATACGTTGTCAACCGAGAAGATCGGTATAATGTGTCCCTTAGCTAATTCAGCGCTTTTTGAGACCAAAATCAACCTTTATTGTCACTCTATCAGACGAATAGCGTAGAAAAATGGCCCCTAATGCTACTTGTTTTTCACAATGGTTGAACATAAGCGAGTAGGAAACATCAAGAGATTGTAAATGCTTTGCCCAAGCATCCTACCAATATATACTGAATTTTCACCTTGTAACTGTTTAATATCCTTTGAGTATAGCCCAGGCTAGTCTGGAACTGAGAATCCAATTTGTTTACAATGCTCCACGTCTGTTTTGATGGATCAATTTGTATACGGACATCCAACATACTTGCATTGCCTTCTAATGCTCAAAAGTATGTGAATCACAGCATAATTTGAATGTACTTGAGCCGTGATTTCTCGCGCTGGAAGTCGTTTTAAGCCGCCGCGATAACGCCAAACAATCTCTTTCTTCGAACCCTTAATTTGGCCAATCTAAAAACTGGGTCTAGCGAAGTATGAATTGAATTCGGCTGGCAAAATGGGTCATGGATATAAGCGGTACTTTTGAAAGCTGACAAGAAGGGAAATTGCGAATGAAAAAACACTTTAGCTTGACCTGAATCCTTTTTTATATTCTGTTATATTTTTTATTTGTAAGATGTGATCGTAGCAACTATGAACCTAAAAAAGAAGCTTATTCTAAAGTTTAAAATTACTTTTCTACGTTGAATAAACATGCTTAACGGTTAAATGGGGTTACATTAGGATCAAGGTGCTTCTGAGTAGTAATTAAGTAATAAATACCAAATCAATATTATTTCTTTTATAGATTTCTATATGAGAGTATCATTTTTTTATTTTCTCCGTAGTTTCTCTTTTCCAATGGTGCCATCAATGATACATTTAAATTTCACGACAAATTTACTTAATCTCGGCTGATCTCGTCTTAAGTGGGAGTGAGCTTGGACAATTCTACTGTATATGGCAAACTAGCCTGTCAATCTCGCTATGCTCGATGACGGCGTCGCCCTGCGGGCTCTTGCCGAAGACACTTTAAATCAAAGACAATAAAAATCTGGCATATCAAGTAGATTATAAACAACCAGTTAATAGTAAAAAAAAAAGGTTATATCAGGGTCAGGAGGGGAAGGTATCCAATCGCTGGTGTTGCTCTTGAGATGGCGGTATAAAGCTGGCCATCTGTAAATATAGGACCTGTGTAAGATCTGCAGCGACGGCTTTAAGATATTGTCATTGCAAAAGACATCTTTATGAGGTAAACTCCCCCAGAAAAGAATAGTTAAGCTATTCAATTGTCCTTTCAATTCCATGATCCCCATTTAATTAGCATTGCAATCATCATTGTTAGCAACAGAAAGGCATTTAGGTCAGCCAGCAGCAATGCCGTCGCCAAAATCGATTCAAACTCAGTCTGTTTTTTTTTTCTGTTCAAGATTGGATAGATTTTGTCTTTTTTCGACGTCTTTAATCTATTCTGTAATCTATTTTACTTTGTCATCCCTTTTCGCATGTCAGACACTAGTCAAGTACATCAACGTTCCTCGCAAGCTGACACTGCGGCTCCACTGTTGTGGACTCATGTGGTTAACTCACGCCGCAAAGGGAACAACAGACAACAACAATCCATCGTCTCTTTCAATCCCACTATCGTCAAACGACCTGTAACGGAAGCAGAGGCCTCGCAACAGGCCATCAATGGGGATACTTCGCCACCTCCTCAGGCGGTTATCCGTCCATTCCTCAAAGGCGTGGAACAGGATTCCGTCTTCATCGATCTGACACCTATCAAGGATCGCAATCTCTTGAACAAGGCTCTTCTTCAATTCAACGAAGCCTCTAATGCTGAAGACATGTATGAAGAATTTCTTGGATACCGGAAACAACCTCGACACTACCTCAACCATGCCTTCTTGGAAACCATGTGGCTGCCCAACAGCGAAGGTCGTAAGACTCTCATTGAAGAAGGTATCACTCTAGAGGATGGCACCTTTGTGAAAGGGTTTGCCTCGTACCATGCTGATGCTACGATTGTGAAACTGACCCTGGAGAATCTTCCTTTCTTGCCGGCCCTTCAGTTGAAGGAGGAAATGGCTGCCCGACTTTCTGCGTTCGGGGATGTCTTGGATCACGGCATCTCGAGAACTGATGGGATCTATCAAGGAGAAGGTTATGCTACACTTAATCTAACGGTTCCTTCCAGCCCTGGTTATGAATGTCAAGAGTTACATCCCGTTGGGAAATCTTGCCCTGGTCATCGCCATTTGGAGAAACTCAGTCGTGTCATTGTCTGGGATTTGACAGCTTCGGATCAAAGAAAAGTTTTACTCCAATGGGATCAAATGCCGGCTTTCTGTCGTAATTGTCAGAGCTCTGAACACTGTCGGGCTGATTGTCCTGACTACAAGAAGTGGGTCCGCTGCCATCATTGCAATGAAACTGGACATGTGGTGAAGAACTGCAGTCGCAATGACAGCCCAAACAAGGTCCGTGCGGTGGAAAACACTCCTGCCAAACCCCGAAAGGGCTCTCAGGTGGCCAAAGAGGGTAAAAAGGGTACTCAGGGTGGCTCCAAAGTAACTCCTGGTGGTGCTCCAGTTGGAAACAAAGGTAATGCCCAAGGAAAAGGCCAGGATGTTGCATCTGGTGGTTCCCAAGGTGATTCCGATAATCGAACTACTGCTACCCAGCAAGGTAGCACTCAAGGTGACGCTGATAGTCAAACAGGTGCTAGAAAGCAGGTAGTTGATAGAGATGTTCAAATGGATGATCTTCCAAAACTCCAAGTTAAAGAAGTCGATGGGAAAGGGGCTTCCAATGATATTATCATGTACGACTCTTCTACCCATTCTGCTAATGAACGAGAGGAGCGCCCTGAACGCCCTGCGAAGAAGATCGGTAAATTTAATGGCGCGGATGATGTTAGTTCTGCCAAACAACAAGCTGCATCTAATGAAGTAGAGACTGGACATCAACTCGGCTTGACAGGCCCTCCTTCACCTCCCCAACATTAATATGATTAATCAGCAAAATACAGTGAAAATAGCCACCCTCAATTGCCGTGGCCTAAAAAAAACAGATAACACCAAAAAAAGACAACAATTTATTAGATATCTTCGAACATTAGGATATGACATCTTAGTGCTTCAAGAAACACATGCAACAGACAACACATTTATAGACATACTCAACACTCAATTTACTTGCAAGTCGAGTCTTTGGACTCAACATTGCGGCATCATTTCCCTCAACACTCATTACTCACTCAAACACATCTCAGAAGGCATTGATGGGGGTCGATTTATCTTGGCTTCCCTTCATCTTACTCGAGACCTGGAAAATTCACCCAATTCACCACCAATAGCAACAATACTTAATATTTACGGTCGTGCGTCCGCTCACACCGACCGATCAGCGTTCTATTCAGAACTCATTGGCACACAAATTGTCAAAGAAACTATTACTACTACAACAAACACCGTCTTTATCATGGGAGACTTCAACTACCAGTACAAGGATCGTCGAGTCGATGGCACCCTCACCAGTGCACCAGTAGAATGGACCGATCTACTCGATGATTACTTTATTGACGTTTTTGGGGAAGACAAACACAACACATGGCATAGTGGAAGCAATTCAGGGATTCTGGATTACATCTTTTGTAGTTCAAACGCCCATCATCTAGTCACTAGCACCAACCAGCAGTATCTGTCTCCTGCCTGGACCGACCATGAACTCTTGGGATTCTCTTTTCGATATCAAGATGCGAATGGCCGTGGCCCTGGTAACTGGAAGGCAAATCCGTTCTTGGCTTGCAACAAAACATTTAGGAAGGCATTGGCAGAATTCCTCATTGATAGTGAGGCGCGTCTGGCAGAAATCAAGCGTTTCTCCACTCCCCAACAACAATGGGATTGGATCAAAGCCGAAGTAAAGATGTTTATCAAACAGTATCAAATGGAGGATTTGAACTGGCGGAAACAACAGCTACACCGACTGCTATCAAAGAGAAACAAGATGATGCGGCATAAGAAGACAAGAGGCTTGGTGTTTCAAGGCTTGGACACGGTTAATCAACAGATTCAATCTCTCCAGCACTCTCTTGCAGAAATAGAGATCTTGAAGGCAGGAAAATTTTGGCGGGAACATGGTGAGAAATCTCCAGGCTTCCTGAAGCGCTCTGTGGTGTCTCGAGAAAATCGTCGTTCAATTGTGGAACTCAGGAACCCTACAACTGGCGATCTATGTCAAGATCAACCTAGCATCTCCAACATTGCTACCAACTTTTACACCTCACTGTTCACACCGGAGGCTCTGGATTCAACCTCCCTCAGTGTTATAATTCGCAACATCCCAGGTCATTTGAAGCTCAACAGCGAGCAGCAGGAATCATTGATGATGCCGATTGATGTGGAGGAACTCTTGACCGATAGCAAGCAGACTCGTCGTTTGAGTAGTCCTGGACCTGATGGATTACCTTATGAAATCCTGTACTTGGTAATGAAATTTCCACCGTTCCATGATCTCATCCAATTAGTCTACAATGAAGCTTTAAAGAAGGGTAAGTTCCCGCCATCTTGGAACGAATCCGTCATGTGTCTGCTTTACAAGAAAGGCGATCCAGCTGAAATGAAGAACTACCGTCCTCTGTCTCTGGCTAATTCAGACTACAAGCTCTTCACTCGCAATATCAACCGTCGAATCATGGAAGTCTCTTCCAACTTGATCAGCCGACATCAGCTTGGGTTTATTCCTGGTCGATTCATTGCTGAAAATGGAATGATCTGCCAGCTCCTAATGGAAGATGCTCAACGGAAATGGTCCATCGCTGAACAACAGGAAAATGATCCTTCCTTTAACACTTTGGATTATGACATCGGTCTTCTTCTGGATCAAGAAAAGGCATACGATCGGGTGAACTTGGAATATTTGAGGAAGGTATTGGGGAAATTTGGGTTTCCTCGCCCTATTATCAAGTGTATCTCCAAGTTGATGGGTGACAACCTCATACGTATCAACATCAATGGCCATCTGTCAACTGAAGTGGCGAAACTTCGAGGCTTGAAGCAGGGGGATCCTCTCTCTCCTGTACTGTACAACTTGGCATTTGAACCTTTTCTGCTTGCAATCCTGCATGATCGCCAATTTCAAGGCTACTTGATGGGTACTGCACGAACAAAACTCCTGTGCTATGCTGATGACGCTTTGGTGTTTATCCATGACTCCAATGATTTGACTCGGTTACAGCTCCATATGGCTCGTTACTGTGCTGCCTCCAACGCCAAGTTCAATAATGCCAAGGTGGAAGCCTTTTCAGTGTCTGGTCGGGATACATGGGATATGTGGGATGGTCCATTATCACAAATGGGTATCACACATCTCCATTCTGTTGAGGACGATGAACCGTTGACCTATCTGGGATTTCCTCTCGTCCAAAGTAGGATTCAGCGAGTTCACTTTATGGGTGCTTTGGTAACAAAGATCAAAACTGCCATCCAGATTCATTCTGGTCGCTCCCTGTCGGTCGTTGGAAAGGCTACAGTGCTGAACTCTCTTTTGCTCTCCAAGCTATGGTACATCCTGCGTGTTACGCCTTTGACTCAAGCTGACTTCAAGCAGCTGCGTTCTCTGGCTATTCAGTTCTTGAGAAGAAACATCTTCCCCGTCATCCCTTGGAAGGTGTGGACTCTACCAAAGGACAAAGGTGGTCTCGGTGTTGTAGACATCCAAATACAAGCTTCAGCTTTGTATTTTCGTTGGCTCCACCCATTACTGGTTCAAGATCAAGATGTCATAGATTCCCATCCTGTGTCGTACCTCTTAAGCTACCACATTCGCAATGTTAATGGTTACCCCCACCATCAAATCCCGCTGCTATTTCCCTCTGCTCGTCGTACTAAGGGGTTGAAAAAGCAACGCACGGGAACTGTCGATATGTTATATCGTACAGTTGACTATCTTCCTAAGTTGTTTGATGCGGCACCGATCAATTCTGCAACTGCCATGGCTCTTCCATTACAGGCGGCTTTCTATGTTCCTCCATCCTCCTCACTGGTTGTTCCTCTTAAAGTCAAAGAGATGATGGTTTCTGATGTATTTCAGTACGATGCCCGGCTTAACTTTGTACATTGGAGAGACACTCGTGACCCTTCCCTCCTCAGGTGGAAGAGAGCTCCTTCAACAGTGTTCAGAGGCCTCGCATCTGGCACTCTTAAATTCCAGCCCTACTTCCTCCCAGTGTGTAATCCAGCCCCTGTAGTAGATCCTGGAGTCTCTTTTGCGCCGCTGGTGGATCAATTTTGTCTGCACGATGGCCAATCTCTTAGAAACGCTCAGGCTTCCGCCAAAACATTTCGTCTGTCTGTACTGTCGTCGGTGGAACAGCCCTTGGTCTTGCAAAATGTCTCTGCTGCTAATTGGAAATTCTTTTGGTCCCTGTCTCTTACCTACATTCAACGTAATGTGATATACCGATTCATCGCAGGCTGTATCCCTTCTAGAAGCAGATTACACTACATGATGCCTGCATTTTTCGAGTCCCACAATTGTCCTGTCTGCTTGTCTCCCAATGAAACTGCCAGCCACCTGCTCTTTGACTGTCCATCCAAAGAAAAGGTATGGCAAGGCGTCATTTTTGAGTTCCTATGGCCCACCACGTCCATCACTGACATCAAAGAGGCTCTTCTGTCCCTGGACTTTTCAGATATCTGGTACTCCCAAGTCAAAGGCATCCATCCATACAGAATCCTACTCATCACCCTGTCTCAAATATGGCTAGCCCATATGCGCTTTGTTTTTGACGGCACTATCTTTGTCCCTGAGGCGATTCTGGTACATATCCACTCCACTGTCCGACAGACAGTGGATGAAGATCAAATCCATTCCCTCTTGTAATTTAGATAGTTAGATAGTTCCTTTTGTTAGTTTAGTTTAGTTTCCATTTATATTTATATTTTTTTCATTTCTCAATTGCACCCGCCTCTTCACTCTGACCTATTACTCTTAGTGTACGCGGCTCAATCAATAAACACAATTTAAAAAAAAAAAAAATCTATTCTGTGATATTCGACTATATGAAATGTGGTTTTCAGACTACGCTTCCTAATACATTCTTGAAGTACTTTTCAAGGCGCTTCTAATGGTACTAATTGTAATAAATGTTTTGACTGAAACTATTGAGCAATTTAATAAATTTGAAATGAGGTTTTTAGCGAAAATAGCCATATTTTGCATATGAAAGTCTCATAAACGTGGTGCCAGAGGTTGCTTTGGATTGAGAGAAACATTTTGATTTGATATATATCATAGTAAAAGCCTTCATTTTCAAGGTGAAAAATGCGATCGTTTGATTTTCGATGAAAACCATGAGGTACCCCTCATGCTTTTTGGTCGATTTTTGGCCATGTTTTTTTTGGCCCAAAAAGTTGAGCAAAGGTATCAGGAAGTTACTACTACTCGAGTGCAATCGTTTAGTCTCATTCCGGTGGCTCATGAAGGTCTACATGTCAGGATATGAAGGCTTGAAAGATGTCAAATTTGCTCATGTATTGCTTTATAGCTTATATGTACATGGCATAAAGCACATCTTTGGTAGCTGAAATCTTCTGGAAGGGCAGTTCTGCAGCCTGTGCAATTTCCAATTCGAATATGAGGCATATTGATTTTGATAAAGCCAATTTATGAAAATTTTGATGCGTTTTGTTGTTGGTATAGTAAGCTTGATAATAAAGGAAATAAGAAACCGAATTTGCTGATTAAACACTATGGTTTTACACCTTTGCTTGTATATATAGTTAAGATGACAACCACTTGATTAATCAACGCAACCGCATAGCCCTCTACTTTGCAAGCTATCATTGCTGATTTCTATTCAAGCTTAGAAGGTGAATTTAAAAGCATTGGTCATTACCTTCTGCCTGTATGCACTTTTTGGGCCCGCATTGTCAATTACATACCATGGTCAAAGTGTTCTTAATTCTCGGTGTAATTTATTAGGCTCGTTACATGATCAGACTGGATATGGCATTGATAAGCTTAGACATTGGATCAAAAAGCCTCGTGCCATTGTAACGGTGACTGTTTTGCATGTGTTCAGATCAATGGATCAAGCAATAAAGCAACATGTGGAAGCCACCCAAACACATTCGTGATGAATCGCCAAGTCTTTCCACAGGAAAAGAGACATCATCTAGTCACAGTATCTCGTTTGGGGTTATAAGGCTACAATGACAAGATTGAAAACGTAGCCTAGATGCAATCTGATGTGATAAATGAAACAGAAATAGAAGCATGTCCAGCTGTGCGTTTCTGTTGAAACACCGTCCGAGAACGAAGACGTAGAGGGAGGGCGAGAGAAACAGTTGCTACTCAAAATTTTCATGTCAAACAAAAAATTCTTTTTTCTGTTAGTTCTTTGTATAGTTCCATTATACTCTATTTCGAAAAATGTGTAAAGTTGAATAAATGCTTATAATTCTTGGTAATTTTATGTTTGTTAATTTGTTGCCTCATATACATGTATAGCTGGAAAGAAGAAAGCACAAAAGATGTCATTGTCTGACTTTTTAGCCAACGATAGTGAGTGGATATTGTAAATGTATAAAGATGAATGTATACTGATATCTGCCTCCTTATCTGCTCTTGCGTATAGCCACTGGTGGTTCGTCTTGGGCTGATGATGTCGCCGACCTTCCCTCTGCTCGTAAGTATTTAATCATTCCTTGGAATGAGAGACAACTGTTATTAGCTTGGGAAATGATATATCCAATGAAAAGATGTCTTACTAATATGCTTGTATTATCCTTAATTTCAATTCAATCTTACTATTAGCTGCTGGTAAGGAAGAGAGCATTTACTACTATTGAACAGTGCGTTTAATCGTTTTTATTTCAATTCACCAGGCAAAGAAGACAGATCTGATTCTTACGCTTCTCGTGGATTCAGTGATCGTGGCGATCGCAGCTATGGTGGCAATGACCGTAACTATGGTGGCAATGATCGCAGCTTTGGTGGTGATCGTGGAGGCGACCGCTATGGTAAATCAAATTCATGCGCATTGAGAATAGAAGAAGGAAGAGTTGAGGGCTGACATATAATCTCTGATAGAACGTAGTGAACGTGGTGGCTTCGAACAACGTGAGCGTTCTTTCGCTCCCCGTGCCCCTGTTGATCTCCCCACTCAACCTCCTTATACTGCTCATGTTGCCAACTTATCGTTCGATGCTACTGACGATGATTTGACTGATTTGTTCAGCAACTTGAAGATCTCCAAGATTCGTCTTGTGAAGGATCGTGAGACTGAAAGATCAAAGGGTTTTGGTTATGTCGAATTTGAGGATGTTGAGTCTCTCAAGGGTGCCTTGGAATTGTCTGGCGAGAGTGTTCAAGGACGTAATATTCGTGTCAACGTTGCTGAGCCACGTAAGTAGTGTCAAATGTGAGAAGGATGAATTAGAGTTGTAGTAACAGAGCTACTTTTCATAGCTCGTGATGGTGAGCGTGTCCGTCAACCTGATCGTACTGATGTCGATTCATGGCGTCGTACTGGTCCCATTGACCTTCCCGAAGCTCCTCGTCGTGAATTCAGAGATGGCGGACGTGGTGGTTTTGGTGGTCGTGGTGGTCGTGGTGATACCTCTTGGGGTCATAGTGGCCGCGACAGTTTTGGTAGCCGTGGTAAGTTTGGACTTAAACATTAAGCAAGTAATACAAATGTTGATAACATATGAATATTGGTTTTTAGATCGTCCTTCCGAGCGCCCTCGTCTCAACTTGAAGCCTCGTACTGTTGACTCTGCAGCATCTGCAGCTCCCAAGTCTACCGGTAGTAAGCCTGATCCTTTCGGTGGAGCTAAGCCTGTTGATACTGATAAGGCTTTGCATGATATTGAAAAGAAGCATGAAGAGCCCAAAAAAGCCCAAGAGTAAAATCATACAACAACCACAAAATGAAATGAGGGATACGATCCATAAGATTGAACACATTCATCGGCATCTAAAAGCACATTAAGCATCATTTCCTTCATAATAAAGCCAATATAGATACTCAAACATGTTTTCAGTTGATTTGATACCACGTTTTCTTTGTTTACTGTTGATTGTAATCTGAATGCAGAAAATGGCCTAAATTAGCGTGCGGTTGTTCAATCAGACTCACAAAAGTGTAGTGATTTCCTATTCACTATCGCAATTCTCGTTCCTGTCCCTTGGCTTCTTAATATGAAATCAAGCTAAAAAGCTTAAATAGGTTATTGTGATTGCTCGGCACTTGAATCAATAAACGAAATGACGCTTTTCAAGTTAAGTAACTTGAACAAAGAATCGGGTATGCTTGATAGATAATGGAATATGTATATTAATTGCATATTAAATGCGGTTCAATACCATACACTTCATTTTCAGAAGAGATACTTTCTTGTTGCTCAATGGATCAGATCAGTAACCAAAATCTGTAACCATAGCAACCAGATGTCAAATCAATAGGATGTTGCAAGAGGCATTTGCATGTAGTTCACGGCAATGAGAAATGCACTGTCTACAGGTAACTAAGACTAAATCACGCAGAAGGCTTTTACGGCGTCCAATTTTCCAAGGACCGATCTCTTTTGCCTTGATATGTAAGATTGATAAGAATTATGATGTCAAGCTGCTAAAGCGCAACATGGTCCCCACTTTAAGCTTACCCTTTTCGACATTTTTAAATAGCCGCAGATACCCGATGTAACAAACGTCATGTAAATGTAGCATGTAAATTAGATGTCAAAGACTATTATAAATGTCATGAGAAATAGACCGAAAGAAGAAAAATAGGTGATAAATAGCAATTTTTTTGTTTACTTTTCGAAATAATGATTTATAATACGATAGTTTAATCTTTAGGTTTCGGATTAATATCTATTTCCTTTTTCCAGAAAGTTATTAGTTTATCAAAATCTTTATACTTTGATTTGACCCCGCAGACGGAGTCTTTGGAAATGATAATGAAGACAACAGTATAAATAGAGCTCCATAATTTGATCCAAATTCTGATTTCCTCATATCAATCTATTCAAACAACACACACAAACATATACAGCATGCCTTCTCTCGAAAAAGTCGCTATCATTGGTTCCGGTAACTGGGGTTCTGCTATTGCCAAGATTGTTGGTACAAACACTGCTCGTCACATTGATCTATTCGAACCTACCGTTCGTCAATGGGTATTCGAAGAACAAATCGATGGTAAAAATTTGACAGACATCATCAACGAGAAGCATGAGAACATCAAATATTTGAAGGGCATTGCTCTTCCTCATAATGTTATTGCTGTTCCTGATGTGGTCAAGGCTTGTGAAGGTGCCACATTGGTCGTTTTTGTCGTTCCTCATCAATTCATTCATGGCATCTGTGAAAAGATGAAGGGCCATTTGGCTCCTAATGCCCGTGCTATTTCTCTCATCAAGGGTCTCGAAATCACTGCCGATGGCACCCGTCTGTTTTCCGAAGAAATTTCTCGTATCTTGGATATCCCTTGTGCAGCTTTAAGTGGCGCCAACATTGCAAATGAAGTTGCTATGGAGAAGTTCTGTGAATCTACTATTGGCTGCCCCAACATGGAAGATGGTATGACCTTCAAGAAGCTGTTCGATACTCCTTATTTCCGTATCAATGTTATTCAAGATCATGTTGGTGTCCAACTTTGTGGTGCTCTCAAGAATGTTGTTGCCGTAGGAGCTGGTTTCTCTGATGGTCTTGGTCATGGCAGCAACACCAAGGCTGCTATTATCCGTTTAGGTCTCATGGAAATGCGCAAATTTGGCCAAACTTTCTTTGGTGATGCTGTTCAAACTGAAACTTTCTTTGAATCCTGTGGTGCTGCTGATTTGATCACTACATGTAATGGTGGCCGCAACAGAAAGGTTGCGGAAGCATTTGTTTTGACTGGTAAACCCATCGAACAATTAGAAACTGAGCTGTTGAACGGTCAAAAGCTCCAAGGTACCTTAACAGCTCAAGAGGTGAATCAATTCTTACAAGCCAGAAACATGCAACACGAGTTTCCTCTCTTCAATACTGTCTACCGTATTGTGTATGAAGGTGTTTCTCCTGAACTTATTACTGTTGATATCTAAAAAGTCGAAATTGCAATGAATTCAGATACCTTTTTGTAAATAATTAGAATAATTTCAATATTTTAGACAAATTTTTATAGACGATTAATAAAAATAACTTACTTATTTATTTATCTCAAGGTTTAATATCTTTTTCTTTTCTTAAGTACCTCTTCTCATGTTTCAAAAGTATCGCAGTGCTTCTTTACGTGTTAGGGTCCAAAATTACCAAATTAGAAAATGATTTGACATTTATGCTCCGCTCAGGGGCAGAGAAGGTTTTCGTACTGTAGATGAAGCTCCTCTACAGGGCTCACCTCATATTTCATGAAAAGATTACAGTAACCCTACATAAATGCAATGCACTAAGACCTTTTTTTTTTTGGCTAATCTAACCAGGGCCAGGTGAGATTCTGTTCAGTTGGATCTGCATAAGATTAAACATATTTATTTTGGCAGAGATTGCTAAGTGTGCGACGCACAGCAGCTAAAATGTTCTTCAACTAATTCCATTAGGCTTCGTGTTCTAATATTCTTCTATTAACGTTTGTCTTGACTTAGTTTTCAAGAATTAGCAGCAAATGGAGCTACACACACCTTAAGATGTTTTATTAATGTGGTACATTCCTCTCTCCGTATATAGTGACTTTTTCCAATTTACATTTGCAATATGAACACATGCGAATTCACAGATACAAAATTTGATACGAAGACTACCCGCGCCAATTTTATCTTCTCTCAAGAAAACGATAAAGAACCAAAATATGTATATCGCTTAGATGCAGAGAATTTCGAGATCAGGAACAGTGATAATAGCAATTATTTCCAGTTGAATTGTACAAATGTAGACGAAAAGGTGAACTTTCAACATGCGAATCATTTCTACTTGAATGAAAGGCTATATGTTTTTATCGCTGCCAAGTCAATTGATGGGCTGAACTCTGTTATATATCTTGTTGACACCTCAAAAAAGCCAGCTGTTCAACAACTCGTATTTAATAGACAAATCAAAGGGATTGTAACTAACATTTTCGTATCAAATGCTCTCAAGGTTCGTTCTTTATGAGTTTATTTCGAGAGAAGTTATCTAAAATGATTAAAAATAGAACGACCAGAAAGAAGATTACTATATTGTTACGATTGGCACCCTAGATTCTGCTGTTTATGTGTTTAGAACAACCGCTGAAATGACCCTTGAAAAGCAAGCCTTGACATGTGCATTGTTGAGAACTGATGCAAGAAATGCAATAACTCAGCAACTGATCGTTCTTGATACTCAGTCCAAATCACCAGCAGATGTTTACATTTTGTGTGGAGGATCAAATGGCATCATTGACATATTCCTCATGAAAGGTGACAGCAAGATTGAAAATGAGCCTGAAGTCGAGTTCAGAAGGCATCACCTGTTAAAACTACCGTCAAACCGTAAATAGGCATTCAAGTGTCTGGAAATATGACGGAAGTACTGATTATTATTGATTTAGTGCCTATTGTATCGATGCAATGCCACAAATTCACTGATCAAGAAGTTTTGTTAGCCATCAGCCAAGAACTGTATAACCCAACTCGAATCAGTCGATCTATCGAACCTTCTGTATCCGTTGTTAAGTTCAATACACACAAACTGATGGGAAAGGACGTTCGTTCAATGACGTTCAAAAGTGGAACACACATAATCCGCAAAGAAACCATGATAAAAGGTACGCCAAATATCTATATTTATATGCCACTGCTAATGCGTATTACGCAGAGCCCTTTTATGTATGGACTTGCTATGCGGATAAAGATGGTGGCCAATTTATGCTGACTCAATATGAATTTGACACGAAAAAATTTGAATTTGGCGATAGAACAAACACATTTCTACCGCAAGCAAAAGGAAAGGCTCTAGACATTCAGCAAGTGGCCGTTTTTGATAAAGATTCATGCCTCGTCCTTGGTAAAGAAGCCTTGCAAAAGCTGAAATCAGCAAACCCGCAGCTCAGAAAACGCAAAAGGCAACTTTCGACATGAAAAAAGTGTATTTCTGAATCCAATGTCCGTAACTTTGTTTTTGGGGAAGAGAAGTGAAACTCTAAATAAATTTATTATGACAGAATCAACAGAGATATAGTAGAAGTAGTAGCAAAAAGGGGATGATTGCGAGAATTGTAAAATTAAAAAAACAAAATTTACACCAGCTGGTTCAAATAGCTGGAGATGTTGAGTAAATTAGGCGGCATTGTGTTGAGTAAATTATAAAATGGAGTACGGTGAGCATCACCGAGAAAGGTCAATCCCGGGTAGTCGATAGTTAAGAGTTATTGATATGGTAGATCAGGTACGCTGGGAGACCGTAAACACCAAAACCCATTGCTTTAGCCATCTTGGCAAAGCCCTCAGTTTCGACTTGATGTTGGTAAGAATAAGCAGGGAAATTGGCTCCCTCTCTGTGGACATTGGCTTTTACCAGAGTAAAAGTAGCACCCTATAGTTTCATATGTTAATCGCATACCAACAACACTAACACGATCACAGCTCATGATACTTACCACGCCATCCAATGGCACCTTATCTAATTTGTTGCCATGCGTGGGCATATCTACCATTAGATATCTGCCGGTTAGAAACTCAAAATATCCTAGAGCAGATATCAATAACTGTGTGCAACATCTAATATAAACTTGGTGCTACCTTCAAGTAGTACATATTCCTAACAAAAAGATAAACAAACATAAATAATTCGTTCTTCATGTAAATCAGTCTACAGCTTACAGGGTCCAATTGTGCTTGAATGGCTCTGGATTCATCAGTTTCTTGCCAGTTGTTCTTATCGTAGCCCCAGAATGAATTGTCTTCTGTCTCTCGAAGACAGTTTGGCACCACAACATCCACATCTACACTTTGAAGATCTTCTAAAATGGAATCAGGATATTGGATTACATCAACATCCAGCCATAAGACCCAAGCATGGTCTTGACGCAATGCTGCTGTTAAGAGATAGTTGCGAGATCTAGCCATATACGAACGACGTAGAGGCTGCAATTCGAAATTGTGTCGCTTATCCTCGGGTAGATCAAACTTGAAATCCTTTTCGTAGATTGTGATTGAATCATAGCGATTGTTATCTCGGTTCAAAAATTCGTCAGCTGTTGATCTCAAAATGTCCACGGTATCGTCTGTTGTATCTGAAACGAGGAATGCAATACTGATGAGGTGCTTTGGATATTTCATGTTATCAATGAGTTCAAAGTAGCGAGGAAGATATTTTGCTGCATTCTTGAGTGGTGTAAGAATCAAGACCTTTTCCTGTCTTGAGACAGATTGTGCAGTAGCTTGTAACTGGTTTAAATCAACAAATGTGGCCCTGCCAGCATTCATCTCTTCATTGCCAAATGCCACCTGATCTGTGGACAGTGCAATTGCTTCATTTACTGACCTTAGTCTACCGCCTGAGCAAGGATTGCTGAACCAAGTGCGAGAAAATGTGACAAACCCCAGACTGAAGAACGATAATAAGAACAATCCAATGAGGGCGATACGCTTATTGGGTCGACCAAAGCCACTAAACGGATTGCTGCTCTTGAGTGTTGACTTTTCCATCCTCTCTATCTCTCTTTTTATTGTGTATTTGTATGTATACGAGGGTAGAGATAGACGAACAAAAAGTAGAGAGAAAAAGAAGGAAAAAAAGAGGGAAGGAATAGGAATAGGGGACGAGATTTATAGTGCGTGCTTCAACCAGGAAAGAAAACAGAAGCATCAGATTTTTTCCATTCAGGTTCAAAAGTTTGAACGGCAGCAATTTAACCAACCAAGATGGGAGAATCATGTTGCATTTGCTCTTCGGCTTGTGCCTTAAATAATTGAGCCTTGGGCTCTGGTATAATGGCCACATCTTCATCGTTAATCTTGACTTCCATGCCTCTTTCTGGTGTGTAGAATTTGTCCTTGATAGGTTGTAGCAACACATTTAATTTGGGAGTAACTACCAGAATGTTGTTGGTGGGAATGGTGAGCCAATCGGCCTTTTCAAATGTCAAAGGTTCTAAACATAACGGGAAATTTAATAATGAAACCAACACATTTGACATGCTGTAATACCTGATGCTACAACCACAATGTCTTCTCTTCTATCGGCTTTGACCATGCGATAATGGCCAGGTCTATAGCATTCGAATCGCGTACCTGACGAGAAATAGAGTGAAGCTGCTTCTTCTGTTCTGCTGCTGATGTAACGAATACATACCACTGTTTGACCATCTGTCACCGCAAAATTCAACAGAGAAGGCTGATCTCGCACATGTTAGCATGAGGTTGCTGAAAAGCACATGTATGACATTACCTCAGTAATGTTGTATTCTTCAGCATACGCATTCAATTGAGCCACAGTCTTGAGCATGGCTTCCTTGAGTTCTTGGTGTTCAAACGAATTGGCATTTGGATTTTTCAACTAGATGGCCATAAATACTTATCCCTTCTCCATGCAGTCAATCTCACTTACAAAACTTAGGAACAGAGCAAAAGCCCATTCAGAATCTGTGCTGCCTTGGACAAACAAGAAGAGTTCATCCGGTAAAGAGCTCTGTAATCTACGCTTGAATTTGTCGAATTCTGCGATACCGCCATTATGCATCCACATCAAACGTCCAAAACTAGTGCTATTGTCAATACATGTTGCGGCAGCTGGGCGGATTGCTGTGATGTACTTACGACCAGGGGTGACAATTCGTTTCAGATACTGCTCCAGATGTACTAGCACGAACATGAGCAAACACAAGTGGGCTTCTAATCTTTTCGGCAAGTCTCACTAAATTGACATTGTTCCATGCTGGTGTTACTGATGTAAAAATGCAAGGCGTGATGGGATCGTGCTCTGTCTCTGGCGTTTCATTATCGTACCATCCTACACCAAATCCATCGCCTAAAATGCCGTCAGCCATCCAAACTGCTTCAAGGGATCCATGTCATTATACCGTTCAATGGTCTTCTGGTATCTAGACGTAATCGTGAATCAAACGATTGATTGACAATTGAGTGCTTTGGCCGTGTAATGAGCTGCAATGGATACAGAAATTAAGAGCTAGATCCTCGCTTAGTGAAACTCAACAACTTACATGAGCAAGAAGAATGGGCTGGTTTCCCTTGTATAATAAGAATCGACACATGGTATGGCTCAATGAAAGAAAAAGTAAAGATGAATGAACAAGGAAAAAATATCTCGTTTTAACAACTAACCAAGTATCTGATTGGTTTATGTACAAATGCTGTCATTTCCATCCATCCTCCCGACATTTCTATCGTTCCTTTTTTTAATCATCACAAACAAGGACATGCTGTTTCCTGGCAAATATCAAGTGACTTACATTATGAGCCAAATACCTGTGAAGATATATGTACTATCTAGTTACTTACTTGATTTGAGCATGTATACTAATTATCAAGATGGTGGTAGTATCATCCATGCGCTAATATCAAAAGACCGCTAAAGCCTAAGAGCTAACACCAAGATACAGATCTTGAAACAAAATGTAAGTAGATTTGCAAAAAAAAAAAAAAAAAAAAAAAAAAAAGAAAAAAGAAAAATGACCCATTGTTTGTGAATTTAGTTACTTTAAGAATTGACCTTATCCAGTGCTTGAAATTTACTTACCATCATAAAGACGACTTTATCTTATAATGTTTATACATATGAGTGTTTACGCTTCGGATGGCTCTCTACCTTCGCTTCGCTTCCGTAAGAACCAACCTGCGCAGCGACAGTTCGTGCTACCGATTGCTCTTGCTCATCTTACCGAGATACTACTACTATCATTATAACTCTCCACTTACACATGAAAACCCTTTATATTATCTGTGAATATAATTCTTATGTGATGCTCTGCATCCAAATACACGTAGCTACTTCATGTACGGGCAAGCAGCATACTAGTATTTCCCCTTTTTAATCAAAAGTGTGCCTGATACAGCAAAATCTGAGTGCATTTGAGCTGCGTTTTCTCGCGTTCAAGGCCGTTTTAGATCGTCAGTACGGTACCAAACAATTGCTCTCATCTGGCAGTTACTTATTGCCACCTTTGCTCAATTTTTTTGGGGATCAAAAAAACATGAACAAAAATCGACCAAAAAGCATGAGGTACCCCTCATGGTTTTCATCGAAAATCAAACGATCGCGTTTTTCACCTTGAAAATGGAGACTTTTACTATGGTATATCTTGAATCAAAATGTTACTATCGATCCAAAGCAACCTCTGAAATCATCTTTGTGGGACTTTGATATGTGAAATCTCAACTTTTTGACCAGAAACCTCTTTTCATATCTTCGTATATTGCTCAATAAGTTTATTCAAATCATCTATTTTACTTGGTATCATTGGATGCGCCTTGAAAAGTACTTCAAGAATGCATTAGGAAGCATAGAATGATCATCACAACTTGCATATCAAATTTTGCAGAATAGGTCGAATCATGTCCAAAAATTTTTTTTTTTTGTATGGAATGAAAGTTTTATTAAGTAGTTATGAATAAATAGTTAATAAAATCATTGTATAAATGGATCAAGTGTATACTAGGTAAAGTGACTTGCCATATTGTATCTTATGAGGTCTTATAAATCAATACTATCCATTTTGGACAGCTTATCCAGTTCTCTGTTGATATTGCTAACAACTGTTTGGGGCTCAAAAGGGGTACCACGGTAGTGTACGAAGAAATGGTGGGTCCAGATTATTCGGATTATGGTGGCAAAAAGGTCGAAGATGTTGATCTTGAGGTCCAGGTTGTAAATGTAGTATCTTGATAATGTCAGGTTCTGCATGTCTTTGTATATGCGGTGAGTGTTGATTGTGGTTGGGTAGCTTAGGTGTTCTTTAAAGACGGACTCCCAGACGTCGTGTTTGTTTCCGCATTCCATGAGAAGGTGTCTGGCATCTTCTACTTCGTTACATTGTATGCATCTGTTGTTTTCTATATCTTTGATTTGACTTTGGTATAGGAAACTTCTGCAGGGGACTTTGTTGTATATGATCTTGAGCCATAAATTTCGAGGTGACTGGTGCATATGTGATCTGTAGAATGCTTTCCATTGCTTGGGGTTGATGTTTTTGTTGTGATCTTTTGGCAGTTGTATAGGCAGTTGTTTGAGGAGCAGTTGTCTGATTATTTTGTTCTTGCAGAGCCAAATGATGTTGCTATCGTGCTCAAAATGTTGGATTAGACTTGTTGCCTCTTCCTGGTTGTTGGGAGTTGAGTTGTTTGGATGAAGCAGGTTGCTGAAGAAATCTTGAAGGTGTAACTGGTTGTTGTTGTGGTCTCTTTTGAGCTTGTACAGTATCTGCGGTGATTTGCATTCTTGTCTTGTCTTGTATTCGAGAGCTGTGTAATTAAGATTTGGCTTGAAAAAATCCTGCACTAGGCTTCTCTTGGCTGTAGGGTTCCTGAGGTAGTCAGTAGTTTCCAAGTCTTCCCAGTCCTTGTATATAGTGGTCAGTGGTAAAGTTAAACAAGTGTTGATATTGATGGGTGTATTGGTAAAGTCTGGTCGGCAGTTTTCAAGAAGACTATTCATTGTTTCAATAATCAGTTTCATGGCCCCATCTTTTAGGTTGTTCTTGTAGCTTCTTGCTTCTTTAAATATCAGTATGGTATCAATGTAAGGCAGGTTCGTCTCCATTTGTAGCGTATGTGACATCAATTGGTATAGGTACTGCGGGATTGTTTTGTGCTGGTCGTGGTATAGTAGTGCTGTGATATACCTCATTTGCAGGGTTTGTTGTTGGGCGCCTACATGTAGCAAACCTAGTCCTCCTTGGTCCTTGGGTAGGTAGTACACATCTTTTTTGATTTGCAGTCTCTTCTCATCCACTATGTATTGATATATGATGGAGTTGAGCTTGTTGATGGTTGCTTTCGGTAGAGGTGTCAGCCTGAGGACATGCCACAGTTTGGACAGGATAATTGTGTTAGCGACATTAGCTTTACCGTACATTGATATTTTCCTGGGCTTGAGGAATTCTACTTGCGCTTTGATCTTGGCGGTTAAGTCTGCAATGAAACAATCCCGTTGTTGTATTGTATAGTATATTGGATACCCTAGGTATTTGATGTACTCTGGGCTACTGTAGTCGAACCATTTCATTCGCTGTTGAGTGTAAGTTTTCAGTCTTGTACCGAAATACCCTTCCATTCTGCCACCATGTAGGGGAAACGCCAATGACTTGTCATAGTTGATCTTTGAGTTTGATGCCTTACCATACGTCTTGATGCATTCCTCCATTGCCATGTATTCCGTTCTTGATTTGACAAAGATGAGAATATCGTCCGCATAGGCCATGATCTTTGTAGGTGGTGGGGTGTTGAGCTGAATTGTCCTCTGTGGTGCTGGCTTGGTTGGTTGTATTGAGTATCCAGATATGTCTTGACTGTTGATGATTGATAGTATGAAGGGCTCTATTGCAAAGTTGAACAAGATTGGTGAAATAGAGTCTCCTTGTCGCAATCCTCTCTTCTGTTTGACTGGTTTGGTTAGAAATCCGTTCATGTTGATGAAAATCTCGTTGCCAAAAAACAGGTTTTCTATACATCTAATGAACTCCATTGGGAATCCAAACTTCTGGAGTACCTGAGCCAGGTAGTGTGGGTGCACTCGGTCGTAGGCTTTGTTGTTATCCAACATGACTCCCACATATTCTTCAAATTCGTCCTTGTTATTTCCCTTTGCTGTCTTGGCATTGTCCATCATCACTCGTAGGGCCATTCCTTGGTCACCAATGTATCTATCTTGCATGAACCCAGTCTGTACTTTGTTTATGAGTCTGCTTGCCACTGTCGTGATTCGTGAGTTCATGATCCGCGTGAAGACTTTACAATCTGTATTGATCAGTGTAATAGGTCGCCAATTGCTGAGATCAGATAAGTCGCCTTTCTTGGGCAGTAATACTACGCAAGCCTGTTGCCACGACTTTGGGAATATACCGAGCTTGATTGCGTCGTTATATACTTGGGTGATAATTCTTTGGCATATCGGTTGACTTGCTATGACATGTAAGATCTCGTATGGAAGTCCATCCAAACCTGGACTACTAGACTTGGGGCTCCTACGGGATCCCTCAAATATCTCTGCAAACGGAATGTCATCAATGATCTGATCGCTTTCCTCCTGGGAAATAAATACAGTAATGTGGTTCAGTATGCCTTCCATGCTATTTATATCGATCCGTTCAGGGCTATACAATTTGGAATAGAAGGTATGGACGGCATCCAGTTTCGACTTGGTGTCAGTGCACTCTGTTACAGTAGTTGGGTGCTTCAGCATGGGCATTGTCTTCGTTTCTAGTCGCCTGTCAATGGTCTTCTTGATGTATGCTGGCGAGTTTTCATTCTGCTCCATCCAGCGCTTGCCTGCTCTCAATTTGCTAATGTTGTACTTTTCTTCTTGGATTTTGCTGATCTCCTGGTGTATAGGTGGTAGTAGTGCCTTCAATGTTAGGGGCTCTTTTCCATAGAGTCGAAGTATTCTGTTCCTTTCACTGTTCAGTTGTTTCAATTTAGTCTCTCTCCATTGGTTGTGATGGCGGCAGAAATTTGTTGTAACTTTCTTGGCCATGTTCTTGATTAAATCCCATTTGACTTGTGCAGAAAGATCCGGGTCCAGCTTGTGTTGTACATAGTTGTTGATTTCCTTTGATAGCTTCTTGGTGAATCTCTTGTTTTTAGCCAGATGTGGGTTTGCTCTCCATATGCCTTTTCCATTGTTGCTCATTTCCACTGTCAGTGTAATCGTAATTAGAGCGTGGTCGGTGTATACATCGCTGAAGAATTCCACGTCCCCGTCGTGCATCTTTTTGTGAGTGTTGGTGCCAGCAAAGATGTAGTCGATTGTGGATAGGGTAACTCGTTCTCGCCGCTTTTGAATACAGGTATAGGTATACTTTTCACCTTTTGTGTTAATACAGTCATTCATATACCCCTTTACAAAGTTGATGAGATGTTTCGGTTTTGCTATGCGCCTAGTAGCGTGGTTTGATGAGCTGTCAAAGCTATAGTTAAAGTCGCCCGCCATTATCAGGTCAGGGATAATTTCAGGCATTGTTAGCAACATCTCTACTGTTCTCTTGTAGAATTGATTGCGTTGTGAGGTTTCTTCAGCAAATATACCTGAGCGAGCGTACAGATTCAAAATGTATACTGGTGGAATGGAGTTGTCGGCTATGGAGAGTTTTGCCAGGATCATTCTACCATCGTTAGATTCTTTGATTTTTTCCAGGTTAAGTGAGTTGTTGAAATTGATTATGGCACAATGTTGGGTCCATATTGCTTGGTGGTAGTTGAATTTGATCTTCATGTTGTCTGTTACTTCTTCAAAAGAGTGAGAAGGGATGTTGGTTTCTTGGCACAGTAGTATATTTAATTTCTTGTCTTTCAGCAGGCCAATAAAGGTGTCAGTAGTGTGTTGGTTGGTGTCCAAATGTAGGTTTCTACAGTTAAGAGACCCTACTTTGATGTTTAGGTGTTTAGTATTATTATTCATTTTTTTTCTATATATATTATTATTATTTTTTTTCTTTTTTTTTTCTTTTTTTTTTTTCTGGCTCAAGTTCTAATCCAACTTATTTAGCGGTGGCTTTCCGCTACCAGAGGTATTGGAAGAACCGGCTGCTTCGTTGGTGCTTGATTCATTCTTTTTTGTATTCTTTTTTTTTGAAAATGGGACAGTTTCCTGTTGACCATTTGGGGATATAGCATCATCCAGATTTCTCTTGGATTTCGATGGAGTGAGCTTGTCAACGTCAGTGAGCTTCAAAGTTTGGTTACTTCTGGTGGCGAGGCGAGGAGTAGATTGTGTGACAGATGGGGTAACATTGAACGGCTTCTTGTTGGCTAGTTCACTTGAGGAGCGAGACATTTTGACACCTTTGTCTAGTGAAGTGGACTTTTCAGTGTCGTTTTCTTCATTTCCTTGGGACTCTTCGACCTCTTCGACCTCTCCCATTTCCACTTCGTGATTTAATATTTCAAATTGGTTTTGAGATGCTGGTTGTTGTGGCTGACCTTGTTTCACAAGATCAAGCAGGTTGACTTCTCTACTGCTGGAATTTCTTCGTGACACCAACTGGAATTCATTCTCATTGGATCCAGGGGTAGACTTGCTTGATTTGGTTTCATTGCTATTCTCCGTTGATTTGTTGTTCCATGGGGCCACAGGACATTTCGCAATCAAGTGGTTAGGACTCTTGCAACGGTGACAGAGTCTTCTTCTTCTCTTGGGGCAGTCAAGTCTAACGTGCTCGTCCGTGTGGCAGTCGGTGCAGATAGGCTTCATCTGGGACCATACCAAGTGCAGATGGGCGCCTGGGAAACCTTCCAATTCAACTTGAGGGGTTAGGGAGTTTGCATAAGTGGACTCCTTTAATTTATCCCGATTAAGAGTAGCAAATCCTCTTCCAGTGAACCAGTCAGAGTCTCCACTCTTTGAGATACCAATGTTCAAGATATCGCCATATCTTTCAAATGTCTTGATCAAGGCTGGTTTCAATTCATCCTCTTCCATGAGTGGGATCTCAGAGATACCAATGTTGATTACGTTTGCAGTGTGATTCAGGGTCTTGTTGACTTCAATGACTTTTCCATTGACCTTGAACTCCTTCAAGAGAGCGTCGCGACAGAGGTTTTCAGTTGAGAACCCAAGTTCAATGGCCTTCTTCCTGTTTTTGCCAATGATCCTAGGCTTGAGACCTAAGCATTTGGGAAACTGTTCTCGCAGTACCTTGAGGAGAGTCGTGTCCTTGAACTCCATGCCCAAGAACTGAGCACAGTCGATGACGATAGAATTGCGTTCTTTAGCTTCAATGAATGTTGAGTAGGTGTTCAGAGGTTTGAATGTGTTGTTATCCACATCCGGCACAACTTCAAAGTTGTGTCTCTTCTGTTCCTTGAGAGCATCGGTAAAGGATTGGTAAGTAAATAGTTGATTGCTTGGATTATGGCTAGAATCCATTGAGCCACCTTGTGTGGGTGGATCACTGTTATCACTCTGTTTTTTAGCGGAGGAAGCCATGAATCATGTCCAAAAAGGTCAGAAACTAACAAATCAGAAAAAATTTGTTTGACGGAGATTTAACCAATTTTGGCTGAGGATGCTGCTGGCAGCATCAAGGCCTTTCTCAACAATCAAGACATTTCGTGTTGGGAAGCTCGTGTATATGCTATCAGCAGCTAGTGAGTGCCACAATAATAGCACCTAGTGTATAACAATGAACGATCTAGCGTTTCCAAATCACAGGTTGACCGGCTTGCGAGCATTAGCTTGACCGAAATGCTGGATATCTCGAGTAGCATTTCGTGTGAGGTTTTTCTCTGATTAAGGGAAGCCTATATGGGTAATGTGCTATTTCAGAATAGCTGTGCCAATGAGGGCAAACCTTCGAAAACATTGTGATGCCAAACAAATGATCGGTAATGCGCTTAACTTTAAGCATGCAACAATTGATCAAGTTTGTTTTAGAATACGCTCCTTTAGTATTCACTGAAGCGCCTTGAACTAAACGCTGATAAGCATTCTGAAGCTGTAAACAATGTGGACAAATATGGGCATATAAAAATTTCTTGATTTGTTTTGACAATGAAAACTTGCAGTCGTCCCAACCTTGGGATTATCCGTATGGTTGTAATAATGTAGGTCACTGTTTAGAACATTTCTATAAACACCGTTAGACTTGTTTGTTATGCCATCGAAGACGCAATGCAAATCACAATGTCTATGTCTGAGATGTTTACACATTATATTGCACACTAAAGGTAAACATAAACAATATACACTTTTATATATCAGTGCTATTGAGGAATGACATTAATTTTTGTTGCCTTACGTGGTTAAGAACGCATTTTAATTTAAGCGCATATATAAAGGGTTGATTAGTAATTCGTGAACCAGAAATTAGGTTTGATTATCATGGGGCGTTCATTATCATTAGCTTTAGCTGCATTACTTGTATCGTCATGCTTTGCTGCTCAAGTCAGCATTGTGCAAAGATTCGGTGGATATTTGTTTCCTCGTGCTGTCGAAACTGATATAGACGAGTGTCGTGAAACCAACGGTTATGAAAATGACATTGTAAGGCTATCATATTGACTTTTGCAACATAGGTATTAATGCCTTTGTGTAGCTGACTCGATTCACTGGTATTTTCTTTGGTAATTTCTACACTGGCGGTGGTACCGATATCTTGGGCGGTCTTGCTGTACAGGGCAATATGCATGCTCCCAATTACGTGGTGAATGCTAATCATGTAAGATGTCAAATGTATTATGTTCTAAATGTGATATTTACGCTACATATCCAACTACATAGGGTGCTGATTGTAGTGATCCTGGCTCATTTAACTCTTATAATCTCGTTGTCGGAGGCATTGTTGACACCTTTAATACTCATGTTCATGGTAATGCCTTTCTCAACTTGGGTGGAACAATCGAAGAAGTTTTGGAGTTGGATGCCGGCTGTTTTGTTACTGATCAATTAGGCACTGGCAACTTTGATTTTGACATCGTCAAGCAAATGTCGATCAAGTCCAACCAAGATTTTGCTACTCTTCAACCTACTATCGTGCTTGAGTCTGACGGTTCATTGACTGAGCTTCGTGAGGGGCAACTAGCCAACTATGAGATTATCACCTTCCATTCTTGTAATGGTGTTCTCTGTAGCTCATACCCTGACATTGAGTCAGATCCCTTTGCCATTCTATTCAGACAAGGCAATTGGAATGGTATCCAAGGCTCAGAAATTGATCCTGACAAGACTTATGTATTGAATGTAAGTATCAATATTGAACTGCAAACCAATATATTCTAATCTCTGGAGTAGATTCCTGTCAGAGATGGCGATACCATTGAAATTGATGGCAACAATCCAAGTAAGTTTGATCTGAATCGCTTGAGGCGCTGAACTAAACGTTCCATTTTATAAACTAGCCCTTGGTTTCAATCCTTGCAAATTGATTTACAATTTCTACCCAGTTGATGAAGCTGGTCAGTACGTCCCTGATGGCGAGTTTACTCTTATCCGTAGAACTGCCAACCAATTTTGGTGGTTTTACCTTGGCACCAAGAGGTATACATTGTAGAAGGGGTAAATCAATATACATACTAAGTCCTCATCTTCACTTACTTAGGGCACATTGTCGACGGCTCCGTAGGCAACTTCTCTGGTAATCTCATTGGCCTGGTATGCTATAAACCTTTGAGCATCTAAATACATTTCATTAAACTTATCATCGGTATTAGGACTATACCTGGGAGAACCTGAATGCAGGTGTAGAAATACGCGATTACACGTACGTACAAAAACGAACGAAAGGCTCATAAATATACAACTAACCATCTTTACAATGTATAGTGCTGCAGGTGGCAACTGTGATCAATACTTGGGTTGTGTACCTGTGCATGTCACTAGTGACCCTCCTGCTGTCTCCATTCCTTCAACAATTACTTCCAGCAGTTCAAGAACCAGAACCAGAACATGGACTAGCACGGAACCAATTCCAAATACATCTGAAACGACAACTGTAACATACTCACCAGCCCCTGAACCATCAGATGGTGTCATCGCCAGTGAATATAGCCCATGCCCTGCTGATTACACAGAGACAGTTACAAGTGTCACTACCACTACTACTTCTGTTGGCAATCTAATAGATACTACTACTTTAATTGTTCCTGATGTCACCGGTACAACCACAGTAAATGAAGGTATATTGACATTGACTGAGAGCGGCACTACCATCACAGCAATTATACAGGCAACAAAGACCAGAACTCTTGTGCTCATTCGACCTACTACCCGAGTTGAATACACCTGTTCAGACCCTGAATCTATTTGTGAATTAGAAACGAAGACTGTTAGAGAAGAATGCACGAAAGATTATGACCATGATCATCATCATCATCACCACGACAAGGACAAAAACCATGGCCGTGATGAAGATGAGTATGATGAAGACGATGAAGACGATGAAGATGACAAGAAAAAGTGGCACAAGAACGACGATGATGAAGAATACGACGATGACAAGCATTGGAAGGGCAAACAAGACTAAAACTACTAGATAAATCCCAACACTTATCATATATTTCAATAAAAAGGCATTCCGTATAGCTTCTGAAAAACGATCATTCATGCACTCTGCAAATTGCTGTACTATAACAGTTGATTCTAGTAGACATTTTTTTAATGCTCAAATCATGAGAGTGTAGAGGCTTTACTACCTTCTCGCAAACTCCAATACATTGAATCTTCTTTGTGAATAAAATATCGAATACATTGCTAACTTGAGGTTACGCTCCTTCAATCACCAGAATGATCAAGTAGTAGCATGAATGCATCTTGAATTAAGCGGTCGATCTATTATCCGATCGACAACAGGTTCATTTAAAGCCAGTGAAGTGTGTATATCTGTGTGGTTGTGTGATTGTAACACTTGGATTTCATTACTGACGTACTTTCATCTCTATACATTTTATTTTCCTTTTGTTATTGTTACCTCAAACACAGCATAATTATGGAGGGCGAGGGAACTTACTTGAAGCGTCAGTCGTATAGTTCGACGCCATCGAAAAACTATAACAACTATACAGCAGCTTCATCACCTTCTCAAAAAAGTCAATATAGATACTCCACAGGGGAATATCCAAAAACGAGCTCCAGAATATCCAGACGCTATGCCACTCCCGAAGAAAGCGATGCAGTATTTCCCATCTTCAATACGCCAACCAACATGTATTTACGAAAAGAGTTGAACTCTCAGCAGAGATACGCTCCAACATCACAGCAACAACAGCAGCCATCCGTGTACAATAACAGTTCCTCCACCAAGTATTACAGCAAACCAACTTATAACAGTAGCTCATTTGATCCTCTATCGAGCAAAGCATCCACAGCTTCCCCCGCATCGTAAGTATTCAGCTAAATGCATCTAGACAAACATCGACTCAAAGCCGCGTACTTTTTATTAGTGCAACATCTTCTTATCACACTGAACGCCAAGAGGTAGGTTCAAGCGATTGTAAAATTTGACTGAACACTGAAAAATTTAATTTCACATAGCCACCACCTACTCGACCTCTCATGAACAATGTCAATGGAACGGAAAGTCGATCCAACTTTAGTAGTGTAAGATCATGTCCAAACCATGCAAGAAATGATATCATCAACTCAACAATTTTCTTCAGATGTCAAATGGAACATCATCATTTTCGAGTACCTCCTCTGCCTCATCCACGAAGGATTTACTATTGGCACAGTTAGTCGACATGGGATTCAGTTTGGAGGCATCAAGAATCGCTATGGAAGCGAGCGGTAGTAATAATCTACAGGATGTGCTGGACATCCTTATTCAGAATGAGAAGGCAGAGAAGGTGAGCACTGCACGTCAGAGCAGTAGATCATCCTCTTCTTCAGACGAAGATCAGGATCCTCAATCACAGAAACAAAGCGAAGAGATATGGAAGAGACAGCAAGAGGAACGTAGACGAGAGTATTTGGAGCAGCTGAAGCGAAACAAGCCTACACCACCCAAACCCAGATTTACAAACAGTACCAGCTACACTAGTCAACCCAATGGTGCTGGAGCAGCATCACCATCATCATCGTCGTTTCATGCCACTTCGCCTACATCCTCCCATATACCTTTCCAACCATCTCCCAATGTGTCTGCTCAGCCCTCGCCCGTGCCTCCCCCAAAGCAACCCCCACAGGCGCCCGTTTCATCCCCAAAGACAACGACTACACAACCTTCACCTCAACCTCCATCTGATTCTGCGACAACATACGCAGACAAGGAAAGAAAACAAGGCAATTACTACTTCAACAAGGGACAATTTTTAGAGTCTGAATCGGCCTACACACTGGCCATCAATTCTTTACCTGTGGGGCATGGCGATATCGTACTATTGAGCAACAACCGAGCTGCTGCTCGATTGAAGCAAGGCAAATATCAAGATTGTCTCACCGATTGCTCAACAGCCATCGATATCGCTCGCAAACACATGCAGAGCAACACACCTATTTCGCCTATCATGAGTGCTACTTCTACCAATATGAAGGCACAGCTGATCAAGGCATTGCATCGAAAAGCGTGTGCGTTGGAGGGATTACGTTTATTTGAGGCCGCTATCCAAGTGTACGAAGAGTATGTTCGATTGGATGGTTCTCGCAGTGCACAAGTAACGCAGGGTATCATGCGATGTCAACAGGCCTTGCTAGACAGCAAAAAGAAGCAGCAGCAACCCCAATGGAAGCCTGCCACATCAACCAACGATGCTACAACTGCCTTCCCAGGCATTGATTTCAACATGTTTATTCCCAAGAAAGATCAAAAGACCCAGGCTCAATTAGACGAGATTAACAATAGCAAAGCTGTGAAAGAAATGCGTGATAGAGAAAAGAAGAAGGAGGCTGAGGATGCGGAAAGATTAGAGAAAGAGGATAAAGTCAATGCGCAAATTTCAGTGTGGAAGACTGGTAAAGACAAGAATTTGAGAGCTCTGTTGGGTTCTCTCGAATTGATTTTGTGGCCTGGCGTACAATGGAAAGGCGTGACGATGAGTGAACTATTAGATCCTAGAAAGTGCAAATTGACGTACATGAAGGCCATTGCAAAAGTGCACCCGGACAAGGTACATGAAATGATGTGGTTTCCATATATACTGTACTAATGGTTGTAATAGCTTCCAGCAAATGCTACCATTGAACAGCGTATGCTGGCTAGTGGTATCTTTACTACACTAAACCAAGCTTGGGATGTATTCAAGACAGAGAATAACTTGTAGTTTTATACCTATACCCACCCATATTATAATATAATAAATCTATCGTCCCTACACACTTTCGAAGCCTCAAAAAGGAAAGAAGTTGATCTTACAAGTGTTTCGGTAGACCGGCGCTATTAGGTGCGAGACTCAAAAGAAAATAGCATGTCTAAAGGTAGTTTTGTGTAATTCACCGCCTAGTTCCATTGGCTTCAAAAGCTATTATTGCATTCATGGCTAGAAAGGCACTGAATTTGCCTGCCAGCCCCACCAGTCAAAATTAATTCGAACCCAGACTCGCTGTTTGTTTCAGATTGGCCAAATCTTAATGCTTTTCGACTCGATTCAACTATTTTTGCAGATTCGACTAAATAAAATATGATAATCATCCTACGCTTCTTTAAGCTTTCTTGGAGTGCTTTTCAAGGCGCATCCAATGGTACCAAGTAAGGTAAATGTTTTGAATAAACTTACTGAGTACTATACGAAGATATGAAAGAGGTTTCTGGTCAAAAAGTTGAGATTTCACATATCAAAGTCCCACAAAGATGATTTCAGAGGTTGCTTTGGATCGATAGTAACATTTTGATTCAAGATATACCATAGTAAAACTCTTCGTTATCAAGGTCAAAAACACGATCGTTTGATTTTCGATGAAAACCATGAGGGGTACCTCATGCTTTTTGCTCAAATTTTGGCTATGTTTTTTGGTCCCCCAAAAAGTTGAACAAAGGTGTCAGAAAGTAACTGCCAGATGAGAGCAATTGTTTAGTACCGTACTGACGATCTAAAACGGCCTTGAACGTGAGAAAACGCAGCTCAAATGCACTCAGATTTTGCTGTATCAGGCACACTTTTGATTAAAAAGGGGAAATACTAGTATGCTGCTTGCCCGTACATGAAGTAGCTACGTGTATATGGATGCAGAGCATCACATAAGAATTATATTCACAGATAATATAAAGGGTTTTCATGTGTAAGTGGAGAGTTATAATGATAGTAGTAGTATATCGGTAAGATGAGCAAGAGCAATCGGTAGCACGAACTGTCGCTGCGCAGGTTGGTTCTTACGGAAGCGAAGCGAAGGTAGAGAGCCATCCGTATCATAAACACATTCTTAGTATTGATAAACTTATCAAAGCGAAATTCAATGGCTTTGTCCGAATGAAAACGCCACCTATATAGTGGTAAGATGCTGATCCAATGCCTTTGGCAACAACCACTAGTAATCATTACATTTGTGCACTTGGTGACTAGCAAACTGGCATTGTAAAGGCTATAGCTCTACACATAAATGAGTTGCTCTTTTTCTCTTTAATCATGTCCTCTATCACTGTAGATACCAATGACTTTTCTGATCCTCACTTTGACCCCAAGAAATGGATCAACTCTGTATTGAAACCTACTACATCGAATACACCTAAAGACCCAAACGACGATGGAGGAGCCAAAAATACAACTATTCTCGTCACTAAACTACAGATTGCTAGCGATACTACCTCACGCCAATTTGACCAGCTTTCAACTACAGTGATCAAATCGATGCCCCGTATATTATATGACCTCAAACTCATCTCAGATGATGCAAAGTCGATTCATCAGGGCGTAGAGGCTGTAAAGAAGAACTTGGGCTTGCTAGAAGGCGATACAGAAGCAGCTCTGGATAGTTTACGTCGACCCCATATAGCAAAGACACGCATGGAAGAATGTCGCATATTGCTGTTGAAGAAATCGGATCATTTGAACAAGATCAAGGAAGAACAAGAAAAGAAAAGACAAGCAGCAGCGGCAGAAGCAGCAGCGGCAGCAAAGTTGCTGGAGGAAGAGCATCGTCAACAATCATTATTGGCAGAGCAAGAGGAGGAAAAGACACGAGAGGAGCAAGAGAGAAAGAGAAAGGAACTGGAAGAGATGGAAGCTGTCAAGAAGCAAAAGCAAGCTGAAGAGGAAGAGCAAAAGGAGATTGACGAGGCATTGGAGTATGGACATGTGCAGTTACCGCCATTAAGACAACCACCACCCAAGCAACGCACATTACAGCAAATACAGAATACAGCAGGTGTTTCAGAGCACCCTGATGATAATAATAGCTATTTACAGCAAATTTCTGATTCCATGACACCTCAAGTGAGTAATGTGTTTAAAAGAATCGGCGTACCAGTAAGTTTGCAGCATGATTGACGGAAAGTGCATGATTTACTAACACCAAATGCTACTCAGTTGGATAAATTTTGGCAATAGAGAGTACCTTTCATGTATAGATTGTGCCTGATAATAAACCTGTACCATAGTATGGATATACCTTTGAATGTCATGCCTTTATTTCTTCTGTGATTTGTGTCATGGGCATCGTTTGATTGCATTGTATTCAGAGGCGGCTTTGGAACCCTCATTGGTAATCATGTTGATATCCTCATCTTCAAAAGAGATTGACGAAACCCAGTTGGCCATATATTCCACTAGAAACTATACCTCGCCATGCTCAGCAGAGTATACCCTTCAGATTCTCGCTGTGAGTCGGCATCACTCTAAAGCAATTCTTACGGCAAACGTTTTCAATTTGCATGTCAAATGTGATTGATTGTGACGTTTTTAGCATTGAATACCTGATAAAGGGAGACCCATTTTGCATGTTTCAATACACTTGTCTTTTTTATTTACTTCCGTCAAACAACATCTAAACAAAATGAGCGACGACGATTTCATGCTTGAAGATGAGGAGGAGGTAATTACGCGAACAAGTGATGTGTCGCTTTGGCTGATGCAACATGCAAATCAATCCAGGATTACGACTTTGATTATGAGGATGATGATGAGGAGGAGCCTGACGTAGATCTCGAAAACAAATACTACAATGCTAAAGGTACACACGATTTTCTGTTGGACATATCACATTCAAGGCTAAACAATGCTATAGCTAGAAAAGAAGACGATCCCAAAGAAGCCCTCGTCGAATTTCAAAGCGTCATTGATACAGAGGAAGAGAAGGGCGATTGGTAAAATTGTGATTACGCGAGAGTAGTAGAACAATCAAACCAACACGGATATTAGGGGCTTCAAGGCGCTCAAGCAAATGATCAAGATTTCATTCCAACAAAACAACTTTGATAACGTAAGATGCTATCACACATCTCATTTTATCAATGCTTGACAGAGTTCGCTGTTCTATAGACATTGAAATACTACCGTGAATTACTGACATACATCAAATCTGCAGTAACCCGAAACTACAGTGAAAAAAGCATCAACAACATTCTGGATCATGTCTCTTCAGCTGACAATATGGCGTTCATGGAGCAATTCTATGAAATCACATTAGAGTCTTTGGCAGAGAACAAGAATGAGCGGCTGTGGGTCAAGACCAATCTCAAATTGGCCAAGCTCTGGTTGGATCGAAAGGAATATGGCCGTTTGAACAAGATTCTCAAACAGTTGCATGCTGCGTGCCAAAAGGACGACGGCACAGATGATCAACGAAAGGGCACTCACCTGTTGGAGGTGTTGGCACTGGAAATTCAAATGCACACAGAGACCAAAAACAACAAAAAGTTAAAGGAATTGTACCAGCAATGCTTGTCTGTCAAATCTGCTATACCTCATCCCCGTATTATGGGCGTCATTCGTGAGTGTGGTGGTAAAATGCACATGAGTGAGAGTAAGTTGTGTGGAGTCATAGGTGGTATAGGACATGATATTGACCTCATCTTTGACAGAAAAATGGGACGATGCACAAACGGATTTCTTTGAATCATTCAAAAACTATGATGAAGCCGGTAGTCCACAGCGTATTCAAGTATTAAAGTAAGACAATGGAATGCAATCTCAGCGTTATCAATACATACCAACTCAAATGACCACAGATACCTTGTATTAGCCAACATGCTGACTGAATCACAGATCAATCCATTTGACTCTCAAGAAACAAAGCCTTACAAAAATGACAAGGAAATTGAAGCCATGACAAACTTGGTGAGTGCGTATCAAAAGAAGGAGATCAACGAGTTTGAACACATTTTAAAAGGTAAGTCTTGTTGAATCATGCTGCTCAGATCAACTAATAAGTATGCCCTTTGTAGTCAATCAAAAATCCATTATGGGCGATGCCTTTATCCGTGCTTACATTGACGATGTCTTGAGAAACATTCGTACACAAGTGTTGATCAAGTTGATCAAGCCCTACACCAGCATTGAAGTTACATTTATCTCCAAAGTAATGTATCCCTTTATTTGATATTCAAGAAAACCAAACACTGATACCCTTCTTACAGCAATTAAATATACCTGCGGATGATGTGGAAGATCTTATAGTCAGTCTGATCCTTGATGACAGAATTTCAGGCAGAATCGATCAAGTCAATCGTCGCTTAGTATTGGATAGACGATCTACAGATGATTTCAAGTACGAAGCATTGGATGCATGGTCGAGTAATGTATCAAAATTGTGTAAAACAGTGATTGGAAAAGCTACGTAGAATTTCCCCCCCCCCCTCCATTTATTCATTAAAAGCCAAAGTTGTTCTCTTGGTTAAAACCAATTTCATTCAATGCAGCCAACAACTGCACTCGAGCATTGACAATGTCTTCATACTCTAACGCGCTGATGGCCCATTTGGCATACTTTTGTGCTGAAGTAATATTTTGGGGACCTAATGGTGTGGAGGTTTGAGAAACCACAACTGCTGGTGTTGCTGGTACTGCCGCTGGTTGTTGGACTACCACAGCAGGTGGGTTGTTATTGCTGCTAACAGGCGTTACAGGCGATGCATCGCTTGTTGTATCAGCTTTGGGCGACTGAGGTGTTTGAGGAAGCGGTGCAGTAAAGTTGGAAGGTGGGCTAGGGAATTCAGAGATGGAAGGTGGTGGTGGCACAGTGTGTGATTGTTCCTGCTCGTCAGGTTTTTGTTGTTCTTGTTTCATCTCTACATCCTCATTCTCTTGCTCAATGCCTCCAGGTGGTCCTGGCGTTGGCACACGTCCTTCACGCAGAGCCTTCATAATATCAGCAGCTTTCCATTTAGAATATTTGATCTTTGCCTCTGTCTCTGGATCTAATTCACCAAATGTCTTTAAAAGTTCTAGAAAGATGGATGCTGCAAGAAACGTTTTGGCGGTTTTTCTAGCATACATTGTCAAGAAGAGATACTATCAAGAGCTAGATGAAAATCCTTACTTGCTTGATTTGCCAGCACGATCCTCGTTGTCTGCGTTGATGAAGATTTTGAGAGCAAAGTTCTCAACGTGAGCATAGCCTACCAAGTCGTCAGTGATGGCTTCGTTGGCTCCAATGGCTTGTTTTTGCTACATCAACACTTGATCAGTCATTTGCACTTTTTGGGCTAGTAATGTTGTATGCTTACTGTTTCTAAAGCGTCAAGTAGATGAGACAAGTAGTCTGTCGTTTCTTTTGTTCTTGGTCCTCGAGCAATGGCAAGCTTAGCAGCATAATATTGGGCTATTCACAAGGGTTAGAAGACGTTATAGATGAGGCGTGTCGATAGAGTTCTTCACCATAGTATGAGACAACCGGATCTCTTGATGCTACTTCTTGTCCACGTTGAACATAGGGTGTAATGTACTTAATCTCGTCGGGTATCTTGAGACTCATGGCTGTCGTAAGATATGAAAAAAAAGGGAGCAAGTTGTACTGGTTTACAGTGATGTAATTTTATCGCATTTGAATGTCCCCCCACAGCCCCTTTTTTTCTGTTTCTGGCTGAAGAGAAAGCGCATTGGTTTCATTGAATGAGGGGAAATGGTGCAAATACTGAAAGCAAAATACGCACACTCGCTCCAGTGATGTGGCTCTTGTGGCGAATGACTAGTTGCAAAAGAGAAAACAGGCTGAATTTTATGTATTTTACTGCAAGTTGGATAACGCTCTTGTACTAGACGACGCCTTCTTGCTGCATCTTCCCTGAATACCCAACTGATTGGAGTGTGTTTGCCAACCAGGGCTCCTTTTTTCTCGTGTTATTATAGCACATTCAAGTCTGATCTACTAGGCACGATCAAAGTTGCCATTTTCGTTGCCATTACACTCAAAATCCCGCCTACAAGATCCCTTTGTTTTATTAAATGCCTTTATGTAAAACTGCTGTGGTGCTGATCATTCGGTCGATCTAATACTTCATTACAGCGTGTCTTATTTTTGTTGGGAAACCGTATTTATGTAATTTTGTAGTCAATATAGAAAATGTTTGCATGAAATACTAGAGCTGCAGGTTGATTGCTTCATAATCTAGCCATCAGTTATAATACTACAATATGAACATAATCTTAAAGTGTACACATATGAACAGACATCAACCTTATTACGATAGCTTAAATAAAGAACAGCCAACACACATGCTTCGGTTTCTGATTGGAAAAAGCGTTCACCATTTTGTCAGCGCGACATTTGGTATCATAAAAACGTGCAAAATGAAACCGCTGGTAGGCCATCAAGTACAGTGCCAATCGTTAGTCAGACAACAAGATTGTGCTGAGAATGATTGCTCTGGCTGAAGGCGATCTCATCGTTCCCGTGTATGATCAAGTAGGTTCAATGTATCAGAGGAATACACAATTCAAATTTGCAGCGCAAACGTATACATATAGCACTTTATGTATAAGTAGGATGGACTCCTTTTAACCAAAATAAGATCACAGGTCACTCTTATGGATATCTGATAATAGACTCGAGGATCAGTTACTTAAACGACCTGTATAGAAACCCAACAACACATCTAGTCCACAGAACCAGAATATTTACGCTCAGTTTGCATAAAGCCGATTATCAAGATTTCTACACGATCGAATCTTTCAAACAAGGTGAATGTCTATGCAACTGTAGAACGCAAGTCGAGATGCTACGGCTGGTGGCCATGACACTTGTAAGTATAGCGAGGGAATAGCGCTTACACTGCCCTTGATATTCGAGGGAAAAATGGTATTTTAGAGAGAGTCAATCTCAGATTTGATATTCTAGTTTGATCCGTGCTACATTACAGTTACACATCTATACAAAATGTAGTACACGCACACACCAAAGCACACACATATACACACGCAATTACGCACAAGATATTGTCACTTTAGTTGCTACTTGATCAATTCTACAAAGATAGTGATAAGGTTTAATAGAGTACACACAGAATGATCGGAACCACCTTTCAGCACACGACCCTTGATCTAGATGGCGATAGACAACAATGTCTGATTTGCTGCCTTGATTTGATATTCAGGACAACAAACATAAACAGTAGATTGATTGGGCTCCTGCGCTAGTAGCAAGTAGTAATGATCAAATGATGAAATATCGAGTCAAATCCGGAATGAACGGGGTCAGTTTCCGATGGGATCTATTTTATAACTACAAGAGGATCATGTGTACTATACCATTCAGCCACTGCTTTGTACGAGATATATATCTTGTATACAGTATCGATACAAACAAAGACAAAAAAAAAAAAAAATAAAAATAAAAAAAAAAAAACTAGAGTCTAGAAAAAAGGAGACCCTATGTATATACATTGTAGCATCAGTTGTAATTGAAAAGTTAATTTATGTATGATTAGACAGCATGATACTGAGTGAAACCAGCATGATAGAGCAATCTTTGGTTTTGTGTAATTGTTGAGAGCGTCGATTTTGTGATCAGTTCCCACTCTTGCATGCTTCTCGATCACTTTATGTTTAGCAGTTGGTCTGAGCCATTTGATCATAGATAGCACGAGTAATGATGCATTACTTACATTGCATCTACATAAATCAAGTTTTTATATATATGACTAATTTCAAACAACTTGAAGGAAATCTCACCAGCAAATACTAAAAAAAATGTGACACCCGAGACACTTTATGCAATGCTTTTCCAGCAGAGTTCAAGAATGACTGGACATAGAGGTCTAAATGTCAATTGAACATGTGCTGAACGATCAAATTGAGAATAACCCAAGTGTAAATGGTTTCGAAATCTGACTTTTTACAATGTTGATTATGTTTCCTTGTATAGTCTCTGAGATGCACACCTTTATGAATATGGATATATAACCAGTTCAAGACTGAATTTCACACTATAACAGTACATGCTTATTACCCCTTAGCCATACCATTGGCAACAGACTGCAACCACAGCAAGGTTTCATTCTAATATCTGCAAGTGGCATTTCATACAATGTCCGCCTTATCCGATGCGATTTATAGACATTTGTTTTGATTCCCTAAAATGATGAACGTTTGGGTCAAAGGGTGAGAGTGACAAAGGCCCGTACAAAGAGCGGAATGATTGACAACAAAGCGCTGTGTGTGTGTGTGTGTGTGTGTGTGTGTGTGTGTGTGTGTGTGTGTGTGTGTGTGTGTGTGTGTTAAGCCATTGTGATACAAGTGAACATGTCTTATTATAGTACTCCCGGATTCTTGATAGATGAGTGAAAATAACGCTTTGACCGGACCTTCTGTTTATTATTTATACATGATTACACTTGATGGTAGAGTTAAGGAGCAACCATGTAAATAGGCATCATTCTATACACAAACAAATGCGCACATTCATTTTTCAGGGCGAGCATCTGTCAGTACGGCCCTCACAAGTTATAGTATCAAAGTGGGGTCACTTTAAAATTTTAAACAAGAGCATTTGTAGCACTTTTAATAAGCGTACTATCAATGACAACGGAACAAATTGTCCCTCTTTCCTCGAGCAATATAAAAAGGCATGAAAAATTGATCAAATCTTCATTGCATTTCTTTTTCTCTGCTTTTACGCATCTTGATCTTCTTTTGCTTTATACCCTCACTTTATGAGCTATCTCAACATGTCTGATTACTGCTTTCAACCAAACAAAGCATTTTCCATTGTACATGAGAACCAACGACATCCATCACCTCCATCACAGCAGCAGCAGCAGCAGCCGCAAAAGAAGCCAAATGAACTAAAGTTCAAGATTGAATCGGTTGGCATACATCCTGAAGATGATGATGACTTGGACATGTGTCCTGCAAGAGTACGACCTTCATGGCCAAAGCAAATCATCCCATGGTGGGTTCCTTCTCATCCCAAAGAGAAGCCTCCTTATTCATACGCTACATTGATCGCCCATGCCATCTTGGCTAGCAAAGACGGTAGATTGACATTGAATGATATTTACACATGGATTTCAAAGAACTACCCCACATTTTCTGTTGGTAATGGAGGCTGGCAGGTATGGACATTTAAGTTATACCGCTGATATCAATGTCTAATATGTGTGCAAAACAGAACTCAATTCGTCATAATCTTTCTCTCAACAAAAAGTGGTTCTACAAGATTGATAGAAGGCCTACTCAAGCAAATCCAGGCAAAGGCTGTTACTGGACCCTGATCGCTGGCACTGAACAAATCTTTATTGATAATCTCACACAAGAAGGCGGACACAGCCGAAAACACCATGATATTGGTCTTACCGCTGAACTCTCCATTGGCCAACGTCGGGGTGCGTGCTATTATAACCATAGCAACGCAGTTACACCAACCACACCTACCACTCCATCCTCCATCAACTTGGATACACCACCTCCAACACCTACAAAGCCATTGCTCTCGCCATTATACACCACATTTCGCATGGTTGATATGACACCAAAAACTGCTGATAGTGGTTCTGCAGTCGCTGCATTGGATGACTCTGATAACGATTCGGGTGTGGATGTTGGTAATGAATATGTTGATCGAAAGCATTTCAGAAAGCGTCGTCGTACAAACACTGTGCCTGCTGCTCGCATTCCATCTAATACTACTACTACTACTACTACCGCTACGAGTGGTGCTACCGCAACCACACCCATCATGACATTTGACATGGAGCAATTACATGTGAATAACCATCATCAACGCATGATGTATGGTACACCGACGTCAGCTTGTGTCCCCTCACTTGAAGGCGTCAACTATGAAATCAATCACTGGGTCGAGCACTCGCTCGCTTATGCCAATCATCAACGGCCACAGCCATGGATGGCGCCTATGCAACAAGCCAATACCTCCTCATGGAAAAGACAACATCCTATCACGATTCATCTGGACGACGAAGAAGTGACTCAAAAATACCTTCATTTCGAAGATGATGAAGAAGAGCATCATTCTACTCAGAACAATCATACTAATCTTATGCCTACTACATCACTTAATTCTAATGATTTATCTTTCAATACCTTATACCCATCACATTCCCTACCACCACCACCACCACCACCACCACAGCATCAGTCATCATCTTATAATAACATGCCACTACAGCCGCATTATCAACTATCTCAATTTGTATCTATGCAAGACATACTGTATTCTTGAATAAAGTAAACACATATCTATTTAAGTCTGTTGTTATTGTCAAGTTTCAGAGCGAGGCATACATACGCTGCTCTGCTCTCCTTTTGCTCGTGGTTTACATGAAGTTTCAGATCTATTTGAAGCTTTCAAGCACGTGATGAAGAGCTTCTCGTTGTCAGAATCATGTAATCTGTTTAGAGATGCTCAAACTTGGGGCCATATTAGACGTTGTTCGTTAAACAGCTCTCCCACGCTTTTGTATGCACCATCTCTGAATATGCCTGTACTCAAATAGAGCACGAATTGATAAGCGCCTGCGAGCAAATGTTGAATAACTGTTGGCATCATTTGCAGCTGTACTAATCAGTTGGCATCTTACAGTCTTCATTGATAGACATTTGGTTTATCTAGAGCAATATCTCCATGAGACATCGACACATCACACTTGGTCTCTCATTGTTTGTTGCCGTAGACAAACATTTGATGGAGGGTCAACTGGACAAGGTTTATCATGACGCACTTTAAATGAGGACTCTTGATTATTCAATCCACAAAAAAATATTTCATGTCTCTTTTTTTTTTTTTTTTATCAATTTAAACTAGATGGATAGATATTCGAGAGGATACGACGAAAGATATAGAGGCTACTACGACCGCCCTCGTTCTGATACCTATCGTCCAGGCGAAAACTATCGTTCAGAGAGAGATTATAGAGATAATCCTGCTGGGAGTGGTGGTGGCAGCAGTAGCAGCAGAAATTATTCGCCTAATTATCCATCGTCTCGCTCACCAACAGGTGGTGGAGGAGGAGGATCAGGCTCAAGATACAGTGGCAGCTACTCAGATGCACGGTCTAGCTACTATGGCTCTCGAGGTCATTCACCTCCATCACGATCTTCCTCAAGGTCCCCTAGACGGCCATCGTATGGCTACTATCGTTCAGCGGGAGGGTCCTCGTATCCTTACAGTTCAAGAAGATCGCCCTCTCCTCCCCGCCCAGTAGGAGGCCGTAGCGGAAGCAGCTCTAGCAGTAGAAGAGATTCATACGACCATCATCGATCTTACCATGGATCTCCTTCTTACTCGCAGTATCCACCTTCTTACAGAGGTGGCAGAGGTGATAGTGACAGAGGACCTTATCCACCCTATTCATCGAGAAGACACTACTCTGGTCCACCTCCTTCGTCATCGTATGCCCCTCCTTCATCATCAAGCTACGGACATCCTCCTCCTCCTTCTTCTTCTCATCCTTCTTCGGGAAGTGGATATCACAGTCGAGAAACATCAGTGCCACCACCTCAGCGCTCGATACACTCTACACCTACCTCGACAGCTCCCAATTCGCCCAGACAGTACCCACAAGAGCCTGCCAGTCTATTGCGTGAAACGAGTGCACCTTCCTCTTCCGCAGCAACTATATCAGCTGTCAACAAACCTTCTACTGCCACTGTCAGTGCTTCCTCATCTCCATCACAGCAACAACAACAACAAAAACCGCCATCACTGCCATCAACAGAAAACAATGCGCCGGCTGCATTGAGCTCTTCCTCTACTTCCAACATGGCACCCTTACCTTCGTCTGCCACCACAACAACTAGTACCACAACTGCTTCTAATATCAACACTCAAACACAACATTATGCTCCACCTCCACCCTCTCTTTCACTCAACACAGGCTATTCTCAACAATCTTCATCTTATCCTTATTCTGCATCCGCATCGTCTTCACCTTACACCAACAGTGGTGGAGGAGGATCAAGTACGCCTCGCGGCCCGCCTCATCATCACAGCAGTAGTAGCAGCAGTGGATATCATCACCATTACAATAGTCATTACAGTTCACCTTCTACAACAATGCCGCCTATCAGACAGAGAATATCATGGGCTCCAGAGCAAGAAAAGGAGGTTTGTGTTGCTGTCAGAGTTTGTTGGATACACATGTGCTAACGTCTATGTCTGATGCAGATGGATAGATATCATGTCGATCAGAGAAAGCTATGTGACGAAGAGATTAGGATTTTAACAAATTCTCGCAAAAGCAGATTCGAGCTGGAATTAGCACATTGGGAGGTAACGAAGCTGGATCACCAATTGGAGCTTGTGCAAAAGCAGTGGGAGGAGAACGGCATGGAGGATTTGGTGCGTGAGGAATCTCTGAAATTCAGCAATAACAGCAGATCAGCATCTAATGCCATCCACAGCACCAGCATGAGTAGTAGATTAGCCATCTTGTAAAGAATAAAAATGTGTGTACATAGCCCCTTTTTTTTCGATTGACATCTGTGGTCTATGGTTGTGTGGGGATGTACCATGCGAAACTGAAACTTGGGTGCATAAAGCTAAAATGAAACGCGCCTCGGGTGCAATGTCGATCTGAGCACTGCTACTGGATCCGATTGACAAAACACCATCGGATTGTATCACTCCTGTTGTTCATATATATATATATATATATATATATAAAGAGACATCCAGCCGCAATGTTCATTTGATAGTTGGTTTAGGTAATTCGACATTATGGCAGACACTGCGAACACGGCTACGGTGGATGCAATTACCTCTACAACGTCGACCACCGCCGACAATAGCACTGCTCCTGTTGATGGGAATGTCAGCACAAACAACACAAGCACCATTCCAGGAAAGGTTGAAGCAAAAGCAGATCAAGCCATTGGTAGTGCCAATGAGTCTGTTGGCAACGCAGCGGGAAGCAACAACCTCAAGGGCCAAGGCATACAGCAAAACGCAGAAGAACATGGCAAGGAAACAGCCAACAATGTGGCTGGATTCTTTCACAAGATGACAAATGAGGTGCAAGGCACATTCAAAGGTCTTTTTAATGCATTTTCTGGAAGCAACAAGAAAATAATGAGTTGCACAAGACCATGTCATTTGGCTGACCGCAATAAAATAAAGATGGCTTCTTCATTTGGGAAACCAAAACCTGCAAATTGTGATGTATAAAATTTTCTTTTTCGTTTTCATTTCACTACAAAACCATGTCTGATACAGCTATCAAGCAGCCCACAAAAGGCATCTTGAAGCAGGTCCACACGCAGCCAGCGAGCAATGCGGCTGCTTCATGGTTCACTACGCAGCAGCCTCGTATTCATAGCTTGTTTGGTAGCTTTCGAAAGAATCAGCAACAAGAACAGCAGCAACAATATCAAGAGCAAACACACTCAAACGAGATGAACACTGTCGATGCAGAGTTGGAGCCGAGACATATTCGAAGAGTGCGATTCCCAGTATCCCACATGACGAGCGAGTACGTCTTTACAAAGGAGGACTTGATCACCGAACGCAAGAAGCAGCTGCCTGTGGAGCCCATGAATATCCAGACATCCAGTCAACTGCTATCACTGTACGAATATGTGTGCAGAAACAAGCAGGAGCCCACTATCGATTTGTTGGTCTCCACCTTGATCACCCAACCGCAAGCTACTTTTTTGACTCGCCTTGACCTTACGAATCAACCCATCGATAGATTCAATATTGCTCCATTGGCTGATATCATGTGCATCGACTTTGGCTTGAGGGAACTTGTCTTTAATCACTGTGGCCTTGAGGATGATGTAAATTTCAGCTCTAGATTTGATAAAATATAGGTAGCTTATTGATTGTATCTATCGTATGTAGGCTGTCAAGACTCTGATGAGCAGTTTGTTGGAGAACGACAAGATACAGCACCTCAGTCTGGCAAATAATCCCAAATTAACGAGCCTGGCATTCAAGTATATTGCCATTTATATTAAAGGGGTAGGTCAATTGCAGCAGAAAGGCCTCGCACAGCAGAGCTAAAACTATGTCATCTGCAGGCCTCACAATTGGCAAGTCTGGATCTCTCTTTTACACAGCCTGATAAGAAGAGCATCCACTACCTGACTGCAGCAACATTGAAGCGCGACGCTTCCTCACCTATACCCTCATTGTCGAGCCTGCTGTTGAATGGATGCAGCCTGCGTGCACCTCAATTGGAAGCATTGGCAACATGTATACGAAAATCCAACACTTCATTACACCATCTCTCTATTAGAGGTAATCGTATTGGAGTACAGGGCGCACTAGCAATTGGAGTCATGCTGCGTGATTACGATAATAAGGATACGGCTTTCAAGGGCATCGAACGCTTGTTTCTGGATAACAATGATCTGAGCCAGGGCGGCATTCAATACATCGCTCAGGCATTACGTAGAAACCAGAGTCTTCGCTACCTGTCCATGTGCGAATGTAAGATTGACGCCAAGGATTGTATACTGCTTGGTGAGGCATTGAAGTACAACCAGTATTTGGAGAGATTTGATATTGGCTATAATCCGCTGATGACACCAAACATGGATGGTGTAAGTATGGTGTTTGGCATTCTAGACATACCAATGGCTAACAACGTCTTTTGATAGATCACCTCCATCCGACAAGCATTGAACGTGAATCGTTCATTGAAGGATCTCTGCCTGGCAGATACTGGTCTGAGCACAGAAGCTGCTATCGCTCTCGCTGAATGCCTCCCCGAGAACAACTCGCTTGTACGCTTGGATTTATCCAGAAATCCGAATGTACAAATTGCTGGTCTTTTAGCGCTATCGGTTTCCATCAAGTTGAATCACACCATCACATTCATAGACATCAATATTCCCGTAAGTCGCACTCATAGCTTCTTTAGACAATAGCAATTAACTCTGTGGCATGTAGAAAGAGGATAAGGATATGGTAGAGATCCATAATGGGATACTCGCCGCATGTACAAAGAACGCCCAGTCAAAGAAAAACAGGGCGGAGGTCGCACAAGAAGAAAAATCAGATAACCCCATGGTGACCACCGCACAAGCTACTGCTCGCTTGACACTTCAGGAACGTTTAGCCGCTGTAACCAAAGGAAAATCGAAACACAATGTATCTGCTTCATCTTCAGAGGTCAATTTGAATCAACCACCAACTCTTCCTAAACGTAGAACCGAAAACAAGGACTCACTTTTGATCCAACAAGCTTTTGACGATGTCGCTGCATTGGAAGATTTAATGAGCGGTAGATTGGAAGAAAAAGACAAATCAGATACATTGGCTGTTGCAGATAGATGCAGAGAAGAGCATGCCAATATTTGCCTGAGGATACCCGAAGTGGCTGACCCATCGCATTTGGGTAAGTGACAAACGACAGCAGAAATCATGGAATCGAAAGTTGATATGCGCGTATGATGACTATAGAACTTTTATTGGCCATTAATGACAGACTGACCGTTGCCATACAATCATTTGAGGAGAGACAAGCTAAGGAAGCTCAAGCCATGCAGGCCGCTTTGGAGGAACAACAATTGCAGCAACAGCTACAGATGGAGCAGCTTGAGAAAGAGCAAAAAGCACAAAAAGAAGCAGAGGAGAGATTGTCCAGCTCATTTGAAATTGGCGATGACGATGATGACGACGATGAAGAGAGCCTGATTGATGAGGATGACAATGAAGTTACCGCCAGTGAGACACCATTACAAGTGTTGCGAAGTGAGATTGAAGCAGAAGAAAGTGCTGCGTTTTTGAATGCGAAAAAAGATGAAGGATCAGAGTCAGAGGAATCTTTGGATTCAGCGGAGAACAAGAAAGAGGATAACGAAGGGGATATATCACAAACAGAGGCGAAATCAAGTGAAAGCGTGGCCGATAAGGCCGTCGGGACTAAGTAGATATGTAGCCAAACCTTAGAGATGGACGCACGCACATTTTGTAAACTTAATAAACACACCCCTCTTAATGCACAGCAATCATTGATTTGCTGCTCCTGAGACGTTTTGAGCATTTACTAGGGCCTGCTTCATTAGATGGGAATGCCAACACTATCGGTGAGATTATCCTATTTTTCACCTAAACTTGCCGCATATCTCCTTACTTTTTTTTTTTTTACTTTTTTCGCTTCACTTTTTGTAAGGCTCTTTAATCCGTTATATTATCCATTTATTTTATTCTTTTCTTAACAACAACAACTCATTCATTCTAGAATTCAATCACGCCGTCGTTTCTCTCCTCGCGAAACTGGGCTTGATGAGGAACGTGTTACTTTCAGAGCTATAGCACAATATTTTAAAACTTAATTCTGGATGACCCTAGCATTGAAGTTGGAAACACTTTTGTTGTACATTCAGAATTTGATACGAGGTTGGAAGATAGCAACGCATGAAATTGAGATATGTTGAAAATCAATGATAAACAGTGCATATTTGGCAGGGCATTTGGTACTGACAGTCCTTGGCAGTAGCTATTATATTGCTGTAGTACCTATTATTATTACATAACTACTTTCTCCCCCAACACCACATAGTAAATTTAAAGAACATCACCCTTAAAGAATTGTTTGGTAGATTCTAGATCAAATGACTGCACCTCATCATGCTTTTCAATAAAGAAGAATATAAATTTTAACTATTTGGATACCCTTTTATTACAGAAGCTATAGCATAATAAATGACATTAATAGGAAATCAACTAATTGTAACCCTTTGCTACTTCAACCTCTGAGCCAATCAGATTGCTTGAAAACTCCGCTGACCTAAAAAAAAAATTGCGAGGGTTTCCCTCTGTTTTGATGTGAGGCAAAATTTTAAGCGCCGCTAGGTATACCAAATCTAGCCCTGTGCTATCATTAAACTTCCCCCAGATGCTAGAGCATGCCTTACTTACACCACCTAGCTTTAGATTCTGGCATTGAGACCCTCAATCATCACTAAAGTAAGTAGCGATAACCAAGTGGAGGCAGCCTATCTACCTCCTAGCCTCGGATAGAGTCTTGTTGAGCTTCAGGGATAGGCACATCCACACAACGTAAAGAGGTATGCTTCAAAAGAAACATAATAATAATAAACGAAAGAAGAAAAGAACATATTACTATAGGAGTATAGTAGTATGTAGACAAAAAAAAAAGGGATACTCACACAAAGTGAGTCAAAAAAAAACATAACAAACACAACATCAAAGATGTTCAAAAAAGCTCACTGTTGTTGCAATAAAAATGCATACATGAGCAACGTGCATGGTAGTAATAGTCGGATGTAAAGCAACATGGCACAAATACGCACAACTGCAAAAGCAACAGTGGTATTATAAGTTTGCAATGCAATGTAATGACTAATGTTGTTCCATATAAAGTTACAGAGGAAACACTACCACAAAAAGAAAAAGAAACAAGCGCAACAAGGCAAACATGATGAATGCATTATCACGATAAAGCAAGCAATAACACAAACGTTCAAAGAAGTATTATATTATTGTCACCAGAAGAAAAAAGATACTTACCACTTACCACAGCTACAGATAGACCAGAAGATACACAATCACCGGATATAGACCACAGAACGAGCATACAACAAAGACAGTAGACCAGGAGCGACCAGACTAGCAGCAGCAACAACATCAGCAGTAATACCAGCACCATAATAGAGAGACCAAAAAACGAGTGACACCAGAGAACGAGCAAGCACCAAAGACAGTAGACCAGGAAAGACTAAATTAGCAGCAGCAACACCTGCAGCAGCAACATCAACACTATAGAAAACCGAAGAACGAGCGACACCAGAGACCAGCAGGCAAAGACTAAAGAAGCAGCCACTAGACATGATAAACCAAAGAAGCAGGCAGTAGAGATAGCAGAGTAATAAATGGCAGCAGCACCCAAGCCAAGTAGGCAAAAGAGTTATCAAAACCTAATAAACAAATACAGTTAGTGTTAATTCTACGCCTTCCAGTACTCATTATCGAATAATACTTAATATATTTCACTTCAAAGAAGCAGTATCAAGTCTTTCTAACAGTACAAGACAGTGTTATCAGAAGCTAGAGTGTTATTACCAATCAAACGGTTTCCAAAACCACCATGATTTGATGCTAAACGCGATTTGCAAAAACGGTAAAAAAAAAACGAGGGCATGGAAAAATGAGAGGGTACCCTATCCGACGTCACGACCAGTAGATTTAGTCTCAGTCTTGTGCCGTTGCAGCCTTCATCGCGGCAATTTAATTTGAAATTGTGCAGCGGTGTTTTCGTGTTCAAACTTGACTTGATCTCACATCCTTTAAACGCTTTTGTTAAATTTGACTATGAAAACTGTCGTTATCACACCGAACCTTCTAATACATCTCTAGAGGGCTAAAGAAGCCGCGTCAAATGATGCTGATTACATCTAGCTTTTAGACCAAAAATAATGAGCAATTTCCAAAAATATGAAAACAGATTTTCTGTGAATTTGTTAAAATTTAGCGTATGAAAATCTCATAAAAAGAGTTTTCAATGTTGCATTTCTTCTTTACGAACAATTTGATCTAATATGTGTCATAGAAAAAGTCTTCATTTTTGGGGTGAAAAACATGATTGTTTGATTTTCAAAAAATTTCTCTTGCTAATACTCATGGAAAAAACGATGATTTTCATGAATTTGCAACGACCCAAAAAAATTGAGATAAAGCATCAGGAAGTAAAGCGTGGCCAAGAGAAGGTATGTGATGCTATTCCAAGCGCTCAGAACGCTTTGTGGCATGAGTTATTCGTGCTTGAAAATGGCTAGATTTGAACAGAATTCGACCTAAAACGACAGCGTAGTAGTGGGCTGTGTTACCAGAAGAGTAAGTTACGCTTCTGTCTAATAAACCAGATGTTCTGTATTGTACATTATGAAATCTCTAGTGTCAATCCAAGGCGTGGAAAGGCTGTTTGCCCTTCGTGGTGAGATGCACACTATTATGGCTTAAAACCTTTGCCAAACAACCGCAATGTTGCATATAAGCATGCATCTTAGGCTACATTTACTTTCTCCTCAAGCCACGTTTACAGTGTAGCAACATAGATGATGTTTATCGTATCACATCACATCTATGTTTACAAGTCCAGTCAATTATTGTGTGTGCACGGATGTCTCAGGAACTACAATAGAATCAACATTGCTGTGCCAGAAGGGCTACAACTGTCTATAAAGATTAAGGTATTCTTGATGGGTAGATATGTCTGTGTTGTGCAACAACATGGACAAGCTATGATAATTGAAGTGCATCTCAGCCATCTAAATACTGAGGTTCACCAGATGTGATAAGCGTTGTACAAGATAAATTGCTACTTTGGCATTCAGAACTTAGTATAAATAGAATAACTCTTGTCTCCATCAATAAATCTTTAGTTTTTGTGTCTGATCTTATTCAAATAAGTCTTTTCTTGTTTTTGTAATATTGAACATTTTTTATAAGCTACAAATTATAATCCATTTATCCTTTGTGCTTAACATTCTTATATGAAGCTCATCACTCAAAGTTGGGTTATTTCGATAGTCATCTATTTCTTAGCATCAAACCCATTCAATTTAAAGTATAGCTACACCAGCGTTTTTCTCGCTACAAATTGCTACAGAATTATGCTACTTTCAAAACTCAAGGAGTATTAATACTTCAAAGTCTGATTTTGGATAATACAAACCCTGAAATCGGAAACAGTTATTCGAAAACACTTTTATACATCCAGAATGTAATAGTATGGGGTAAAAGATAGCAAACCATGACACTGAGACATGTTGGGAATCAATCATACACGACGACGTATGCTTCGCAAGGCATATCGCATTGGGAGGACTTGGTACCTAGTGAACTGCTCTAACTATATGACTTTTCTCACATAGTGAATTTATTAAAGAATATTCCTTGCATAAAACTGTGCGATAGATGTCAGATCGAATAATTGCATCTTGTCTTACTTTTGAATAAAGAACTTAAATTGTGTTGCATACAAGCATGCATCTTAGGCTACATTCACTTTCTCCTCAAGCCACCTTTTACAGTGTAGCAGCATAGATGATGTTTATCGTATCACATCACATCTATGTTTACAATTCCAGTTAATTGTGTGTGCACAGGTGCCTCAGGAACTACAATACATTCAATCTCCCCAATGTCAAGATATCGAGATCTACCTACACTACATGAAACATATCGACTTAGGTCGCCTCTCAACAAGCTATACCAACAATCCATAAGGCCCCAGTGGCCTGCTATTTATGTACCATCTCAACGTAGTTGTGGAATACATCCACTATGATCTGCATTCCGACAGTTCATCCAGTTACCAGATTTAGATATAAGCTGTATGTACACTGGATTAGATGTACGATATCGATTTATACTATAAGAAGATATGGACTTCAGATACGCTAGTACTATAAGATTCATACTATATAAGATATAGGCTATAGATGGTGTAATGAAATAGCCACCCAAACGCAACTTAATTGAAAACCAAAGTTCATCAAATAGCACTCATTCAAATTCATGCTATTTGGATCTATTAATGAAAGCGCTCAAATGTACATCAAAAACCCATTTAAAAATACTAAAGTAAAGATACACGCTTATATCGCACATCGTGTGAATGAATCACTCCTGATCACAGTGTATTCAATCACACCCATGATGGTCGTAATAGGTGATGGTATCTTTATCCAAATAGAATTAAATCAATAACAAGCATATTCAAATATGACAACTATGCCCTGCTGCCATAGTTGCACAATATCCCAGATAAAGGATTCCATGCTTCAATAACAAACATCACACTTTAAACCATCAAGGTTACATTAAATCATGCTATGACGATAGCTCACCCAAGCCCATCAAGGTTACTCAAATCGACCCTTATGGCCAGTGCTCCTGCATTGAT